CGGTCTTTTGTATCGTAATTATCAATTGTCTGATTAATTTAATTGGGCTGACTCTGTTTCAATACCGATTTATTCGGGGCGCGAATAGAATACACTTTGGATGTCCCTTAACCCGTGTATGCAATTGGAACGGGACATTTCGAGCATTTAGGATGGTACAAAATCATTTCAAAAGGGGTTGTCCGTATTTTGTTGGGAAAACCGTTGTTTTGCATGGTAATCATCATTCGTCTGATTAATTTAATTGGGCTGACACTATTTCAGTACCGATTTATTCGGGGCGCGAATAGAATACACTTTGGATGTCCCTCAATCAGTGTATGCAATTGGAACGGGACATTTCGGACATTTAGGATGGTACAAAATCATTTCAAAATGGGATATCCGTATTTTCGTTGTAAAACGGCTATTTTGTACGTTAATTATCAATCGTCGGATTAATTTAATTGGGCTGACTCTGTTTCAATACCGATCTATTCGGGGCGCGAATAGAATACACTTTGGATGTCCCTTAACCCGTGTATGCAATTGGAACGGGACATTTCGGACATTTAGGATGGTACAAAATCATTTCAAAATGGGATATCCGTATTTTCTTTGCAAAAACCGGTCTTTTGTATCGTAATTATCAATTGTCTGATTAATTTAATTGGGCTGACTCTGTTTCAATACCGATTTATTCGGGGCGCGAATAGAATACACTTAGGATGTCCCTCAACCTGTGTATGCAATTGGAACGGGACATTTCGGACATTTAGGATGGTACAAAATCATTTCAAAATGGGATACCCGTATTTTCTTTGCAAAAACCGGTCTTTTGTATCGTAATTATCAATTGTCTGATTAATTTAATTGGGCTGACTCTGTTTCAATACGGATTTATTCGGAGCGCGAATAGAATACACTTTGGATGTCCCTCAACCCGTGTATGCAATTGGAACGGGACATTTCGGACATTTAGGATGGTACAAAATCATTTCAAAATGGGATGTCCGTATTTTGTGGGGAAAACCGTTGTTTTGCATGGTAATCATCAATCGTCTGATTAATTTAATTGGGCTGACACTATTTCAGTACCGATTTATTCGGGGCGCGAATAGAATACACTTTGGATGTCCCTCAACCCGTGTATGCAATTGGAACGGGACATTTCGGACATTTAGGATGGTACAAAATCATTTCAAAATGGGATATCAGTATTTTCGTTGTAAAACGGCTATTTTGTACGTTAATTATCAATCGTCGGATTAATTTAATTGGGCTGACTCTGTTTCAATACCGATTTATTCGGGACGCGAATAGAATACACTTTGGATGTCCCTCAACCCGTGTATGCAGTTGGAACGGGACATTTCGAGCATTGAGGATGGTACAAAAATCATTTCAAAATGGGATGTCCGTATTTTGTGGGGGAAAACCGTTGTTTTGCATGGTAATCATCAATCGTCTGATTAATTTAATTGGGCTGACACTATTTCAGTACCGATTTATTCGGGGCGCGAATAGAATACACTTTGGATGTCCCTCAACCCGTGTATGCAATTGGAACGGGACATTTCGGACATTTAGGATGGTACAATATCATTTCAAAATGGGATATCCGTATTTTCGTTGCAAAAACCGGTCTTTTTATCGTAATTATCAATAATTGTCTGATTAATTTAATTGGGCTGACTCTGTTTAAATACCGATTTATTCGGGGAGCGAATAGAATACACTTGGGATGTCCCTCAACCCGTGTATGTAATTGGAATGGGACTTTTCGGACATTTAGGATGGTACAAAATCTTTTCAAAAATGGGATATCCGTATTTTCTTTGCAAAAACCGGTCTTTTGTATCGTAATTATCAATTGTCTGATTAATTTAATTGGGCTGACTCTGTTTCAATACCGATTTATTCGGGGCGCGAATAGAATACACTTAGGATGTCCCTCAACCTGTGTATGCAATTGGAACGGGACATTTCGGACATTTAGGATGGTACAAATCATTTCAAAATGGGATACCCGTATTTTCTTTGCAAAAACCGGTCTTTTGTATCGTAATTATCAATTGTCTGATTAATTTAATTAGGCTGACTCTGTTTCAATACGGATTTATTCGGGGCGCGAATAGAATACACTTTGGATGTACCTTAACCCGTGTATGCAATAGGAACGGGACATTTCGGACATTTAGGATGGTACAAAATCATTTCAAAATGGGATATCCGTATTTTCTTTGCAAAAACCGGTTTTTTGTATCGTAATTATCAATTGTCTGATTAATTTAATTGGGCTGACTCTGTTTCAATACCGATTTATTCGGGGCGCGAATAGAATACACTTTGGATGTCCCTCAATCCGTGTATGCAATTGGAACGGGACATTTCGGACATTTAGGATGGTACAAAATCATTTCAAAATGGGATATCCGTATTTTCTTTGCAAAAACCGGTCTTTTGTATCGTAATTATCAATTGTCTGATTAATTTAATTGGGCTGACTCTGTTTCAATACCGATTTATTCGGGGCGCGAATAGAATACACTTTGGATGTCCCTTAACCCGTGTATGCAATTGGAACGGGACATTTCGAGCATTTAGGATGGTACAAAATCATTTCAAAAGGGGTTGTCCGTATTTTGTTGGGAAAACCGTTGTTTTGCATGGTAATCATCATTCGTCTGATTAATTTAATTGGGCTGACACTATTTCAGTACCGATTTATTCGGGGCGCGAATAGAATACACTTTGGATGTCCCTCAATCAGTGTATGCAATTGGAACGGGACATTTCGGACATTTAGGATGGTACAAAATCATTTCAAAATGGGATATCCGTATTTTCGTTGTAAAACGGCTATTTTGTACGTTAATTATCAATCGTCGGATTAATTTAATTGGGCTGACTCTGTTTCAATACCGATCTATTCGGGGCGCGAATAGAATACACTTGGGATGTCCCTTAACCCGTGTATGCAATTGGAACGGGACATTTCGGACATTTAGGATGGTACAAAATCATTTCAAAATGGGATATCCGTATTTTCTTTGCAAAAACCGGTCTTTTGTATCGTAATTATCAATTGTCTGATTAATTTAATTGGGCTGACTCTGTTTCAATACCGATTTATTCGGGGCGCGAATAGAATACACTTAGGATGTCCCTCAACCTGTGTATGCAATTGGAACGGGACATTTCGGACATTTAGGATGGTACAAAATCATTTCAAAATGGGATACCCGTATTTTCTTTGCAAAAACCGGTCTTTTGTATCGTAATTATCAATTGTCTGATTAATTTAATTGGGCTGACTCTGTTTCAATACGGATTTATTCGGAGCGCGAATAGAATACACTTTGGATGTACCTTAACCCGTGTATGCAATTGGAACGGGACATTTCGGACATTTAGGATGGTACAAAATCATTTCAAAATGGGATATCCGTATTTTCTTTGCAAAAACCGGTTTTTTGTATCGTAATTATCAATTGTCTGATTAATTTAATTGGGCTGACTCTGTTTCAATACCGATTTATTCGGAGCGCGAATAGAATACACTTTGGATGTCCCTCAATCCGTGTATGCAATTGGAACGGGACATTTCGGACATATAGGATGGTACAAAATCATTTCAAAATGGGATATCCGTATTTTCGTTGTAAAACGGCTATTTTGTACGTTAATTATCAATCGTCGGATTAATTTAATTGGGCTGACTCTGTTTCAATACCGATTTATTCGGGGCGCGAATGGAATACACTTTGGATGTCCCTCAACCCGTGTATGCAATTGGAACGGGACATTTCGAGCATTTAGGATGGTACAAAATCATTTCAAAATGGGATGTCCGTATTTTGTTGGGAAAACCGTTGTTTTGCATGGTAATCATCATTCGTCGGATTAATTTAATTGGGCTGACACTAGTTCAATACCGATTTATTCGGGGCGCGAATAGAATACACTTTGGATGTCCCTCAACCCGTGTATGCAATTGGAACGGGACATTTCGGACATTTAGGATGGTACAAAATCATTTCAAAATGGGATATCCGTATTTTCGTTGTAAAACGGCTATTTTGTACGTTAATTATCAATCGTCGGATTAATTTAATTGGGCTGACTCTGTTTCAATACCGATTTATTCGGGGCGCGAATAGAATACACTTTGGATGTTCCTTAACCCGGAAATTTCTGGCATTTAGGAAAGTACAGAATCATTTTACATTTAATAATACCTGCGTACGTACGTGTCACAAAAGTATCGTAGAGGGCGCTAAACAACCATGTAGTTTGGGAAAAGAAAATCGCGGCCGGGCCGTATGAGCATTAATCTTCATGAAAAAAAAGGAAAGAAAAATGTGAAATGAGGCACCCCCGGTACATTTTGGCAAAAAAGAAATAGGAATTCCTGATTAAACAGGATTCTCATGCCTGGGACCCGGTCCTTCCCGCAACGCACCACTAGGGGCAGTCTGGCGGATATAGCGCCCTCTCATCGGCTATAAGGCAGAACCTTAATTCAGTAACGTTAAAACTTATAACATTAACATTCCCAATTCTGAAAATAAATTGCCACGGTTTTCATTACGATTTACTTTAGAGTCGAATAAACAACAGTTTCAGTTATAATCAACCAAAGATGAAGTTGAACTTCCTTTATAATTCGTTTTCTCCTAAGGTTTATTTGCAATGACTGTTTAGGGCCACCGTAGTGGTAATCTTCACGGCGGCGCGCCGCCGTAAAAATAGTGCCTAGCCGAAAATCCGGCCAGCCGAAAATCCGGCCCGATTTTCGTGCCAAGATCAGCCTGGTGTCTTTTCGCTTGTCGGCCCGGGCATGCAAACTTAAATGCATAATAATATAAAAATTTGGTAGGCCCTACATTAAAATAAAAAAATATAATAAACATATTTGCTGATTGAATATTCAATAAATGTAAGTAACTCAAACTTGTTTAAATTATATATTTTATATAATTTAAATATTATTATTGAGGTATTTTGTTTAAGTGAAACTTGTTACTATCGTTAAAGCCTAAATATTTTCAAAATGGCTGCGCCCCGTGTACCACAAATTATCCGTCGCATGAGTTTAAAATTGGCTTCAGTTGGGCGTGAAAGAGGTAAGTTAAAGCAAGTAGGGCACCTTTTTGAATGAACATTTCCCATGTATTAAAGTGCTGCAAATTCATATTGTTCGGGTTTTTATTAAATTGAGAATTAGTGAGTTGCGCCTCAGTCGATCATTCATCATGTTCATGCCATGGCCGTCAATCATGGCAATGGACCAATGTGTCAATAGAGGGCGCTACTCATCTCAGCTGGGTGACCAGATGAAAATCGCAAATTCTGCTGGATTCACTTCAAAATTTTGCTAGATTTAACAATACCTGCTATAAATCACCCAGAATTAGTGTAGTATAGTGTTATACACACATACATGTACACACAGATGCTATTAAATTTTCTTTAGAAATAAAAATATAGTAAAATTTCCTTTGAAACTAAATAATGAAAGAAATAAAATTAATTTTTCAAAATAAAAATTGGCAAGAACGTGATTGTATGGGTCCCCGGTCAGCTCCTACCATTTCTAGCGTGCATAAGGAGTACCAGCTTACCGTGTGTGAGATGACTTCAGAAAATCAAAAGTTGACTTAATGATGACCAGAAGAGTTCTGAGATGGTGACCGGGAGGGCATAACTCCTTAACGGAAGCACCTATAGCAACAGTGTTTACGCCATTGCCCTTCTCCCATCCAGAGCTTAAATTTGATGTATAATTCAACCATATTCACCCAAAAGAAAAAAAATCATACATAATATTGCTTTCTACTGGAAGGGGTCTTAAAATTAACCAATGTTGTGTTTTACAAGGTGATCATTTTAATGTGTCAATTGCCTGCCAAGCATACCTTGATACAATAGTTTTTTGGGGGGAGCGGGTAAAAATTTTCTTCTAGCAAACCACCCCCCCCCCCCCCCCGAACCATAATAATGTCACTGATTACAATTTATGAAACAGGAAAGACATTTTAAAACTTTCTGTTATACTGACAGCATAAAATTGTCTTATTGCATAGGAAGTTGCTTTTTACATGTGTGGCAATTTGGAGTAGCATGCACGTTTTTCATTTTTTTTGTACAGTTTTAGGAAATGTGGCGACAACATTTCAAAAGTTACATCCCCGCTGCCTCAGAAATTATACAACCCCGCAGGGCCAGTCTTCAACACTGCACTCGACGGAATCAACATCCCCAAAATGGCAACTGGTGAGCGCTGTTTGTCTGGAGCGGTACCCCGTCGTGTCCCAGGATCGTGTTGGAATCGAGCAAGAATACGGGAACCTGCTGGAAACCGTTGAACTGGAGAACAGTCTTCTTTCTGAACACGAGCTGCAGGTTGCTCAGCACAAGTACGAGATTTTTTTTGGGGGGGGGGGGGTGTTTTTAAAAGCTCATGCTTTTCAATCAATTTGTGGTATCACTTTCTGGCTTTCTTCTTTGAATTTGTTAGGTTTAAATTATGGGAATTCAAGGTGATATGCACTATGTAATCATCAAAAAACAAAACTACCAAATTATTATGAAATACTTTACTTGATTGTAAGCATCCTGTGAAATCATGGCACCTGGTGTACTGTCATTTTGAAGAAAACTTGAATTTTTGTATCAATTTCCAATGATGGTCAACCAACCATCATTGCAAAAAAAACACATAACAACTTTTTCAAGTATTGCCAATTTACCAAATTTAGTTAGTCCACATTTTGTTTGCAATCGATTACACACCCATGAACTGGTGCAAGCCAGCTGTCTGGTTCTCTGACGTGACAATTTCCAGATAGCTATAAATTGCTCCGTTTCGTCTGAAGTAGGGTCAGGGAACCAGACAACAAGAAAGGCCTTTTTTTCCTTGGTTTTTCCAGCATCTATGAACACCAGACTTCAAACAGTTCAGTAAAATAATATTTTTTGCTATAAAATACTGACCCCAAAATCTGTCCATTTCTGAAAATTACAGCAAAAGCAAATTATGAATGCATTTTACCTTTAAGTAGATGGCGTTTCATTTTCTGGCATATTTTGATGATCTTAGAGAGAGGATGCTTAAGAAGCAGAGCGGTGTTCTTGAAGATGATGATGATGAGAGGGAGCTAGTCACAGCCCTGGATCTTGAGGATCAGTACACTGAGGAATTCAATAAGTTCACTCCAGCTAGTAGGACATCAGGTAAAGTAGAAGTTGTCGGTTACACCTCTATGTTCCGACACCCCTAGTTCCGACAACTCAACCTATGTTCCGACATCCCTATGTTCCGATACCTCTTTGTTCCAACTGCACATATTCTTATCCCTATCCCTATCTCTAACCCGAACCCTCAACGGGAGTAACACAATCTTATTTGCAGGTTGTCGAAACATAGGGGTCGCTGAACATAGGCGTGTCGGATCATAGGTTGAGTAGTCAGAACATAGTGGTGTCGGAACATAGGGGTGTCGGAACATAGGGGTGTCGGAACATAGGGGTGTTGGAACATAGGGGTGTCGAAACATAGGGGTCGCTGAACATAGGCGTGTCGGATCATAGGTTGAGTAGTCAGAACATAGTGGTGTCGGAACATAGGGGTGTCGGAACATAGGGGTGTCGGAACATAGGGGTGTTGGAACATAGGGGTGTCGGAACATAGGGGTGTCGGAACATAGGGGTGTCGGAACATAGGGGTGTCGGAACATAAGGATGTCGGAACATAGGGGTGTCGGAACATAGGTTGAGTAGTCGGAACATAGGATTGTCGGAACATAGGGGTGTCGGAACATAGGGGTGTCGAAACATAGGGGTCGCGGAACATAGGCGTGTCGGATCATAGGTTGAGTAGTCGGAACATAGTGGTGTCGGAACATGGGGGTGTCGGAACATAGGGGTGTCGGAACATAGGGGTGTCGGAACATAGGGGTGTCGGAACATAGGGGTGTCGGAACATAAGGATGTCGGAACATAGGGGTGTCGGATCATAGGTTGAGTAGTCGGAACATAGGATTGTCGGAACATAGGGGTGTCGGAACATAGGGATGTCAGAACATAGGGGTGTCTGAACATAGAGCAGTCACCGAAATTGTCACATCACTTGCCAAGTTTCAAGTCAAGTGACTAGCTATAGACTCCGTGCACAAGTACCCCCTCAACCGTTAAAAAGGAGAGTTGGGGGAGCGCACTGGGAAGACTTCCTGAACGCATTGCTGAAGGCGCCTGATGCACATGCGAATACACACAGTCTTATCTTCCATACTAGCCCAAACATTTGGGACTCTCAATACTGTGTATGAGAGTCACAAAACTTAAGGTATTGAAAACATGCAATACAAGAAAATAAACTGGCACATGAAACAACCAGTCCAACAACTCTTCAGTACTGCATCAATCAACTGTCAGCTGACTGTGCCAAAAGAAATATCTAGGATGTCAGGTACTAGGTCATTATTTCTACACATTTTTCCATAGTCAGGCACCTGACTAATGACAAAAAATGAAGAGGTCAGTCATGTCAAACAGTTGGACCATGGATGGGCATATAGAAGTCCAGTCTTTAGCCTCATTTTGAAATCACTTGACTTCCCTCTCATGTGCAAGCCACTGCCAAATATTGTAGAAAAGTCTCCTTTAAAAAATGAACTGAGTCTTCAAACTTGGTTGCTGAAATACTGAGGACGTTACCTTTGCCCAGTGAAAGTTTTGGAGAAATTGGCTGGCTAAAGAGTGAGTAAAGTTGGCCTGATTTTCTTTGGCATCGTTTTGAGCTCTTAAGGTCCTAGTCTGCTTCCATACCTACTGTGGATATGAACTGTAAAGTTTGATTGAAATGGATCAAAATATGTGGGAACAATAGGCAATGCCAATGTTTGTTATGCAATGCAATGCGATGTTATTAACTAACTAAACTAACGAGAAGACTAACAGAGAGACATGATGATTTGTTGCGCTGTTAAATGTGACTCAACTTTACAACCTTTTTTTCCTAGACACTGAAGACATGCAGAGCGTTCAGCGCAAGTTAATGGATAAACTGGTGCTTCTCGTGAAGTGCAGGGTTGGAGACAGAAGCCTATGGATGATGCCGCAGGACACCAGACAAGATGGAGAGACAATGAGACAGGTTAGCTTAAAACTCAGTTCCAAACTCTCAAATGCTTAGTGGACGCGATGGTTTGGCAAGTCTGTGGGTGACACCATTTTAATAAGGGATTCATAAATACCTCAGACAGTTTAGCTATTCCTATTGGTCGAGAGCCCGTCACGTGGCCGGTCTTAAACGGATGATAAAGACATGGCTAGCTGGTCTTAAACACTTTTCTAGTGTCACAATAAAATGTGGACTCCTAAAAATCCAGTGCCTCTTACCGTTTCATTGGTTGAACGTTCACAATCCTCACGTAGGCATGCGCAACACTACAAGCGAGTCAGAATTTTATAGTTCTAAATTCAAAACGCAACGCCCCAGGTGCGTTCTGCGTGACATCGCGCAGAACATGTTACGCGCGCGTCAATCTCCATAAAAGGGTTGTTTACATCTTACTCGCCAGCTGAACACTCCATTATTTTGCTAGAGGGATGTTTCAAAAAGCATGAAGTGAACTTGTTGAACAAAATCGGGATTTTTTGAACGAATTATTTGATATTTTTTTACGGATAAGGTATTTATGAATGGGAATAAATATGTGCTCGGTCGGTATTTATCACTCTGTTTAATACCACTTAGAGTCTGGGTGCTGATAATTACCCTCGCCTCCGGCTCGGGTAATTATCAGCACCCAGACTCTAAGCGGTATTAAACGAGTGATAAAAACCTCCGGAGCACACATTTATTCCCTTAATAAATATGTGCTTGGCAGGTTTTCAACAAGTACGTTTACAACCGGCTAGGGGCCTGGTCGTTGTTAAAATGTCAAAACAAGTCAATAATTCACAGATTTCCAATGATTTTTTTTCACAATTTTTCTTCATGTTTTGTGAAACACCCCTCTGCCATGTCTATGGTTATATGCCTCACAAGCGGAGTGCTACATATCTCCTTATATGGGGTGTACTGCGCAATGTGGCGCAGAATGCAGCAGTGTTTTATCCACAGTTTAAAACTACCCACGATATGAACAGTGATTAACAGTTAATTAGATATTTTGGCATGGTGACCTGCAAGTCCTGCCTATAAACGATCCCCTTCCATCACTCAAAGCCACATTAATTACTTGTCCCTGATTGTATCCTAAATTTACAATTACTCCCATCTGCTTTTGAAATTGCCTTTTTTTTTACCTTAACTTCAAATTCCTATACTAGATTACCATCTCACTTAAAAATTGTATTAACAATGTTTGAAGTACATTTCTTTATTCTGAGTAACACCTCGGGAAAACAATTTCTTCAAAATCCAAAAGATTTTGGAGGATTTTGCAGAATTGATGATGATAGGGCCAAACACGTATTTACTTTACTTTGAAATTCATGCCTGTTAGTAGGTTCTCACATTAGTCCCGCCCTAAACTGCCCTGTCTGTTACATCCTAATACAATGTAATACACGCGTATCGCCGTTTGCGAGTTAGCCACTCCCCTTAGACATCCCTATGGAATTTTGTACGTTAAGTTTTGTTTGTCTCAGATTTTGCGCATTCCGTGTCCTTTCGTATATCATGAAATTGAATAATATTTCACAAACTGCGTTCACGCGATTCCACTGCGATAGTTAATTCAAGTGCCATAGGTAAAAAAAAAAGAGAGAGTGTCCCATCCATTTCCTGATAAGTAGTGGCTTTGGGAGGATTCACGTAGACCTGCTGCAAAAAAGCAAGTAAAGAATTCTTACTATCTCTGACCTCAAATCTCTTTATTCCATTGACTTGTAGGCAGCAGAGCGTGTGCTGTTATCCCAGTGTGGAATGCAAGAAATGTGGAGATCTCGTTTGTTTGGCAATGCACCAAGTGCCTGCTTCAAGTATGTCTACCCTCCTGATGTACAAGAAGACAGAAAACACAAAGGAGCAAAGGTAAGATTATTGCAGTAATATTTTGCCTTTATTAACCAGTGTGCGCCGGATGACGTGTATACACGCAATGCAGTATTTGGAATGGATGACGGATAAACAAGCAGGGAGCGAGGCCGGAAATATCTGTCAGTGACCCGCTCGCAGCGAGCGAGGCCGGATATATGAGTGTGCTGCCCGAGGGTCATGGCTTCAACCGGCCTGGCTTGAGGTCGAGTGAAAAGTAATCTGAATGCTCGTTCTTGTCAAAATAATCCCGGGGTGGATTGGTTTATAACCGAGGTAAAGACCATTAATGCACACCCCTTTAAAAATACAAATTCAAGTTATCTCCCCAATTATCTAAGGTTTGGGTAAGATATGATATTGGCGCCTCCTTTTTGTTGTTTTCCTGATTCTTTAGCCTAAAACCCTCACCGGCTACTGGCATTGAAAGAACCCCCCCCCCCCCCCCCCCCTCTAAAAAAAAAGGTCATAGAAAGAAAAAAGTATGTAGTTAGATCCTAAAGACAGCAGCAAAATTCCAATACCCAATCTTTTTCCTCCTCTTGCTTTAGATATTCTTCTACAAGGCCAGATTGATGTCAGGAGACATCAAGATCAACGCAAACATCAGTGAGGACTATGCATGGGTGGCACCCGGTGAAATGGACAAGTATCTCATTCCGTCCTATCTGGATACAGTACGGAAGTTCATTGTGCCCATCAAATCACTTGAACAGGTCTAACACGGACTCTTGTGGTTATTAGACTCTGTACGCAAGTACCCCGCCCTCAATGGTGAAAATGACAACGCACCAATATGGAGCTACTTGAGTGCTTTTGCCACCGTATTAAAAAACTCGGGTGTGTTTTGCCATCAGATGAAAATTAGGGAGCATTGGGAAATTCAGGTCGGGAAATTCAACAAAATCTGATCGCTGGATTGTAAGTCTTCTCTTCGTCATGGAGCAAAAGATCAATTAACTGCAAGAAAATCTTGGATAATGTACAAACCGGCAGTGTTACTGTTAGGGTGACTACTATTTCAATGATTAAACCCATCAGCACCTGTACGGTACTACATTGTATTAAATTGTGTTTATTCACTGAAGAATATATAAAACCGTGAAGTGCTCGGGCCCTAAAATGGGCAGGGTGCTTTTGGGTGTTACAGTGACTAAAGGGTTAAAGAGTGATCAAAGATGCCATGTGCCTCTCATAGAAAAAAATACCCGTCTGTGTTAAGAGATGTGTTATGTAAGCTTTGGAAGGCTAAAAGGTCTTTTAAATAAAAATCTGTCTTGTGTTCAGTGTCATTTTGGCCTTGAAATATTATTTGTGCACCAATTGCCTTTTCATGGACTAAAATGTCCACAGCCTAAAAATTAATTTAAAAAAACCAACCCCCACCCCCCCCCCCCCAAAAAAAAATGGCCACAAAATGATACGACAGGTAATGACAATTATGGAAGATAACTATCTTCACCCGTAAGTTGCTTTTTTTAATTACAAATTCGTCTCAGTAAAGCTTGTATTATATACAAAGTTGACATTTATACATACATGCGACCTCAACTAATGCTCTAAAAGAATCTATCAAACGTGTAAAAGGATATTTTTCTCCTTCTTACATTGGAAAAACAGGTTTCAATAAAACAACACCGTGGAGGACTCAATATGAAATAATCAAAATCGTCATCAATTAATGCGTAAACCAAATTGTTTTTGTGGAGGGGATCCGCATATAGAATTAGTTGGAGTTAAAATTGCTTTTAACTTAAACATCAATAGGTACATGGACAAAAAAATTCATGTATCCTTTCTTGTGATATTTTGGAAGTTAAGGTTTTCTTTTATGGCTTTCACACAAACAACAAAACATGATGCGATAATCAAAGAAACAAATTCCATTGGTAATTTTTTTTCGTTTATGCTATATAACACCACATCCTGTTCATCTTTGCTAATAATGGAATGAAATTAACTGCAACGTATTCAGAGATTTTTTTAATGCATCTTTGAAAAGAAAGCTGCAAGGGCGGACTTAAATTACAAAAATGCAAAACCACCTGCAAACTATCCCTGGAGATTTATCAATATATACATTTGTACATATTTTCTGTTTTTAATACAAGCCAAAACTAGCTTTGATTTACTCAGCAAAATATAACAATTAAAATGACAGACTGGTATCAGGTCATGTTAAAGGAGTAATTTAAATTGGAAATTCTCTTTCCTCTAATAATACTATTGACATTTTATTTCGGTGCATTTACTTCAAACATATCTTAGGCCAAAAAAAAAAAATAACTCGGTCTCTGGTCAGCGCGCGCGTCGATTTTAATCATGCGCCTCAAATTTTTTTTTTTTAAATGTTCCGCGGTAGCTCAAACAGCGCCCTCTATTGCCGCACCTCCTCAATTTTTTTTTACCAAAGAGCACTAAGGAATGGGAAATTGCACCAAGGCAAATGATCGAAAGCACCAAGGCAAATTATGGAGAACACCAATGTACATGAGGACACCAAAAAAGCAAAATAGTACCCCACCTTGTCTGTACAATCCAAGCTTGAAGAAAAAAAAAAAAAAAGCAAAAAAAAAAAAAAAAAGCCGCGTCGCCGCGTCAATTCCGGAACTTTGGTCTGACCAGAGACCGAATATTTTTTTTTGGGGCCTTATAGACTGTCAATAGAAAAAGAAGACAGACTTTGGGATTGAACCAGCCAACTGACCCTGGTGAGCTTGGTGGTCGAGTGATAAGACATCTGCACTAGTAAGCAGGTTATGGGTTCAAGTCCCACCGGAATGATGTATCCTGACGCCACTTTTTAAGCTCTGGCAGGAGCTTCTACATGTCACTTGGTGTGTTGGTTCGTCTATCTGTCCGTCCCGAAACTTGACCAAAAGTATGGTGTTTCATATGTGCCATCTGCGTCGCATTTTTCGGTGTTACATTTTTCAGCTCTGGCAGGATCGATTTCATGCAATACTTTCATGCAAGACTTTTTGCAACACAGCAAGAGCCAAATATTGTGCACTCGTACTTGTTTCATCATATATTATCTTAATGAAGGTCATTCATGGCAAAACTGATGAAAACACATGAATCTAGGACTGAGAAACATTTCCAAATTTTGTTAGAAAATACTTTGAAAATGCACCTGACTCTCCATAAACTTTGTACACAACCAAAGAAGTGGCGTCTGGATACTACATTCTTTCCCCAACACTGAGTATACAGTGTTTATAAAAACACATCAGTGAAGGGGAAAAACCCAATATGGAATTGACATCTCTTCAATGCAAATTCCAACCTATAAATTAAATAACTTTCCAACATTGAGCAACTTCAGTGGAGGAAACTTGTCACTCTCTCCCTCTCAAAAAAGACAAACAAAAAGCAGTTATCCAAAATCTAAAATGTCAAAAATATTAACAAGAAATCATTTCACATTATGGCTGTATTTTTGGGTGACCAGGCCCACACATACACCCTTATTGCTTTCTTGTTGCTTGCTAGATTACTGCATGAAACTAAAATCGCCTTGCAAGTAAAATTTACAAATTTATTTAAATGCTGTTGACATACACAAAGACCCTTAAATTACCAGGACCTTCTCCATTGCCGCCCCCTGTTATGGAATAGCCTACCCCGCCCCCGGTTATGGAACAGCCTACCCATCTACATCAGAAATTCTGGCAGTGTTTTGTCCTTCAAGAAAACTCTCAAGACCCACCTTTTCCCCAAATAATAGCTGGCTGTCCACTTTTCTTGTCTTCTTTCCCCGTTTCATTTCTTTGTTGAGCACCTTGAATCCTTTGGCAATTTGGCGCTCTATAAACCCAGTTATATTATTATTAACCAGGGTACATTCAAAGCAAGGTCTAATACAGAATGCTTTAAAACCTTGTGCGTGTTTAACAAAAATGAGTAAACTAATATTTAAAGGATTGCTTATCACCAGTAAAACAACTACAAAGTATCCGCCAGCGTCTCTAGAACCTAATACTTAAATAGTTTACTGGACACCTGATTCAAAAACAGCTGCTACATTTTGGCCAAAAACAAAATTAAAATTGCTTACAAACAAGTTTCATTAAAATAGTTTTGTTGTCTGTTAAAGACACTACATAGAACGATGCATTCTTAATTGGCAGAACGTTTGTGACAAAGCACGATGGATTGGAAGTAGCTTGGCCCTTTACAATTAAATATAAGGCCAGTTCTTGGCAGTCAATAGCAAACTGTCTCAAACTCAATCTTGTGACCCCATAATTACGCTCTCTTCATGACAAAATCTTTAAGTTGCGTTTTCAGTGCTACTTTTCAATTTCATTTTGAAAAATAGATTCCTTTTCTAAATTGCCCTGCTCGTGACATGAATCAATCTGGACCCAATTCTGAGGGGCTGCTCAATAAACACTTATTTCTCGGCCGATTTGCTTGATAAGCACAATACACCTGCTGAGAATCATTTGTGCTCGATAAACATCTACAAGACAAATTGGTTGTCAACATAACTCCTGCCGAGCTATTTTCCATTCCTGGCAGCATTGTGTGTGCACTGGCAGTTTTGTGAAGTAGACTCACGATGACCAAACCACGTCTAAACGTCTTAAATGACACCGAGAGGCAGTCAGTTAGGTCGCATCATTCCATCTCTTCGAATCTGTTCCTCATGACTTTCTTGACGGCATCCCTGTAGGAGTCTGTGGCAGTTATGTCGTAAGAGCCCCCTTTGATGCCCAGCCCTGCGCCCGCTTGTCTCTTTTGTACCTGCCAAAGACAGAGAAAGCCAGAACATTGAAACTGAAGAATGCTTTGGCAGTTTGACTACACATTTTCACTTCTTATCTCTATCTCATCATCATACAACAGCACTCTACCTAATCAGGGGCCAAATGTCATAGAGCTACGTACAACAATCTGCTTAACACCAAGACTTGTTGGTTTCAGCAAACTCACTTTTTCATTATTAATATACTCTGCTGAAGAAAAACAAAACTCCTTCAAGAATTTCCCGAAACTTTTATGGAGGTCACTGAAGGTCAATCACAAGCCAACCATTTTCAAGACATTCTTTGGATTGGGAATGTCATTGTTCATCCCTCTTACCTGTGATTTGACTTTAGAATAACTTTTGACTAACCTGTGACTGACTTGTGATAACATTTTAACGGACTTGGGATTAACTGGTACTAACCTTGCAAGGAACTTGTGACAGATGTGCAAAGGACTTGTGATTAACTAGTGATTGACTCATGATTGACTTGTGGTTAACTTGTGATTGACTTGTGATTGACTTGTGATTGACTTGTGATTGATTTGTGATTGACTTGTGATTGACTTGTGATTGACTTGTGAGGGCCTTGTGATTGACGTGTGATTGATTTGTGATTAACTTGTGATGACTTGTGATTGATTTGTGATTGATTTGTGATTGACTTGTGATTGATTTGTGACTGACTCATGATTTACTTGTGACTGACTAGTCAGTGACTCGTGATGGACTCGTGATTGACTTGGGACTAACTAGTGACCAACTAGTGACTGACTTGTGACTGACTTGTGACGGACTAGTGATTGACTCGTGATTGACTCGTGATTGATTAGTGATTGAATCGTGATTGACTCGTGATTGTCTCGTGATTGACTCGTGATTACTAGTGATTGACTTGTGATCGACACAAAATTGGCTTGTGATTGACATGTGATCAACGTGATTGGTTGCAGAGTGACTGTGACTGACTCCATTGCAAGTCCTTACCTCTATGGGGTCCATGCGCCCCTGCTGCTTCTTGCCCAGGCCCGTCCCCTTGTTCCAGCCCATCTTCTGCAGCAACTTGTTGCCGATGTTGTCTTCTTGAAGACCCTCTTTAGTCGGTTCCTCATATGGTCTGCCGAAGTAGAAAGTCAAGAGATAAAACGTGGCTACAGTGTTTTCTCTACATTTGGGACATTATACTCGGGTATAAAAAGAGAGAAGTCAAAAATAGGATAAATTCCAAGCTTTGCAAGACTTTTTAGGGTTTTTTTTGTGGGTCAAATGTTTAATGGCATACATGGGAAGAAAAAAACAAGGAAATGAGCTGATCTGAATGAAAGATGAATGCCAGACAATCAATATCAACCTGTCAATAATAACACTGTAAACCATACTGATCGTTGAGGTAGCTGATGATGACACAATTTCAAAGGATTAAAACTTTTGGTGCAATTCAAGACAATGCTCAAAATATTACTTTTACTACTATAATTTATAGAAATGAAAGTAAGGAAGGATTCCATAAATGCTCGATGGCAGTGTGACTTAAGAGACTGCAGACAATGAATATTTAGTTTTTCAGAGTTGGAGGAAAACCCCTGATAAACATTCTTGGGAACCCACAAACGGTCCCCTGCCAGCCTTGGTTGGGGAAGGGTGGGTGGGGGGGGGGGGGGGGGGGAGGGTAACTTGGGTCACAGGGGTGGAAGGCAAGTATCACTAATCAAACAGTCTTCCATAGCAACCTGTCTCCTTAGATAATCCACAGTAAGGAGCAACACACTGATCCTTGGCAGCTCTTTAGTGAGAAGAAACTACTTACACTGTAGGTTTTGGAGGCCGGAACTTCTTCTTTGGCGGCGCCTCATCCACGCCAAACTTCTGTCTGCGTTCCTTTGCCCGATCCCGATACTGGTACTAAAATAAACCCCAAAAATAACTTGCTTCAACACATCATTTATTTCAACACTTGGGTAGACTTACTTGGCTTTTATAAACTTAAATTTATATTTTAAGCAAATGATGTCAGTTGTACAACTTTGTCAACATTTTTACCGGGAACCAGTAACTTCTCCAAAATCTAAAACTCTGCAGCAAAACAAATGGCACACTAAATTTCAAAAGCATCATGTCTCATATGAATAATAACTACAATTGAAAAGTCTGAGTATACAGTGCTTATATAATTATGTCAGCAAGGGCATCACCTAATGTTAAAATCACATCTCCTGGATGAAAACATTCCATTACACATGCTCAGTTTAGTTAATTTTTTGCACGATTTCCATACAAATTTTTTTTTTTAAAGGCATATAGGATCATACACATTTATCACAAAAATAAACTACAAAATTATTGTTAAAAAACTTAATTAGATTCAAGATTGTACTTGTACTAAACACCCCATGAAATGATTCCGTCTAGCTTACTGCCGTTTAGAAGAAATCAAGAAATTAAGGTGATTTCCAACGATCAGTGAATTGACTGATTTTTGAAAAATTGTGTTTCATGATCGAAAGGTTGTGCATGGTTTTTCACCGTTTCTCTGAAAATGTATCCACTTAGCTGAAAGTTCAACAGGTTAAGTTTTTGAACATTCTTCTTTGGATTTTGCGTGGTGTTATTATTGGAAATGAACAAAATGAGTGAAAAGCAAATGATCCTATGTGACTTTTAAGAGAGCAACTTGCACTGAACTTACGTCAGTCTCGGCTGCTTCCTGATCTCTGAGCTCCTGCGAATCTAGCCGCAGCGATTCTAGGTTCTGCTTGTGCAACTCCGAGAACTGCTGATGCTTGACCAGGATCTCCTTGGAGGGGAACTGCCGCTTGCACAGCAGGCAGATCAACTTGGACCAGTCTGTCAGCGCATCCACAGTGCTGGCCACATTGCTGGTGGCAGCGGTGGGATTGACGGTGGCAAAAGTGGGATGGATTTCGGGCTCTGGTTCGCTGTCGCTTCCTCCACCATAAGAAGCTACGATTGCACTCTATAAACAAATTTCAAGGAGATATTCTTTTTGGGCACCATTTTAATCAATTTTATTTTTAAAAAATATATGGAGACCATAATGCAAGCGTAAAACCCCAAACGTAAAGCAGCAACATTTTGAACAAATATTCAAAAGAGGCATACCTTGCTGGCCGCTGTGCCTGGGTCACTGGTCTGTTTCTGCAGCACGTGTTGGACTGCTGCTTTGGTGTCAGCAGGATTGGCCTGTGGGAGGAACATGGAACATATTTCACAAACTACTATTCTAACAAATCCAGACCAAACTACTATTTTCGGAAAAAATGTCTCACGATTACGTTTGAACTCACTCTATCCTCAAAAATATAGAGACCATCGCCAAAGGAAACTGACCAAAACGAATGTAAAATGATTCAAAGACATTTTCATCTGAAATTAAAGTTTCTTAAACAAATCCCAAAGTACTTTAAAGTCCTTGCTAATTAATAACCGTAGTAAATGGACAGACTCATTGTTATATTTTTTGAGAAAAAGGTTTTGACACGGTCCTGATTTCATTGAGCTACAAAACAGAAAAAAAATAGTATAGCACATTTCTATATAAGCATATATCAATTGAAAACCACTCAAAGGTAGAATACACAAGGAAGAAATTTTTGGTTAGTAACTCATGTTTTCTAAGCAAATATTTTCTGTAGTTAAAATATTTTCAGTGCCTAGCAGCTCAATGATATCGACCACAGCTGGCTTGTAACCTTGGCCCAATTGCATGGCTCTGCTAACCACAGAAATATACACTTATAATCACCATTTTGTGCTTCTCTGTGCTTAACATGAAAGCACAGAATTCCCAGTTACGGGATGTACGCAAGTGTAGAAGCCAAAATTCCTCGCTAACCCGTGAAATATGCTAACCATAAGCACAGAAGTTTCTGCTTCTGCAGGCACAGCCATGAAACAGGGCCCTGTTGTTGCTTAAAATATTACTTTTTTGATGTTTGGAGAATTTATAAGCTTGTCTGTGTTTAGCAGTTCCTCACCTTCTTCATAAGCATTGCAAAGCCGGCGTCGGCAGCCCCAATCACTGAGAAGCCACCTTCCATTCCGGCTCCGCCCTTCTTAGCAGCATTGGCCTTGGAGTTATTCATGCTCTTGGCCCATCGTGCCATGTCTTTAGCAAGCTGTAGAATACAGACATATTACAATCAATACATGAGAAGACATCCGAAGAGACGAGGATAGGATGTGAATAACTTGCTCAAGTTGTCGTAATAACTTGTACAAGAACTTGCACTAGGAGGTTTTAGTTTCGCCAATCTTTTCTCAAAATGTCTCAAGTCCCTTGTATAAATTTTTGATGATCTAATGTAATCTTTGTAAAATTGTGTCCCTATCTCACTGACCGACTCACTGTCACCTGTGACTTACACCAGGCTTTACGAGACTTGCCTGTTCATGTATGTGATGTAGGATCCTACACCACTTTAGTCTGCTTTAGTCTGGCGCCCCTTGTTCTATGTACTTTCATGATACATGTGTAAGCAATAAGTCAAGTCTTCATGCGAACTCCAGACGATATACTACCTGGCTCTCTTCACCAGCCAACAACCAGGCTAAGTCACAAATGACGGGGAGTCAGTCGGGGAGTCAGTCAGTCAGTGTAATTCCTCTTGACGATGACACAAGTGAGGCACGAGTCGCGATGTGGGCAGACAGAAATAACACTTTGTCACCCACAGCAACTATGTAACTGATGGTTAGAGAACTACTACCACCTGGTGCAGAGGCAAGCTGGGCAAAGTGGAAATGCCTCAACTGACTGAGATCTAGAGTTGGCAGATAGAGCCAACGTGACACTCAACAAGTGGGGATATAGTTCCTCCAATGACACCATGTGTGATTGTGGCGCAGAGCCACAAACTATGGAGCACCTTTTGAGATGCCCTCTACTACAAGATCCTTGCACAGCTGCTGACCGTGCAATGTATAATGAATATGCGGAGAAATGTATCCCGCTTTGGCTGAGCCGAATTTAGCTTTTTGTGAAGTGGACTCGATAAAAAGAAGTCAGTCAGTTTAGTACAAAGAGGACTTTAGGCTGGCCCTCTTGAATCAGCAATAAGCAGTGGTGCAGCAAAAGATACCATCCAGTCTAATACCTTTTTGGCCATCTTGTTCTTATCGTTCTTGTCCTTCTTGTCTTTCTCCTTTGTCTTCTCTGCCTTGTCTGTAGTATCAGCGTTGGCGGCAGTCTGTTCAGGTTTGGCATCCGGTGCAGGGAGGTAGGTAGATGCAGCCGCGTCCCAGTACAGGTATTTCTGCGTCGTGCCGTCGAAGTAATACTGGAACGAGAATAGGATGACCCTATATCAACACTTGTTCCCCAAAACGTGTAAAACTCCTGGTTTTGGTACATTGTGGCAATTTCATAGGATTGAACTCTTTGTGTCTCACCGGTTTGGTATCAAATCTGAACCAGCTTTATGACACAAATAGTGCATGAAAGGGTTAGTTTACCTGTAAGATTTACATTTACCTTGGAACATACGTTTAACATTTACTGTAAAAAAAATTGAATAAATTTGGCAGCATTACAGTTCAAAATCTTGGAATATTAAAAATCTTGAAAACAAAGCTTAAATTCATGATAAAACCTTAACAATTTTTACAAATTATCTTGTCTCTCCGTCAGTTAGTTAGTTAGTAACAAATGTTGACACTGTCTAGTGCTCCTACATATTTTGACTGATTTCAACCAAACTTTGTCAAAAATATCAGTCGCCCAGCCCCAACATGTCACATGACCAAACTGGGGTCAAAAGTCATCATGGGGTCACGGGGCTCAAAATTCCTCTCCTTCCAGAAATTACATGGCACAATCACGTGACTCATGCATGAACACAAATTCGTTGGCCTGCAACTTCCGAGGTCCAATCGAGCTTGTTCAACAAGTACATCTCACTATATATAGTTACAAGCAGAAAAAGGCCTCTCTAAAATCTGGCAAGATACACCCCAATTTCTACTTTTACAAACAAAAAAGACTCTTTGTTCATAGAAGTCTGCAGAAGAAAAAAAACGAGACAAGGTTTGAAAAGAACTATTTGCCCACCTGTGAGTTGGCATCGTAGTACAGGCCAACAGTTGGGTCGTAGTAGAAACTGGAAATCTCATCGTAGACGTACTTGGACACGTCTGGGGTAGGGTACTTCTGCCCCTCTTGGAAAAACACGGGGACTACAGGGGCTTCAGTTACTGAACTTGATTCCTGCCGATAAAACATTTTTCATGTGGTCAAGCATTTCTAAGGTTTTTTTTTAAATTTTAAATAAAAATATCCATAAAGTTTCTGATTTAACGCTTATGTTTGCCTCACTAGCCCAACAGAAATATTGAAATAGTTAATGGCAAGCTCAAAAATGGAATGTGAACTAAACTGTTACGAAATACTCTCGGAAAAGCTTCCTCATAAAAAAGAGGTGCAACGTGAAAATCTGAGATATTTACAATAATTGTTCATAAAGGTGAACTTTTTCAGTGAAGATTGAATACCAGAGTTGTCATGGAGTCACTTCAAGACAAAATGAGTCAATCACAAGTCCAGTCTCGAGCAGTGTTGTAATTGGGCTACTCTAGTCAAGTTCAAGTCTCGAGTCACTCTAGTTGAGTCCTTGACCGAATCTCGAGTCACTTTGGTCGAGTCCGAGTCTCTTGCTACTGTGACTCGAGTCGAGTCCGAGTCACAGAAATTGCGAATCGAGACAGACTTGAGTCCGAATCCTGGACTTGAGCCCTACAACACTGGTCTCAAGTAACAAGCTGTTCAAAGGCTTCTCTGTGTCATGGTTGAACCTCTTTCTTGAATCTGACTTGTGAATGACTTGTGATTTCACTTGACAACTACTGAATTCCCACTAGATACCCATCAAGCCCCAAAAGACAAGACAGCACCAAGTTTCTCCAAATTCAGAGTCTCATGCTCGCTGTGCTGACCTGTTTCTTTCTCCTCTTCTTCTTGGTTGATGCCATTGCCAGGGCAGCCCCTCCATCATCTTTCTCCTCCGATGCCTTCTCCTTGTCTCCCTCTTCCTTCTTCCGTTTCTTTTTTTCCGACCACTGCCTGGCTTTCTCGGCCAGCGCCTCTTGGTCCTCTTGATCTGCTGCTGCTGCGGTTGTTGTTGAGGTCGTAGCCTTGCCTGCTGCTTGTTTCTTAGATTCCTCTTGCAGCTTGGCAGTCACTATCAGCTGTTGCTGCACCTGCTGCTGCTGTTGGGAAAGTATAGCCCATACAATTCAACCTGTTAACACTTGCATTACATTGTATTACATTGTAATCATTCCCAAAAGAATTCATAAAACTAGAGTACTCAGGCAATTTTGGGGTGGTACAGAAATAGCACACAGGGCCGGGGGAGGGGGGGGGGGCAGCACAAGCACCAATGGGTAAAACACACTTGACAATAAACCATTTAACAAAACTTGCCAATGGATTCCTTGACCTTTTCTCATTTATATGAAACTTTTAAAGATTTTTCATTTTATTTTTTCAACTTCTTAAACTGAACATCAAATTAAATTTGACTTTTTGTGTATTAACCCTAACCGAACTCAACCCATCAAAGTTCAACAGCAGGTTTTTGTTTAAATCTGTTGGGATAGGTACAGTTCCCCTAAACTGGTGGTCTTTGACACTGGGGTTGGCATACCTCCAGAAACTGAGTCCAACAGTGTGTGGTACAATTTCCCATGTTGGTGTTGGAATTTGCCAGATTGGGTATGGTTCCTAGTAAATTATGCTGGAGAGTTAGGGTTAATAGTTAACAATCAGGTATGCAGTGCAGTGCAGAAAGACGCATGACGGTATTGCAGCAATATTTTACATAAATGATTACCTGCAGCTGTAGTCGTCTGGCTGCCTGAACTTGTTCCTGTGCCACGGCTGCTTTGTCTGTTGGGGTGAAATGTAAAAATAATTTAGCAAGACTACTTTAACTGCATCAGGATGCGAACCTAAGACCGCTAAAAAGCCTCTCATGCAGCATCCAATTTAATCACAAATTTCCGTAATGGAACGAGTATGAGCTTGCCTTAAATACAAAAAACACTTTCACATTGTTAACAGATAGATTGCTAAACTGTTAACCCTCTCTTGTGGAAAGTCAATATTCAGAGCAATGTGTAAAACCATTTCAAACCCAGGTCAGTTTCAGGCAAAGGGATATGAAGTGTTAAAGTAACTGAGTCACACAGAGTCACTGCACACAAAAAACAATAATGGGGAGAGCAGTGAAGCATGACCGAATCTGCCTGCTTGCCCTGAGCTTAACCACGAGGAAAGAATTGTGCAGGGATTTGAAGTATTTTCCATACTCCACAGAAGATTTTCTCAAACTAAATTGAAGTGCGGGTGCTAACTTTCCGGGCGAAAGTGTTTTTGCAAAACTTGAAAGGTTGTGAATTGCAGAAGACTAGGAGCGTTAAAAAAACACCAATTATAGGGACCAATGCAGCTTCTTTTTCAACCCAACCATTCAAAAGGACCATTCGTGTTTTCATTCTTAAGTTTTCATGAAAGAATGCAAGGGATCACAGATTAACATTATTTATTCACATTCTCAAAAATCATCGATTGTCACTAACATTGTTCTCTGTCTGCGATGACACCTGTTCCCTTGACGACAGCCGAAGCCAACATATTGGAACCCACGAGGGCGCCCTGCACCTGGTACTCGGCCTGAGCCGGTAACTGACTACCCGCCGGCTGCACCACATAGGGCTGGTAGACATACTGCTGGGACTCGGTCAGCTTGGTGGGGTCCAGAGTGGGCGTGGCTTGCTGATAGAAGAGGGCGGCACCTGCTGAGGTCTCGGGCGTGGGAGGCTGGGTGCTAGCCGGATCCTCCTGGGAACCGTACTACAAGATAAAACAGAAAGAAATCAGAGCGATTTCTCTTTAACCCTAACCCCTTGAGCACTTTTACTAAAAAGTATCCTGAATCCGCCAAATCCACCAATTTTGTCATATATGCAACAAAAATGTTGGTGTCCTGAGTCTATCAGAATCCACAGTGAGTCCATTAGAATTCACTCTTTAATTTTTTTTTTTTTATGGATAAGTACTGAAACAAAAAAAACACTTGTACCAAAAGGAACCAAAACAAGGATTATAACAAGTGTAGTAATGATAACAATATTACGCATTGTGTGCTGCGCATATAAACCTTGCTAAACCACCTGTTGAGGCCAATAGAGGGTTTACACAATTTAAAATTTGATATAATTTCCTTGTTCAGGTGAATGACAATCAGCAGCGTATCTATACAATTTTTTTAATGTGGAATTATTTAAAACCCTTACTGTTTCAATTCTTTGCTCTACACAACTCACCGCGGGCCATTTTGCCTCTGTAAGCACAGGATTGGTTGTTTTAGACTCCTCAGGAAGGCTTTGCTTGCAGAAGTGAACTGACACTGCAAAAAAACCCAAGAATAGACAATCTTAATCTTTATCTTAAATAGATTGCTGACTGTATGCATAACGGGTCAGATCAGGAAATCAATATAAGCTGCCTATTGTTTGATCAATCACAGACAGTCAAAATTGTTCTTCCACTTCCCTTGCCATGCATTTATATAGAGGCCAGTAAAATAAACAGTCAGATCACAATGTTGTAAACACTGCAACTAGTCAAATTCCATCAACAGACAAGAGAGGTCACTGGTAGGTACAGCTGGCATATCAATCACCTCCAGTCAAAGCATGGCTATATCACATTCACAAGGAATTCAACTGTTAAAAACAGTCATTTAACCTAACCTTCCCAAATCCTCCAAAATCCTCTTCGCAAAGTGGAGGATTTTGCAGGATTGAGGCAGTGGTCACCCCTCCAAGGACTACATTCAAGAAATAATGGAGGATTTTGCAGGATTGAGGCTATATGCAATTTTTACAAAGAGGCAGTTGGAGGATTTAGCAAGATTGAGGTTACATCCTAGCAAAAGTGCTAAGGGACTAAGGGTTAATTGATTTTGACTGCTGTGATGGCGCAGCTGAATTTAGCCAGCCAGAGAGGGAGGGCCTTACCTTGCTTCCCGTCAATTTGAAACGGCGGCTGCATGGACACCAGAATATTCATGAGGTGGGTAGCCGTCTCCATGGTGTCCATCTCAACATAGCAGTAGCCCCGTGAGGTGCGCGTCAGGGTGTCCCGCGCTATGCTGATGTTCATCGTGGCCGAGGAGATGTACTCCAAGACTTTGGTCACCGTTTCTTCCGTCGTCAGCGCGTCCAGGCCCATCAGGATCAATACTTAATTAGACCAAAAACCAAACAAGAATGCATTTCATTTCATGACAAGATATTGATACAGTGGTGCTAATCTCTATTCATTGGCTCTTTGCTTTTGGCTGAGCATTTGAATGCAAACAACAATTGTTCACTGCAAACTTCTACAATATTGAAGATATAGATTCTTTACTTTGCACTGTGATAATAACTTGTGATTTACATGACACTCACCATTTGAGGCCACATCACCTATTTCACTGTAACGCTCCGAGTCTGTGGGTGGAAATAAAAAAGCAGAGTAACCATCATGGCTTGGGGGGGGGGGATTTTACTCTTCAGGATTTCGCACCTGTGAATGAGTTTGGAGCTTGAAGTGTCTTCTGATCCTGAGGAATCCTTTGCATGTATATTATGAAAGGCATACCCGAATGGCATTTGTAACATTTTTGACATGTTGATGGTTGTTTGTTTTCCACTTAATCTTCACATCTGTCATTAAGACATCACCATGGAAGGCCCTTGTGACTTTGCTTAAAACGAAGATATGCATGTATTTATAGGCCTTTCTTTTGTTTGTAAACATTGGCGTCATTTTGTATGGGCTGCTGTAAGCGCATAAATTGAAGTCGTGGTTGGCAACATATTTTTCCAAAAAAGTCCTCATAACGCCATCAACACATGGTAAAAAGACATATGTGGGAATTATTTTGCAGCTTTGTTGAAAATGTTGTATTTTCAAGTATCAAATAATATTTTGGTGATCTGTAATAACTCCTTTTCATTTTTGCAGTGTTGGACCTTCCATAGTTTTGCAGGCTGTGGTTGGTAAAAATGCAGTTTGCCAACCAAGCGCAGAAAAGTCTATATGTGAAGCATTCTGGAAAAATGGTCACGGTGGAGAATGCAAAAAAAACCTTATGTTGGTGTATTTCTTTCGATTTTCAGATTTGTTGATATTTATCATCTTTGATATGTCTACTACACATATATTTTAAAGAATACTATAAAAATTGTGAAATAAAAGTATTTTTAAGGAAAAACATTAGGCATCTTTCATATTCATAAAGCCTACAGAATAGGCGAAACTTTGAAGGCCTTTTTTCAGTATTGTATTTTTCTGACTTTTTTGCGATAAATGCAAACCTTAAATATCTATAACTTGTCAACAGAATGTCCAATTGAAGTGTAACAAACATCACTGTCAGGAGAATTTTATTCTCTTTCCTAATACCTACAAACTCACATTTTGACCTCTGCAAAGTTGTGTCTCATTTTGCCAGAAAAATCTGACAAATGTTGCAAATAGATCTTATTTTTAACAAAGACTCCACACACTGAGAAAAACAATGCAAAGATGTTGACCAAAAGGTAAACCCTAGGACCAAAGTTTCCGTTCAGCCCAAACTGGATGTTTCTTACCCTCTTTGCTGATGCTACACTTGAAGCAATACTCCCGCCGCTTGAAGTTATGCGTACCACACTGAGGTTAAAAATAACAAGCAATGTAGAAATCCTGCTGCACTGATCCAAGGAGTCTGGAAGCCAGACTTCCCTTGGATACTATAAAGGCACCCAGTTTTTTTTTTGAAACTATGTATACTTACAACATGGAGGTAGAATTAGCCTCCATGCTCTCAACAAATGAAATGAAACATGTCACCTCATATGAAAACAGTGATGACACTACAACAACTACCAGGAGAAACATTTTTACTTTCGAAAGGATGAATGACCACATTCTCAATTCCGTCCCACAGATGCTACGATGCCATGCACTTAGTGGCTGTAACTGAGGGGGCTTGTGTAGTGTATGTTTGACTGGAGAACAATTTAGATTATCTGAAAACAGCACTGACAAGTTGCTAGTAAAGAAATACCTGCTCAATGTAACAATGTACAACAGTTGACAAAGAGAGACACCTACTTTGTTTAAAGGTATGATACATCATTGGTAGTGCTGACAATATAGTTTCAGACAGTGTTCATACTTTGTGTGATTCAACATATATATGAAGTATTAAACCTGTGAAAGTTTCAGCTAAATCCATCATCGGAGTCACAAGAAAAATGTGAAAAACCCTTCTGCTTTCAACAGTGATTCTGTATAGGTTCATATGGTGCTTATTTCGATCAGCCACTGATTGAAATAAGCCAGGCAGTTTAGGTCTTCAGATTCAATTTTCTCAAAGGTGACAGCATTTTAGACAGAAATGTTTCACAGGAAGATTGGTACTGGTACCATCTTCATAACTTATCAGCTTTCAAATGAAAACTGAAGACTTTTGTTTTTGGTCATTACCAATGGTGTATCATGCCTTTAACAATCTTAAACAGGTCAACTACCCCAAGGCCAGAAAAATCGCCTCAGACACATTAAGTCCAAGTCCGCAGTGTATTTGGAACAACTGAAGTTGACCCAAACAGAATTTTGTCTTGCACATGTAAACTTTCTATACTAATTTTCCATTTTGAGTCATATCAAACGACTGCAACAGTTGATCTTTTGCATGTAGTTGCTTTGAATTGTTTCAAACTTCGTACAGATTTCTAATCTTTAGATGAATTTAGTTTGGTGCAACTCTGGGATGCCGGTCCGAAATGAGTTTCAGTCTCAAAAATTAGAGTGATGTAGAGCTCCCGACGACTTCTCTATGCAAACATGCAAAGGTCCTACAGGGCCCAATTTCATGGTGCTGCTAAGTACACAATTTTCCAGTAACAGTGCTGCCGACTTTTTTATGGAGACCACAAGCAGGAAGCACACGGCAAAAGGCACGCTCACCTCAAGAGATGCTTTTAAATTAGTGACGTAGTATTAGAAATCTCCTTGTGCGTGCATGAAACAGTGCTTAAGAGTGCAATTTTCTGCTATAGAAAGCACAACTTATCTCCTAACTTTTAACCAGCACCATGAAAGTGGGCCCTGATCTGTTGCCTCTTGTTACTTTCAGCAGCGTTAAAGGGTAAAACCGACAGCGGGGACATACCTGGGAGCAGAACCAGTCTTCTTCCCTGTCCTTATTGGAGCTGTAGACCAGCTGTGTGTCCTGACCGGCCAAGTCAATGTGCCCCTGAAAACAAAACCAACACAGGCACAAAATGAGCGATCCGTAACTACCGTCAACGACATTCACCCTTGGAACATGTGTTTTCACCGGGAAAAATCCATGACTGAACCTTTTGGGGGGAAAAATAGGAGTCTGCATACTCAGGCACTGGTGAGTATCCTTTTTTTTTCCTGGAACCATTTGGTTGAAAAGAATGATGAGGCGATGCAACTATATGAAGGTGCGACGATGTGATTATTTATGCAAAGAATTGCATCCTGCCTCCATCTTATAAGCACAGACGCGTTGAAAATATTGGAATGCTTACTGCATATTTAAAAAAAAAAAAAACTGCAGCATTTCCGGAAAGATAAAAATGAGGAAGCATTATGAAAAAAAACCACCCAAAAACGAACAAAATACGCAATTGCTTCGTCTCGTGTTGTTATCACATCAACATGACCAAATACGATATCTCGTGGCCAAACAAATAACCACATACATACTGCCGGTATCACCCAATCCAAAATGTGATTTGGGAAAGACAAACTATAACCTTTGAAGCTTTCACTATCTACATACTATGTATGATACACAATTTCACAGAACAAACTGTCTGGTCATTATATTCTCTGAAATATGCCTTCCTCAAAAGCATGGTCTACTGAACGCTAATTCCCCACATTTGAATTTAAAAAAAAAAAATTCATATTTTGCTGGATGCTGTGTACATGGAGTGTACATTATTGCTTTTAAAGTGCATCTGCTAATACTTTTTGTAAGAATGAATCAAGACTGAAAACCTAAGTAAATTAAAAAAAGATTGCAAATATAAACTTTAGATTGACTTTCAGCATTTGTAATACATCTTCATTCATGCACCCCCACCCTCCCACAGTAACAACTGATTGCTAGAAATTATGGCAAAGTTGTCACTAGAACCCCATGGCTAGTTTCTTCTAATATAATTACTCCAACTTGAGCAGTATACACAAATTCTCATTCCGAGTTGGTCTTGAGTTAGCTTAATCTCCATCCAGACAGCTTAATTTACACCCAAACTAATTTAAATGTTATAGATAATGTTGTGTTTACCAACTCCTGAAAGAAGTACGATTTCCAAATTTTAATTTTTACATTTCATTTGAGTAAACATTTAGCAGTCAACTTATCTTCAAACTTACATCTTTGGCCAATTTATCACTAGTTAGCACATATGTATAACTTCCCAATTTCATCTTGTCAAGTTCACCATTGATGATGGTTAACGTACAAGTAAATATTACTTCTATCATTCACAGCATTTACAGACTTTTTCAATCTTGATTATGTGCCACATGTGGTCTTTCTATGATAGCTTTTGAAACCATCTTGAGGAATTCCTACCCTCACTGTTACAAATAAAGTCAGCCTAAACTGAAACACCCCCCGACAGCATCTTGCACAATCCAAGCGACCCGTTTACAATTCCTAGCCCAAATTTCCCACTACTTGCCTGGAAGTGAATCTGCTTGATACTCAAAGTACCCAAAAACCACACTGACAAAAAATTCTCCCTTCGTTTAAAAAGGGACCGCAAACCTCAAACTCCGCTTGCACAGCTTGATTGCTTGCACAGCTCACCAGTTCGTAAAGCGCCGTGTACAACGTGTTTGTTCGAACCACTGAGTGGCGATGAGGGTAGGGGCAAAAAGGTAGTCCATCTTGTTTTGTTTTGTTTAGAAGGAGAGAGGCCAAAAGTTTTTTCCTTTCATTTTTGTTTTGTTTTGATGTGTAAAAAAATGGAGCTACAGACATGCAGGAAAATACACGGAACCTGGTTCTCCTCCATCCACCGTTGGGCGTCGGGCAGGAACTGAAACTCCACAAAGGCAAAGCCCCTGGATACACCTAGAGGCGAGGGAGGCACAACAACATTCAGAACAGCAGGGTGTTAAAATGCAACAACACAACAGCGTCTGACTTCAAAAAAATAACCACTCATATTCCCCGATCCAACGCCGATCCAACGGCGAAGATTTCAGCAGGGGTTCACTGGGTTCTGGTTGCCGATTTTTTTTTTTAATGGGTCAAGTTCTTTTGTGATTTCAGTTATTGGCTTGTGTGAACATCATGCCTGTTGAATACTTCATCCAAAGAATAAAATTCTGCTCACAAATTTGGACAGAAATTAATGCCTATCTGACATTATGTCGGAGAAGGTTGGTATTAACAGGCAAAGATGTCAAGGGCAATCATCCATCCACCATTAAAGGGGTTAAAGAACAATTGAGGAACCTCAACTTTTGCTGCTAAAATTAGGAATAAAATAACAATCAAGAAATCCCACAAATCAAAATCCGTTGCCTTTTAAAGCTGTACAGTTTACAATTTAATTTTTCTCCTGTACCTAAGAAAATGACAAACATGGTTCCCCACCCCCTTAAAATTAACGCATGACATTCCATGACAATTTATGAGTTTTCCATAAGTGCATGTTGCTCACCATGACTTTTGTTCATTGTATCCTCTGTACCAAAGATCTGTGTACAATCGAGCAATCTCGTTTCACCATTTTTTGCATGACATTGATCTTGATTCAAACTTTCTCATCACACAAAATTATATTTCTCCATGTTCTCTCATGACAACGGGAACCCTCGAAGTAACTTCACATTTCAACACTTTTTATAACTTACCTCTGTTTATCCCACAGCAAGGCTTAAAATAGAACACCAGTCCGTTCATAATACCATTTTTTTTTAAGTTGGCCATTTCAGTTTTTTTGTGTTTTTTTTTTACAAATGGCCTTCACTACCAAATGAGTACATGCACTATGGGAGACAAATTCTGTTAATACAAATAATAAAAATAAAAATTGAAGAAACAAAAATAGCAATCATCACCAAAAATAAAAAATCATCATCCCTTATTTGGTGAATGGAGGATTTTTCAAGCCACCAACTGAAATCACAGGCGGATCTATTGGATATTGGCAACAACAACCTGGATTTGTGTGGCCTTGAGGGACGGGGAGGGGAAAGTAAACAAATTGTTTAACATGTTCTCACCTGTGTCTCGATGTTTGACCAATCGTACATCTTTGATCGGTGCCCCAAACATCTGCAATACAGTTCGGATCTGGAGAACAAACAAAAAATGAAATTTAGAAGCAAATCTTTAGTCTTGTCACAATATTATTTTGCTCTGATACAATCATTTTACTGTAAATAATAAGTGTTAAACTGCCACTTTTGTTGAACCTGCCTAAAAATGAAGCTCTGCATTAGCCCACCTAGTCTTCTGCACTTCACAACCCTTCAAGTTTTGCTTGTACTATTTTTGCCATAGAGTTAGCACCCACACTTCAAATTCCTTTGAGGTAATCCTTGGCGGAATATGGATAAGTATGCCAATGTTTGAACAGTTATCAGCAAATCACAGAGTTCGAGCCCGGGTCTGGACACTTGTGCCCTAAGGCAAGGCACTAAACCATGATTGCTTCGTCCTTCGGATGGGACGTAAAGCCGTAGGTCCGGTGTGTTGCGTAATGCAATGCATGTAAAAGAACCCAGTGACACTTATCACTAAGAGGAGGGGTTTGCCCCTGTGTTTCTGGCCTCCTGTTAAAACTCCCACGCTGAGTATTTAGGAGAAGAACCAACCAAGAACCAAGGTTGTATCACATTTAAGTTGAGCTCTACTCACGTCATGGTCGGTGATGGAATTATGCAGATTTTTCAGCATGACGGTGCGGCTAGGTTTCTCCTTCTCCTGAGGTCTTCGGTCCCTCCCTTCCCTGTGTCGGTCATCATTGTCCATCCGATCTCCGCGTCTGTCCCCGCCGCTGCGTCTGCCGCTCCGGCGCCTGTCGTCATGGCGATCTCCACCACGTCGCTGCTCACTGTATCTCTCCTCATAGCGCTCGTCGTACCTGTCACTCTGCCTGTCGTCGTATCTGCTGCTGCTGCCACGGTATCTGTCCTCATTCCGCGGGTACCTTTTAGCATCATCGTATCGATCGCCGCTATATCTGTCCTCATCCCTTCGGTCCTCGTACACTTCGCTGCGTTGCTCGCTTCGTCGGTTATTCTGGTACAACTGAATAAAAAAAGCAACAGCAGTTTGGAAAGCTAAATAAGGCTTCCAATTTCTGGGAGAATATGGGGAAATGATTACAATAACATTGATGTCCCTTTTGTTTCAAGAACATCCACCAGATTCTTGTCACTTCTTTTTTAAAAAGAGTTTCACGTATGGCAGTTTAAAAGAACATGCTTTATTATATCGTTGGCACATATTCCCGTCTCTTCTGAGAGTATGCAGTCGCTTTTACTGAGCAGTTCATCTGAATGATCACGAGAGGAAACCTTGTCAGTTTCCATTTGGTGGTTTTCCCCATGACATTATTAGTGGTGTACACTTATGGGTGGTATGGGAACCAGGTACCCTTTTGAAGTAAAACAGGGGTACCCTGGTAACCACAAAAGATACCCAACCCAACCCCAAAATTCAAATCCTGGAGGTTGTCTGACGGGCTTGATAGCTTTACGGTGTAAACTGCACCTTTCGTGAGCGTCATCTGTGGTGTGTTAAAATGCACATAAAGGTGAAATCTGTTTTGGTTTCGGTTTGCATGTAGTCTGGTTTTCATTTTGAAAATTGTCCCCACAAATGGCATTCAAAACCTTTCTTTATCATTGTCTGAGAAGTTACTAAGTAATTTGTAAAGTTGGTTACAGGTACCCGGTCCCGTATCTCTGGAACCGGTTCCTGACATCAGCGGTCGGGTACTCGGGTAATCGGGTACCCAGTTCCGATACACACACCTAGACATTATTTATAAGAAATGAGAGGAACCTGCAACTGGATTCTAACCTCCTGCTCTTGGTAGTTGTTTGTTTCCACATTTGTCTCATAGTTCCCTCTGGGCTGGCCTTGGAGGGCGTTCTCGTTGGCATCATCAAAACGGCTGGGTCTGGATCGGTTACGCCTCCTTTCTCTGCCTTGATTCCTGTCCCAACCAAAGTCTCGTCCTCTGAACATACAACAGATGAAAAATCACGTTCAACTTAGTAAACTTTTAGCGAAACTTTGGTATTGTTAAAAAAAAAAGGGGGGTTTCAATTGTTTTTTTATTGCTCTAAAATCACCTTTACAATCAAAAACAGACTTTTCTCAATTTTCTAATGACACCCTTTTTGCAATTTTGAACAGATTCTTGGTGTGGAAATCACGATTTTTCTGCTCGGTTTGTCCCTTGCGATTCAGCGCGACGCGCGTGCTCACTGTACATCGCGCGGTGATCACCATCTTTATTTTCGAACGGGGGTTGTCGCCGCACTGTCATCGTCATTTTACCCCCAAATTTCCCTCAAAAAATTCAAAACCCTGCCCTTTATCTATGACATACCTGTTTAATGAGAATGTCGCCAACTAGTTTGGTAGGTCCAATAATTTTAAAGTGGATTTTGTTCCCTTATAAGTTAACGGAACCGAGCCCTACCATACACGATCGCCCATTTTTTAAAGGATAGTTGTGTGAATGTTTCTATCCTACTTTTAAATGTTCTTTCCGATTAGTCCTAACATTAAAAAAGTCACATCATTTCGTTCAAAAAGTGCATTTTGTACTGTAGGCAGTGTAGCACAATTGGGGGGTCACACTAAAAAGCGTCAACACAGCGTCAACACATGACAGCAGCGTCAACACACCCACACTTGTTTCACATACCTAGTGTGGACTTTCCTTTCTTTTCGTGTAGTTAAGGAACACCAGTGGAAAAACTCATTTTTCTCAAACTGTGAAAACTCTTACAACCCAATTTTTTTCCAATGATTCCCTTTAGTGTTTCTCTTCATTCTGCTACAGATAAACCTAACCCAAAAATGCCTCTAAACCTGTTTTCCAGAAATGGGGAAACACTGTGTGGACGTGGGCAAGTCCACACTTCGTCGCTGCTACCTACATTATGTGGACGTCTTTTGTTCGGAAGTCCACACTGCGTATGTAAGACAAGCTCACCGTCAACACATCCAAAACACATTCTAAACTGACAAAAAAGGTATACAATTGTAAAGTATAGAATAAAAGAGAATTTCCATTGGATTGAGTTTCCATTTTGTTGTTAAAAATATATACTATTTTCACGCGAAAAAATGTCCTTTAACTTGCACGGCCATTGTCCGCCATCTTGACTTCGCACAAAGCTTGGACTACACCATTTCAAGTAGGGGTGTGTAGGTAATGACATTATCTTGTCAACAACAGAGGTCGCCTTGATAATACCAGTGCACTCTGATCTGTGAGAAACTGAGGTTTATTGTACAACGCTATCACCCTTTAACATAATGGTATGGTCCGCGCTGCCACTGAGGCAACATGGCAGCCAATCTCGGAGCAGCACGGAGAGCCAATTTTCTTGACATGAAAATCGCAATTTTCAGACGTTTAACCTATTGATTTTAAGCCAAAATCTTGTTTCTTTCCATACGGTATGGGTTACAAGTTAATTTTAATGCATTTTGGATGTGTTGACGCTGTGTTGACGCTTGGACTTGGAGTGTGTTGACGCTGTGTTGACTCTTTTTAGTATGACCGCAATTGGGCTGTCCCGGCAGGACACAGTGTCCCTTTAACATGTTTAACTTTTAAGAATGAGCACTCATTTGAAGATTGCATGCTCATTCTTACGAATGCACGCTCATTCTTAAGAATGTTCGCTCACAATCACATGTTCTTAAGATTGCGCAAATTGCAAGAAAGCGCACAACAGCTCCAAGCTTAACCGTTAACCGGCATGGCATACCGGTGACTTTGATTTGAGCAAAAAAATTACGCAGTGGCTATCGTTACAGCAGCCGTAACGCATTTCCCATTTTCTATCGTTACGGTAGTAGGCCTACTGCAACTTTTATAAAAACATGAGAAGAAAAAACAAAATTAGAAAGAACTTAGAATAGGTACATTCACATATTTTTAGATTACATGTGATCAACTTTAAAATAAATTCATTGGATAGAGCTCTCTGAATCGTTGAATTTGACACCTCATTTGTTGGGATTGGGTCAAGCACATCGGAGTTACGACAGGTCAAAGGTCAAAGCCATTGATTACATAATGAAAAACTGTGACTTACTGTGTGTAATTGTATGATTGTGAGTATAACAAGTGATAAGATTAATTAAGAGTACAATCCTAAACAGGAACATTTATCTTAGCCTAGCTCAGTTTGAACTGGTCTTACTGTGTAACTTGACCATTGATCAGGCATGTCCGGTCTAGCGAGAAATTCCCATCAACCATAAGTTCCAACTTTCAAACCCACAACAAGATCAGCAAGACCAAGTTTCCAACAAAAGCTTATTTTTTTTTTAATACGCCCTCCCATCATGACCATGTTTCTTATTGTCAGATTCCCTTTAATTTCTCTCCTTAGCCAATCTTTATGACCAAAAAGTTATCTTTATTAAAACTGGTACATTTTTTTCACAAAATATAATAAATTATTCTAATTTCCTTCCTCCATGATTATCCTGAAAAATCCTATTCCAAATTTGTTTACATAAATATCAACTATACCGAGTACCATCTATGCCTATGTTACAATATGTCATCGCGCAGGTATGGTGGGAACCAGCGTAAGCCGCGCAGCGGCCAAACCAACAATTTGCAGTGGGGCCTAAAATTGAGTATTTCCCGCGGTAGTATAACCATTTTCAATTGCCGTGCGCTAAAATTTGCTACGATGAAAAGTTTCCAACCAAAAGTAACGTGAAAAAAGAGTCAATTCAACTAGTTATAAATATACTTTTGTTCAAGCATGGACTTCTGTAAATACCTTATATTTTGATAAAAGTGCAACAAAATCTCAAAATTTTGACGTATCGCTGACTTTCCAAACCAAAAATCAACTGGGGGAACGTTCAAAATGTTCACTTTCTGACTTCATCTAATTGCCATTTTTAATGTAGTTCCGGTTCATTTTATGAATGGACCGTTTCACATAAGTAGAAGACCATATAAGTTTATAACCCTCCGCAAATACACGATGCGGAATGCGACGGCTGGCGCACTACGCGAGATCGCGGCTCAATTTTTCATTCGCGGTAATTGGTCCAGCGCGCACAGCGCCCTCTATCAGTTGTGACCGTACCTACTTAGAAGGAAAAAAGTGAATTTGAACATTATGAAATTCAGACTTTATTTCCCTTTAAAGAAATAATCCTCCAAAGCCTCAGGTTAGAAAAGGAAAAAAATTCAAGTGCAAAACTGAGATGCGAACCCGCAACCTCGTGGAGCAAAATCCTATCCTCTATCGACTGAGCTTTCGCACTGCTCGCTAAAACGTGGGGAAACAAATTATTATATATCTGCGTGCGTATCAAAAAAGTATCGTAGAGGGCGCTAAACAACGACTGCCGTAACGATAGCCACTTCGAAAAAATTATGACGTGCTATCGAAAAAGAACGTATGGAAAATCTCTTTACAATAGAGTATTACCGATCTCTTCTAATATCTGCTTGATCTACTGCCATCTCGCGTTGTTGAGCTAAGTACTGGTTGATTTCGAGCTCCATATTAGTGCAATTTAACGGCAAATGCCGGCTTTTTTCAAGCTGTTTCTGTGAACGTCACCTCGTCATCGCATCGTCGAAAGAAATTTGCTTTTTGGTCTCTAGTACGCATGCGCATATGAATACAGGTCAACTCGTACGCGAACCAACTCGTACGCGACCAACTCGTACGCGGGTCAATTCGTACGCGAACCGACTCGTACGCGGACCGACTCGTACGCGGACCGACTCGTACGCGGACCAACTCGTACGCGGACCAACTCGTACGCGTGAGTTTAGACGATTGGTTTAGCTCACATGGACAGATGAAATTAGGTTCGGTACGGTAGGTCGGCATAATTTTACCTTTTTCTGAAAGGTTGAGATTTTCAAATTAAATGTAGTTGATTTTTGAATCCGCCAGTGCTACTTACATTCGCGATTTTTTAGAGAAGAATTCTGCGTTTTTTTTTTTTTTACAAGTTCGCTTGATTGATTGGGAAGTTGTCTTCGCGATAACCAGTATGTGTAAAGAATGCATGATTGAATCGCTGTAACCTGTGTATGCCGCGGTACAATTGCTGGTTGGTTAGACAAGTAAAATGACAAGAAAACACCGATATTTGCGAGGTCTATTGTATAAAAAGGAGTTACTATAAAAAAAAAAGGAATATAGCATCACGCATGCTTATACAGTTGTACGGACAGTGTCCGCCAGTTTTTTGCTTGAGTCAGATAGTTTTTTAGTCCTAATTATTATATATCCAAATAATATTTTGTAAAAAAAAGAAAAAATGGGGAGTTGATTTTTATTTTTTGTTAAAATCAGAATTTTATATAATTTCACCGGAAATGCGAGGTTTCTTGGGTCAAATGCGATTTTCTTGGGTCAGAAAATTAATTTTAACAGATCAAATAATTTAATCCTTTAAAACAGTTGATAATTAGACACAAATTAAAGGGGTTTCCTTTTTGAATTTTATGATTTTTTTTCTTTCTGTTCGTTGATCTTTGCAGTATCCCAATAATTTTTCACTCGCACGCCGGCCTGGTTAAGGAATAGTTTGTTTAGCCCCGGCCGCCTCTGTTTTGACAAGCATTTGGTTAGCGGGCTATACCGCTAATTTCGAACCCTGATGTGTTATGTGTTATACCTCCATGGTTATTACCAAGCATTTCAGTTGTAAATAGAAATTGCTAGGCCTACGGATGTCCCCGCGTGTCTGCTTTTTAATTGATCAATGGTTGTGCAGGCGCGGATCCAGGATTTCTTTAGACGGGGGGCACACCTTTAGAGGACTTATTTGCTCCGAGGACTAATGCGAGCGCGAAGCGGGAAGCCCTTACGGCGTGGGGTCCGGGGCCCGCTTAAGGGCCCCGGAAAATTTTGGATTCTAAATGCCCTGTGGTGCAATCTGAGGCGACTCCTTGCCCCTTTCCCCCTGAATTATTTGAGCAAAAGTTGTTAAGCTTATGAGGATCCTTTTTTTTTAAATATACTTTTATGTTTTTACAAATTTTAAGCTACTGTGTACTTCAAAATTTGTAAAAACCATGTATTTTCGTCTTCGCGGAGCAGTGTCTTACGGCGTGGGGTTCGGGGCGCGGGCCTACTCAAGGGCCCCGTGAAATTTTTGATTCTATAGATGCTCTGTGGTGCAATCTAAAGCGATTTCTGGCCCCATTTCAGCAAAATGTTGTGAAGATTGTTAGGATTTTTTTTTCATTATCGCTTCGGTTTGCGGTAACACCATGTGTTTCTTTATTTTGTGTTCATTGGTTTAAAACTGTACTCTTGTATTTCTTCTGTTCTTCACTGTCTTGATAACCAGGTATTTTCGACGGCATTATCAATTTCTTGCAATTTGTTTTGTAAAAAGAATTGGATAGGCTTAGTTTGTAGGGAGATCTGGCCCGAGGACTAATAATGCGGAGCGTGAATGTATTTCGGCGTGGGGTGCGGGGCCCGCTTAAGGGCCCCGGGAAATTGTTGATAATTAGATGCTCTGTGGTGAAATCTGAGGCGATTCCTGGCCCCTCTTTCCCGGAGTTATGTGAGCAAAATGTTTTAAGTTAAATAAGCATTTTTTTCATTGGTTTAATGTATACTCTTGCTTTAACAAGCGTTTTAAGTTTCTTCGTTTTTCACTTGATAACCATTTTCGTCTGCATGTTTTCGTGCATTTTATTTTTGAAACGGAATTGTATAGACTTAGTTTGTAAACTTTTGCAAGGATGCTTTCTAATGTTTTGTATAAAGTTTAAATTTTCAGTTTATCAACAAGATAAGATTTTCTACGGAAATTTTATACGGAAGCGGACATGTTTTGGACTCGATCCTTGAAAGCGCGTGGAAGAAAATTTATGCTGGCCCCCATGACCAATAGTGTGGTCCAAAGAGTACACTATAACGGCCGTCACACGTACAGTAACACGTGCGTGTTTTTCGTACGGGTACATACGCTCAGAATCGCATTTCATAAACCGATGTACTATACAGGGTTACGTATAGAGTACGTGGGATCGCGGTTTATTTCGAAGCTTCTCGAGTTCCCTGTTTCATACGGCCACACAATGTTTGCAGGCCGCTGATGTTTAATATCGGCGCCGGTATTTTTGTTAGAAGGTTGCCCTCCTCCTTCCCTCCATTTCTCTCACCTCCCCCTCTTTTTCCCCCTGTTCTTAATTTTTTTTTTTGTGGACTCAATTTGACGGGGGGCACGTGCCCCCGCGGCCCACCCCTGGATCCGCGCCTGTTGTGAACCACAATGAAAGTTGAGTGACAGGCAGTTGACAAGTCTGATCGATCTCTTTTGATCTTCTAAACCCGCCGGTTCTTTTAGGACACCGAACCGCGAGAACAGATCCATGGTAGTCCAGAGCGTTGCAATTGGGTCAGTTTGACAATGGTGACAATTAATTGACTGACAGGTACATTGATTAAAAAAACACGAAAAATGCAACTGGTACATCGTTGCATTAATATATGGAATTAAATTTGACGTGACAAGGCTACAGGTATGCACACGATACAACACTCGTCTAACTACAAAAATCAGTTACTTTACTCATCATTCACGGGTTCACTCCCAATCACACACAACGGTCACACATTGAACTACGGACTACCCGTCACACTATTCCCAAATTCTTCCCAACCATGCCAACCCAATCTTCGAAACCACTCCTAAAACGGCCCGCGTACGAGTTGGTTCGCGTACGAGTTGGTTCGCGTACGAGTTGGCTCGCGTACGAGTTGGCTCGCGTACGAGTTGGCACGCGTACGAGTTGGTTCGCGTACGAGTTGTCTCGCATACGAGTTGACCAATCCGCGTACGAGTTGACTCGCGTACGAGTTTGTTCGCGTACGAGTTGACCTGTTTCCGCGCATATTACTTATAAGTCACAAGCCCTGGATTCTCTAAGTGCAAATGCATTGCCCTAGATCGTTTGAGCTTACACTACTGACTAAAATTATCCTCGTCCAGAGCTTCATAACATACACGAAATACAAGAAGCCCTGGACGCGTATGACAAAGCTGTGAAATTAAATCTTGGGGTCGTACAGTCATGACAGTATGAGATCAAGGTGATAATACCCGTGTGTGCTGATTTGATGTGATGCCTGGCATGCTGGCATAAACTTCTAAAAAGTTGTTTATTGTTGTAATACTTGTATTTGCGAAGTAAACCCGTTTCAGTAACTCAAAACATGGTCAAAATAAGCAATTTGAACAATTCTTATTACTATTAGAGCTTGACTGAATTAAAATGATCAGAAATAAATTTAAAAGTGCATCGATTTTGCTGATGATCGATTGATGGCCTACCCATGGAGGAATAAGAACACATTATTCCTCTTATTCCTCCATGGCCTACCCTACGGCTACGCGCGCTATGCCTATGGAGTCAGCATGGGAGGGGCGGGGCTTAGGAATAGGTTTTTTTTAAATCTTGCCATAATCGTTACTGTACTAATTATATTGATATATTTTAATTTAGATGTGCATTTGGCAGTACATTTTCTATCTGAAGAATTTACCTGAAGGCCACAAACTGGGCCTCTCCTTCCCACTCCGCCCCCCCCCCCCCCATGCCATGGCCCAAGTTTCCTAGCATAAGCAAGTGTTGGCTACCCTACCGTGGGATTGTCCCTGCACTTTAAGGGTTCAGCTTTATTTGCTATTTTATACCCTATTTAGGTTGATGCAATGGATGATGAGACAGGGAAAAAAGATGTTGCCATAGCAACACTGGATGAGCATCATCAAGAAAAGAAAGAAACAGGATGGGACCGAATCAAACAGGCTTATACAGCAGAGTGAGTTGGAAATTCTGTTTTTGTTTTGTGGAATTCGTGAAACTGTACTTTTTGGGGCATATTGCATGTTTTAAATAAGTTTATTTTTGGTCGATCGTAAATTAATAGAAAAGAATTATAAAGAGCAAAAACCTGAAGACCTGGGAATCCTCGGTGATCGTGAAGTGTAGGGCCCGGTTAAGGGCCCTATAAGGGAACAAAATCCACTTTAAAATGATTGGACCTACCAAACTAGTTGTGGACATTCTCAATAAACAGTTTTGTCATAGATAGAGGGCAGGGTTTTGATCTTTTGAGGGACATTTAGGGGTAAAATGACGATGACAGCACGGCGAAAACACGCCAAGAATCTGTTCAAAATTGCAAAACGGGTGTCATTAGAATTGAAAAAAGTCTGCTTTTGATTGTAAAGGTGATTTTTGAGCAATAAAAAACATTTTTGACTCTAATTTGATCAAAATAAAACAGGGGCCCTACACTTCGCGACCGCCGAATCCTCATCATTCACAACTCAATCAAAGTTTCATCCCAATGTGCTGCATCAGGTAGCAAAGAAAGCGAATCGAGTCCTAGGAATGATAAGGAACTTGGCATACAGAAGCTGAAACGGCATAACCAAACTATACAAATCCGTAGTACGGCCATATCTGGACTATTGCATACAAGTTTGGAAACCTCACATGGTTAAAGACAAAGTTGTACTTGAGAAGGTCCACGCCTAAGCTACCAAATTGATCCCAAAACCTGCAGCACTTGCCATATGAAGAATGAATAGCCAGCCTCAATCCAATATTAACTTTGGAAGACAGAAGGAGAAGGGGTGACCTCATCGAAGCATTCAGAATAATAAACCAAATAGAGAAAATCAATCCAGACACCATGGTCAAGAAGGCCGACTACAAAGGAAAGAACCAGAGGGCACCCTCAGAAATTCGCAAAAACCAGACCAAATCTCAACATAAGAAAATACTTCTTCAGTCAGCCAGTCCTTGACCACCGGGGAAAGAATTCTATACACGGTCTCCACTCATGATCAGACCTCCTGCACAAAGTCTATGGGCCATGACAGAAAAAGTTAAAGTATTATCAAAGAATTTTCGCACTCCTAAAATAGTGTTTCTTCATCAGATTTACAACTTTTGTTACTTTTCAGGTCATATTATAGAATATGAGTGGAGGCCGTGTATAGAATTCTTTCTACAATGGGATCAATAGCCTATCAGAGAGCGCTGTATTTGCACCCAATCCCTAAGTTTTAAAATCCAACTAAGAACACACATAGGCTAATAATGGGGCAAAAATGGACCCCCCCCCCAACCCTGCCACACATGCTGAGGACAGAAGTGTGGCACTTCAATTAATTCAAGGAAATTCTTCATGTATTTGTGTTCTGTTGTGTACATTCTTCAACAGCCCAGAAACTCATGAGATCCCGCGGGAGTTGTACGAGCTGATCCTGATGACAACGATGGGTATGCTGATGGGATATGCCTACGGTGGTGTCCCGGCATCCAGACATGCCAGAGATCGCTACATACAGAAAAGCGGGGCCGCAATATACAGCAGCCGTCTCGAAGCTACGGTAAAATTCATTGATACATAGAATTTTCTTAATTTTCTTGGGAGTGAGACAAGAAAGTGAGACATTTTTCTTGAATTTTCTTGTCTCACTCCCAAGAAAATAAGAAAATTCTAGAAAATAAGAAAATGTTTTTTGCAGTGTGGTTGTTAAATAAGAACGCTGTCTCTTTGTTTTGGTCACTCCAACAATGAACACGGTCTGCAAATAGACAAACAGAAATGTAATATGATTAAGAAAGGTTGGTAATCCTCTATCTCCCCCCAAGTCTTTGGCACAAAACGTTCCTATGTGTCCTTTGGTGTGACAAAGACTGAGAACATGAATAAAGAACATTATTAACGATTAATCTAGACTAAACTGTAACACCAAAAACCAGAAACGTAAGGGTAAAGTATGATCCAATTAATAGGATCACATATCATAGTCAGAGTGCCAGGCAGGCTTGTTAGTACTGCGACCGGACCGCCTGGGTGCAGCAGCTGGGGTGTCAACTGCGGGAGGGGTAGCGGGCTTGGTACCAATGACCTGGGGAGGCAACATCGAAGGTACTGGGCCGCTGGGCCTGCTGGCTTGTGACGACTCATCCATAGGTGGGGGCGGAGCATCAACAAGGGGCCGACGTTCTTGACTCGGAGGGTCCTGGGTCATTCTGGGCGATGTGCCAGGGTCTGTAGCATGTGCCAAGGGCAACGAGAGTCGCTGTGGAATGGCGCCAGTTGCGGTGGGGGAGTGTGTCGACTTGGTGTGGTTTTTCCAAGTCATTGACAGTAACTAACTCGTCAAATGCACACCCATTGGGGTGTTGTACTGGATCAGAGATGGTACATAAGGCATCAAAGACAGCACCTTCACGGTCATCAGGAGGGGCGGGTGTCGAATGTTTTGGTTTGGCCTTACTGCAGCACACACTCTCCATGTGGTGGTGTTTATCACAATGCCCACACCTGTGGCCATATGCTGCACATTCGGTTTTACGAGCGCGGGCCGGGGCGTTCTTCCCATGTCCTTTCTTACCACAGTAGGAGCATGGGTCATGTTTCTCCTTGAGGTTCACTTGCTTGGCTTTTTTGTACGTGCTGCTGGTCGCATCCACTGAGTGTGAGTCTAGTAGTGATGATGCAGACCGTTTGCCTGCCTCTTTAGCTTCAATGAATTGGAAGACTTCCTCCAGGGTCATGTCTTGGTTCTTATCGCCAAGGAGATCAAGCTGGATTTCAGGGTCTGCGATGCCTCGGGTGAGTACATCCCGTAGGATTGCTTCTGTGTAGTTAACGTCAATGTCACAGCCAGGGCATTTTATTAGGAACTTGCAAATTCCTGCTTGACCACGTAGGCGAGCTCCGAAGCTGCGCACTGTTTCATCACGATCCTGACGCATATTGTGAAGTGTCACTCTGGCAACCATAGTGTTCTCTTCACGCACAGCAAGTTTTTTTATGGCAGCCAGTACCTCAGTTTCAGATTTGTTGGTGAGGCTACCACCCGCGGATCTTGTGAGGTCCTTGCGCAAGGGTTCATCACAGCATTCAAGTAGTTGTACTACTTTGTCCTTGCCGGCTATCTTGGTGGCATCGACGTAATCTGACCACCGTGACTTGAAATAAGCACCGTGACTTGAAACACTGGAGCCAGCAGCGGCAATCAATGGCCTTTTGACCTTCTCAACCTTGGCAGCATGTCCAGAGGTGTGTACAGCGCTGTGGGCAGTGAGGAGTGCAGCTACGATAGCGGCATCGAGATCCTGAGTGGCGTAGTCACAGCCGGGGATGGGGCATGATACAACAGGCATTGTTGTGTCTTAGGGCTTCCGTGTTCATAAATAAGAACGCTGTCTCTTTGTTTTGGTCACTTCAACAATGAACACGGTCTGCAAATAGACAAACAGAAATGTAATATGATTAAGAAAAGTTGGTAATCCTCTAGTTGTCAGAAAATATTCTTGGAAGTTTCTGATCATGGGAAGTTCCAAAAAGGGGCAGAGATGGCTCATCTTACACTAGTCTTATACGGATGAATTTTTGGCCAGAGAGACATTTTCCAGATATTCTATTCATTCAACTTTTCAACTGTGAGTTATGCCCAAGTGTAATATGATATCTCAAAATTGACTGTTCTTGCATTTTTTGTTCAAGCAGTGGTTGTGTCTGTTACATTATCACCCTCTGTTAAACCATGTTCCAAGTCCTTAACACAATTATCTTTACATTAAATAAGGCAATAAATGTGTGCTTGGCCAGTTTTAAACACTCTGTTTAAGACCGGTTGGAGTCTGGATGCAGATTGGGTAAGTATCAGCATCCAGACTCGAACAAGTCTTAAACAGAATAATTTTCGGTAAAAAAAACAAAAATCTAAACTTTTCAGTCCAAAAGTCAAAACAAGTCAAAAATAATACATTTGCAATGATGTTTTTCGAAACACAACTGTAGGTATATTGTGGTAGTGTCCATGTTGCATTGCGCGTAATGCGCGATGTCGTGCAGAACGCAGCTGTGCCGGTGCAGTGTGCATTTAGGACTATGAAATACTGACTCAATGGTAGTATTGCGCATGCCTACATGTGAACGTTCAACCCATAAAACGGTGTTTAAGACTTGCCAGCCATGTCTTTATCATCTGTTTAAACCGGCTACGTGATTGTCTCTTGACCAACAAGAATGGATAAACTGTTTCAGGTATTTATGAATTCAAATTAATGTATTAGCACTGTGCGACCCTTTTTATTTCTCAAGGGTTACTCGATTTATTTACATCTTTCTCTCTTTTATTAACAGGGTGCATCTTACAATGCGGGAGTAAGAGGCTTCATACGCTATGGGTATCGTTGGGGATGGAGGATAGCATTCTTGGCTGCTGGTTTCCAGTGAGTACTGCTCATTTTCATTGAGAGACAGGATAAAAGTTCAGCCCAATAATATCATTTCTAACAGGAAAAGACTTGTAAGATATTGCAACAAAGACCACATCTTACAGCCAAAGCATGCCCTGCCAACTTTGAAGCCGCATTTCCATATGCATTTTCAGTCCATGTTGTGTTTCTGATGAGTAGTTGAGCCTACAGTTTTGAATAGTATACAGATATTGAGTGGCTCAGAGTGAAATGGGAGGAATATTATCGCAAGGTAAAATCTGGACTTTTTCCATTTCACGAGGTGAAGTCGAGTGAACTGGAAAAGTCCAGATTTTACCGAGCGATAATATTCCTCCCATTTCACAATTTAAAGCCACTCAGTATTTGTATTATATATTGACATATAGATCCTTGTCATTTGATATATTTGAACTTTTATTTCAATACAATTTGGTGGAAAATGTATTTCTTTTCCAAAGCACCCCTTTACGAAAATATTTGAACCCAACTCTGTAGCGCTGGCTCTTTGGAACATTACGCGCTACGCGCAACGCTGAACGCGCACGCCAGCATGCATTTGCACACAAATACCGTGTCATGGAACAAGAATGATCCTAACTGTTCAATAGTATTTGCCATTCCCCATGGGCGAATAGGACTTTTTCAGCCCTGGCGTGAATGGGAGCAATAACGAATGTCACGTGATGTGAGTTCCACAAATCAAATGACAAGGATTTGCATGTCTCTTATATAATCCCAAATATGCAATGGACACACGAAATAGACTGAGAACATGCAAACTGAAAGGTGGCTTTAACAGTAACCTTTTCAAGAATCAGGATGCCTTTGGGTCATTCTATAAATTTGGGGTCCACTTTTTTTCCCGTCCCTGTTACATCTGACATCTATGATTGTATAATTCTGATGCACTCCTTAATGCAGTCATCCTCAAAGAGTGATTATGAATAGCAAACTACCTACCCAACAAATAAACAATCATTTGAAGTCATTCTTAATGATGCTTGAATGGCAAATTACAAAGTACCAAGGTAACAGGGACGGGAAAAATGTCACACTTTGGACCCCAAATTTATAGAATGACCCCTTTATCATTCCAGGGCACAGCTAGAGATTGTAATGAATTCACTATTTAAGAAATTCTAACAAAGAAACAAGAGCTGTAAAATAGAGCGCATAATAGTCAGACTTGCTTTAATTTGAACCCAACACTAGCAGATCCTTTAAAATCCAGCAAGTTTTGGAGGATTTTGTTAGATTGAGCCAGTTAAGCCACTTTTTGAGCTTATAAGTGCAAAGAATTTGCCATTGAATTACACTGCACAGCAGTTGATTTTGGAGGATTGAGGAAGGTTTCCAGAAAGAATTCCTGTGAAGTTTAGGATTGATACTCTGGAAATTGTTCCCTGCCCACTTGACTTCACTTGACTTGTCACTTTTCATTGCTTTAACTTATCCATTTATCCATGGTAATAAAACTAATGTGTGGTGCTTAAATAGCGCTTTCTACCAGATCTGAGATCAGCGCAATCTGGTCTGTACGGTACAGGTACCCATTTATACTTTGGGTGCATGGAGAGAGGCAACAGTAGTAAAGTGTCTTGCCAAAGAACACGAGCATCATGTTGTCTGAGTCAAACCCACGTACCATCGCACATAGGTCAAACACCGTAACCAGTGGACTACAGTTCTCCACATTGACACATTTTCCAATGCACCTCGTTCCATGTGTCATCTTACGTGAACTTGCTGTTTTCTTTATGTTTTCTCCGTAGAGGAATTAGCACGTGTATGTCATTGTACAGAGACAAACAGGACATCACAAACTACGTCAGTGCAGCAAGTAAGCCACAATCATGATAACGAATTTGGACTTTCCTCGCCTTTCACATCTCAACTTCCATTACTTCAACCTGGATTTTATACCAATCAGAAACTCCTGAGATGTGTTTTAAGAAGTCTGTGCTCTTCCACAATTCTGGGGTTTTCCCCCTGCAAATGTTCTTTTTGTTCTGATGACTGAACTATTTTATTTTCGTATTGGACATCTGCAATCCTCTGAATAAAAGGTCAAGTTTTGTTTGCAGTTGTATTGTGCAAGAACAGATTGGCCATGCGAGTAGACTTGTTGAGATTGGCCCTGTGAGTAGACTGGTTTTCCGGTTCCCACATTGTCAATACTCATTGGGAGACGGGAACCAATCCCCCCAAGAACTGAAATATTGTCAGGCTGGAAATATGTTGAAATTTGTGACGTTTTATTCCAAAACTAAACGTGGACCCATTCATTTGTTCAATGTCTCATGTCTCTTGAATAACTTTTGTATGGCTAGAAAAAATTGCAATTAAAAAAAAAAAGATTTAAACTTGAAACTAGCTCGGAAACTATCTTAACCAGTTCGTGTCGGATGACGTGTATACACGCAAAAGTTTTGCGGTATTCAGAATGGATGAGGGACAAACTAGCTGTGACCGAGTCTGGAAATATCTGTCTGCGACCCGCTCGCAGCAAATGAGGCTGGAAATATCAGGGTGTGCTACCTGCAGACGACAGCCTGAATCCGTCTGGCATCGAGGTTTGTGAAAAAAATCCCACGCCTGGGTCTGGTCAATGTCAAAATAATCCCAGCGCGAACTGGTTAGTTGACAATCCAATCCCATTGTCTGATGTATTTTCTTTTTATTTCTTATTCCCTGCCACCCTCCTTGTCTCTCTGTGTCTACCACCCTGTCTGCCTCTCTGATTGTCACCCTCAGTGGTGACAGGTTCGTTGTACAGATTCAACCTTGGGCTGAGGGGGCTTGTTGGGGGAGCGTTTGCGGGTGCTGTTGTGGGGTGAGTAGAACAGATGTTTGACAGGATAAGTTCATATCCTTGCTAGCAATGCTCTTCAGTAGTAAAACCTTAGAAGTGAAACAAGCAGGAATGTAGTCAAGTCAATCTGAAGTCCCTGCAAGTTCCTCACAAGTCCTCCAGTCCCAATTCAACTCACAAGCTACTCAAATGAGTTTTGGCAAAGGCATTCCATTGTTATTGGTCATCCACTGTTACTTGTGACTGGACATGTGAATGGACTTGCCTACATCCTTGGAAACAAGTTTTGTTTTTATGGTCAGTAAGTACTAGTTCGTCTTTTAGATTTTTGCAAAATGTGTCCATTAGGCCAAAAAAATAAGTCTCCGGTTTCTGGTATGGAGCTTGCCCAAAAAGTGGTGCGGCGACGCGGCTTTTTCATACCGGATTTTTTTTGGCTTCAAATGTCGGCTGATGACTGCAAATGGTGCCCGACTAAACTTAGTGCAAATATATGGGAGTCCAGAGAGGCCACATAAAGCTTATTCTCGACCATAACCCAATCTAAAAACACGTTAAAATTGTGCAGCAGCAGGATTCCAGTCAAACCAGTGAGTTTGGCGGTTTTGAGACATCATCTTTCATTGAAAAAAAAAACTTTTTCATTTTGCCGACGCGCATGGCTACAGCGACGCGGGCGCGCATACCAGAAACCGGAGACTTTTTTTTTTTGGCCTTACCAATACTCTTCCTGTCTATTGCAGTATTCCAGCTGGGCTGATATTAATGGGGGCCCAGAAACTGCAGGGAGAAACCACATTGGAGAAGAATAAACGAGTACGCCAGGAAAAAGCAATCGCCAGAGATAAAGAATTGTAAGTCAATTAATTTTCTGTGGGGGGAGACTATAGGTTCCCCTAAAATGTGTTTCTCATACAGCCCCCTCCCCTCTGCCCCCACCCCTCCCCAACCCCTCCCCCACAAAAAATAAGATTTGTAAAGCAGTCATTTGGTACTTCAAGCAATCAACCCATAAACTACCCATCCTTCAACCCCAAAAAGGACTTTCGTAAGACATCAAATCAATCCAAAACTGATGCTCAAAATAAGCTACTTTGAAAAAAAAAATGAGTCAGATTTACAAGTTATTGCTAAAAGACTTTTAGTAATGTTTGTTTGCCCTTTTCCGTGCTTTTTTCCTCAATACCTGAGACTCTTTGTTTCCTCAGGTTACTAAGGAGAGATGTGACTCCTTTGATGATGGAGTACATGGAGGAGAACATGAATCCGAGAAGTGACTCTGAGAAAAATGAGACGGCTTCAAGTTGATGCTGATTTGTGGTTGACTCTTCTGTTCCATCTAATGTTGCATTCCCCGATGCATCAAAGCCCTCGGACCAGTATTCATCTAGCCTATGCATAAAACAGCATGCGTTTCAGTTCCACATACAAGCCGAAATGTCAACAATGGAGAACTTTGACTCTGTACACAAGAACACCCAATGATAAAAATGACGAGTGCGATAATGAGCAACTGAGCGTCACTGTCGCTGTAGGACCATTCTCATGTGCATTTGTCTCACGTGAAGACACCGTGGATTTGTTCACAGCAAAGTTGAAACTGTTTGCCATACTATGCTCAATCCGTGCATGAATACGATGTGTTCTTCACCGCCTCGCATCAGTAGTCCATGCTGCACCATCTACAGTTCCCATACGGAGGCCTTTTTATACCCTGGCTTATTTGGTGTTTCAGTTGGCTTTGAAATATGTGACTTAAAGGCACATAGGGTCATTTGCATTAAAGGGAAGATACAACATTTGCAAACATCAAAAAAACGAAATGATCAAATTATCACGAAATACCTTTCTGGATTGTTAGGAAAGACGGTCTAAAGCATCCTGTAACATCGTGGCTCCTGGTGTGCTGACATTTTCAAGAAAACTTGTATTTTTCCAACGCTGGTCGGCCGACCAGCGTTGGACAAAACTGGCTAATTTTCAAAAACTGCTCCTAATTTTTCATATTTAGTTATTCCGCATTTTCTTTGCAATTGATTACACACTTGTGAACGGGTACAAGCCTGCCAGACATGTTCTCTGACCTTACAATCCCCCAAAGTCTACAACTTGCTCATTTCAACTTAAGTGGGGTCAGGGAACCAGACTACAAGAACATGATTGGTTTTCTTAGTTTTTCCATCATCTACAGTCCCAAAACGTGAAACAAGTCGGTGTAACAATATTTGCTATAACATACTTATCCTCCAAATCCATTTATTTCTGAATATTGCAGCAAAAGCAAATGTTGTACATTCCCTTTAAGTAACCTACCAAATTTTCATCCTAAAGCTTACTTGGATTAAAGATCGTACTGGTACTAAACACCCCGTGAAATTATTCCATCTGGCTTGCTGTCATGTAGAAGAAATCAGGAAATGTAGGCGACCTCCAACGATCAGTCAATGGACTGATTTTGGGAATAAAATGTGTTGATGAAATAGTGTTTTGTGATCAGAGGGTTGTGCGTGGTTTTTCAGAGTTTTCTCGACAAGTGTAATATCCACTGAGCCGAGAGTTCAACAGGTTAGATTTTTTAACGTTCTTCTTCAGATTTTGAGTGGTGGTATTATTGGAAATAAACAAAATGCATGAAAAGCAAAGGAACCTATATGCTGTTTGTATTGTGTTATGTGGGGTTGTAAGGATTTATTACTGAATACTGAACGCATCGGAATATTGTTGGTTTTTTTATGGCAGATTGAAATAATAGCAGTTGTCATATTAGACAAGGTATGTTCCAAATGAAGACAGTCTGGTCCCAACATACAGCAGTATGGCAATGAAATGTGAAACTGTTTGAATCAAAAATACAATAAAATTAGCCAAGTTGCACCAAACATTTTTTTTATCAGTATGTATACCGTGTATTTATTTCATTTCAATTGAATGTATACAGGGCTCTATAGAAAAATTCAAATCATGATAAAAAAATATTTCCCAACATAAGTTCATCAAACAGTAGAACTGTAAAGCCATTATCAGATCGTAGGATTTCAAAACATGTTCTTTTGCTTAACACAGCTAAATTTAAGCATGGGTGAAAAACATGGAATTGTGACCGTGGGAGGGGTGGGGTGATCCAAACTACCTGTAGGCTATTAACATAGCAAATCAATTTTTGTCGGTAATAACTTGCCAAAAGCTAATACAATAAATACCATTTTTTAGTTTTCAAAGACTACACCTTTAAGTGGCTATACCAAAGTAGTAGATTTGCTATTTGAAAACCTGTCCATCCACTCCAAGGCTAATACATGTATAGGACAAACACCTGGACCTATATCTTTGTCCCAAATAGACTTGGAGGCTTACAATATTGTTGTGAGATTTTCCATTCATTTCTTACAATACCCCAAACCATTCCTCTCAGACTCCATGGCTTTATATTATGAGCCTGCCATGTGCAGTCCTGTACAATGAAAACACTCAAAAAGCCACCGTGGTGATATTACCAATAAACGGGCTACTTCTAACGGTATTTTGGATTGAATCAAAGCATTTACAGAGATGATACAAATTCTTCTGTTTGGGCAAATTTGCAAAAATTCATACAAAAGTCCTGTGCATATGCTGTGATAATATTAAGGAAAGGCATATGGTTAGGAAAGTATTAAATTATCCAATAACATTATGTATTAACTGTTAACATGTAAAACTAAAGATACAGCGAAAAAAAATCAACCCTTTCCCAAAATTTCAAGAGCAGTAAACATTTAACTCAAAATAACTATTACCCGACATACACTTACGTATGTATTATAATATAAAGAATTATATAAAAAAAATAGTCAGTCTCTGGTCAGCAAGCACGTTGATTTGATCATGCGTGTCAATGTTTTGTTTTTGATTTTTTTCAAATTTTCCGCGGTAGCTACAACAGCGCCCTCTATTGCCGCACCGCCTCAAATTTTCGTGGGCAGCTCGACTCCAAATGATGGAGGGCACCAAGGCAAATGATGGAGGACACCAAGGTATATGAGGACACAAAAAAGCAAAACAGTACCAACCTTGTCTGCACATTTCAAGCTTAGGGAAAAAAAACCCCAGCATCGCTGCATTAATTCTGGAACTTTGGTCTGACCAGAGACCAACTAATTTTTAATTGCCTTACTTCTTTCAATTTTTTAACTTGCTAGATTAAAACTGCAAAAATATATATTTTTTGCAAATCATTTACAAAGACCTTGATCCATTCTAATATAAATCAATTCAGTGCCAAAAGCATTGATTTGATAATTGTACGTTCCCACTCACAGTTTGAACAAGGAATGATTCTGCCTCACACCAATTAAATCATGCTAATGATTATTAAATCCTTCCCTACCTTCTCCACAATGAGCTGAAAATTGTCTTCAAACAAAAATGGAAGGAGATTCAATATTGAAAACCAAATACCAAATTCTCCTTTTCACTCAGCTACAGCTTCTCTATACTTCAGTACAGACTAATCCAAGAAACGCTATCAATTCTATCATGAAGGCCCCCTTCAATGGCGTAAGCATTGTGCTAGCTATTGTTCAGATTATCCGTCACGGAACAGTTGCTTTGTGCAATAGCGCGTACAATGGATTCTCCATTGATGGGGGCCTCACGGTGATCACATGCCTGGATTTGTCTATACGCGCAATCAATTTTAACATTTAAGTAAATCCAAGTGACTCATAGATTAAGTAAGGAATATCTGCACACACAAGCAACTGTATTTTGTGACAACCATTGTCAAATTATGTTGACATGAACTAATTTACCAATGCCCAAATGTACATGTACGATGAGTTAAAAAAATCGACCATTCATGAATAGTCATATGAAGTGTAACTGCTCAATGTAATTGTAAATTTGATGTCTCTCAACTAAAACTTTAACTAAACCATCAATTTTATCTTTGAGCAGGTACAAATAGGTTCAGATCATATGACGTCATTTTACCATGTGACCATCCGTGATTGGCCAACATTGCAGTAGGCAAGCGTTTGGTTAGCCACCACGTGCATTGTAAACTAGACAGTAGGGCTTTTTTTCACATAAATCACCGTGAATTCTGTGTAAAATGGCATAATGGTCACTTCCTGCCGTGTACGGTTGTCATAATCGTGACGACCAGCAAACGGTGTTGGCAGCACGTTTTTCTCACAGTTTTTGCCATCAATCACAGCATTGAAGGCCTGCCTACTACCTACTGCACACGGTGCTATACGATCTTTGCCTACTACAATGGCGACGCTGACTTTCCGGTACCTGGATGTAGGCCGGGTCACGCAGGTCAGTAAGGGAGCCCCATAGGCATCAAGAACTATAAAACCCAACAATATCTTGGAAGCCAAAATGTTGACAATTTTTTAAAAAACCCACCAAATTGGAATATTTGAATCAAATTAATAGGCCAATGATAACATTTGATGACAAGTTCTTAAAACAATCAAACTGGATCATGGACTGAGGGAGATTGTGGACAATGGAATTCTTTCAACATTCAACCCATGATTGGTGCAGAGGTCATAAAGTAATCACAAGTCATCACAGAGTCATCAAAAATAAATCCAGTCTCAAGTCCAGTGACAAAGTATTCAAATGAAATATGGCAAAAACACTTTTTGTCATTTGTCAACCCCTTGTTGACCGACTGACTGACTTGGAACCGTTTAGTGACTGGTTTGTTACTAACTTGTTGTTGACTTGTGATTGACTTGTGACTGCCTTCTAACTAAACTAGTGATGGAGTTGTGACCACTGATCTCTATACAAAGACTGGATAGCGTACAGAGAACTGTAGAAAGCCATTTGAAGCCACATTGGAGAGACCGGTTGGTGTTCTATAAAGGACAAGTTGACGTCTTAGGCAGCTGTGATTCAATTTTGTAACATCATGGTTCACCTGGTTTACAGTTTTTCAGGTTCACAGTTTTCAAGTATCGTGGTTCACTTTTTGAAAGCTGCAGTCAACTTTTTGCGATGTTTGGAAATCAACACAGACTCTTGTCCATTTTTAGAACATCATAATACGCGTATATGAACAAAATGCGTGTCAAATCTTGATACAACGCGTGTTGTATGTAAGCGTAGAACGTTCGTATATCGGCGGCCATTCTTGGAAGACTGGGGCGAACTGGTCAAAAAGCGAAAGTAAGTAATGTACGGCATATGGGCATATGCAATTCAGTCTCTATATAGAGATCAGTGGTTGTGACAGGCTTGCGATTGACTCAATAGCAACTCTGGGTTAAGTTGCCGCTACTCTCTTTCCATCAAGAAGGTTCGTTGTAACTGATTCAATAAATTGTTTTCCAAATACTTGCAAATGTTATAAAAGGCCTTCAATCTTGAAGGAATTTTTTTTTTTTACTGGTCGTCATCTTTTAACAACCGCCGTTGTCCACGCTTGCCTGATGGACCCTTTGGCTTGGCAAATGCCGGCCGGTGCAGGTTACGGACAGGGTGGACTTCATCCATCAGGAAGGATTCTGTCAAGACGTCTCCGGAGTTGATTTCGATCTGTGAGGATGGGACCGACAGTTACTGTTAACAGAGTCTATTAAGCCTAAATATCTCCCAGTCAGATATAGAGTCTGAAAACAAAAAGTGCATTGTTGTCCTTACGACCCCTGATATGGGGTCACAAGGACAATAACTACAGGGCTTAGAAGCCAATACAATTCAGAAGCTCTGAGGGCGCTGCCTATCCTGACACACATACTTGTATACTATGAGATCAGGCTCCAGTCTATCTAGTACATGGAGAAAGCAATTTTGGAAAAGAAATTGACTGGAAAAATTCCATCTTATAATAGAAATTGACTGGAGCAGGATTTAAACCTGCGACCTCCGGACTGCCCTTCTGGTGCCACACCAACTGAGCTATCCAAGTACATGAACAATAAGTAAATATTAGAGAGTGAATATACGGGTCATCAGACAGTTTTTGACTGTATACCATATTTGTCAAAAGAAAAATGGATGCTGTCAATCAAGTTTTGTGCTATCCACTCCGTTTACAAGTACCCCCTCACCGGCAAAGAAAGTACAGTTGGGGGTGACCGACCGACGCCATCTTGCCTGATTGCAATTCATTTGACGCGAAGCACGGCCACTGCGTGTACATAGTACAAATCCCCTGGTGTACGTGCGTCACACACAAGGAACGGTGCGTGTCAACTAGTGAAATGTCCCGCCCATGGGACGTTGTTGCTAGGTAAAAGGGCGCCCTCTTTCGTAGGCACACGGAGCCCATAAGTTCATTAACAGAAAAAAAACCCTTTTAGTAACAATGGCAGGCTTAACATAATTTGATAAAATGAATGTTTGTGTGCTCACCCTTTTGACACATTGAATATCAAACTCCTCTGCTAACTGCCCCATGAGCGGTCCGAGGCAACTCGTGTACAGCATACGCGCCTTGACGGGACATTTATAGCCGGGCATTGAATATATAAACACTGCAAGAACAAAGAAAGAGATCTGCATGTAAGAGCAACACACAGTAGGAGGTTGAGCACTAACCAGGGTTAACACTTTATGAATAAAACATTTCCTGATATTTCCCCGAGAAATTTCCAAAATTCCATGAGAAATATTTCGACTGTAAGGAGGTTGCTGGAAAGTCAAGAGGTGGTTGCAGCAAATCAACTAAGATACTGATAATACACAGGCAACTTGTTAAAAAGTGATGGCCTCCTTTCTCCCCTAATAGCCATCCTTTCAGTCAGTCAATGGACACAACTTGGATACACGGCACAAGACGCACATACGCCAAACTGGCGAAAACCTTTCCATCCTGGGTCACTGTCAAATTGCTTGAGTTTCCACTGATTTTTTTTTTTTCAGTGACTGGAAAAAAGTGTAACTGAATTTCAATGTTTCCCCTGATTTCCAGAATGGCTGGGCCGGAGACCCTGCCAATGCTATCCCAACCGTAACACTTTTTTGAAGTTTTCTCAGTATTTTGAACGGAGCCCACACAAGCTCAAGTCACATATGTGACCCACTCCACAAAAAGTGTATTAAGTCACGATGTGCATTATCGTGTAATGGCCCGCTCAATGTTGAGAGGGTGAAAATTTCGTCAAAATGTGATTTTCATGTTTTGTCATGAATGACATCTTTAATACCTACAGTTTCAGGGTTCATTCACCAAAATGTTGATTTTGATAAATAAAGTGAGAAAAAATGACAATTTTGAGTGGTCATCATGCCCAAATCTACAACAGAGCCAGCTATTTCAAAGCCTGTTTTCTCAGTTGTGTAATTCGAACTCCAAGGAAGTAATTAATATGCAAATACATCATATCCCCAGAACGGGAGGGGGTATGGAGCTCTAGTACATACCAAATGAAAGCTTATATTGTGGGCTTTCCAACCATAACTCAATTTCCGTTATTTACGGGCAAACTGTCGTGCTCATTTGGGAGGTACCCTATAAAAAGGAATTTTTGAACTGAATTGCTAATTTTCAAGTATGATCTCAGTTATCAGCTATCCTATGAGAAATCAAATGAAAAAAAAATGGATCACGGAAAGTTAGAGATTAAAGGGAATGTACAACATTTGCTTTTGCTGCAATTTTCAGAAATGGATTTGGAGGATTAGTATGTTATAGCAAATATTGTTAAACTGACTTGTTTCACGTTTTGGGCTTGTAGATGCTGGAAAAACCAAGAAAACCAATCATGTTCTTGTAGTCTGGTTTCTTGACCCCACTTAAGATGAAACAGAGAAATGTTGTAGACTTTAGGGAATTGTAAGGTCAGAGAATCAGTCTGGCACGCTTGTACCCTTTCACAGGTGTGTAATCAATTGCAAAGATAATGCAGAACAACTGTTATGAAAACTTCGGAGCGGTTTTTGAAAAAAGCCAGCTTTCTCCAACGCTGGTCGGCTGACCAGCGTTGGAAAAATACAAATTTTCTTAAAAATGTCAGCACACCAGGAGCCACGATTTTACAGGGTGCTGTAGAATGTCATTCCCTAACAATCAAGTAAGGTATTTCGTGATAATTTGATCACCTCGTTTTTTGATGTTTGCAAATGTTGTATCTTCCCTTTAAACCTGCTAAGAACTAAACCATTGTAGTAGGCCTTAATACATGTACATCTCAATCTTTGCCCGTTTAGCACAGTGTGCAGTAATTTCTTTTTTCAGTACGAAAATACAAACTTTTCTTGAACAGTTCACAAGCAGGAATAAATCCATTAAATAGACGTTGCAGGCCTGGCCCAATTCTCCCAAAGGAGATACGGAATTAAGTCAAGTAAGTCAAGACGTTGCAGGTTAACATGGATATTATGATTCAAAATACCTGGACTTTCTTGATAATCGCCCTCGTGTGTGTGCTTGAAAGTAAACACATGATAGCCGGCTTTCTCCGATGAAATCTTCCCAGGGAGTGCGTTGGTACCAATACTGTCTGCGTCATCTAAAAGGATTTCTTCATTGGTAGTATCCACACACTGTTGAGAGGATCAGACAAAATACGTTTTCTGTAATCAAAACTTCTCAGAATGAATTCTTCTGTAAAAGCAGTACTTCTCCCACAGATTCTGTCTCTTTGGTTGAGAGATTGTAAAATAGTGTTTTAAAAATTTTACTTCTAAACCGTGGTATATAGGTACTTAAATTATAGTTACTGCGAGGCTTTGGCTAGCCTGCTTCGCAGGGGAAGCAGCTTCACTTTGTGTGTGATCGTCCTGCTTCGCTGGCGATCAATTCGTGGAGTGGCAATCAACTCGTGAACAACTCTCAAACAACTCGTGAACACACACACATACACTTTTGGCACTATAGTATAGCGGTGATTCAATGACAATACCAGGGAAGTCCTCTGGTATTACATAATTCTTTGGGGCAAGTATTTTGTTACAAGGATGTTTGCAGAGACAGACCTTTGATTTCAATTACTGGAACAAGAGAAAGGGGTAATAGAAGAAGAGAATGTGTTTTATTTATTTAATTATTTATTTATTTAATTCCTATTTTGACTGGGTAGCCCATTAAGTGCAATCCACTGGTCTCCCATGGGGCCCAGTCAAGAGAAGACAATGCGAAGAAAAGGAGGAACTGAAAATCCAATCCTCATTTTGGCACAAGCTGTAATCAAACCCGGGTCACAGACGAGGAAGGCGAGGTAAGTATTGTTACGCCAACCTGAACTGTTTGCATAAGTATCCCATCAATGATTCCAAGGAGAAAGCATGAGTGTGTATTGCTGACGACAACCGACGGTCATGCAAGGATTCCACAGGTTTGTGCACATTCCCAATTAAAGTTGTTGTGCATACTCATTTTTGCCCAGGCAGGAATCAAACCCAGGTCTCAGAGGAAGAAGGCGAGGTACACATGTAAGTACTCATGCCCATTGCCAAGGGGGGGGGGGGGGGGGGGGGGGCCTGGTGGGGCCGGGCCCCCCTTGGTGAGCAAATGGCCCCCCAAAGGCAAAAGCCATACACATGTATTTTGTATTTTTTATCTCTACCCCGTGCCACTCACCAGCCTGGCATTCGTGTAGTCCCTGTTCTTCAAGCCCAGCAGCTTATCTTTAGCCTCGGGAACATGATCCCTCGACCCCTCTACCCCTCTACTTGTCTTCTCTACCCCACGTCACTCACCAGCCTGACGTACGTGTAGTCCCCGTTCTTCAAACCCAGCAGCTTATCTTTAGCCTCGCTGCGTATTGGGAATGCGATCCCACCCAGGTGGCTCTGCTTGGTGCTGCTGCCGATGTCCGTGGGCCCTTCCTCCTCTCTCATCAGTCTCTGTTCCTCCTCGCTGGCGGTCAAGGGCGCCGGGGCTTCCTCATGCTCCCGGTGACGCATGTAACCATCGAACGTCATCTCTGTCTGGAATAGAAATGCCAGAATTGTTTTGGTCTTTTAATGTAGAACGCCATGGTCTGGTGGTTATGGTGTCTTGACTCACGCATGATGGTGCGTGGGTTCGAATCCTGCCAGGAACATGGTGTTTGTGCCCTTGGGCAAGACACTTAACTACAATTGCCTCTCTCCACCCAGGAGTATAAATGGGTACCCGTAAGGCTCGAAGACCGATTGAGCGCTGATAACGGCTGCCGCATGGTCTCATGGCCTGATGAACGGGGGAATAATTGTAAAGCACTTTGAGATTATTGATACGATGGAAAGCGCTATATAAGCACTACGATTATTATTAAAAAGAGAGCAAACAGTCTGTTAGCCTTTTTACAGGGAATGCTGAAATGAGAAGTGAGAGAATATGTAGCAATGCATTAACCCTCCTACGGTTTTAACAGTCACAGACAGTCAAAAATTCCACCCACTTCCCCTGCCTTGCCTTTTACACAGGCTAGTCATTAACAGTCAGATCATATTTTCAGCAAGTACTCTGACTAGTCAAATTCAGTCAACAGACAAAAGCAGTAAATTGGTGGCACAACCGTCTTATCAATCATCTTCAGTCAAAGCACAGGTGTATCAAGTTACATAGACAGTCACAGCCAGTCAATCCTGCTTTATGTAGGCTGGCAGCTCTTAACTGTTGAAAACAGTCACTTGATTGATTTTGACTGAAAGGACTACTTGGCACAGAATGCATGTTTACGGATGAGGGTTGAAGGATTCACGGGACACTTTGTAATAATGAATGGGAATTTCACAGAGTACAGAAATGTCCCACAGTGTACTGCAATGCAAATATTCACTGTTAATTTCCGACCTGTAAGAGTCGGGGAGCAAAGCTTCAGATGTCTGCTTATATCTCATTCCAATGTCCTGCAATCAGGCAACACAATCTTCTAGACTAGAAACTTAGGATTTGGGATAAACAATTCTTATGTTAACTATTTACATTTGTGAACTTGACTTTTAGAAAATGTTTCTGGAAATTGTAACATCTTTGATTCTTCACACACAAAAATGGAAAATCTCACCCTAGCCTAGATAAATGTTATTGTACATTATTTGATGTGGAGCTAGATAAATTGGAAGAAGCCTATAATTTTTTTCCCCAAAGAAAACTTCAACATTTGGCTTGATATAGAAAGCAGAAGATCGCGGCCAAATACCTGTCAGAGCACCTTAACGATAACATTTGATTTCTACTCACCTTTGATGTTGCAAGTAATTCATCCTTGATCTGACTGGTACCAAATATTGTCTTGACTGTCGTGTTGGTCGCAGCATATACCATTTTGTGTTTCACCTAGTCAGGATGGTGTAATGGGAACATACCAACATTTGAATACAGGTTTCATGAATTATGTTACATAGGTGGGCGCGGACATCCGGCAATTTTTTACATTGCATTATCTAGCTCCAGACCTATCATCTTAAAACTCAATGGTTCTGGAGTCTGGAGTGCTGAATGGTAACACATAGCAACTGATGAAATCTGGTGTGCAAATGAATAGATGTTTTCATCGGATGACGTCAGCCTGCCCCCGAGTATTAGAAATACCAATGACATAAAAAAAGTTCTAAAGTGATCATCCAGCAAGTCCAGAAAACAAATTCAGGACGAGATTTTATTCTGAAACCACTTTTTATCAGTGTTGAAGTTGAGTCTGTCACAAGTCAGGTCATAAGGTAAATTGCAAATCCGTTCACAAGTCCAGTCACAAGTAACAGGGGATTAACAATAACAAAGCAATACATGTGTCAGAGTTCATTTGAATTGCTTTTGACTTGACTTGAGGCTGGAGAACTTGTGATGGACTTGTGATGGACTTGTGATGGACTCGACTACAACAATTTGTAATATTTATCTTTTTCTTTACCCCTTTTTGGTGGTGAGTGTATGGGAAATGTGGGTGGGTCTGAGATGGGCAGAGGGGGGGGGGATACCCATAAGTGAAAAAGTCAAGTTTTTTTGGTTACCTGTGCATGGTCCGGAGAGAACCGCATGAAAATCCACTTGTAGTGATTTTGTGCGTCCTTTTCGTCGAGACGGTAGAATAAATAGCAAGGGTCCTTGTCTCCCAGCAATGGCAGTATCATGCCATAATGTGTCATGGTACATCAAGGAAATATCAATGTGCAGACAAATTCAACTCAACTTAACATTTCATCCCTTCTTCCTGAAAAAGACAGCATACCAGGTGCCGTTATTTCACAGCATGCTTGAGACTGTTATTCACTTACAGTCCAGCAAGGTTTTTCATAACAATTCATTGGGGTTTTTTTGGGGTCATGTCTGCAAGTGTTGTAAACAAGTGTTGTTTAACTCTCAGAATGAATAAAGAGAATGGACAAAAGTGTGACTGACACCTGCAACCACTAGAATATAGGTGTTCTGTCAACTGAGCTTTATTGAGCGTTGTAGACTAGTTGCCAGTTTTTAATTCTGTCTGTGTTTTTATCTTGTTCAAATCAAAGGATATCTTCTTCCCATGTTCCAGATGCTTCACAGTGGTCCTTTGGAACCAATTTTTCAATCCCTGGAAAGATAAAGGAAAAGTAAGTCAAATTACACAACCCAACTAAATCATCACTCTTAAATATCTTCACTTTTTTCCTCCAATTTTTGAGATCTAGACATGCAATGAGGTAGGAAAATTATATCTAGCATGGCACAAATTGTACAATGTATTAACTCTCCTTTTGTTTGATCAGTCACAGACAGTCAAAAATTCAATCCTGTTCCCCTACCATGCCTTTTACACAGGCTAGTCACTAATGATGTGCATCGGGTCTCACTAATGATGTGCATCGGGTCGGGTTGACCAGGCCAAACCCACCCGAAACATTAGAGATATCCGAATCCCAACCGAAACCAAAAAAAAAGGGGGGAAAAACGATTACCTTGCTTGGACAAAGTGATCACTTTTTTGTGCCTGCCCTTACCCACGTGGCATGAATTCTTTTGCAAAACCATTGTCTCTCTCTGTCATACTCAGTTGGTTGATCGAGAGTAACTCCGCTTATTGAACAAACGCATGGTATCATCACGCGGTATCATGAAAACTGTTACAATGTACATGTATCTATTTCACTGTCAGTGCCATCCGACCGTGGAAAAATTAATACCGTGGGAACTTGATAGTGCGCTCGGTGGCCACACCACACTAGGGCTGCGGTCACAGTGACTGTCAATAATATTGCATCACCTAAATTTCACAACTATTTCGGTTTAGTTCGTTTTTTTCAAAAGATGGCTCAACTGACCCGACCTGAAAATGAAAATGCAAAACCGAAACCGACCCGACCCGACTAAAAAGATGGACAAACCGACCCGACCCGAAGTCGGTTTCAGGTCGGGTCAGTTTCGGGTCGGGTTTGCACATCATTACTAGTCACCAACATCATCATCATCATCATCTAGCAGTCGCAACCGAGATCCCATTCACAACGCCATGCCGGGTGTCTTAATCCCTCTTTTAATGTGTGGAAGGTTTAATTTTCAATTTCATATTGCGTGTCTCTGGCAATCACGTCTATGTAGTCCTCTATTACTTATTAGGGTACGGAAGTCTCCAAAATATTACATCAGATATGACCTGGTCCTTCAGCACGATAGCAGTAGCCAGCAAAGCGCACTCTACATTGAGTAATGCCAACAGTCAGATCATATTTCTTGAAGGCACTGTGACTAGTCCATTTCAGTCAACAGACAAAAGCAGGTAACTGGTAGGCACAGCTGGCTTATCAATCCCCTACAGTCAAAGCATAGCTATATCAGGTTAGTACATAACAATCACAGCCAGTCAATATTGCTTTTTGAAGGCAGGGAGCACTTAAAAACAGTCACTTAATTTATTTTGACTGCTGGGCCGGCCTTGTTGAAATTGCCAGCCAGAGAAGGGGGGAATATGCTTAGAGTCTGGAAAACCAACACACACAAAATTGCAACTATTCGTAAGTTGCACAAGGTAGATCGAAAGTTCTTATGCGTGCAGGAAAGATTTGCAGCAAAACACAGGTCACCAACGGAAGAGCTGTATGATGCTTTCTTGTTGGAGGTTTGTGGAACTTGACAATGATGATGTGCTGCAGTTTAGACAAAAATGACAGGTGTACGCACTTGCCCACCTAGGGATGCCGGTACTCACCCAAATCGATGCAGACTTTGATCAATCTGTAGTTGTTATTCGCATTCTTAGCATTTGCAAAAGCGTCCTTCAGTTCGTCAGAAGCTGCAAACAAAACATCAATGAAAATCACGGTTTGAGATCTTCAGAATACAAAATGGTCACATAATTATCAGTTTATTAATCTATTTATGTGATTTAAATTATTTTTAGGTATCGCCCAGAAAAAAAAGAGGAGTGGCCTAGTGGTTGAGGTTCGTGACTCATGATCAGAGGGTCAGGGGTTCGAATCCAGCTGCTGGTCACATGTTGTGTCCTTGGGCATGCCACTTCACCCCACTTGCCTCCCTCCACCCAGGAGTACAAATTGGTACTGGCATTAGTTGGGGATTAACCTGCGATGGACTGGCATCCCAACCAGGGGAATAGAAATACTCTCAGTCATTTCATGCTATAGAAACTGGAGATAAACGCTAGCCTGATGGGCCATATTGGCTCTTGACAGACTACCAAGCACAAACAGGAGACATGGAAAGGGGGAAGGAAAGGGAGATTTACCAAAATTATAATGATTTATCTATGAGTTATGTGCAAGTTCAGTCACATTAGGCCAAAAAAAAAATAGTTCTGCTTCCGGTTTCCCTACCTACCCTATTCTGACAGTCCCTACCGTGAGAAAATACCCCGAGAAAAATCACCCAAAACCATACATTTTTTACCATTTACTCTTGACTACACGCAGACTCCTCCATATGATTGTACACACAAAAAAAATTGGCCAAAAAAATTCCCTACCTACCTACCTACCCTATTTTGAATACCATGTAATTGGAAGCAGAACTATTTCTTTGTTTTGGCCATAGTAGGAATCAGACACAAGCAACTTTTTGCTAAATTGGCAATCTCTTCACTGTGACATATAAACTTGACTTTTCACAATAACTGAAAGGTTGTATGTAGGTCTTCCTGCCCTCTGTGGCATAAAGCATTCTATTTTCAAGGTTTAAAAAATTGTTCAAATTTAAAGGAAACATAACGTTGATAAAAAAACTGCAGATAAAAACCTGATCATCCTTTCTGAAATATACATTACAAACCAAATGTTCTGATGTGAACTTCAGTGAAGCATTCAAGCTATGGAAAAGCGAGTATCTATGTAAGTTAACTCATGTTATTGCATTAAAGGGACACTAGGTCCTGGAACAGCCGAATTGGGCTCAAACGCGCTTTGAACGAGATAATGTTTTTCGGAAAGAACATTTAACATCCACACAACTATCCTTTAAAAACTGGGCGTTTTTGTGTTATTCCTGTATTATGCGTGCAAAAATGAACTTTGAGGTCCACTTTTGCGACCCCACAAATTCGAGCTGTTTGGATGCTAGTTGTGATTTCATTTGTAAAGTGCTCGCCTTTTGCGGACGTTGAAGAAACCACATTTTTTTGCGTTGGTGATTGGTCACCGCTGTTCCCGAGACACACACCGTGTATATCGTACACTGTATGAGAACAACACAAAAACGTATTTGTACTCCGTCTTTTCCGATGTAAACAACCAGGGATTTTTCCTCTTTTCTCGGGAACACTTAGACATTAGGTTGGTTTCCTTTCAACCACGTTTGAAATAGGATAGGTCAACCATCCAAAACATGAAATTTTCGGGGATTTCAGGACCTAGTGCCCCTATATAAGGATATAATGTTATTACTACAGTAGACCCTGTAACTGGGGAAGCTAGAACTCCTTTTTTTTAATGTTGTGTTTGGTCGGTCGTTCTAGAAAGACCGACCAAAGTCAAGATTTTGGTGCTAGAACTCATTTTTAGAATTTTGTCATAATAGCTAGTATAGTAGAAGTAGTAGTATGACCATGGAGATATAAGACCAAACAAAGTCAAAGTTCGAATAAAGGAGTTCTAGCGTAGCGTCCCACTTACTGGGTCTAATGCAGGGACACATCACCAAAAGAAAAACTTTGCTTTATGTATAATCAAATTTACTGAATATATCTTGTGTCCAGTACTACAAAAATAATCGGTAAATCAAACAAACAACACTACATTGTACAAATTTAGCTTGCAGAAAATACAATTAATTTAATCTGACAATTATATTATAAAACTTAAAAGCACATTAACTGAACAAAAAATCATGCTGAAAGTTTAAATAGATCACTGTTAAAAAGTTAAGTTATTTCCTGCTTTAAAGTTAAAGCATACATGTACAAGCAGACAAGCATTACACAGAAGAGTATTAAAGAAGTTACCTTTTATTCCTGTTTGATGAGACATTTTGATTGTGGCTTCTTGTTGCAAGTTGCTGAAGTGTTCTCCGCACGATCGAGTGGAAGCTGCGCTCCGTCCTTCACTCACAACAAATATCTGGTACAATTTACGACAAGAAAGCAGCGCCGCTGTCAACTAATAATTAGATCCAATTACTTTTCAAATATGGGCGGAGTTGGAAGCAGCAGATTATTTTCCTTTCAGTTTGTCACTATCCTGCTATCCAGGAAGTGAAGGACAGAAATACATTGAGTCGTACCGTGGAGCGCGAGCGTAATCTTTTCCGGCCGGTGGCTGAGCAGTCACGAAAGTGGGCGGTAAGCCCTACCGAATTAAACAGTCGACGATGTTGATTGGATAATTTCTTCTCAGTGGCGCTAAGATGACCAATGGAACATTGGATAACATTTTGTACACCGCCTCGCCCTTTGCCCTTCGCATTTAAAGATGGCGGCCTCCATGAGCAACTAGCATGACTAACTGCGCCGCGTTTTACGCACGGACAAATGTCTCTTTTAAAACGTTCACGCATGAAAATGAAATTTAAAACTTGAAAGATCTAACATATTGTCCAAAATGGCGCATAGTTATTCATCTAAAGAGCGTACCAGCGATGTTTTAAACGAAGAAAATGTAAACATTGATTTCGCATCGTTGCTCCTGTCATGTGACGTGTTGAGCGGTTTGTCGCGGGCGGGATTTGAGCGGCCGTCTCCGATACAGTTGAAAGCAATACCACTGGGGCGATGTGGGCTAGGTGGATATTAGAATTCATGCCTTGTTATTAATAAAGAAAAAGCATTCACACCAAATACACACATTTGTAAATAATTAACATCCCCATAGGCTAAGTATTAGTAATAAAAGTCTCTCTAGAGTTTTTTTTAAATTTTTAATGTGCCTTCAAGTTCAAATTCAAGTATCAATTTTAGGCGTCACTGTTGTATTATTATAATGAACACTAAAACTATACATGCTTAAGTAATCAATACATTTTTGAATATATTTAAGTAAAATGTATCAGTTATTTTAAAGTAAAGGCATTTTTATTGTCAGATTTGTTGCCCCATTAAATTATTCATTCATTTAAATTTTAAACAGTTATCCTTTTCTTACATAATATATAAATTACTCCCCAACTTTTTTGCCAAAGTTATTGACTTTGATTATTACTTGTAATTATATTCATTATAAGTAAACCCTATGGATTTTATAAAATGAAATACTTCACAAAACTCGACAAAATCTAGCGTTGATATGTCAAATTCAAGAAAAAAATTCTACGTTGAACACTTGCAAAATGAGATTTTAAATTTAATTAGCATTTGGCCAGCTGTGCGGAACTCGTTATAAACATAAAAATTCCACGCATCTCATCTATCAGATTAAGTGATCACTCACAGTTTTGTTGGTTTGTGTGTTTGTTTTCTGGTATTATACAGATATGATCGTCCAAGCCAAGTCCGGGACAGGGAAGACCTGCGTCTTCAGTGTCATCATCCTGGAAAGTCTGGATCTTCAGTGCTCCGGCGTACAAGCTCTCGTCCTGACGCCGACTCGGGAGATTGCCACACAGGTGCAAGGAGTAATCCAGTCCATAGGAATTGCCATGCAGGGCTTGCGATGCCACACGTTCATCGGCGGGACGCTGTTTGGGCCTGACCGTCAGAAGCTGAAGAAATGCCACGTGGCAGTAGGAACCCCAGGTATATTGTTTGAGCCCTGTCCCGTCTGAAGTATCTTGGGTATGAAGGTTCCAAAAATCCAAAATCCTTAAGTGCGCATGAAAGTATGGAAACAAAACAGCAAATTCAAGCCTTGTGTAATGTACTAAATGCTTTAAGCCGACGTGTTCTGTGAAGGATCTGGTTGGTATGAATCAATTTATGTTTCTTCAGATCAAACAAGCAAATAGCTTACAAAGTCAAGCATGAAAGTTCGTTTCCGTATATATCAAGTAGATAAAAAACCTTTTAGGGACTTGAGTCACAGAACTCATAAGTGTTACAAAGTGTTTGAGACTAGCAAATTGACTTCAACTAAAAATAGTTTTTTATGAAATAAATAATATTTGAAAAGCTAGTACTCATTAGGCCTTTTCTATTCAACCAAGTTTTGTACTCTTTTTGAAAAGAATTCCACCTATGGACCCCACTTACCTTCCACCGAGCACATCAATTTTCACCTCACCTTGTGTTTTCATGGAAGACACCTTGTGTTTTCATAAGGCCAACAAGCAGGGAAAGGAGGAGGAAATAACCATATAGGTTGCAACTTTTTGGTCTGTATCCGGAATTCTTTCCCTCTAATTTTTCCTTTTGTAAGTCTTTCAGGGCTGTAAATGTGATGAAAATAATAGTAAAATCTATGGTACAGATGTCTTCATAGCATGACAATGGGCTCTGTGCACAAGTATCCCCTCAACGGTAAGAAAGGGAGACTCGCGAGAAACCACTGTAAGAGACATTCATACGCATTGCCAACAATGCCTGACGCTCACATGCAGACACTTTGGTTCTGTGTACATTCAGAATAAAATTAGCTGTGCGTACCTTGTGCTAAACGTATGAGAACCAATAAAACACTATTGACCCATCCACAGGGCTCTCAAAATTGGTTAAAAAGCGCCCTCTCTTCTTCGTGCACGGAGCCCGTAGCTTCTGAAATTTTGGGTGATTAACTGTTTTGTGTGTTTGCGCGTAGGTCGTGTGAAGCAGCTGATTGAGTATGACGTCATGCACACGGACAGCATCCGGCTATTCATCCTGGATGAGGCAGACAAGCTTCTGGAGGAGAAATTCCAAGATCAGATTAAGTACGTCGATGGCACTGCAGGTGATATAAGGCGAAGTAAAAAACAAACATGTTTCTCGTCCCCGTCCGCTTCCTTTTTGGAGGCCGCCTGGATTTTTTAATTATTTTTTCATTTTTGAAAAATGTAGTAAAAAAACACCGAAAAAGTCCACAAATTCATCGGAAAACAAATACCAATACCAATACAACTCTAAATGACACTGTAAATATGTTCAGTTCTCTTGTCCAACTTGTCTTTCATTTTTAAAAGTGTCTTTGAACAGTGGAACACCAACGATTGCAGGAAATTTTAAAATGGCGGCCATCTTGAAAAAAATACAAAATAAGAAATAAAAAGCCCTGCTTCCTCCTTTTTTCAAAAACCCCGGACGAGAAACATGGTTTTTTTTTTATTCGGCCTAATGAGGAAGACGTGGTTGGGACTAACTTGGGCGGATCTCGGTAGTCCAAACACAAGCCTCAAATCTCACTCAGATTTAGAGTTACAGAATGGCCGTCTTATGACTTCTGTCACATCACTCTCTCTCTTTTGACCTCTGAGATAGGGTTTAAATCTTTTCACTTGCACAAATTGGTTCTGCTTTTCAAATGTTGGCTCCACACTGAGGTATTATTTTTTGACACCGCTATCATGTTTTTGTACCAGTTGGATATACAACCGGTTGCCTGTCAACAAGCAGATGCTTGCCCTGTCCGCTACCTACCCAGAGGCACTGGCGAAGGGACTGACCTCCTACATGAGAGATCCAACGTTCGTCAGACTAAACCCTCGGAGAGTGGCACTAAAAGGTTGATCATGAGTCTTGTTCATCATTCAGTAACTGACTTAACCAAGTCCATCAAAATCCATCAATCACTGTGCGTCCAATACAAAACTGTACATGACATAATGGAATCCACCACTGACGCACTGGTTGACGTTCATGGACTTGCTACACATGGCTTTTATCACAATAGCAGTACAGGAAGCTAGGCAAAATCAATCGGATACCCCTAGCACTGCTTCAGGCCATTAGACCCAAGTCCATCATACTCCATCAATATTTAGTCACGTCAGGCCTTCTGGACCAAGTCCCCCAAACAAGTCTGTAGACTGGCCTCATATTGGTACAATTGACGGGTTAAAATGGCTGCTACGCAAGCTGTACCAGTAGTAATTGTCAACCTATCTATCAAACCACTTAAAGGGAATATACAACATTTGCAAACATCGAAAAACAAAACTACCAAATTTTTTACGAAATACCTCACTCGGATGTTGGTAAATGACAGTCTAAAACATCCTGTAAAATTATGGCACCTGGTGTGAAGTCATTTTCAAGAAAAGTGGTATTTTTGTATAAATTTCCAATGCTGTTCGACCACCGTTGGAAAAACCTATTTATTTTTTGACTACTGCTCCCAATTTAGCAATTGTTTTCATTTCAAATTTTGTTTGCTATTGGTTACATGTTCATGAACGGGTGCGTGCCAGCTGGACTGGTTCCCTTACCTTACAATTTTCCCGCATCTATAAATTGATCCATTTTTATCTTTAGTGGAGTCAGGGAACCAGACTACTTGAACATTTTTGTTTTTACTTGGTTTTTCCAGCATTCTCGAACACAAAACTTCAAACATGTCAGTGTAACAATATTTGATCTATCATACTAACCCCTCAAATAGTTATTTTCTGAACATTACAGCAAAAGCCAATGATGTACATTAAATGGGCTTTGGCAGTTATACGGTTTAATCCACAGGGATTTCTGGTTCTTGGTGACCAGCCTGTACAAAAGCTACCGAGAGAGTTAGGAGGTAGGCTTTTTGACAGTTTGCGATAGTTTCAAGTACAGGAGGCTCACACCCTTACACTAAGAGTGGACTGCAATTATAGACTGACATTTGCTTTGTATTTATACAAACATTCAAAGCTTTGGAAAGATTGTGAATGCCAGAATTCTTTTGAATCATTTGACCTTTTTTTGTCGCACAGGAATCAAGCAGTTCTACAAGGTTGTCCCCAGTCATGGGTTATATCACAAGGCCTTTGAGGTCAAAGTGGAACACCTGCTGCAGCTGTTGAGGCAGGTGTCATTCAGCCAGTGTCTAGTCTTCTCCAATCTCTCCAGCAGGTCAGGGGTCATTCTAGCTTTAAAAATAATGGATTTTGAAGTGTCAGCTACCTCGTTATTTTACGTGGTGGGGAAGTGGGCAACATTCGTGGAGAATTTAATAGTCTTGACTTTTTCTTTAAACTTCCTTTTATATCTCGAAAAATTTGGGGTTTAGAGCTTTTTGTTACTAATTTTCTACAAAATGTACTGAAAGAAAGACTTGTAATCAAGAATTATTTATTTTTTTAAATAAATGATATCAATTGAAATATTAAGGGCACCCTTCACATCCACCTAAAATAATAACTAAATCTAGATTGGAATTTGAATTTGAATTTGAAACAAAATCTTAGAACTGAATACTTAATTACTTGTCGCACAAAAGTCATTTTGTGAACAACAATCCCCACAGTAGTCCTTTTAATTAGTTTTCTTGTGTCTCTTAGAGCTCAGAATCTGTCGGATATCTTGTGTGAGCGTGGCTGGCCAAGTACATGCATTTCAGGCAGTCAGGATCAGTCGCAACGACACAGCGCCATGTCCATGCTGAAGACCTTCAAGTGCCGCGTGCTGATATCGACTGACCTGGTAAGTCTTCAAGAGATAACGATTGAAGATAATAATGCATAGGGGCTACAGTAAGCAGGGATTTTTTTGCAGAGTTAGCAGAGCGATGAAATTGGGCCATGGTGTATATGAAATATGCAATTAAGCTAAGCACACAATATTCTACTATCAGAGCCTCCATATAGTTTATGGAGACCGTAAGCATGAGCACAGCAAAAGGCATGCTTACTTCAGAGCAAAAATTTGCCTAACTAAGTGACGTAACAGTATATATCTCCATGCTTGCGTGACCATTAGCACATCCATGCCTTGAAATATTGTTAATATAAGATTTGAGGCTTTACATGGTGGAGTATCGGTATCGTTTCAGTTTGCGGTAACACCATGTGGTAATAACTACTGCTTAGAAGATATTTAGTTCTGAAGAGAACTTGTCCTGCTTATTATCAACTTTCGCTAAGTAGTTTTTGTTCTGATAAGAACAGTCCTGCTTTAAGTTCTAAAAAGACAAGTTCTTTTAGAACTTAAAGCAGGACTGTTCTTATCAGAACAAAAACTACTTAGCGAAAGTTGATGAAAACTACTTAGCGAAACTTGATAATAAGCAGGACAAGTTCTTTTCAGAACTAAATATCTTCTAAGCAGTAGCTATTACCACATGGTGTTACCGCCAACCGAAATGAATATTGCTTAAGGTTAGCAATTTTTTCTGCTTTGCTAAGCTTAACTTTTCGGTTAACTGTTTAGCAGCGCCATGAAATTGGGCCCAGTACAATCAAGTGTTATGAAGTTACAGTTTTAAGTGATATTTGATAAACAACAAACAAATGCATTTTTTTCACAGTTCCTTGGAATAGCTCCTCAATTGACTTGGTTGAAACCGAATGCTAATTAGACTTGTGATGGACATTGCATTGACTAGGGATGACCTGATTACAACTTTGGCACAATTAATCACGGTCTGTGCCCATTTGTTTACATCGCAGACTGCCCGGGGCATAGATGCTGAGAACGTAAACCTCATCATCAACCTAGACGTTCCCTCCGACGGCAAGACTTACATGCATCGCATAGGGAGGGCGGGTCGGTTTGGCAGTAAGGGTGTAGCGGTGACATTTGCTAGCGAGGGCAATGAGGAAGCCTTGCTGAGAAACATCCAAAGGCAGAGTCATGTTAGCCTTCAACATCTGCCAGGTTAGATTTGGACGCAATTTTCTGATCTTGAATGTTTCATAGAGAGGGGAGTGTGGCCAAATGCCAGAGTTGCAACGAGTCACTGATTTTTGTGACTCGAGTTGAGTCCAGTCATATTAAAGAAGTTACTCGAGTCGAGTCGAGTCATTTTAAAGAAATGACTCAAGTCGAGTCGAGTCATTAGCTCAAGAAGGTCGAGTCGAGTCGAGTCACAGTGTGCAGTCGAGTCAAGTCGAGTCGAGTCAAGTATTTAGCTCGAGTCAATTCGAGTCACAAATATTTGAACACTATACAATAAATAAACACAAGAGAGAAAGTCATTTTCTTGGCTTTTTAAATTTTATGTTCAGGCTACTACATGTGGTGACACCACATTTGACTCTTAATGAAAATGTTATGATAAAAAGGCGGTGCCAGCTGATCGTCATTCATCTACAATGGGGACACTGATCAAACCAGCACCGGCGCAAGTCAATGCAAATATTTTTCACAAAGTTTTGCTTTTAATTTTGGGACTCAAGTCTTATTAGCCTTCCTCGAGTCGAGTTGAGTCATTCTGATGAGGGACTCGAGTCGAGTCATTTGCCCTGAGGGACTCGAGTCGAGTTGAGTCACCGAAAATTGTGACTCGAGTCGGACTCGAGTCGAGTCAATGACTCCAGTCATTACAACTCTACATAATGCATAAAAGAGTCAGAGGGTAGAATTCAGCTGCTGACCATGTGTTGTGTCCTTGGGCAAGCCACTTCACCCCTACCTGCCTCTCTCCATCAAGGAGTATAAGTGGGTCCCAGCATTGACTGTGGAGTAACCTGCATCCCATCCAAAATATTTTAAGCTGTCTTATGCCCAAAATTAACAGAAACAATATGGCCTGATTGGCCACATTGGCTTCAGACGGATTTTACTTGCTTTACCCCCATAAAGTCTCCATAAAGCCTAAATATCTGATAATTGGGCATACCATTTTACATTAGATCAGCAGACTTTCTTTTTTTCTTGTGTCACTTGCCATTGAAAACTGAAAAACAATGCTGAAAGATTTGCAGAGGACGGAATTTGCTCGTTTTGGTGTCAACTGATTTCAGTGTCTGGTCAATTATTTGAGAAGAAGCTGGATTTGAATAGTTTCAAGAAATCTTAAGGAAAAATCCATACACAATATTCTGTTTGAGCTTACAAACATTTGTTGCCAGAAAATGACCAGAATTTTCCCTTTTTTGGTAGAGGGCAGGGAGGGGGGTTTGAAATTTGGGGTTGTGTTCAGTGAAAATCCGTTGAACCCCTTGCATTTTGTTTGCTTTAATCATTCCTTTGCACTGTTCTCTTGCTGTTCTTCAGATCCAGTTCCATCAGATTTGGTGAATTTGGTCAACGTCGACCTTAACTGTTCAGACAGTGAAGAGGAATCTTCTTCGTTGCTTGATTACGATGATAGTGCCCAAGATAATCCAGATGATGATCCAGAGGTTTACACTCAGGCATTGAGAGAACAGCGTGAATCGAGCATCCGAGAAAACATAGAGGTGGTTGAGGAGCAATCTTCTTGTAAAACTATTGTGGACATACTTCAAAGGACCACAAGGCTGAGGTCAAATCATGTGTCGCAGGTCAACGCACGAGGGGATTCCATCTCACATGTCCTCCACCCAACAGTCTGGGATAAATCTTGCCAAGTTGATACCCTGAGCCTGCCTTTCAAGATGCATAAACCTACTGACTTCAAGATTCCCTCTCTCGCAGAGAAGTTTAATGCAAGGAGGGGAGAGGAGATGTGGACATGGGAGAAGGCTGCAAAGGATTTTGAGAATTTCATGAATGGGTCATCAGAACCTGTTGATGTGCAACCGGAAGACTTCAGAGATGCAGGCAAAGATGAAAATGGAGCACCGCAGACTTCTGAGGAAACATTTTGTTTTGCTGAAAATGATGCTGCAATTTATAAGCTTGAAGATAGACAAAGAACTGCTCCAGCTGATGAAGATACAGGTTCTGTGGCTCCAGAACAACCTGTAAATTGCATTGACGGAGAAAACCTGGACGAGCCTGACCAAATCGAAACCGATAGCTTACCGAGACCTGAACCAGAGAATCCCATTAGTGGTATCTCTGACACTGGCAGAAACACAACAGATAACAGTAATGACTTAAGTTGCAAGGAGGAAGTCAAGGAGGTGACTGCTTCTTCAGATTTCAACCTCACCCCGGAAAGAGTGACGATAAAAACGTCTCCGGTTGCACTCTCTCATGAGGATCAAAGCAGAGAGGTAACTAGCAAGGGAAAAATCAGCACAACAGACTCTAATGACACAGACAAACGAGAACGGGGATCCAATTTGAAACTCAACACGGAATACGAGGTAGCGTTTTCGTGGAGACCATCTCAGAATTTCTTCAATGAGCTCTTGACTGACGACATGACAAGATTAGAGATTCCGGAAAACAGGAGCAATGATGATGATGACACTGTCCTTGAAAGTGTGAACCCTGATGCTGACACCTGTGCCACAGGGGTTAGATCAAGTGATTCTCTGAATGATGTCAGGGGTGATAATGCCATAAAGGATATTGCGAGGAGCAAGGAATTAAGAAAATCCTCGCCTGCAAGGTCTAAGAAAGTCCCACAAGATGAAAAGAGACTGTCAAAAGCCACAAAGGCTATAACAGAATCTAAGCAATGTGGTGGAGCAACATCTTCATCAGAGCAACAAGAGTATCACCAAAGTGGAAATGATAAGCCTTCAGCAGCTCTGCAAATGCACAATTCTGGGCGGAGAAATGCCAGAAAAGCTGCCCATGACTTGCGAGCTCTAGAACCTCGCAATAGCTCGACTGGACTGCTACGGACAAATGCTTTGGTCTCCAACAGACAACCGCAGAAGGAGGCAAGTCGACCAGGTGAGGATCCCATTTGGCTGTCTTACACAAATTACTTGAAAACTGAAGATGCACAAGGCGATGATGACACAGATAGCTGTGACGAGTCGGATGATTCCGATACAGGTAGCACCAGGACATCAGATGATCAAGAAAGTTCAGATGATTGTATAGGCGATTCTGTGCCTGGTGCAAACCAGAACTCTGAGGAATGGAACCCTGATCCTGAAACCACTGCTCAACATTACGGCTGGGTACACTCACCATATGATCCTTTTGCATACGGTAGTTGGTATGGGGTACCAGACTATATTCCAACTACCACCACGATCTCACCTAATCCATTAAATCAAGATTATCCTTCACAATTTGGATTAAGTGATTATCACAAATCTGCATACAGTGGACAGTACACATACTGGCCTTATGCTTACTTTTAAATCTTAAGACCACACTGATTTACCTGCCTGCATACACTTGCATCTACCAAACCATTTACAATATAGATCAAGCTGGTTTTGTTTTTATTGTTACGGACCTGTATTGTATAATGCTTTCTTTGCCCACAATTCGGCTTTTTTTGCTAACCACGGGTTAGAAAACTGTGCACGGTCAACAATGCAAGAACAAAGAATAGTTAGTTAATGTTTCAAAACATATCATTGGATCGTTGAAAATACAAAATAACCAACACACGCTACCAAAGATTTAATAAAAAAGCCCCTTTCTTACATTATCAGGGTGTTGATATGCCATTTTTTGGCAAAATCTGTTGCAAACCACAGCATAAAATGTATGCCCTTGTAGCAGCCCATACAAAATAGCGCTCACTGTTTGCAACAAAAGAAAGGTCAATAGCAATGATGCATTTAGAACCTTGAGCAAAGTTGTTTTGTTATTATCAAACTTTAACAGCCCAAGATCGAGTAAAAAATGAGGAATATAAATTGTAAAAGCTCACTGTATATTGAAGTTTTTCAAATTCAGTTCTGGTATCGGGGAGTATGATTTATTTTTGACTGGCTGTTTCAAACATATTTGAAGCTTCAATCAAGATTTGAAATTGAATGAAACATTATGTCCAGTCAAATGGTCTTTGCTTAGTTCTGGTGGGCTGTTGTTCTAAATATTTTTTTTAATTTTTATCTGAAAAAAACCCCAAAATACCAAACACACCATTCAACTTAGCAGCCACACATTTTATTTCTATTTAAATCAGTTGCATTGTTGAGTAAAAGACAATGAGATAATGCAAAATCCAAAATATATCAAAGAAACAATTTTAATTTAAGATCTAAGATCTAATTTTTGTAATAAAAGTTACACACACTTTGCATAGCAGAGGACTAATTAACACGAATTAACATTACTTGTTACTAACGAATTAACATGATTGCATATTATCTATAATGGAAAACACATAGCTAAAAATGGTATTAGATATCAGCTCATATTTTCTGAAGATTAATCCCACTTGTATTTTTTCATATAATTAAAACCTTTGAAGGAATTTAAAATAATTTAAAATTCTTGCACTTTTTGAGCTTTTTGTTCCACCTGGAAAGACTGGGTTTTCACACAAATAGAACCTTGCATTGAAATGAGCCTTGGCACTATACAAAGGTACAATAAATATCAAGCTGAAATTTATATAGGAATGTCAAATGAACAATTTTCTGTTAAAACAATGAGTTATATCAATGCACACCTACTTGGTTGGTTCTTCTCCTAAATACTCCGCGGGGGAGTTTTAACAGGAGGCCAGAAAAACTGGGGCAAACCCCTTCTCTTAGCGAAAAGTGTTACTGGATTCCTTTACGTGCATTGCATAACACAACACACGGGACCTACGGCTTTACGTCCCATCTGAAGGACGAAGCAATAATGGTTAAGTGCCTTGCTTAAGGGCACAAGTGTCCAGACCCGGGCTTGAACCCACATTCTGCTGCCTCTGAAACACCAGAGCATGAGTCTGGTGCGGTGCTCTTATCAGCTAGGCCATGACACTCTACAAATTAACTGAAGATATTTCCTGCTCTTCCTTAGCTTACCTGTACATGAACATTCTGCAAGTTTCCTCACATCTGTGAAATTAAAGACACGGCACTGCCAATACCTACATCTTAGAAACTATTGTGAAGACTTACTTGCCAGGTTGGTGGAGGTTCGGCTGAAAGAATGAAGTACAAAAGGTACTTTATCCGAACATTTTGGTTGTGGGAGAGTTTTTCTACTGACATTTTATCGGAAGTGCATTCTAAGCATTGCTCAACAGGAGAGTTTATAAAATTGTGTTCTCTTACAGATTATAGTAAGTTAAATTTACAGATTTAATTGAAGTTAAGAAAGATTTGTAACTGTATGGTTGTAGTAAGAACTAGTGAAGGTTTGCGGTAACAACACGTAGAAATCTCTTTGGGGAACGTGTGGTTGTGAAAAGAGATTTCTACATGGTGTCACCGCAAACTGTCACTAGTTTATTGAAGTTGAAATTCACATGGTTATATGTGGTTATGGTGGTTACAATGGTTATATTATTTTCCCAAATAAAACAGTGCAGCTATAAAGTCATAGCATACTACTGTAACCCTTATTTTAAGTCTTCTTTAAAAAAAAAAAAAAGGGAGTTTAAAAATTACAATATATGTCCTAATAATTTAATTTTTTTAAAAAGCTCTTGTTTGTGTTCGGATTTTCTTTGTACTTTTCTTTCGGTCTCCCCCCCCCCCCCCATCCCATCCCAAATTGACTTTGAATACCTTTTTACCAGTAGTAGACCTATATCATTTTGTGAACTTCTTTTAAATACCGTTCCTTGCTTGGAAGAACAATTGCTTTTGCCAGGGAAATATCTTCAATATAATCAAATCAGTTTCATATGAGGCGGTACCACCCTCAAGTTCAGCAGGTACCGCGTCAAAACGTCCTGCCACAGACCACACAGTGCCCAACAGGGGGCGTAAGTCAGCGTGATCAAGCCCATGAAGTTGAAGGCCCGGTCACTGTAGTCCCAGGAACACGCGTCGAACTGCCGCAGTAGCAGACCGCTGCAGAGCTCCCAGGTGTAGGCTACGCAGACGTACAGGACGACGCGGGGGACGAGCGGTACGCGGTGGCGGAGCCGGACGTACAGACGCTCCACCACGTAGCTGGCACTGCCGTAGATGAAGAAGGAGTAGATGGAGGTGTAGCCCACCAACTGCAGAGAGTTAAAACGAGAGTAAAGAATCAAATTAGGTTTTGCCCTTCACCGACGTATAAACACTGTATACTCAGTGTGTTACCTCCCGAGTGAAAGTTGGAAAAAATCACCCGGGTGGGACGCGAACCCACGACTTCCTGCTTTCTAGTGCAGATGTCTTACCACTCGACCACCGAGCTAACAGGATCGGTTAGCTGGTTCGAATCTGATGTACATAGCAGCGGGTACCGCATTAACTATTCATAAGATCAGTGGCGTAGCCAGGAATTTTTCAGTGGGGGCGCTGAGGGGGCTGGAACATTTCATGGGGATGGGGGGGGGGGGGGGGGGGCGTCAAGCAGGGGCGTCAATCGCTTCTCAAAAGTGGTGGGGGGGGGGGGACATACCTTGATCATAAATGATGCAAGCGCGAAGCGCGAAGCCCTTACGGCGTGGGGTTTGGGGCCCGCTTAAGGGCGCCGAAAAAAATAGATTCTAGATGTTCTGTGGTGTGATTTGAAGCAATTTCTTACGACTTTCCTCCATGCTAATTAACTAATATTTTCTGGGCAAAAGATAATTATTTGAACATCGTTTTCGAGGTTGGAGACATTGAGTCAGCTATCGGTATTCTGAGCTATTGGCGTGGGGTTCGGGGCCCGCTTAAGGGCCCCGAAAAAAAATTGGATTTTCGATGCTCTGTGGTGTGATCTGAGGCAATTTCTTACCACTTTAACCAATAATTATCTTAGCACAAAAGATAATAATTTAAACATAATTTTCGAGGTTTTTTCAGCTAAAGGCATAAGAAAATTTTGTGAACATTGTTTTCGAGGTTGGAGTCATTGAATCAGCTACCAGAATTCTGAGCTATAGGCGTGGGGTTCGGGGCCCGCTTAAGGGCCCCGCAAAATTTTGGATTCTAAATGCTCTGTGGTGCCATCTGAAGCAATTTCTGACCACTTTAACCAATATTTTCTAAGCAAAAGATACATTGTAGTACATAATAGGGCCCATGGCGTCATGTAGATCAATGATTATTTTTTTAGAAACTCAAAATCTCAGTGGGGGGGGGGGGGGGGGGGGGCGGCGACTGGGGGGGGGGGGCGACAAGGTTCATGGGGGGCGGTCGCCCCCCCCCCACGCCCCCCGGTGGCTACGCCACTGCATAAGATGGAATTTTGCGTCGGGGTGATGTAAATCAAATTAGGTTTTGCCCTTCACCGTATAAACACTTTATACTCGGTGTGTTACCTCCCGAGTGAAAGTTGGAAAAAATCACTCGGGTAGGACTCGAACCCACGACCTCCTGCTTTCTAGTGCAGATGTCTTACCACTCGACCACCGAGCTAACGGGATCGGTTGGCTGGGGGGGGGGGCAAAACCTAATTTGATTTACATCACCCCGACGCAAAATTCCATCTTATGAATAAGAATCAAGATGTTATCATGACGAGCAAATTTGAAGGGACTGATTTCTTTTCCCAATCTGTTTGAACTTTGTTACGATGGGTATAGGAAAGCAAGAACGCACCCGGTTAATAAATGTATGTGATGTGCGCCTGAAATTTGGAAACCCTAAGGTTGCAGGCCTGTAAATCGGTACGAAATTGCCTTCGCCGGCCAAATCACGATTTGCATGCCCTCAAATTATTTTATATTTAAGCATATTGTGGGCCATGAACTTGAGGGTTTGTAAAAAAAAATATATGGGTGGAAGCCGTGCACAGGACTACGAGCTTGTGTTTCTGTGAAATTTGGATGAAGTTGGGGTCCCAAAAGCGCTCTATTTTGCAATGGAGTGTAGGCACAGTTTTTCAAAATGGCGATGGGCTTCAGGACAATTTTAAGGGGTGATCATCTTCGGATGAAAATTTATCCTTAAAGTCATCAGTTAACCCCTAGAAAATTGAAAGGAAAATGAAAGATGATGTAATAAGCTTTAATTTGATGTGTGTCTCGAACACCTTCGAGAGTTGTGAGTATTTTCCCCGAATTATCGGAAGAGGGAGCATTTATCATTGGGGTATATGGAAGTTTATTTATTGGTCTGCACCCCTATTGGTCATAATGATTGCAAAATCCCCGAACATTTCCGGACGTTTAATATTCGTTGTAAATGCCGGGAATATATTCTTGCTCTCCCAGCCCTGAATCGACGCCAATAGTAGCCCCGTCCCATTTCTTTACGCGATTTCCCATCTGATCCTAAATTCTTAAAATCCTCAAGACATTTGAGGGTGTTCCGGTCCCCGGATCTCGAAAATTCAGCAGTGGCAGATTTTACTGCAGACAATTCATGCTAAGATTTGAAGGTTTGCAATGTGTGTCAGTGCATTAACCCTCCTACTGTTTGAACAGTCACAGACAGTCAAAAATCCCATCCAGTTCCCCTGTCAAGCCTTTTATACAGGCTAGTCACCAACAGTCAGATCATATTCAAGCCCACTGTGACTAGTAATTCAGTCGACAGACAAAAACAGGAAACTGGTGAGCACAGCTGTCTTATATCAATCACCTACAGTCAAAGCATAGCTGTATTAAATACATAAACAGTCACAGCAGTCAATCCTGCTTTATGTTAACTGGGAGCTCTTAACTGTTAAAAACAGTCAATGAATAATTTGCCTGAAAGGACAACTGGGCACAGAATGCATGTTTGCATAGGAGGGTTTCTAACAGAAGTTTGCGATGGCACTGTACCATCATGTGACAAGAAACTCTTGCGTAAGGTTATGTTTATATTCTGTCTTTAAATTGATTCGCAAGGGAGAGCGCGAACGCAGTCCCCACTATCAGAAATTGTACTTGGTACTTGGTTGGTGAACCTCCAAAACATTCCATCTGGGGAATTTAAACTGGAGGTGTGGTGAGAGTGGTCGAGATTAAGTATTGTCACGAAGAGCATTCTTTAAGGAGTCTGGGTTGGTGAGCGCCACTGTTGAGTCCGGGAGGTCATTCCAATTGTTAAATGTTCTTGTGAAAATGAAGAAGCATATGTGTCGGCCCTGGCCTGGTGAAGTTGGAACTGTCTATTGTGTCCTCGTCGTGATCTTTTAGTTTTTCGGATGATGTATTTGGTATGGTCAACGTCCGTTAGTCCATTCAGGATTTAAAAAAAGGTGCGGTGCTGTTTTCTTTTCTTCCGAGGGTGTCCAAACAAGATCTTTCATGATAGCAGAGTTGCTAGTGTCACGTCCATAGGTGTTTGAAACGAACCTTGCAGCTCTCTTCTGGACTTTTTCTAGTTCTTTGATGTTCTTGGAAGCGTGAGGGTCCCATGCTACCGTAGCGTAGTCAAGATGAGGTCGAACAAAGGTAAGAAACAACCTCTCTTTGATGGAGGATGAAGCATGATGAAAATTTCTTTGGATGAAATTCAGGATTTTTGTAGCCCTGACAGCTGATTCATGCTGGAGTTGTACTTGTAATGTTAAAATTAAACGAATTCGGTAAACGAGAAAATGCGCAATGCACGAAAGGATGAAATTTTGAAAAGAGCATCAAACCAAGTACTACTGGCATCCACGGACGAGTTTGTCAAGGTATATTCCGCTGTACGGAAAAAACTCTTTTATACTGGAAAGTATGGGGTGTCTTACCCATAAAGTTGAATATATAACAAAAGACATTTATACATGTGTTTTAAGGGTTCCTCTACGTTGTAAAGTTCCAATTCTGACCAAAATGGAGCACTGCTATGAGACCCTCTGTTTATGGGATGTTGATTTTAAACTGAAGTCAGCGCTGATGGCGCATTGCCGCATTTGCAATGATGCTCATCTTTGAGGTTGGCCCTTGTCCAACTCTTGAAGTCAGCTGGTCACTTGCTTGCCCGTAATGCTCATGACATCATTTATGTGCACGCAAATACCCTTTCGAAGTATATTCAGATCGGCTTCTGAGTTTAACATAATTTTCCACCATGGGAAAACATATTTTCTGGACATTTTCGATAAAAGACGAATTTTATACGGGCACAACGTAATTAATGAAGTGTCTCTCGAGGAAGAGGGCGGGGATCGATAGCAGAATGGAGTAGACAATTTCTTGGATATTCATCATTCGAAATGCTCGGACATTCAGCAAGACCTTACTGGTCTAAATTGGATTAAGCATAATATGTATTGGTTCGCTGAGCGATTTTTAAAGTGCTTTGTATAGATTTCGTGCGAATTACTTGCCAGACCACTACATTCGATCGAACCGTTCATCAAGCATCATTAGCCAGTATGTTACAATATGGTCGTTTATATAGGTGACTATTTTTCCCGTCAAAATGTGTTGCAGAAAAATGTGCCAAAGCGATGCACAAAGTGCACGAAAACAGAGTTTATTCATTCAGTCGTCTTCGAATGCTTGCTCTGTCTCCCTTTTTGCTCCTTGCTCTATGCTGTGTCCAGGTTACATGTGTTTTAAAGTAATATCCATTATATAGGCTACAGCAAGGAATGATTTGCCTCAATCATCTTTATCGAGTAAAACACACTCAAGTCAATGCATGTCGAAGAGGGAAACAAAATTGAATAGCCAGATAGTTTGGATTAAAAAATGAGACTGTTCCGGGGAAATACAAATTCTTTCAAATTAAACATTAGTTAATTCATCAGGTGTTGTTTTTGTCTTCTTCATTTGTTTCATTTTCGTTCTCTTACCTGATAATTTGGCTTGTTGTGAACCACGATTTCATACAGTGCAGTGAAGATGACCTCATCCAGGAACCCGTGCATCCCGTAGAAAAACAGGCGAGCTATCAAGGGCAGAGGCTGGTAACCAGATTCGTCTTGCCTCATCGATCCTTGCTTTCCCATCGAAGATGACGACGAAGATGATAATGCTGATGCATCCGTGTTGTTCTCGTTGAGATCCGTTCTCGACGGTGCTTTAGCGCGTTGGCTACGCTTGCCATTCGCAATCCTAGTTGTTACACCATTCGATACACTGCTTGATCCACGCATGGCTGTGTTTTATTTCGAAATCCGAGTAACTGCTAGACGAATGTACATGTCAGGTGTGTTTTGCGTGTTGTGCTGGGTTTTGCCGCACGCCGGCCCCTCAGTAGCTCCACGATTTTCAATTAAACAGAACGCTCTTAACACGTGTGTGGTCTGAACGATATCAAGACAGCAAACAATTTATAATTTTTTCCGGGTGGTACATTATAGCGATACAGTCACTGTACTGGCATATCTGTTATCCTGCTTATCGCAAAATCAATAAGCCCATTCATTTCCTTTTCCATATCATCAGCCAACGCCGTGTGTGCGTGCCCTGTGTTAACATAAAGGTATACCCGCGTTTCGTAAACCTGAAGAGGAAATAATGGCCTTCAACGAATTGAAGTCACCACGCGACGGTAACAGTACATGTACGTTCATTATTAAAACGCACTGAACATTAACCGTGTTTATTATGATTTCAGTGCTTTTATACCGGCTTATTATATGAGAAAATATAGTCTAACCACAAAGCAAGAACCCCAGCAAAGTGCAAAAATGAAAAAAAACCACCTTATTTTTGATTGCCTCGTGTCATCACGTGATACCAATTTGAAAGATAAAGGGCATCGCGCATGACGTTCAGTACCAAAGGGTAGTTAGTCGAACCATGGAGCTATATAGCTCCATGGTCGAACAGGGTAGGGTTCGATTCAAAGTGCAATGTCAAACAGGGTGACCGTTTTAGCCGATTTTCGGCTAACTTTGACAGAACTCTTGTTAAAAAACAAGTTTGACAGAAAATTTGACAGAATGGGGTTTTTTTTTGCAGATTTCTGGCAGAATTCTGTAAAAATGGTTATTTGACAGAAAAACAGCAAATTCCAACAAAAAAGTGTACCTTTTTTTTAAAAAAGCTTCAATCTTTTCAAACAAACCCTTGCATAATAGGACAGGTTGGCTGGTCTAGGTGCTAAGGTTCACTGGGAAACTTCGTCGTGGCCAGATCCGCGTTTTGCCCGAAATTTACCAATAATTTCACAACATCTTGATGTTGGGTGACAAGATTGTTTATTATGCAATTTGAATCTTAATTAAGGCAATACTACCAATCTGCATGTGGTTTTAAGTATTTATAGTGTATTTCGAGTAATTCTGGGGAATTTGGCAGATTCTTGATAAATCTGACAGATTTTTGATGTGCATTTAGCAGAATTTGGCTCTGACCTAACGGTCACCCTGATGTCAAAACTGACTCATCAAACCATGCATTAATAATATGCGGACTCGTGAGAGGGCTGTGGTGTTGAGGACCGGCACACTGAATCATATTCCGTTCATTTGGTTAATTTTTGACAGGCTAACTAAGCATGGTGGACGAAAATCACAACTTTACTCAACCATGACTCAACTCGCCCCTTAATTGTATTCTAATTGTATTCTGCCTCAATTTAAGGGTTACTCCAACATCTAGGAAATGCAACAAGGCCTACTCAGATTCGAACTTGCACAGGAGTGTTATACAAAAACGGGTCTGAGTAATAAAATACCCTTCTTGGGAATATTGTCTGAAAATAACAAAAGTTATATTAAAGCTATTTATTATACCGAAGAATGTACAGCCCCCCCCCCCCCCCCCCCCCACCCCGTAAGTTTTCGGGAAATTGGATTAAGTCTACCGGTGAGGAGAAATGTCGCCCTCTATTGGCGGGCATTTAAACATATTATTGCATGTCATGCCTGTCGCGCGCTTTATCATGCAGCATGCAGAAGCAGGTGTCAAAGAGTCGCAGTCAATGACATTGGAAACCTAGTTTACCTAGGTACGGTACCGAAATATTGATTATGTTAGTGAAAATAATTGTGGGGTGAAATTGAAATATTGTAGCATCATGCTTGGCATTGTGCCAGGCTCCCAGCTATGGGCATCATGATGGCTAGACTAATTACTACAGCGTTTCAAACTTCAAAGTACTTCGGGAAGGAAAAAGTGTTAGGCCTGATGTATTTCTTGTAACAGTGTATAATTCAGGACCAAAACACACACTTTTATGTTTCGGGACTTATTAGGCTTCCTACCTAAATAAGATAGTTGGCAATGATACCGGCAGGAAAAGTCACTTTATGTATATTGTGCTTAAACTGAAATAGTTCGCTAAAATACCATGTTGAATATCAGCTGGCTTTAATATTTTTGTAGAAAGAGGCATGAGAGGGCAATGGCATGGGGCCAAACTTCCACAGGCAGACTGGTCTGCACTGCTGTGACTCGCATAGCCTTGGTCAAGGTGTTCGTCATTTTCCGTCCGTACGGTATTTGGCGGCATATCACCGCGCGCGTACAGCGCGAACAGCGATCTCATGCGGCCACTATTTATATAATGCAAATCGGATCCAAATGATTTGCATAACAAAATATAATTATCAATAGTTTGCTGTTCACGCTGTTTTTTTTTTTTTTTTACATACAATACATGGCGAGGATATGCCGCCGAATACCGTACGGACGGATAATGACCAACGCAATGACCAAGGCTACGACTCATGTCTCTCAGTATATATTTTAACCTTTAACAATACTTCGACCTTCGGCTCCATTGCAACATTGTTCGCCTAGAAACAAAATCCGGGTTGTTTGTTTACCAGGATGAATTGAAAATCAGAATAGAACCCGGGTCGGGGTTTCGGAGATCGAGGCTGGTGGGGACCGAAAATGCCGGATATTCGTAACCATATTACACCCCCGAATGCTCGCTTTGTCCCCGAAATCCTTAGGATTAGGATTAGGGCTAGGGTTAGGGTTATAGGGTAGGGATTTCGGGGAATGGAACGTCGGTATATTGGGGAACATAGGTATGCACCCCTTTGTCCCGTCCCATCCCCCAGGATTCCTGGGAAATGATACGGTCCCTGGGTATATCACCTACGGATGAGTTCGTATTATGCTCGGGCATCCTCAAACTGTTATCAGAATTTACCGTAATTTATTCATGCTTACAAAATACACCCGGAACTTGGTGAACAATGAAAATAAGGCAGTTTCTGAAGAAAAAAGAGACGGGGAAAAAAAACTCACTTCAATCAGGAATTGGATAGTTTGTCCTCGGTTTTCTCCTCAAACGTAATTCCTTCTTGTGATGGAAAAAGTTGGTCTCGAAACTGTCCTTTCCCCATTTCCGTGGTTTTGGATCCAGATTTTCAAATTAGGTGTTAATCATCCAATGTGGTGTTGTTGTTCCCCATAAACGTCATATCAGGATCATTTGCATTTAAACCAAAATAAACCTATCGAATTATTATAACCGCTATTAAAACCAGGTTTAAAAAAAAATCTAATTCTCTTCCAAAATACTAAATAAAAACTGCTCTTGGCTTCAAACGTCATGTTAGAATTGACTGTAGAGTCAATTTTGAACGGTTCTTGTATGGAGGTTTCTTAAACTGCACTTGTGCCGCAGCAGCTCTCCTTCCGCAGCACTTTTTGGTAAGGCCTGTGACTCGGGAGCTATTAAAATATGCGAAATCACCCAAGCGGTTATTTATTTCGCTTCTAGCACTACGATCATGACAACTTACGTGTAGGCCCAACGTTATTCACTGTAGTAACACTTCAATTCTGCCATCAATCACAGATGAATTTTTCTTTTCATGCCCAAAACTAGCCCCATAATATATAAATGCAGCTCAAATACTGCTCTGAACTCCCTCTACGTTGAATTTAGTTTTTGACAGAGTCCTTAGCCTTTAATTTTCATGCGAAATTTGCAGTGAGTTTGTCCAAAAATGAGTGCAGTATTTGTCTTGGGGTCACAGGTCAAATATATGTGACCTTTGTTTATCTCAGGTAAGTATCTTCCGTAGTGATTAACAAGTGAAAAAGAATTGTGCCAGTTTCGATTTCATTCAAAACAACTTTAATTTCCTCTCCTGTGTGACGTGTTGCTATCACCGCTGTGTGGTTCACAATACACAGGAAGACCAGAAATTAGGTGTTGTTAATTACACTTAAATATTTATTAAAAATTTCCATATTTTCAGAATTTCTGTACTCACCCTGTATTGAGGTGAGACATTAAACCTTAATATTTCCTTATAGTGGTGCTGTATAGCCCCAATATCATTAGAAAGGTGGCAGAACCACTTTTTGCCAAAAATTGTGGGATCACTTTTTATGCAACTGACTCGTTCTACCTATGAATATTAATATGATATACACAATTGTAATGACACTTTTTCATGACCCAAGTCTAAACCTTGACTCACTGTGCCATAAGCTTGAGAATTTTCAGATCTGGGGACATCATATTTGACGTAGTGATACCCTCGGAGAGGTCACTGAACTTTGTATATCTTAGTTTCCGTTATTTGTCATATTTATTCATCAAAACGCCTTTTTTTCGTGACCAAGTCCTCAATAGTGCCAACGAACGGTATTGCACCTATTAGTTTAATGTCATATTATGAATTCAGACCCCACAAACAATTTTGAGGTGACCTCTGACCTCGTTTCTCCTTGTTTTATTGGCAGACGCAATATGATGAGATTGGAACTTAAATTTGTGGATCTGTTTAGTTATGGAAAATGTACATGTGCCAGGCAATATTCACTCTTGTGTATTTATCACACCCTTCTGTATCAAAATGGACTTGGATAACCACGTTTTGAACCTTTTTACCAAGCCTTATGGTCTCTGTAAGAGAGTGATGCTTGTCCGATGTGCAGCTCAAATTATTGTTTGATTGTGATTATTTGGAAAATTGAGATCAGATGTCATGCAAAAAAAACTTTGTGGTCACACTTCATGACATAATCGTAGAATAATGTTAAAATACACTCTTTTTTTTATCTCTTATTAGACTTCGGTCATGAAAAAGTGGCATTTGGAATAATAAAAATTATAAATAACGGCAATCAGAGTATACAAAGTTTATTGACCTCGCAAAGGTCATCAGAGGTCAAATATGAAATGTCTACATATCTGAAAATTCATATCATTTGGCAAGAATACCCAAAATTTAGAAATGGGTAATAAAAAAAGGTGTTTTGAATATACGTAATCCTCGTAGTATCTGTAAATAGGATACACAAACTTTATTGACCCCTTGAAGGTCATCAGAGGTCAGATATGAGATTCCCTTCATATGAAATTCTTTTCATAACATGAACCACATAACATTTTGACTTGGGACTTGGGTCTTAGTACACTGACTATGTAAAAATTGCCAGCATGCCAGGGGGATCGCGCAAGTTTCACTTGCTGCAGTATTTTTTCAAATCAGGTTTACAGGTCTTAGTAGAAGTTCAGTCATATTATTATTTTGTTATTTATTATCCGCGGTCTCGGTCTCGGTCTCGGTCTCAGGGGCGGATCCAGACTGCCATTTGCCGGGGGGGGGGGGAGGCTAGAATTGTAATGAAGGGCCTGCGAGCGCGGAGCGCGAAGCCCTTACGGCGTGGGGTCCGGGGCCCGCTTAAAGGGAATATAAATCATTTGCTTTTGCTGTAATTTTCAGAAATGGATGGAATTGGGGGGTTGGAAATATATAGCAAACATAGTTACACTGACTTTTTTGAGGTTTTGGGTTCGAAAATGCTATAAAAACCAAGAAAAACAATCATTTTCCTGTAGTCTGGTTCCCTGACTCCATATAAGAAGAAACAGAGCAGTTTACATACATTGGGGATTGTAAGGTCAGGGAACCAGTCTAGCTGGCTTGTACCCGTTCATAGGTGTGTAATCGATTGCAAACAAGTGCGATGGTCAATTGGGGCCAGTATTTGAAAAAAAGGCAAGTTTTTTTCCAACGCTGGCCGATCAGCGTTGGAAATTGATTCAAAAATACCACTTTTCTTGAAAATGACAGTATACCAGGTGCCATGAGTTTACAGGATGCTTTACACTGTCATTCACTAACAGTCCAGCAAGGACCAGCAATAGTATTGCGTTGTTTCGCAATAGTATTGCGTTATTTCGCAAAACTATTGGGTTATTTCGCAAAACTATTGCGTTATTTCGCAATAAAATATTTTTTTCACTTTTAAAATCTGGCACGAACGCAACCTCGTCCCCAGGGTGTCGAACAGTACGCGCCCATCACTACCTGCTCTCTCACCCTGGTATTGGATCATTTGCATGTGCAAGATTTTTGCACACGTATGCAAATGAGGAATAGTGTGGTGCCTTGGATATGCTTTACATTAGCGTTTGTTTTTGTATGCGGTGTCTGGGGTAAAAACAGAGTCAATTCGTCGCAGCACGAGCACGGCGTGAGTTACGAAAACACGATTTTTTTAATTAAACTGTTACGATCTTATCGAGACAACATGCAGTATCACATTTCATTTTAATATGAACAAACTGGAAAGGAAATTAGTATTTTCGAGAAGGCGTGGATGAATGATCGCGAAAACACGTACTGCACGTTGTGAATAATATAGCACCAAGTACACGATAAAAATTCATTACTAGCCAATTGCGGTATCTAATCAGGATACAGAAGAAAGTTTCCTATCCAGGGTTTACTATTGGAAACGCGGTTGGAAATAAAGTAAGCACTGGGGACGAGGTTGGCACGAACGGGCTTCCGTAGAACTGTGACTGCTGCCGTTTAGCTAGTCTATTCGCCGTGGTCTATTGTGCGCGAACAGATTTGCTGATTAATTAGGCAAGACCCGGCCTCTTGACTTCCTAGATTTTGACCAATCAGCAGGCGCTTTCTATAGGTCTATTGGGTCTTCGGTCATTCACCTGTTGCGCGTCATATAGATGGATTTAAAAAAAAAAAATGTCACGGCGCGCGGCGCTCGGTACAAATGTGCTCCCGGCTGTTGTTGTATTACAAAACGCTGCATTCGAATTGACCAATCTCAGCGTTAGTCCTGATTTTGGGATGAAGTGACGTCACGATTTACTTTCGGATTTAGTAAAGTCGACTCCGATTGGCTGGCGCGCGGCTTGCATAAATCTGCATGCTTTGACATATCAGACGTTAGACAGGAGATGGCTCCGTGGATAACGGGTGGTACTCAGACTACCGTTTAGCCAGCAAACACTGCACTGCGTTTTGAATCAACAGAGAACACCGAACAACCTTGCAACATGGGGTGCTGTTTTAGAAAACGGCAGGGTGAGAGACATAGTCATTGTATTCTTTCCTTTCAATTTAAAATCAATGAAGATTTGTAATAGCCAAGTATCGTATCGCCTATGACGTGGTGGTTTTACAGACGATGTAGTGTTGAGTTTAATAGTTTAGTAAAAATATCCTCCTAACCAAGATGATTCGTCTTCTCAATAATGCCTTCTAAAAAAATGTCCTCCTAATCATGATGGCTTGTCTTCTGAGGGAGATTGGCTTCCTCGAGTGACTCTACTTCAGGTGAGGCCTGTTTATCCTGGTCACTATCTTGGCTCATTTCACTTATCTCCTGCAGCTGAGTTTTTGGAGAAACTTGATTTTCTTCCCTGCTGACTAATCCTCCTTCTTTTGGCCCAAGGCTTCAACGGTTTTCCCTCATAGGGCTTGAGGCGTGTCGCTGTGGACAGCAGTCACGTCTGTGGCCAAATTTTTAGAATGAAAATGTTATGATTTTTTTGGACCAATAATTGTTGTGAGTGTCCTGTATGGGATATATGTAACAAATAAATTTGGTGCGGTGCCACGCAACAAAATAATTTCAAACCCGCCAGATGTACTCTTTGTGAGAGTGTGTATGTTACTCCAGGATACGGAGTTTTTAGACATTTTCCCCCGCTCTCCCCTGAATGCCGTGCTTTGACCGTGAGCGAGTGACACCCACAAAATTAGACCCTCGACAATTATATGAATTGTACCCGAAAAGCACTGAAAATGTAATCTGGCCTAAACAACTGCGAGCACAGTGTGGACAAGCCGAATTTTGTCTTTGTAGTGTTAGAGAAGTTTACAGTTAAAAAGTCCATAGAGCATCTGTTTCTTTGCAACTTTTTGTGTGTGTTCACAATAATTATTTCGATTTCGAAAATGAGTTGTTCTGGCGAAGGTTGCGAACGTTTCATTTTAAAATCGCGTTCGCCAACGTAGCTGCCGTGTGTGCCTGATATTAGCCGGCACGGGAAGCTAACTTGCGCCGTCGATTCGACGAATTCCACGGCGTACCTTGGCCAGCACGACACGGTCACGGTCTTTCTGAACTAAGTCAGTATTCAGTTAGTTTGCATGTTTTAACTGCTGACGTCATCAAACCGGAAATAACGTGTACGTGTACATAAAATGTACTGAAATTTATCATAGGCCCTACCCCAAAAGATACGATTTTATTTTCAAATTAAAACGAATGGCTAATGGCTGTACTGGAAAGGCTTGAATTTCATGGTCATTTTTGTTTTGTTCTGACATAAAAATATTTGCACGTTGTGTATATAATGTCGAGCATCATAAGCTTCTTTCTTGAGAACATTGCTTAACAAGCGACGGGCTCCCCTGATAATCGCATCCAATAATCCATTATAACTTTATTTTTTCTTTAAAAAAACCAACAAATTTGCAATTAGAAACTTTCCGTGCTAAGCAGCCGTATGCAATTTTCCCTGCGTTTTATGGCAAGGGTTAAATTGCCATATTTCGTACCCGCATGCATGAACTCGTACTTTGAGTTGGCTGGCTGTCAAAAGGAACTAAAATGTATTATTCAACCATTTATGACTGGAAAAAGTTCTTGCACAAAAGCCACGGCAGCCTAAACGAGCCATGCATGGCGGTTCATTCACGGCGGATAACTAGGATCCGCATTCCATCCATCGCGTCGGAACTCCTTTTGTAACACGCTATTCGTGACTTTGGGTATTTTTTTTGGGGGGGGGGGGGGACAACTGTGACTAAAACTGATTTCCTGCTACCGTTTAGCCAGCAAAAAGTGCACTGTGTTTTCACTTGCATTAAAGGGAGTGACATCATTGGCTTTTGCTGTAATTTTCAGAAATGAACTATTTGAGGGGTAAGTATAATAGATCAAATGTTGTTACACTGACACGTGTGTGAAGTTTTGTGTTCGAAAATGCTGGAAAACCAAGAAAATAGACAAATGTTCAAGTAGTCTGGTTCCCTGACTCCACTGAAGATGGAGTGGATCAATTTATAGATGCCGGAAAATTGTAAGGTAACGGAACCAGTCTAGCTAGCCTGCACCCGTTCAGGAACATGTAACCAATAACAAACAAAATTTGGACCTTTAAAAAAATCGTAAATTTGGAGCAGTACTTGAAAAATAGTTAAGTTTTTCCAACGGTGGTCGGCCGACCACCGTTGGAAATGTATACAAAAATACAACTTTCTTGAAAATGACTTCACACCAGGTGCCCTAATTTTGCAGGATGTTTTACACTGTCATTTACCAGCATCCTAGTAAGGTATTTTGTAAAAACTAGGTAGTTTTATTTTTCGATGCTTGCAAATGTTGTATTTTCCCTTAAAGAAAACAACAAACAAGTTTGCAACATGGATGCTGTTTCACAGTAAGGTTAGAGCTATGGTATCCTTTTTTTTTCAATTAAAAATCAACGAAGATTAAAACAGCCAAGTATCTTATCGCTCATTTTAGGTTAACGGCAATTTTAAAAAACCAGGTTTTTTTTCGAGATTTAGAAATACAGGGTGAGTAAAAAAGAAAGAGACCCACGCAGTCTAAAGAAAATGACTTCTGATAGCATTGATCAATTTCAGTAATTCGTTTTTGAAAAGAGGGGAAGAAGATGCTCTTTTCAGATAAAACTCATTGTTGTGTTGAATTTGATTGCTTTTGAAGAAAAAAAATCATTAATTTGGGTGACTTTCTTTTTGGCCCACCCTGTAGAGTCATTTGCTCGCAGTGACTCGAGTCGAGTCGAGTCATTTGCCCTCAGGGACTCGACTCAAGTCAAGTCACCAAAAATTGTGACTCGAGTCGGACTCGAGTCGAGTCATTGACTCGAGTCATTGCAACTCTCTGTAGTGTTGAGTTTAATATTTTAGGGGAATTTTAAAGACATTTTCGAGATTGCGAAGTAGAAACGTTGTGGCAAACCTTCGCTTGTTTTGCTTTTTTTACTAACAGGTTTTTGAGAAATGTTTCACACCAGAAGGCAAAATGTTTTGGGACCATAGAGGGTACTCATGTTTTATAATCCCCTTGGAACTGGTGGTGGGCTTTCATTGAAACAACTAAGTAATCTAAAATATAATGGTTAAATGCATTTTTTCCAGACTTTGAAATGACCGATAATCTCGTTGAAACAACATTTACTGTTTAATGAAATGTATTTCCTACATTCATGGTACTGGAAGTATATTTCAGGGAGACACTTAGTCCGTGCGAGAACAATTCCATGAACAGCTGAGGCGTGCGGATTGTGGTCAGTAACTATACTTGCATGATTGCAGAAAATAAAACTAATTGAACTACAACTGACATTAATTTTGTTAGTTGAAGGTGCGGCCGAGTTAACGGAAAGAGACACAGCAAAGACAGGCGGCACAAGTGGTCAAGTAAAAAAGTCGGTAAGTGAAAAAATAAATAAATAAAAAAGCACATTTTGCCCCTTTTTTACTTTTAAATATGAAGTAAATCAGATCTACCGTTTGTACCATCATACCCAGAAAATTGGGCCGTTAAAGCGGCCTCATTAGAAAGCATTATAGATCATTATCATGCTGCGGCCATTTGGATTTTCCAAAGCTAGGCTGGAAGGAAAATAGTCTGGTTCCTTTTTTTTTTCTCACAAAACAAACATCATTCAGTAATGTTATTGGATACAGGAACATGACTGAAATGATGGCAGCATGGGAAAAAAAGCTTCGAAAGCTTTAAACGATCAGCTATTTGCTGCATGCAGTGGCGTAGCCAGGAATTTTTCAGTGGGGGGGGGGGGGGCCGCTGGGGGGGGGGGCTGGAACATTTCATGGGGGGGGGGCGTAAGCAGGGGCGTCAATTTCTTCTCAAAAGTGGGGGGGGGGGACATACCTTGATCATAACTGATGCAAGCGCGAAGCCCTTACGGTGTGGGGTTCGGGGCCCGCTTAAGGGCCCCGAAAAAAATTGGATTCTAGATGTTCTGTGGTGTGATACGACGTTCCTCCATGCTTTAACTAATATTTTCTTGGCAAAAGATAATTATTTGAACAGCGTTTTCGAGGTTGGAGACATTGAATCAGCTATTGGTATTCTGAGCTATTGGCGTGGGGTTCGGGGCCCGCTTAAGGGCCCCGAAAAAAAATTGGATTTTCCGTGCTCTGTGGTGTGATCTGAGGCAATTTCTTACCACTTTAACCAATAATTATCTTAGCACAAAAGATAATAATTTAAACATAATTTTCGAGGTTTTCTCAGCTAAAGGCATAAGAACATTTAGTGAACATTGTTTTCGAGGTTGGAGTCATTGAACCAGCTACCAGAATTCTGAGCTATAGGCGTGGGGTTCGGGCCCGTTTAAGGGCCCCGAAAAATGTTGGATTCTAAATGCTCTGTGGTGCTATCTGAGGCAACTTCTGACCACTTTAACCAATATTTTCTAAGCAAAAGATACATTGTAGTACATAATAGGGCCCATGGCGTCATGTAGATCAATGATAATTTTTTTAGAAACTCAAAATCTCAGTGGGGGGGGGGGGGGGGGGCGACTGGGGGGGGGGGGCGACAAGGTTTCATGGGGGGCGGTCGCCCCCCCCCCCCCACGCCCCCCAGTGGCTACGCCACTGGCTGCATGCATGTTTCGCAGTTGTGGCATCGGGCCGATTTCGACGTTATTTTACCAACAAAATCACTGTGAAACGTTTTCAGGGGTTACAATTTCAGGAAATCGTCGACGGAGAAGTGTATCTTCCGCACCAACATAAGCCAGATGAAGCGGTGCACTTCGGGGTTCGACTTGATGACGTCGATGGGCAACACGTCCTGTCAGAGACGGTGGAAAATAGCCTGGCACGCGACGCAGGAATTCAGTATGTAAAGACTAAAAATGGATTATTAAAAGAAGCTGGTGCTAAACTTGTTGTGTCTGGGTGTGTTCTGAATTTTCGCAATATCTCGGTTTTTTTTTTAAAGGGCCTGTGTCATTAATTGTACCATACAGTTTAATGCAAGTTCCTACTCATCTGAAACGTATGAAAACTATCTGACAATAAACTCTCTTTGGTTAGTTTTATTGAAATATGATTGTGTACGTTTGTAATGTTTTTAATTGTCCATGCTTTCCTGACAAATGAGGGCGTTGTTGCTGTGACGTCATTTCAGGAAGGACACTGTTCAGTTTGGGGGTTTTCTGTTCAAATTGTGAACCCAAAATTTGCTCACGGAAAACATTTGTGAGAAAACTTGCTCTTTGGCTTACTGACATGTACCGAATTAAAACTGCGAGTACCAAATTGTAACTGTCCAAAATAAGCAAACAAAATACATTAAAATACTTGACAAAACTTGTAACTATTCGTGACATTGTTAATGACATTTTTGAAAAGAGGCAAGATAATATGTGGCAATGTTATAGTCGCGTGGTATTTTTGTGCGCTACGAACTTAGGAGGTTACTAAGAGGGCTTCTATTACACACCTGTTACTATACATCACCCCTGCCACTGGCCCTGTGTCAGTTTTATGGGTCTCCAGGGCTTGGAGTGAGGATACGGTTTGCATTATGGAGGTCACTATTAATTTGCATTTTGACTTTTCAACAAAATGGGAAATTCGTATGCCAATTGACAACCACCACCAAGTTAGTAATCTTATCGTTTCATGCAAGACTCGCATGCAAGACGACCAGAGCTTATTGAGCAAGTCACACTTGTTTTTGTTTTACCAGCGATGGCGACGTTCTCGTGGACATCAACGGTACAAACATTGAGGGGCGCCAAGTCCAGTATCTTCTGGACCTTCTCCGTGAAGAAGTGAAGCACAGACTGCTTTTGGTGAGTTCTGACAGACTTTCTATTGTTCTTGTGACAACTTAAACCTATTGTCTCATTGGCAGTCATTGCTTGTTATTCAACCTATAGACTACTTTTTAAGGATAAATGTGCGATAGCCTATAGCCAAAATAATTTGTCATGACATACTTTGCTCAGTGGCGTATTCAGAGGGGGCGGGGTTACCTCCCCCCCCCCCCAGGCGGATTTTCTAAAAGACAATTTTTTTAATACATAAATGTAAATACCCATTTGGAAGATGGGTACCAGGCCCCCCCCCCCCCCCCCCCCACCCCTACCCCCGCTTTTTGATTTTACGGAGGCAAAGTGTCCGGAGGAAACACCTCTCTACATTTCGGCGCGAATGTGCGGTTCCCCCCCCCCCCAACATTAAAAGCTGGATACGTTGCTGACTCTGACTGTGTGCCAAATGCCATGCTTGTATCCAACAAAGGCACAATCACATCATCTATCTGCCGTACTAACTACATGTAGTTTGGTCAACAGTCTGCTCTTTATTTCTCGTTATATCCTGTACAACTATATATTGTTATTCGAGCAGTACTTGTGGCTCATTAAACCTTAAAGATAAGCCATGAAATGTAGGCCAAACCATTAAAAAAAAATTGTTTAATACGTACCATTTTCTTACAGACCGTAAAGCGCCAGTTGGATGAGGATAAGCACGTATTCGTGTGGACTTATTTCAAAGTTGTAGTAAAAGGTAATATTCAGTAATCTTAACATTATTCAAAACGATTCTTAAAAATCGACACAATAAATCGACTGTAGGTATTTCAGTGTATGCACCGTTAGCATCTATACGAGTTGACTGACGATTTGTGTTTTTAAAAACAACTTTGGTTTCATAACAAAAAATTGATCCCTCATCATTAACCCAATGTGTTTGGGGGAACGAACTAATTGATGTAACACTTCTTTATCCCAAGGCGTAGTGATATCAAACGTGGGTTCCGCACCCCCCTCAATTAGTTGAAACAGAAAAAGAAGAGACCAATACTAACATCTTTAAACTCAACTGTAGGAAAATGATTGGAAATGTCGTGATGCGTCAAGTACAGTATATATTATAGGGTACACAGTTATAGTTGTTAATATACATCTGTCTTGAATACTGTATTTTCATTGGCCTAGAACGACCACGCGTATAAAAAGTCATGACACACTCCCTGTGGGATCGCGCGTACGATGTAAAACGCTTGTATCGTTGGTACCGTGTCGTTGGTACTCGGGCCGCATAGCATATATCACCATAGCATAGCCGCATAGCACCGTCCGATGTTAAAAACGTCATATCCCACATCACAGCAGTCAATATGAACAATAAAAAAAAAATAACTGTATGATGAACATCGCCCCCATGCGTCCATTCATTCCTATCCAGCCCACCGCGTCCCTCTTATTTTTCACTGCCCGTGGCCGGCTAGACTTCTTTTTGATACCCCCATTGAGAAATTACTCGCTATATGCTGACCCCCGCCGCGCCCCCCCCCCCCCCCCCCCCCCCGCGATTTGTTTCTTCCAAACGACATCCGCATAAGTACAGACCTACTTTATAAATACAACGAATTAAACCAAGAAGAGAGAATTGTCAAGGCACTCGAAAAAAATAAGTTCATCATCTTTCATTAAATTTGATTGTTTCGTTTTACCGAAGAAAACCAGCCGGAGGTGAATATTCTGTACTTGACTCAGACGGATGAAGATGTCATGCCGTGGATTAATGTCGATCCAAGCCAGCCGGCCGAGTATGAGTGGGTGGGACCGCCCATCGGTTCCTACGACATATACATTGATGAAACCACATCACATTATCTGAGCCTGAGCAATAATAATAACAGAGGCACAGTGGAATTTGTGTCGAAACACAACCCGCTTACATGTAAGTAGATATCCGTGATTGTATTCGTTGGTAGGAGTTCGAAGCAGCAGCAATATTTATAACCGTATCATAAAAACAAAATAAGTAGCATGCAGCAACAATGGATGGGCGATTCAAATCATATGGCTAAACTTGGCCAGGTATAGCTTAGCGTAACACCGGGGGGGGGGGGGGGAGTGCTTGCCCACCCCACCCCCTGGAAAAGCAACAACACCACCAAACAAACAAAAGAGAGCGGGAAAAAGAAAGGAAAGGAGCTGCGAAGTCATTTCGCTGTTAAGTTAATAGGCGGGGTGAGCAAAATCTCCCCTGCCCACCCTCGAAAACAAAGGATAAATTTAGAATAGACGCTTCAAAAATTTGCTTTGACCCCCTCTTGTAAAATCCTGGCGACGCCCATGCGTACACTCTAAAAACAACTTAGTCAAAATATTGACTAGTTTTCCCAGTTATTGGAAATTGACTAGGAATTTAGTTAAACATGGAAAGTTCCATACTATGACTAGAAACGTAGTTGGGTTCGACTCCAATTTCAGTTATTTGCATAACTACTTTTCCAAAGTCAATAATACTGACTGAAAAAATCTAGTCAGATTGACTGATTTTCAGTTGCACCCAGCTGACCCTGAATGGCTAGTCAAATTTGACTGGTTTCTAGTCAAATCTGACTAATGCATTTTTAGAGTGTATCACGAAAGCGTCAAACGATTTGCTTTGGCTGTCTTGTTTCTCTCCCTAGGGTTGAAGGCTGCCTGAAAACAATGTCAGAAAAATGGGTCAGTTTGATATTTGAAAATCCTCAAAGAAACTTCATTCATGGTGTTGTCTTGTGTTGTTGGTTTATGTTTTTGAGGGAATGTAATCTCACGTTCCCTTCATAGAAATGACCCCAGAACATGGATAGGAAACTTGCCTGAATTTCGCGAACAGAATTTCGTCGAAAAGTTGTCAGTGTTTCTACTTTTTAGAACGTTTCTTTTTTACCAAAAACCTTCGGCTAGCTCGGGTCATTATCAGCATCCAGACTCCAAAACCAGTCTTTAACATCTTGTTTAATTCCAGAAAAACACATATTTATTACGTTATGCATAATCAATTTTCTGTGACAGGTACGTTCTACAAGTATATCTTCGTGGGTCCAGGTGAACCAGAAAATGGCATTGTGGTTGTATACTCGCTGCAGAAATACGAGCAATCAGTCACTGTGGATGCCTTAACCACACCAGAAGCTAAAGCTAACTCTGATGCCGATCCCACGATCGGTGTGACGGTAAGCGTTTTCCCAACATACTGTCGCACTAATGCACACGGGGTGAGTAAAGAAAAAAACGGAACCCATACCCCCCAACAAGTTTTTTTATATTTGAAAAAAAAATGTATCACCAAAAATAATGATGACTGGAAAGGCAAACTCAAATTCCTTTTAGATGAAAACAACTTACTGAAATCGCTTTATCCCTTCAAAGAATATCACCATTTAAACACAATGACCCTAATAAGGCTGTTTATTGTGTATTCTGACTGTTTGGAACAATGAAGAAAATGACACAGAATACCTGTTTCAATAACTGTCAACAACCGTAGTACACGATATCTTTATTAACAACCCTGGTTAGGCAAACAATATGATTTATAAAATGCACTTTTTTGTAAAAGACGGGCCTTCAAAAGGACTTTGTTGAATATTTTAACTTTTAAACTGAGGTTTTATCGCTGGTGATGTTTGAAGCCAATTGTGACGACCGTGATTCTTCAAATCGCATTTTGGACGAAAGAGGTTTTAGGGTCATTGTGTTTAAATGGTGAATTTTTTTTTGAACTGATTGAGCAATTTTAGTATTTTTCATCTAAAAGTAGCTTATGAAATTGACTTTTCCAGTCATTATTATTTTGGTGCTATTTTTTTTTAAATATGAAATACAATTTTTGGGGGTTTGGGTTCCGCTTTTTTGACTCACCTGGCATGTAACTCACCCTTGGTACTTTTGAGACGGGTGGGCATCAGTGAGCACAATCGTGGTCAATATTTTTGCTGCCCGTGTTAAAACGTTCTCACGTTTGTGGCGCCTACGGGCCTTTGGAGGTGCCATCGCATATCAGGTGCAAATCCTGAAAAGATTCCTGAGGATGTTCGCATCCTACTCTTAAGATGTCGTCATCCCAGGATAAGTTGTCGCAGATGCCGACATCTTGATGTTTAAGATGTTGTTATCAGGTGGGACATGTTATGTCAAGATCTCAACATCTTGGATGGCACGTCCAGTGCTCCATTGTCGCCGAAATTTGTTGTGAATACCATTGCATTGATGACTATTTTTTCCCTTGGAGGAGTGAGCTACTTCCTGTGTCATCTCAAGTAGCAAAAATAACGTATTATTTTTAACCCTGACCCTTTGTAGGATTTTCCACTGCCGAAAACAGGCACAACCATTCCGGTGGACCCTCGTTTCTGGTACCAGAAGGAGAATGCAGATAATGGTCTATTTTCTCTGCAGAGCGTCGAGCAAAACGGTAGGATTATGTACTCACCACCCTTCAAAAGGCCCGCCATTTTGAGCTCGTTTCAGACTGTGCATCCCCCACTAAACTTGCGATTGCAAATTAGTCAGTTGCGTTAACATTCCCCTATTGCACATGTATTTCTGTAGGTAGAGGTTGAGACACTTTTCCTTAAAGGGGCACTAGGTCCTGAAATCCCCGAAAATTTCATGTTTTGGATTGTTTACTTATTCTATTTCAAACATGTGGTTGAAAGGAAATCAACCTAATGTCTTACCTTTCCGGCCAAGAAAAGACGGAAAAAAAACGGTTGTTTACATCGGACGCGACGTAGTACGAATACGTTTTTCGTGTCGTTCTCATACTGTGTCATACACGTTGTGTGTCTCGGGAACAACAACTAGCATCCAAACGGCTCGAATTTATGGGGTCGCAAAAGTGGACCCCGAAATTCGTTCTCACACGCATAATACAGGAATAACACAAAAACGCCAAGTTTTTGAAGGATAGTTGTGTGGATGTTTCTATCCTAGTTTTAAATGTTCTTTCTTAAAACATAATCTCGTTCAAAGCGCGTTTTGTAGCCCAATTGGGCTGTTCCAGGGCCTACTTCCCTTTAACGCAGTTCATTGCATTTTGAAGATAAGAGTTTCGCGCTCATGGCAATAGGCCTTAGACTTAATGACGTCACACTTTGTTTACATGTGCGCTTTCCTATGTGGTAGACGGTCCCTACTTCGTCTGGCGTCCCGACTTCGCTGCCATTGGAAAGCGCTTACGACTATTGCCAACAGTATTGTTTATACTCCCCTGCATGCTGTCTCTCACACATTCCATTTCCGCCACTCTGTTTAGTCCACCGCATTGTGCAAGTTTATAGGCCTTTCCTAAATTATTTCAGATAAGATCTTAAGTTTTGCATGGTGAAGATAAAGATTTACGGTAGCACCATGTGACAAATCTCTTTTTTTTTTCTTTTTCAAATTATTTCAGTGGGATTTACTTTTATCAACTTCTCCTTTCTCCTTTCTCGTTTAAGGTTGGTACGTGTCAAAGAGTACTTCGGGTGATGATGCCACTCTATCAAAAACCGCACAGTATTTCAAGATAGTGCCAAGCTGAATTGGAACAGTAATTCCAATGAGAGCGAGTGTTGGATCGTACCCACCGTACATCATTTTTTTAAAGGTGCTGGTATCGGCTAATTTCTGTGAGCTTTCATTGGAGGAATTTGGTTAACGGGGATGTATACAACATTTGCTTTTACTGTAATTTTTAGAAATAAATGGATTTGGAGGAATAGTATGTTATAACAAATATTGTTACACTGGCTTGTTACACGTTTTGGGTTCGTGGATGCTGAGAAAAAAATCAAAGAACTTGCCAATCATTATCTTGTAGTCTGGTTCCCCGATCCCACTTAAGAAGTGTAACGGGTCGGAGAATAATTATTAGTCTAGCAGGCTTGTACCCCTTCACATGTGTGTAATCAATTGCAAAGAAAATGCAGAATAACTAAACATGAAAAGTAGGAGCAGTTTTTGAAGAAAAAAAAACAGTTTTCTCCAACGCTGGTCTGCCGCGTTGGAAATTGATACAAAAATACCACTAGGCCTATATTAACTAGACTGGTTCCCGCCCCATTTAAAGCCATAGATTGAATTACCTTTACGCGCGCAGCATGATTGTTTATTTTTGAATCATTGTTTAGCTTTGTGCATGGACGATACTTGAACACAATAAAAACCTCTTTTTATTGATAAATCCCAGAGACACTTTCGAATACAGCAAAAATCGAAGCTCATCACCACAAAACAAATGAACGCCATTTTGCAATAGGCTGGTTCCGCGCAAACATTACCATTGTGATTTTGAATCCAGGAGGCGGGATTCAGACCTATGCACGTCCTGCATATAATTTGCATACATTATGAGGAAAGCCTCCTAATATATTCAGGATTCACTGTTAGCTACCTGTCCCTATATTCCGAAGGACAGTTGAGTGACAAGGAACCAGTCTTAACCTAGTAACGTGCGAACGTCTCCAGTGAACTATGTGGGTCAAGACGTCTTCACGAAACATCTTGATATTAGTTTAGTTCTTGATCGAACTTGCCCAGTTATATTACCCACAAAAACATTGGATGTTGTGGTCACATGATGCCATCTTTCAGCAAACTGTTCTTTCTGCACTGCATGTGTATCTTTTGAAACCTGATTGGTGTAAAAGTGACGACATAGGCCTACGCTGTTGAATGTCAGCAAAATAACTTGCAAAAGATGCTTAAATGTTTGGCTTGCGCGTCGGTTGCTCGTTGCTTGCCCGTCAGTATGACGTCACGGGGCACATGGTCTAGCGCCCTTTTTGACAAGGCGGTCGTGACGACTCGGACCAGTATTGAGCGGAGACTATACACAATGTCCAGTGACGTCATTCGATCTGTAGTGAATATGCATTAGGTCCAATTTTGGGAGCCACTAGCAAGAGACACAGCTCAATAATGATTGGCAAATTTATATGCCAACAAAGTTGGTTGTAAGCATGCAGTCCCACGAGCAGGGACGACCGCGAAATTTGGCCATTAATGTGCAGTCTCCGCTCAATTCGCATCGCTGTCAAGTTCGCCGACTGTTTAAATTAATGTCAATAGTCAAGGCGGTATAATTTGTGAATTTTTAAACAAGGAGGCGCTCTGTCGTTTTAGAGCGCCATTAATATTGTCATCTAACTAAATCGGTTGTACCTGAATCTATCACAATTAGTCCTTATCAAAAGTATATATTAATCCGATTTCGTTAGAGAAGTGCATAGCATTGTTTTAATCATTAATCTTGCTTGTAAATGTGCGCGTAAATCTTTCGTATAGGCCTAATCATTTTTTTCGTATTATAGTAAGCAATTACAATTTTTATGAGAATTTCATTCTGCGTTTAACTCGATGAATGTGTATACAATATTGTGGCTGTGCCCCCCCCCCCAAAAAAAAGAGAGACAACGTACTAAAGCCTGTTAAAGCTGGTCTCAGCAAAATGTCCATTCAAACGATTCAGACTGACTATAATTGAAGTATTTTCATGAACGTGGCCTAGGTCATCAGCCTGGGGATTTGGTCGGTATCAAATGAGGGGAATAATGCTCATTGTGCTTTTTGGCAAGGTATGCACCCCTGCTGGAAAATATATGTGATAATATTGCAGCGGTGGCAGCTTTCTGGGTGTTATCGCTTAAAGAAAAAAAATGGCGGCCAAAACATGCGTGTTACTGTTAATCCAGTAACAAGCATAGGCCTATTGGCGGCCATGTTGAAAAAAAAAACAATAACACCCAAAAAACTGCCACCGCTCACACTGGAAAGCTATCACACATTTTCCAACTCTAGATGCGCATATATACCTTGCCAAAAATCGCTATCCTTTCGATCATTAATACCGGTGGCCCAATTTTTGGACCGTGTGCGGTGAATTTTTGCCGAGTTTTCTGCCTCGCGAGGCCGTCTGGCAAACATCTTCCCTGTTTGATTTCTGTTGCCTCGCGAGGCGAAAAACTGTCACAATAGTAATAGACGACACGCATTTTTTTATTGCCCCTTTTCACGTGTGGTCAAACTTCCACTGTCCTGAAAAACCCCCACAAGTGCCTATAAAGTAGGCGCGGTAGTTTGGCAAACCCAATAAAAATGGCGGTAATCGGAATGTCGTCACAGATAAATATGTTTCACAGTTTATCACCTTTTGGGGTAATTCTTGATCGTTTCCGTTCATCTCGAATTATTTTAAGAAGTCTGTTGCGAGGCTATTGCTGCGTATTATTTCTTTAACAGTTTGAAAAATATTCAGCAAAAAAAAAAAAAACTGTTTCTTTCGTCTTTTTTCAATGGGTATAAAATATTTAAGCAGACGATTTATTTCTCATGTTGGGGTTGGGTTGATTATGATCGAAGTGTACGGTAGTGGAGAAAATTAAAGCCCGTATATAAGAAAGCTTTTAAGATTGCAAAATTTAATGTGTTATTTTTTATAAAAAAAAGTTGATTGTTGTGCATGTAGGTCTAAATGGCAAAATTGTTTTTATGATTTTTTCTTACCAATTGTTTGGTTAAAATATTATTGGTCGTTGTATGGGAAATAAAAGGTAACAAATAGATTTGGCGTGGTGCCACGCAACTAAATAATTTCAAACCCGCAAGATGATGTACTTTTGTGAGTGTACGTGTGTTACTCCAGGATACGGAGTTTTTAGACACCCCCCCCCTTCCCTTAAAGGGAATATACATCATTTGCTTTTGCTGTAATTTTCAGAAATGGATGGAATTGGGGGGTTGGAAATATATAGCAAATATAGTTACACTGACTTTTTTGAGGTTTTGGGTTCGAAAATGCTATAAAAACCAAGAAAAACAATCATTTTCCTGTAGTCTGGTTCCCTGACTCCATATAAGAAGAAACAGAGCAGTTTACATACATTGGGGAATTGTAAGGTCGGGGAACCAGTCTAGCTGGCTTGTACCCGTTCATAGGTGTGTAATCGATTGCAAACAAGTGCAATGGTCAATTGGGGCCAGTATTTGAAAAAAGCCAGTGTTTTCCAACGCTGGTCGGCCGACCAGCGTTGGAAATTGATACAAAAATACCACTTTTCTTGAAAATGACAGTATACCAGGTGCCATGATTTTACAGGATGCTTTACACTGTCATTCACTAACAGTCCAGCAAGGTATTTCAAAATGATTTGGTAGTTTTATTTTTAGATGTTTGCAAATGTTGTATTTTCCCTTTAATGACACTTTTTGACCGTCTCGCGAAGCAAGTGACACCCACAAATTAGACCCTAGAAAATTATTGGACCCGAAAAGCACTGACAATATAATCTTCCCTAAACAACTGCGAGCACAATGTGGACAGGTCGAATTTTATCTTGTAAGTGGTAGATAACATTTAAAAAGTCCATATAGAGCATCTTTTTCTTTGCAAGATTTTTGTGTGTGTACAATCTCGTTTCGAAAATGAGTGGTTCTCGGGAATGTTGTGAACGGTCATGTTCAAATGGTGTTCGCCAACGTCCTTGGTCGATAGTGCTTGCTGCAGCATGTGCCTGATCTTCGCGGGGCACGGGAAGCCTGGCCGTCAAATCGACGAATTCCACGGCGTAACTCGGTCAGCACGACACGGTCAGCTGCGCGAACCCGGGCGACATTACGTGGACTTTAGGTGCTGGGGCTGAAAGATCGGGTCTGTTTTTTTTTTTCGACCAATGATAATGGTAAGAAAATTGACCGTTTATTTTTTTCCCTCAGCATAAAATGTACCGGTCTCATTGTTTGTGATCAGTTAGACATTACCTTGTGCAAAGCCGTTTGAAATTTACTTCTAGTGTTACCGGAAAGTGCAATTGAAATTGAATATAGCTGTTTTACTGTTATGTTTTACTACAAATATATGGGTGTTTAGTGAATAATTGAAGTGTTTAAGCACGATTCGCTATCAGTAAGACCAATAAGCGAATCGGGAAGTTGAATGACAGTAGGCGTTTAATCGTTATGGTCTATACCGTACCCATTAACTAAAGGAATAAACAACACATGCGATTGCAAGTGCATTAATTAATTAATTAATTACTTACTTCGGATTGCGACCTTTTAAAACTGACTGATGAGTTGTTATAGTCACTATACCGGTGTAATATCGCAGTGATTGTTATCATCCTTATGCTATAGGTTCACACATTCCCGCATTATTGCCACGAATTACCCGATCTATCCCTAATAACAATTCTTGATGGCATCGGGAGAAAGTAGCCCCGATTCGCTGTTTGTAAGAATAACTTTAGAATGAAACAGAAATAACTACGAATTGGAAGCCGAATCAGACCGAACCAAGCCGAATAAATGCGATTTAGTGAAGAGTAAAACCGAATTGTAGCGATTTTTCAAGAGTAACATAATAATAATTCAAGAATCATCCTGAATGACCCAGAATTATGCCGATTTAGTGTATTCGTATATTCGTACATTTCTTGATACATTCGTAATGATTTGGCATGATTTTGTTAACACCAAAAAATAACTTTACGAAACTTGTAAGAATGCTGAAAAAATTAGTTTAGAATACAACAAGAATAAACCAAGAATTTAAATTGGTTCCCGAATCACCACAACAATTTTGAACACGTCGGAAATTGTCGGGGCGCTTCCCGATCTTTAACGATCTTTCACCGAACTATCAGAATTATCCCAAGGCAGCCAAGATCCATTCCCCGGTTTACTAAAATAGTTGCTATTCGCGGCGGTTCGGCTTAAAAATCGGGAATGTGTGAACTTAGCATAACTTCCGTGGCGAACCGTCATGAAAACTATAATCCGTAGTGCAAACGCGGGACATCCGTAGGACAATCGTATTTATCCGTAGTGTTATTCGACGCAACGTCGCACAGTTGCAAAAATTAAGTAAGTTCCAGTATTTGATTAAATTAAGAAAAATCGTTATTCGTGGCTATTCGTACATATTCTTGGAGATTCGTAGCTCATTTGTGGTAGAAATACGAATTCGCTACGAATGTCCTACGGATATGCATGGATGTGCTAGGGTTCTGCTAAGGTTGTAGCCTACTATGATTATGCCGAAGGAGAACCTTGGTCATCCGTGGCCAAGAAAAACGGGGCGTTAACGTCATTATTCTTAGTAACACCGTCGATATTCTTCAACAATCTGTCTATATTCTTGACAAACCGTGGTGTATTCGTAGAGAAACCTTATGACAGTCGTGGCTATTCGTCCTGAAACCGTAGTGCATTCTTAGAAAGTCGATTTCTCCACGAATCTCGACGGTTCATCGTGATCGATTGATTCTTGGTATTGTGAGGGTCTCTAGCGGGGACTTCAGGGAAGGGGGGCTCTGGTCTGGTTCTGGAGTAAGGGAAGAGGGGGGCACGCAGGTTCTAGTTGTGAGTGAGTGCTGACACGGAAACTGGATCTCCCTTGCTCTGACTGTTTATTCAGACTGAATCGGCCCAGGTGGGGCCACCTGTAAAGATCGGGCAGGCACTCATAAGTTTCATTTCAAAATACAAACAATGTACATGTGTAACTCATGAAATAATAACGTACATGTATTAGAAAGATGTACACACATTACCCAGTTAATTACCAAGAGTGAAAAGCCTATATGCAAGTATGGTGACCGCATCGAGCACCCAAGGATGGAATCACAAACAGACAGGCCGGCCCTGCGCACTGACTGACCAACACTCGCACACACTATCACACACCGCAAGCACCCACATCCGTCCCTAAAATGCACAATATGATCACCAACTTACATGAACTTTCCAAAACTATATGACAGTGACAGTTGTAAGCATTTCTATAAACTGGTCTCCAGACAATTAAGTGCCCAATAATGCAATATAGGCCTACGTCCAAATAAAATCACTCTTAAACCACAAACTACTGTAAGTTACATATCACAATACATGTACTGCTCACGCACGCGCACTGCACATGGTCACACTGTGTGTGCCATCAGTGCAAACATGGGTTGCTAACCCTCGTGCATTTGGTCACAGTGCTCCCTAAATCTTACAGCAAAAATCTCTCCAAAAACTTCATTACATTCTCCAAAACTACCACCATATCAATCTATAACTAGAAATGTGTTTGTGGACAAACACAAGCTGTTTCGGATATTTGAAATACTCTGTGCACGTGATGAACACTTGATGAAGTCACTTCGAATGTCATCTGCCAAGTGAAAAGTCAATCAGACATATATAGTGCCAAAGTATGATTTGAAGACAAACGTGTACAAACCCTATGGGGAAAAATGAAACTTAAATGTGAAGTAGCCTTACACCTGATGATGTCACGATCACGAATTTCTTCTAGGACCATCTGTAGGTGGTAGTCTAAGTGTGTACCAAGTCTAACGTCGATCAGATTTACGAAAGTGCCAAAGTAGAATGTTTTAAAACGTGTACAAACCCTATGGGGAAAAATACATCTTTAATGTGACGTAATCCAACACCTGATGACGTCACGATCACAAATTTCTTCTAGGACCATCTGTGGGTAGTGGTCTAAGTATGTATCAAGTCTGAGGTCGATCGGATTTACGAAGAGGCCAAAGTGGAGTGTTTTAAAACGTGTACAAAACATATGGGGAAAAATGCATCTTTAATGTGACGTAACCCGACACCTGATGACGTCACGGTCACGAATTTCTTCTAGGACCATCTGTGGGTGGTGGTCTGAGTATGTATCAAGTCTGAAATCAATCGGATTTGAAAAAGTGGCAAAGTGGACTGGTGGAAGAAACGTGTGTTAAACCTATGGAGAAAAAGTCTGAAAAAGGAGAAAAAAAAAAGAAAAAAAAAAAGAAAAAAAAAAATCTTAACGAAAACAATAGCTGTTTCGGTGAGTCACCGAAACAGCTAATAATTTGCTGATACAATAAAGGGCACATAAGTAATAATCATAAGTAATAAGTAACACAACCATTACAGTATAAACCCGCCGTAGATACTCCTAGCTTTCACCGTGAATGTGTGACTTGGGCTTAATAATTCGATGCGTCATTCCCCTTTGCCTTCTTCACCCGCAGCTCAATTCCACGAATGAGCAGACATGCAGATGGTCTGCGCTAAGTGCTGGAAAGCATTCCTGATGAGCAAATCTGTGAATTAAAAACAAAATGGACTTGCTACAAAATCTGAAAATATACCCTACGAACTTCGACTCAAAAATATTTCAAATGGTTTCTCTTATTATACTGATGAACGATCAAGCACCGTGTCGAGTCTCAATACCGGTAATTGTTAACAGAAAACGTCGTATTTCTGCAGTTGATAGAGATGGGTTTTGTTTTTATTATTGTTTGCTGTTATTCTAACAATAGAACAAAAAACTATAGAAATAATCCCAACTAAAAACCCAACTTGAATTAGATTAGGCCGGACCAACTGTCTCAAATATCAATAAATAGCCTAATCGATTGATTACAACCGTCACCAATTTTTAATGACCATTTCGAAAGAGCCTGGCTTTTAAGAGAAACCTTGCTTTGCATCAAGAAAAGGGAAGATGCATTTCCACAGTTTTCGCAAAAAAAAAATGAACCTATACTGAGCAGAAATTTCGACGGTTTGTTTTCTAATACCCTGCATCATATTTGTTTGTATTGCTGTTCTTAAATCGGCAAAAATATGTTGCAAATATATCGATTAACTTGATAATGACAACTTGCACGTGTATCAGTAAGATAGCTTTAGATACTAACCTATGAATTCACAGAAGGCAATTATGGCTCCCAAACTCAGGAACACAACTGTCAGTACTGCTTCAACAGCCTGTGCACTATAGGGTTCACCGTATCGACACAGATTCACGAAGTGCTCGCAGTTGTTGCTGAAAAGACTGTACTCACGCGGCGTGTTTTGTCGATGCATTATCTTTGCTACTCCAATGATGACGTCTAGATCCAAAGGCTCTACTTCCTTGTCTCTTGAGTTGTTGATCCTCACCTTCATGGAACATGATCCGAGAATCTGCGCAATCGTATCGGCTCGTATCTCGGGCTTTTGACTGGCAGCAGACGAACTGCCGAATGCCTTCTTTTTGGAGAACGCAGACCCTCCTTCGAACATACCGAAATGGATGACAGCATGTTTCATCCCTTCGTATTCACCGACGTATATACCCCAGTGTTCGTACACGCCGCGATGGAACTCCAGTCTATCACCGGGGCGTAATCTGTCTTCAAATTCCTTGATATCCCAAGGAAGGGGCGAATTCCAGTTACCCACAATCTCGCAGTTGTCGTTTCCCGCTATGACTCCCTCTAGTCGGCCTACTATGATTTCCTCGGTACGGAATAAGCAACCAACAACGAACAAGGCGGAAATCGTCTCCAGAAATGTTGAAACCCAGTGTTTTCTCGGTCTTTCCAACTGCATATCTGCCCAACTTATGAATTTCGTTCTTGTGCACAAATATATAGAGAGTCGTTATTTCCCTTTCTACGCGAAATCTAATGCGCTATGATCGTGCCGAAGGCCCAAATAGTTGAGGTCAAAGTTGCTCAAAATACTCGGGAAAGTGGGGATTCCCATTTAGACTGGCTCCCGGACTTTCGCTCCCCGTGTTATCGCTTGTTGTCGAATATAAATGTACTTGTGTATAATGGCGGGAATCCGTCTATGTTCCGCATCACGGAATGTAGTCGTGCTATATTCACTGGCAGGGGTCACATGTTGCTGGGTAACTGGGACAATTTGGTCGGTTTCCCGACCAGTTCTGCGAAGCTATACATAATTCTCAACAGGCTGGAAAAATTTGGTCGGTTCCCCGAGTTGTACATAATCTATAACATTTTGTAAGGGGGAGGGGACTTTGTGATTTTGCCTCCAACGGAAGTGGATGAGATGTAACTCTGTAAGTTGGATTTGGAACACCCTCATTAAAATACTGAAACTCAAAAAAAAAAAGGAACACAAGGAGTTTATTTCAGTGCATCCACGGAAAAGAATCTCCCTAAAACTCACTCGTGCTTAAAAAACCCCAAAATTAAACACCTTTTTTACTTGATTATTGCTATTTTGCACCCATAAAGTATCAACCGTAGGTAATTACAAACACTCCAGGCTATTGACAAAAGACTATTTTTTTCTTGCTTGCACAAACATCATGTAAAATTCCCCACCATGTGCAATAGGCAAAGGCCATGTTGTGTGCGCTGTATATATACAACCCAAGTTCATTTATAACAATGCACTTACTTTACGGTGATTTTTTTTTTATAATCTATAGGTGTTGCTGGTGTACAAGGACATCTAAAAGGCAACAAGCTCTTAAACAGGTTTGCATTATGGAAGTACGACTTGTTTATTGCAGTCTCCGTGTTTGCTCTCATCACAGTCATGACGGACTCTTGTGGATCTTTAAAAAAGAAAGTAGACAGATGTTTCTTTAAAAAGAAATTGAATAAATATGTTTGTAATTTTAGCTCTGCAAAGGGCAACATTCCAATATCAAACTCTTTCGAACGTGATATAATTTTACTAATAATTGCAACCGAGTATACTTTCAATGAATGTCGGAATGAGAATGTTCCAATATCATCGCATAAGTATGAACAATTATGACAAATTATTAGACACAACGGCGTTCCCTATTTTTTTTTTATTTCTCAACTTTTTAAAACTATTTTAAAGATTTTTTTCAAATGTTTAATGTGGATCGGAAGTCGTCAGCTCATAGGCATTTGCTCATTGGTAACAGTCGGGTACTAATAATTAAACTTAAAATTAAAACACACATCAAGCAATCAATTAATTATTAAATGAACGAAATGATTACGCCAAACATTTGCCCTTTTCAAACCACCAACAGTATGAAATATCACTATCATGACATTTTCAAATGAAACGTACGTTAAAAGAGCACAAGGGACCATTTAAATAATTCCACAGAAAAAAAATCCCCAAACCCACCCAGTTTGAAAGAAAACAAAATTAACATGATTGTTATGTTGATTGATGTAAACCTGCAAGATATTTTAATCAGAACACAAAATAAGTTAAATAGCTCCACTTTAAAAGATTAATCTGGTTTTGAAACAAGAGTGAAAAGTCATACATTTTGTCCAACAATTGTATAAGTGTTCATTTTTCGGTAGTTCGATAAGGGACAATTAGATTGCGTTGCAAAAAGCAAAGCCAAAAATTGGAAGGGCAAAATTCACACCTAAAATGCAAGGCAACCAAAAATGGGAGCATTGAAGTGAATTATAAAAAGTAACTATGAAATACATTTCAATATGAACAATAAAGTAAATAACCACACTATCATATCTCCAAAAAGGGGGGTCAGCACACCTTAATCGACAAATAAAGGCTGCGATTCTAGTCAAACACTTTCATACATATTTCACGGTTTAGAAGACGTCACAAATTTATACAAATATACTACCATTTCACTAAAGGCCTTAACAAGTTGGATGTTTTCAACTGCGCATGTGCACATCAACATTTGATGATTTTTCTTTTGGGATAAGCATTTCATCGTACGCGTGTGAAATTTCATCGTAGCCATGAGGTTGGTGCAGGAATGACCCCAAAAACCACGTCAGTACTAATGTGTCACGCCCTAAAGTGGTCCGCTAACAACTGGGAATTTAAATTTAAAACGTATTTTAAATAAAACTGCAAACCAAGGAATATTGTACACAAAGAGAGCACCCTGTATGCACTATGCACCATGTAACCTGTATCATAAGCAATCGTTATATTAAAGCAAGTAACTTGAACGGTTGGTTCAGCCCGCCGCACACGACAGGTACGTGCTGCATGAGCAGAAAGCCTTCGAACTGCGTGTTCTGCCTCGCGAGGCCGTGGGCCACGTTCTCAGCAAAACTTCACCGCACGCGAGGATATTTAGCAAACGACGTATAATGACTTTTGCTAAGCACGTATGGCTCCCGTGTGCGGCGGGCTTACGGTAGGCTATACAGGTTGAGTAAAAACAACGAAACCCAAATGTCGGGACCATTGTTTTAGTGAAGTTCTGCATAAAGTTCTGCATTAAGTGTTCTTTCATCAAAACGAAAACAGATCACATAGGGATGTGTGTGAATTGTTTTCGTTTTGCTGAAAGAACGCACACCTTTTTTTGTGTTCGTGGACAGAACTTTAAAACGGTGGTTGTGTTTAAAATTCCGTAACTTGAAAAGTACATGAGTGATTTGAATGATTCTTGTATTAAAAGAAAACTAATGGATTGGGCTTTCATATCCTAGATTTTGAAAGTGCTACATGCAGAAGTTCACTTTAACCATAGTCCCGACATTTGGGTTTTCGGGTTTTTTTACTCACCCTAGAATCGGCAGGAAAAGTCGGCATAGTCATATTTCTGTTACTTCGGTTACCATGCATTATATTTATCGTCATGCGTTTGTGTTAAATAGGTTGGTGAAAATGTCGATTGTAATTTGCTACCGATACTCACTACATAGTTCACAAATGATCACCCAATATGGCGTCCAAAGTGGTGAACCCGTACCTCTGTGGAGCTCTCGTCATTCCAATATCCTTCCCTGTGATTTTACCGTCGACTAAGAACTCTTTACCAATTAAGCCCTGTCCCCATGTGATGATTTTGTCGATGTTCGGTGTAGGAACGCCGACGATTTCAGCGATACCCCGGTGTACAACCAGACCAAATGGGACGTCCTCACAAAGGTATCGGAACTTGAAATTGGGGCTCACACCGCCACCTTCATTATTGGTGACGGGGTGACGCAATCCTTCGTACGCTTTGTTGCTCTGCATCATCCGTAGGAATGAGCTCTTGTCTTCGATGTCATCGGCGTAAAAATCTAACGTGCTGAAAAGTAAGGTTAGGTTTGTAACATTATGTTATTATAGCTTTTATTTTCAATGTCGTATTCAACAACTACCAGTCCGCCTAGATATTCGGAACTTTGGAACGCCAACGATTGGCGCAGTGGTTAATAATAATAGTAGGTATTAATAGAGCACGTATCCACCAGGACTGGTGCTCAAGGCGCTACATCATTATTACCCCTGCTCGTTGGGCCTATGAAACTTTCCAAATACCATCTCAGCTCCCTGGGGAGCTAGTATACAGCCCGCTGCAGCCTGTTAGGTGCAAGGAAGCTAATTCAATCACAACATTCGTCTCTGCCCTCACAGGTACCCATTTACTCCTGGGTGGAAAGAAGCAATGAGTGACAAAGTGCCTTGCCCAAGGGCACATGCACCATGACCCAATCCAGGACTCGAACCCACAACCTGCAGCTTTACCCGAAGACCACGAATCCAGTGCCTTTAACTTAACCACGATCGAGGCCATATCACTCCACGGTTAGTGGTTACTGTCATCGCCTTCCACCGCTGTGGCCCGGGTTCGATTCCTGCCCGGACCACATGTGGATTGGGTTTTCAGTACCTACCTGATTCCGTTGGTTTTCCCCTGAAGGTTCTTCTGTGTTTTTCTTCCCATGCACCTCTAAAACTGTAATTTCTTCTCATTGTCTTCTTCTTACATGTTTCTTCAGGCTTTCGAGCTACAGTGCCTATAGGACACATGAGGAATCCTTGATAAAAGGATCCGTGGTTTCATTGCTAGAAAGAAATAAAATAGCTTGGAAGCACCTACCGGGCGAAATATAATATGCACCTACACTGTTGGGGGATATACAAAGTACCAAATAACCTTGATATGAATCTTTAGTATACCAGTACTCAATCATAATGACAAAGATAAACGACACAGTAATATAATACTTACATATCAGATATATGTTTGACATTGGACAAGTCGATATCAGCATTCTTGGCGCAGATGGCCTTGGCAATGGCTACAATCTCACCACTGACACTCGAGAGCAGGTCTGCGGACGTTTGGTCCAGGCCCTGATAGAAGAGAGGAGACTCGCTCACCGGCTTACCGTCCCAGTCATGCCATCTAAACATTTAGATTAACGAGAAAGGAGAGTCGACGTTACTTTGAAAAAAAACATCACAGAACACACTTACAAGTTGAAATTATCAACACAGGAAAGTTTCCGTTAAACCAATATCGTCAACCTATGGTTTGGAGACGTTTATAGCAACATGATTGTGACCTAAATCACAATGACGTTTTGAGTTAGCGTAGTCAAATTAGGTACGACTGTTAGATTCAGCAATAAGTAATAGGTTTGCATCTATTGCTATCTTAGAGTTTTAGATGTACTTTAAAAAAAGACATTCAGTATGTTCTATACATGTCACCAATTAACTCACCTCCCATACATGATTGAAGGATGAATAAAAGCATTGGTGTAGGTTAAGGTCATCCCTAGAAGGTCACCGTAGGCTGCGCATACTGGGAGGGGGCCAAGAGATTGCTGGATGGCTTTCAATGGGTCAACCTGTATAATAACAAAAATACATTAGGTTTGTGATCCCCCAGCTGATAACTCGCAATAAACGCATCAAATCTGATTTGACTGATATTCTTATACGAAGACAACTCAGAACAAAAGCCAGCAGCGCCGTCTTACATCTATCTACCTCACCTTCGGTTCCACTCTGCCTTTCCTGATGGCGCCCACAAAATGTTCCTTGAAGCCAACGATGTCAGCCCTCTTACCAAACTCTGTCACGCGACAGGTCCATGGCAGAGAGTTGAAATTAAAGAATGTGATCCCTTTCGCTTTGTCCCCTGCACGAACAAAATCATCGTTTAGTTTCTTCAAAAAATAATCATCATTGTATACCAGTGGCGTAATATTTAATTTGAAGAAAATCAAAATGTTGTACCAACCTAAAATATCATAAGCTTGGAACTCCCAGCCAGCTGCACCAGGCATTCCTATGACAACCATGCCTGGCTCCATATGAGGCTTCAATGCTTCCCAGTACTGCGCATGTGCAAAAGCAGGAACAACAAACACGATGATGTCACTTCCCGGCACAGCTACTTTGGGGTCGTTGGTAATCAAGCCAGGTTTTGAAACAAACTGCTGTTCTTTCCCATCCACGTCCGTGTAGTCGAGCACGAGGTCTGAGCTTTCAAGAGCTTTACTCCAGCGTTCAGCCTCGTCTTGGAATAAGCTCAACACCCGAACCTCATTGTCAGGGTTGCTGGCCGCGATACCTGGAAATCAAGTTACTCAGGTCATCATTGTTGAAGCACAATAATGTCTATGCTGCTTAACGACCTATTCGCAACTTTGAAGTTGTATTTGGTAAGAGATGATTGTTGAAAAGACGTAGAAAAACTGTTTTCGTCGAATTACCTCACTGAGTGTGTAGATGACAAAGAAATAAAGGTATCATTTTGAAATATGCCTATCGTAGGAAGTGACTGGGTTGACGTGGAAAGGAGGCGTGGCTCGAAAGGGGTAACACAACAACGATAATGGCAGCGATCAAAATGATGAGCAAGAATTGACTATGCATTGCATCGCAGATGGTTTTAATGCAACTGTGTGGATAAACATGTACATGTAACTTGAAGCTTTGCATTGCGGATGGAATAAAGTAGAAAGATTGCGGGTAACACCATGTGGAAAGTAATCTATTCTTATATAGGAGAAGATTAGTGTGGTTCTGATAAGAACCGGTTGTTTGAGTGTATAGAACTCGACGTTTTGGACAGTGTGCTCTGTCCGTCCTCAGGAGGTGGACTCACCCTCGGGAGGACGGACAGGGCACACAGTTCGAAACGTCGAGTTCTACACTCAACCAACCGGTTGTCTTCTTCCAAGAAGAGATTACTTTCCACATGGTGTTACCCGCAATCTTTGTACTTTTGTCTGCATGATCAGGATAACAACAGGAAAGTAGGGGACTGTAGGCTATGACCAGAATCTACTTAGACGATACAATTACTAGGAGTATGATGCATTGAAATAAACTGCGGTGAAATCTTGGGAATATGGAGCACGAAAACCGTGTTGAAATAACAGAAAAACCGTATAGTGACTGAAAATATAGCAATACATATACTGGAATGTACACACTAAATTATACAGGAGCATGCGACAAACATTATCCCCAAATAACGCTAGTGTTTCGTACCCCAAGACTCCTCTATTTTGACGATCCACGCATAAATTACTATATCATCTTATAATAATAAAGGCTAAATAATAAGTGGGTGTACCGGTACTCACTTTCACAATTATCAGTAACGCACGGTAAAGGTAAACAAATAAAAGGTATTTTGGTCAGAAATCTGATCGGTACCAAGGTACTGCAAGGTACGGAAACGAACAAACAGTTGAGGGCGACCTGCTAATCACCGCTCGTCCATTAGAGTACGAGTACGAATACTTTTAAAAAAAATACTCGATTAGTGCTCGAGTACGAGTACCGAGTCCGAGCACAGTACTATTCTTAGTCAAACAGTCAAAACAATGGCGTCGTTTCAGTTTTTAATTACTTACATCTTTAAATCCCATGAATGTAATCTATTCATTTCAAAAGGAACAGTGCTAAATCGCAACAATTCCAGCAGTTGTTCAGTCACGAGTCCAGGAATGCAAAATGAGGACAGCAGGGACAAGATAAATCACAGATACTCGTCTTATGGGGTTTAAACGAAGTGGGACGAAATTATTGATGGGGAGGGGGTAGGGGAGGGAGACGGCATTATTTTATTATCGATACTATCAGTTGGAAATGGTTGATTGGCTTGCAGAGAAATCAAAGTTCCCTGATTTTCCTCTGTGCACACGTCCGGACAAACACATAAAGTTAACAGCTAGCCGTGAGTGGGTCTGTATATCGGTCCGACTGGGCCTGGGCCAATTACGCACAATGAACCATTTGCGGTATTATATTCGGAAATAGAAGCACTCGGAATACAAGTACTCGTACTTGTACTCGGAAGTAAAGATATTCGTACTCGGAGATCTGAACTTGAAATCGGAAGTACAAGTACTCGTTCTCGGTTACCTAAGTACTCGGCAGTACTTGGTACTCGGAAAAAGAACTTGACTACAACACTGGGGGGTACTTACCTGCATGCACGTGGGCACCATTTCCTCCACCAAGTATCAGCACCTTCAGATGCATATCTAAAACAAAGAACGCACGTATCAGCTAGGATGAGTTGTGATGCTGAACCTACACAATGCAGAATTGAAACTTTTACTTCATTATTGAGAGTTGACATGTTGGCACGTATGATATCTCCAAGGTTACTTCAACATTTTGTTTAACATCAGTTACATAATAGGCTTCATTGACGTAGCCGTCGTGAATTTATGGTGGCTCAGTTTTACACAAGTCAGGAACTCTGCAACAAAAATAAGCAAAGAAAGATTTGGAATTCCCACTTTGTCTGGCTGGGCAATGTGGGAATTCCAATACTGCCCGGCAAAGTAGGCATACATCCAAAACTTACATATGTATATTGTACGAAATTTTGAGTGTACTTGATGATTGTCATGCGAACATTAACACAGAGGCATACTGTGCCAGCGCTGAACAGCCAAACTGCCCACAATGGTTAATGTTCCTTTATTGCACCGCTGCAGTCAAAAGGAGTATTTGCGTCAATTTAGACGTATTTGCTAGAGCTTAAAGTTGTAAATGTTCAACCTACATCGCGCAAATACTGAACCTGGGCAGAGTGGTAATTTTGGCTAATTTTGATGTATTTTCTATATATAATTAAACATTGGTAATATTTATTCCAACAATACGCTTTCACGCGAACCCGGTCAAATTTGGGAATTTCTTCACTCAATTTTGATGCAAATGCTATAGATAAGGAGTGTTGAATTTACCTATTGGTAATATTTCTACATTGCGCCACTCTTGAACCTGGGCTAAATTGAAATTTGTCAAATTTGATGTACTTTTCTAGAGGTAAGGTGTGTTGAAATGACCCAATGTACGAATATTACCAAAAGGTAATTGCAACAGCACTTAGGCCAAAAAAAAGAATAGTTCTGCTTCCGGTTACCCGACCGACCCTATTTTTAGGCTGCGACCCTAAACATTTTATCGGCAATTCCACACACACACACACACACACAAAAATTGAATAAATACAAATAAAATCTGTCTTTTCTGTCTTCACAAAATACCTCTCAACAACCCTTTTGCATCCAAAAATGCTTGTATTTATTTGTTTTCTTACTTACATTCGCTTTTTTTTCAAAGAAACCTCCGTTATTACAAATTCGCTTCGCGATATAACTACTTCGCAATTCGATGTCACGCACGGTGACTATAATCACGTGGCGACGACTGGTTCCCGCCGCGCCGCGCAGGGGCCAATTTAGAAGACATAATGAAAATGCGGTAACCAGTCCATAGCTAGCTATGTGACCGATAGCGCGCTATCAGTACAGTGCAGGCCACTGTCAACTGGTCGGATTCGACATCGTAAAAATGCCAAGAAAACACCGATGGAGAAAAAACATTTTTGCAAGTTAATTTACAGAATTGATCTAGCTTGTCTGTGTATGTATTTTCTGTGTTCAGGAGTTCATTTTGAGATCGCACTACTCGTATTTGGAGTGATACATGCCGCGTGTTTCCCGAAATTGTTGACGGTAAAAACAGCTCTGATGGCCCATGGTGGGCCGCTCGCCACACACGCACGCATTACACACCTCGGAGTTTTGGCCAGCTCCCCGCGTCTTGACTAGCGTTGTGCATATGGTGCGAACGGCCTGAATTTTCCATTATTTTTTGAAATTATCGAACGTAAATATATTGACAATAATTAAAGGTAGGTTTTACTCACTTTTTGTTGCCATTTCGTGTATAGCTTTCGTAGTGCAATAGAAATAGTTCAGGCTAAAACTTCGCATATAATTGAATACCCCATTCAATCTGCATAAAAAAAATTGGCAAAAAAAAAAAATTTCCGACCGACCGACCCTATTTTTGAAAGGCATGTAATCGGAAGCAGAACTTTTTTTTTTTTTTTGCCTTATCTATAACAAATTGCATCAATGAATTGCCCGTAATTCCCACTTTGCCCAGGTTCAATATTTGAGAAATGTGGGAATATTACCAATGGGTACTTTGAACAGCCCTTGTCTATACAAAATTACATAAAAATTGAACGAAATTCCCACGTTGGCCTAGTACTACTAGTCTAGATGTTGTTATGGTTTGATACGTGATAACCCGCCGGCGCGAGAGGGCGCTATCACGACCAACAACCCGACGGAACGGAAAGAATATTCTTGAGGTGTGAACGTAACAATTACCAAAAAAAATGTACAATGAACTATCGAATCAGGCCTGCGTGGACATGAAGCAAGTTCCAATCCCAGGGCTTACTATTGGAAACGAGGTTGAAATAAAGTAAGACCTGGGGACGAGGTTGACACATTAAGCATCATCATCTCGCACGTAGCTAGGGTACCGTTTTTGCCGATTTTCGGCTAACCTTGACAGATTTTTTATTTTTTTGTAAAAAACAAACGAGTTTGACTGAAAATTTGAAAGAATGGATTTTTTGAAAAACAGCAAATTTTGAAAAACAAAATGGTATATTTGTTTAAAATGGTATATTTGTCGTTACGCAATTTCATAACATCTTTATGTGACTATAGATTGTTTATAATGTAATTTGAACCTCAATTAAGGCAAAACTACAAATCTGCATGTAATTTTAAGCGTTTATATTGTATTTCGAGTAATATTTGGCAGATTTTTGATAAATCTGACAGATTTTTGAAGTGCATTTAGCAGAATTTGGCCATGACCCTACGGTCACCCTGCCATAGCATGTATGCGCAAACAGCGCAAATGTTTTGTGACCAGTGACCTTCCTCCCCATGGGCGGTCTATTTCTACAGGCATTTGTTTACACCAATGCTAACGTCAGTGAGTTAAAAGGATTTTGTTTCATTGTCCAGCTGACCTTGTCCTTTCGTGACCCTTGCTCCGCGGCAAGGTGCATGCACATACCGCACGTATCGCGAACAGTACAGAGATGACCTCGCGCGGCTAGGCAGGGTGACCGTAAGGTCATGGCCAAATTCTGCTAAATGCAATTCCAAAATCTGTCAGATTCATCAAAAATCTGCAAAATTCCCCAGAATTACTCGAAATACACAATAAACACATGTAGATGATGTTGTATTGCCTTAATTAAGGTTCCAATAACATTATAAAGAATCTATAGTAGCGTCACTACAAAGTCCGGTTCCCAGTGAACCTCAGCACCTAGACCAGCTAACCTGTCCCATTATGCAAGGGTTTCTTTGAAAAGATTAAAGGGGCACTAGGTCCTGAAATCCCTGAAAATTTTATGTTTTGGATTGTTTACTTTTTACTTTACCTATTTCAAACATCTGGTTGAAAGGAAACCAACCTAAAGTCTTACCGTTCCCGAGAAACGACGAAAAAAAACCCGCTTGTTTACATCGGACATGACGGAGTACGAATACGTTTTTCGTGTCGTTCTCAGTGTACGATATATACACGTTGTGTGTCTCGGGAACAGCGCACGGTGACCAATCACCAATGCAAAAAAAAATGGTTTCTTAACGTCCGCAAAAGGCGAACACTTTACGAATGAAATTACAACTAGCATCCAAACAGCTCGAATTTATGGGGTCGCAAAAGTGGACCCCGAAATTCGTTCTTGCACGCATAATACAGGAATAACCCAAAAACGCCCAGTGTTGAAAGGATAGTTGTGTGGATGTTTATATCCTACTTTTAAATATCATTTCGTTCAAAACGCGTTTTGTAGCCCAATTGGGCTGTTCAAGGACCTAGTGTCCATTTAAAGCTTTTTTGAACAAATGTACCGTTTTTCTTCAAATTTGATGTTATTCGGTCAGATATCCATTTTCGCAGAAATCTGCCAGAAATCTGCCAAAAAAATCCATTCTATCAAATTTTCTGTCAAACCCGGTTTTTTTTACAAAAAAATCTGTCAAAGTTAGCCGAAAATCGGCTAAAACGGTCACCCAGCGGCTAGGCTACGGTTTGCGAATCAGCTGGCGCTTCGGGCAATTTTGTCCCTGGATTTAGATCGAGTTAATTTGGCATGCGGACTGCAATGTAGCCAAACTACCCAGCTCTTCCTTGCTCTATGCTCTTTCCATGTATAATATGAGCCTCCACGACCAATTACTGAATAATCATCTCCTCTTTATTCGCATTCGGAGTTGTCGCTGTAAATCCAGCGATAAAATAAAGAAAAAAGATGAGGCTCACGGATGTCGAATCGATAAATCCGACTCGATCTATCGTCGAGCGCGTTACTGGTTTCTACCTGCATGACCATTCAAGGCAAATTCATGCCTGAAAGTGTGAGAATAGTAATCCATCAAAAATATATTGTGTTTGTCGATGTAGCCTCTTAATTCTCCCGCGTTCCACCTAGCTTCCTCTACCATGTCTACAGTATTATAACGTGTTTCTCGAGCGGTATAGTAAGGCCTTTTGGGGAACGTCTGTTTCAGCATGGAGGAATAAAAACAGTTACTTTATTCAACACGTTAAAATGGACGGTGAGCTGGTCTTCTTCATTTCCAAATGATTGTATATTCCCATACCTTCTCCGATTCACTTGCATTTAATCACAAATAAATTTATATCATTTGGTACTGAGCTCAAAAACGTTAGTTCTCAACTTGAGCACTGCGTAAAATTAAGTTTTAGATCATCTCTCTCGAAGCCTGCCAAACGTGAACTGCTCTTACGATCCCCTTTGGTCACCTTCCGAGAGGTCATGACCTTCGTGAACCCCATCTATATAGAGTTTTATAGCATTTACTCTTAACTTAAGTGTCACTTTTTCATGACCCAAGTCTAAAAACTAACAAGGTTAATTCTTTGTGCGATGAAAATAATTTTCAGCCTTGGGGACAAAACTGTATTCGGTTACAAGTCGTTTCAAAAAATGTGTAAAATTATGCGTTGAATTTTTACAGATATAGCACATACTTCTGGTACTGTATAAAGCCCTAATTAACAGTACACTATCATAATTGCTATACCATTCAGGAATAAGATTCCTCCAAGCCATCACAACTGAGCACAATAATTACCCACAACTAGGTCAACTGGGACATAATCTGCACCGTTATATTAAAAAAAACAGCCCAACAGCTCGCTAAATGAAACGTCCAGAGGTATAAGCCTCCCCAAATTAATTCCTACACAGATTTATACTTACTGAAATTCCTTGCTCTATGCTGAAATCAGACGAGCTGTGTTCCTTGCTCTATGCTTGGAGGTAGTACACTGTGAAGCCCCGGCAAATGTATAGCGAATCACTGTTATTCCTTCCAGGCGGTGCAGTACATGTATTTTTTACGCATTGCTCGCGCACCAGTGTCACGGTCTCACTTCTCAGTCCGGCGTGCTAGCTTCTCCGAGTGGATTCGGCGGATAACTGAGCACGTTACAGTGCACGTTACATGAGCACGATACATGCTCATGTGTCCGCTGTGCTTACTTTTCCTCGGGCTGTATTCTGAAGTATTCAAGTCCATAAATAACACAGTGAGGGACACCGAAGAATGTGTTATGTAACACTTCCTGTGGGTCATATGGCCATGGTCTTTCAAGCATTCTGATTTGACGGTGTTCCCAGCGTCATGTGTGTGTGTTCATAATGCAAATGGCCAGGAATCGATCTGTACCGTACTCAGGGTGACCGTAAGGTCATGAACAAATTCTGCTAAATGCAATTCAAAAATCTGTCAGATTCATCAAAAATCTGCCAAATTCCCCATAATTACTCGAAATACACTATTCACACTTAAAATCACATGTAGATGTTGTAGTATTGCCTTATTATTAAATATTATTGCTTTATAAACAATCTATAGTAACATAAAGATGTTATAAAATTGCGTAAATTTCCGCGCGGTAATTGCGTCAAGACAATTAAAGTCCGGTTCCCAGTGAACCTCAGCACCTACCTAGAGCAGCCAAATTATGCAAGGGTTTGTTTGAAAAAATTGAAGCTTTTTAAAACATATATACCTTTTTTTTTAAATTTGTTATGTTTTTCTGTCAAATATCCATGTTTGCAGAATTCTGCCAGAAATCTGCCCAAAAAATCCATTCTGTCAAATTTTCCCTCAAACTCGGTTTTTTTTAAACAAAAAATCTGTCAAAGATAGCCGAAAATCGGCTAAAACGGTCACCCTGTTCATGGAGTAGAGACGTATTACAATACGCCCGGGAACACCAAATTGCAACATGATATACGTCTACGTCTCCACAGGGCAATTGCTCTATGTCACAAGGTTATCACGAAATAGATAATGGATTTTACTTAACTAGGAATTTCCAAGGTGTGTTGATTCGCCGCAAATTGAAGTATTTTATGTAAGGGAAATATTAAGTATACGAATTTCAGCCCAGAAAATTAATTGTGCCGGTTAAAATAGGGGCATTTTGTGAAAGTACACTTTCAAACTCGAAAACTTGAGTACATAAGCATGACAAGAACAAAGGAATGACTTCACAAGGATACACATTTCGGTCATGTGTTTGCGTGTTCATGGAGGAGAACTATCGAACTCCTATAATTGGCCTGTGTTCTTGCTCGTTCGTGGTCCATCACGAGTTGTCTTTTTTTTTGCAACCACGGTTTAAAATAATGTGCATCTTTTTGGTTATTGGGAGTTTCGCCACGAAAATTGTGGATTCGACTGGTACCATGTAAGTTACGCATACATACACATATCCTAAGAATGATCTATACGTGCACCATGCCAGTACAACCCCAAAGAACTCAGCACACATATAAAGTTGGCGAAAATGTACACTACTGCGCAATTTTGCGCATGCGTGTTGAAGTGAAATTTCCTTCTTGGAGAAGCTATAGCACGCCGGAGAAGTGAGACCGTACGTGACACCGATATTGTTTTACCGAGGTCACATGTAGCGGTCAACCGAGAAATGCATGCCAGAGGTGTTGACCGGGTCACCGGTCAATCACGGTGCGCCCTCGGCTGCGGATGCCGGCGAATTATTTTTTCCCAAACTTCCGCATACATGGTTCGCTCGTACCCCCGCCCGCCCTGTTTGCAGGGCGGGGGTACGAGCGAATTGCATGGTTGTAGAACGCACTCTACAATACTTTTATGAATATCATTTTACCAAAATTACCATGAATTTCCTGAATTGTCGAGCTGTTCGATAATGATGTGTTCTTATTCTTCATGGATATAGCTCAGTTGCATCACGGACCATTTCCACAGGATATACCGCGAGGGATCCTTGCGGTATGGGTTCGAATCACCATTTTTTACCCGATTTGTTAATTTCCTTTTTTTATAAAAGGGAAATAAAAGTCCGAATTTCATTACGTTCGAATTCATTTTTTTTCTAATTTCATATTTTTTGTCATGTTTTCAAGTTAAGTCCAAATCGTCATAGCGTGCACCCCGTGCGGATGTCGTTTAGGAAAACAAAACTCGCGGCCGGCCGTGGCCTAGTTTCTGGAATGCACGGTCGTATAATCACGCCTTGTATGGTATACGTGCGTACCAGGAAGAATCATGGAGGAAGGAACACATGAAGGAAGTTCCTGAATTCCTCCTTGCTGCGATTGAACTGCTTATCTTAAGTACGTATTACAGGTAGTCGTTATTGGCAGAATATTTCCATGCCAATGTTTTGCACCCGCCGCGAATGCGTTTTTGTCATTTGCACTCATTATGCATGGTTGGGACGTGCCGAAAACAAGGTTAATTGATCTTGTCACTTTTTTATCTGATCTTCAGACTCAAAGAGACGGTTGACATTTAGAGGAAATATCAGTGGCATGGTTGCCGAGGGGTGGGTAAAGGAATGGATCATCCACTAAAGCCCCCAGTATTGAATTAAGTGTTTCTGCATGGTGTTTTTTTTTTTAACACAAAGACACTCCGATGCTCCTCCTTCCTTCAGTCCGATGGCGCAATTTGCGCTGCGTTGGCTAGTCCACGCCATGCCAACAATCTCGGATTCGCCGCAGATCTTGATGAAGCTGCAAGTCTGTCCACTGCTTTATATCGTTCGTCCGTGGCGTATCCGGGGGGGGGGGGGGGGGGAGGTCCCCCCCCGACGGATTCTTTTTTGGGGGGGGGGGGGAAATCAGGAAGTATTTCAATAAATGGAGGCTGACATCACCCCCCAAAAAGCAAACCAGCTAAAAAAACATTACAATGCGCCGTGATAATCAGTTTGCATAATAATAGTCAGTTTTGAAGAGCGCCCCCATTTGGAAGATGGGTACCAGCCCCCCCCCCCCTTCCGCTTTTTGATTTCACGGAGGCCAAGCGTCCGGAGAAAAAAAAGTTTCAGCGCGGATGTGCGGTTGCCCCCCCCCCCCCTCCCCCGACATCAAAAGCTGTATACGCTACTCTCGTTCATCCCATGAAGATGTTGTCGGACGACTTCTCTGTCTCTTTCCATCGACTGACCCCTGGATTATTTCTTTATCGATTCCTTTGCGGCGCTTGACGTGGCCAAAGTAATGCATCTTCCGCACAGCCATCTGTTTCTCCGCATCAACTCACTCCCTATGGTATCCAATACCCAGCGGTTAGGTATAAATCAAAAATGCGTGCTGATGGAAGGAGGTCTACCCGATGTTCCCCAACACCTCTGTTCCCCAATACCGATGTTCCCCGAAATCCTTAGGGTTAGGGTTAGTATAGGGTTTGTATATATGGTTAGTAATAGGGTTAGGGTTGGGGAACATCGATATTGGGGAACATAGCACCCGAGGGAAGAGTACACGATTCCCCTCAACTCTACACTGTAAAAACAGTGTTTAGCATTTAAACACATCAGAACGTGTTTAGAGTTTAAAACGTTTAGGAATGTGCTTCAATTCTAAACGTTTACCACTTTTTAATGTTGTGAAACAAAACGTGTTTACGTTTTGGACATGTGCTTAGGATTGTATATCTAAATGCGCTTAGGAAGGTGTTTAAATGCTAAACATAATTATTCATTGAACATGTCAAACGGATAATGCGTGTCACAGAAAAAGGACATCTAAACATGTCATGATGCTAAACGTGTGGAAAAAGTGGGTACAGAATAAGTGTTTTAGAAATGTGTTTAAATCCTAAGCACCATTTTTACAGTGTAATGCTGCATAATTATTATGAGCAGCCTTGGGCCCTGTTCGATGAGGGAAACCGATATCTTTGACAGTAAAACATGGCTCGTCAATCACAGTCTACTGTAACAATGGAGTCAACGGCTGATCCAGTGACGTCACAGAAAAGGAGGCCACTGCGTACACCAAGCACTACATAAATACATAGTGCCCCCTTCCTTTTCAAGTAAATTCGGGTTGAACTTTTTGGGACCCACTTTTCGGGAATTTTTTTTAACCCCCCCCCCCCAAAAAAATTGTTTTGCATCCGACCTTGAATGTAGCGGTATTGATGTTTGCGGTACTATCATTTCGCAAAATAATTGCGTTGTTTCGCACTACTACTGCGTTATCTCGCAGTACTACTGCGTTATTAATTTGCAACATATTGATTTCTTAGAAAAAGTCAACCTCTGAAAAGGCCTTTGTAAAATTGTTACTAGCATCTCAATTTATGGACACTGAAAAAACACTTGAAAGAGATATCGACGACGCTGGTTTTTGGCTGTGGAGTTCCCGGAATGGAGATCGAGAAGGGCTGCTGACTGTTGTCCATGAAAACGGTGCTCCTTGCCGAGAAGATCAGAGTTCATTCAAGTACGATTTTCGTCATGTCATGCCCGAATGCCCGAGTATCGCCCAGGTCATGTCGTGCCCTGTGTACTTGGACAGCCGAGCAGTGAAATTCCTGCACCCCCAAAAAACATTGCTTTTTAAAACATTGTGTTTCTTACAAAATATGCTTGGTATGATTGCAATGTTAAATTATAACGGAAGAAGAAATTGTAAACTTGATGTCAGTGAAGAAAAAAAAAATCACCATCATCGATGCCGAAACGTCAATACTGGTTACTGGTAAAGCTGCAATCGTTCGAAAACGTCTCCGGCCCCAAATCAATTCATCTCAATTTCTATAATGAGAACGTTACGCTAATTCCCCATCTGCCAATGGGGAATTAGTACAGTTTCAAGTCAGGCTTGGGCATCGATTCCCATGATGATTATCATGGCAAGGAACACCGTCTCATGTCCCCCTCCGTCCCCCCCCCCCAAATTTTCCGTGCCCCCCCTCCCCCCAGTGCCCCCACCAAAATACTTACAATGCCCCGTTTCCTTCCCAACCGAAAAAAAGGGTTTCTGTAAGTTGTACTTTTTCGTTAGCCAATGGCTTAACTACTGTTTAAAATTTATTATGTCGATGGATAGCGAGGCATTTAATGGGGCCCAACTGGAAAAAAACTGCAATAGGACGTTTGCGGTAATTATGTGCGCGGCCCCATGATATTCTGATGCTCCCTGTGCGCCGCGCCCCGACCTTTTTTTATCAGGAGACGGGCACTGTTGCTTTCGGATGGCCAGTTCAGTGACCATTATTCGTGTAAAGAGCACTATCATTTTTTAGGCGCCAATTTAACATCTTTGAGAGGGGACACCAATTTAATGTTATGAGCAGGCACTACCTCGATGTCTGCATTTAATAGTGAGTTGCTATATACGACAATAGCTGTTGGGGAAAAACCGTATTTTCGGGGCGAATGAAACGCGAAATAGCACGGGAAATGGATCAGTAAAGTATTTACTAGGTTAATAACTTAGGAACACCTAAATCCTACCATATGGCCATAGCCTATCACTGTCCGCCTAAAAGGCGCTCATGGCGCTTGAGGAGAAAGTCAAGTTAGGATTGTGTCTTGTGAGAGTAAAGCTTGATTGTACAGATGAGATTTTATGTTTGTCTAGTCGAGGGGCGCGACGTTGTTTTTGATTGACGTTGTTATTGTTTGACAATAACAACTGCTTGCCCTATAGACTAATGTTTGTTTTAAATGTTGTGATGCCTGGATGGAGATGATTTTAGTTGGTTCCACACTTGGGCTGGATCAAGGATCTGTCACCCCAAAGAGGGGAGGTCCTGGGCTCGTGAAGCATCATGAGCTCGATCGCCATGGAAAAATTGAAAGGAGAGGAGATGCTGGACATCACGGACGCTTTAATAATTGTTCAAAAACCATAGTAGGCCTACTTAATCCGTATTGCCGCATTTTAGACCCCTCACCGGGGACTAGTTTGCCCTCCCACCCCATTGACACTTCTGTGAACGCCTCATGATGTTGTTAAATCAACACAACTTAAATTAACTTAATTAAATAACCGTGATTAAATTAACTTCGCACCTTGGCGGCCTCCCCTTGCTCCATGTTCAGAAGCCCCATATAAATTTTCGCCCACGGGAAAATTTGATGCAAGTCCAACTACGATCGAGCCGAAATGTCGCCCTCTATTGGCACCATTAATGTTATGTAACTACTTATGTTATTGCATCATGTGGCGCGCTTTATTTGATATCCAGCATGCACGCTGCGATAGAGCATCATCATATCCATCCAGACCTACATTTGAAAACTAGTGCCCAGGTACCGAAATAGCGACTGGGATCAATTGTACTTTTTGTGGGGCGAAATAAACTTTTGTCGCAGATATTTATTCATGATCAATGTTGTTTCCGGCGTGGCGTCTAGTCTGCATGAGTCGCACCGGCGCGGACGCAAAAGCCGGAGTGTCAGTGTCACTCAGGATCGCGTCGGAGTACTACTACTACGCCATGGAGGAAGGAGCTATCTGAATTATGGCCGGGGCCGGCGCGGCGCAAGCTTGCACCTACTTCTGAAATCAGAAGGCTTCTCTGAGAGTAGCTTGCACCATGGAGTGCACAGAGTAGTTCTAGGAGTACTGTGGCAGCAGGATGGGAAAAATGTTGCAGTCTGACGCCACTGTGCAAAGTCTGTGGAGAGTCAAGACAATTTTCAAAGTATTTCCTAATAAGATTGGAAATGTTTCTCAGTCCCAGATTCATGTCTTATCGTCATTTTTGCAATGAATGACCTTCATTGCGATGATATATGAAGAAAAAAGTGGTGTCAGGTTGCAACATTTTTTCCGGTACCGTGATAGGCCTACTTGAGAAATTCATCCTGAAGACTCCTCCAGCCTCCAAGGAGATTAACAGGGAGGCCTTCATTCAGGCTGTCAGGATAATGGAACTATTTTGATTTTGAGTGTTTATCACATGACTTTAATATCGATCCATAGATTTTTTATCCCTTGTGTCTTTTGTACACACACATAAAGTCTGTGAACAAGGTGAAGGCAGACTGTGTGTAATTGATCTTGAATTGGCCGCAGTGCACGACTGGAAAGAATGTTGCAACCTGACGCTACTTCAGCGGTGTGTACAAAGTCTATGGAGAGTCAAGACAATTTTCTAAGTATTTCCTAACAAAATTGGAAATGTCTCTCAGTCCCAGATTCATGACAATGAATGACCTTCATTGAGATGATATATGAAATATATGCAGGTTGCAACATTCTGTCTGCACGACCTATTGTACAATTCACGCTCCAGTGCACACCTCGGAGTATTGAAACATAAGGTTTCGACAAGAAATATCAAAAAATTGTGTTGAAATGACTCAAGATTGCAAGTCAGTATTTGCTGCTTTTGGCTGTATATCAGAAGTTGCCTGGACAATTTTGCGTTAAAATTGCGAAAATCGACATTTTCGGCAAAATAATCATGCGCGAAGTGGTTATGACATTTTCATTTCCAATTCGATACTGGTAATTAATTAATTTAGCAATAGGCACGAAGATTTAAATTTCACTTCTTTTTTGTTTACAAACTGTAGAAACTATAGTGTTATGAGCATGTGAAGAACAGACAGATGGCTGTGTCATTTCTGAGTCGGGCTGCAAGGTTGTATTCCAGAAGATGCTGTGCTATCAAGGGATCGCATCCTTACCAATACAGCATCTCAAAAGATGGACTCAAGAAGAGGTTTTCCAGCGACAGATTTGGCGTAAGTACAGGCCCGTCGCCAGCCCTGAGCATCAGGGGGGCCGTAGTACTAGGGGGCCCACTGCCATAAAAATACAAAAAGGCACATGTTTGGCTTTTGTCATTGGGGGGGGGGGGGGGGGGCAATTGCTCACCAAGGGGGGCCCGGCCCAACCAGGCCCCCCCCCCCCCCTTGGCGACTGGCCTGCGTAAGTAAAAGCTTGGCTGGAGTTCAGAGGCGTAACAAATCAATTATGTAAGGGCGCTACAAAACATTGCAACTATTGCTCTTGATCACTGACATCTTAGGATATGAGGCAAATTTAGGGTCTATGTACAAATGTGTTGGAATTTGTTTGAGTGATATTTTCACTCCACATTTTCACATGTTGGTTAACCTCATTTTGCTGAGCAAAACATGTTTGTGCTTAACAGCCCATTAAATTGACAAGTCATTTTGTATTGAAGTATAATATTTGTTCGTTCCTAGGAGCGGAATAACATCATCTTGATAGGGAGTCCCGGTTGTGGTAAGACCACCGTGGGTAGAATCCTTGGTCAGCGACTGGGGCGGCCGGTGGTCGACTTTGACAATGACTACCTGGAGAGCTACTGGGGCATGACAGTGGCAGAAAAGGTTGGATCATTATACAAATATAACATGGTTTGAGGATGGACGGTCGATTATTAGCTCCCCTCAGTATTGGAAGTTGACAAACTAGTTCCCGAGGCGAAGTTATATTTGTTTTACTATACCTCATACAAATTCAGTTGCCGATTTTTTATTAAATTTGCACCTAAAACAAAATTTTCAGAGAAACTTGTAGAGCTCATCAAAAGAACACTGTTGCTCAACTTCACTAGTTCGGTTCATTTGCAATACAGTATCTACAGTTTTAAATACAGGAGGCATCTTTATTGTCCATAAATTTTCTCCAGTACGGCATCACTGAGCTCGTGAAAATTAACATTTGTGCGAACCGTGCAACCATGCATCTATCTTTGGCAATGTTCACGTGTGCGTACATGTACTACACCTGTGCGACAGTTCCTCAATTTTTTTGTAAAGCGCATATGTGTAGTAGACTGTCGGACAGGTAAGACAGTCTACTAAGCATGTTTATTTACCCTGTGCGTGAATCCTCGCACATGCGTAAACAGCAACAATAACGTCTGGCACATGATCGTTAATTGACCAATGAGAGTTCAGCTCTCGATCATGGATATGTATGAGGTATAGTATGTAACATTAACTATAATTCATTACTTAACTCTATAACTTCTGCGACCTTCAAGAATCCTCAATGGTGCCTGTGGCGAATCAAGGGGGGGATGCAGAGGGAGCACCCCCCCCCTCTCCCGTCCCGGCAGTGACTGAGATGTTCTCAAATACCCCTGGCACCCCCCCCCCCCCTTTCATTTGTAACCAATGACATTTGATTTTGAACGTTTTCAATATCTTCCCACAGCTATCTGCTGTGGGTCAGGAAAGCTTCCTTGCCGCTGAGAGCGAAGCACTGTTGAATCTCGATCTAAAGGACAGCGTTCTCTCATTGAGTGGATCATCACCCATGAACAGGCCTGCCATGCAGCATGCTGCCCAGTCCGGTGTCGTCGTGTTCCTGGATGTGGACTCTCGGGACATCGCCCAGCGGCTGAACAGGATGAAGGTGGACCGCATCGTGGGGCAGCGTCCGGGGGTTTCCACGCTTGACCTGCTTGCCTACCGGCAGCAGTTCTACGAGGGGGCTTACGACGTCCGGATCCTCTGCGAGAGGTTCCAGAATGCTGACGACATCGGTGAGAAGGTTCTAACTGCTCTCTGCGATCACCAGAAACGTCCTGGCTACGTCTCAACCAGAAGTGACTCAGAGATTCAAGAATCTGCTCAGCCTTACAAAGCGCCTGATTTTCTTGACGTCGTCTTGCAAGGCCTGGCTGATGACGCAGGGCTGTACGTGCCAAACAAAGAACCCCCGCATTTAACTCGAGAAGAATGGACGCGACTTCTTGGGTGCACCTACCAACAGCGAGCGCTACGCATTCTAGAAAAGTGGATCCACCCCCGAGATTTTCACCCCAGCAGTCTTGCCACTGCCGTCGAGAGAGCTTATTCGGTGGAGAATTTTCAAAGTGAGAGCGTTGTTCCAGTGGCCCATCTTCAAGACAACCAGTACATCATGGAAGTGTTCCACGGACCTACGGCTTCTTTCAAGGATGCTGCCTTGCAGTTGATGCCTCAGTTCTTCACACAGGCTGTGCAGATGAAGGGTGAAAAAGTAAGGTACTGATCTGGAACTTGACTGATCTTATGGAAGTTAGAAATAAAAATGTAGTGATATTAAAAAATAAAGTTTGTTTTTAAGTTCAAATATACGCATAATATTAACACTCAAGAAAAAACAGTGTACCCTGCTCTTTAGACCAGTGGGGAGTGTGGCCAGGGTTCGTGGCTCATGATCAGAGGGTCTGGGGTTTGATTCAGCTACTGGCCATATGTTGTGTCCTTGGGCAAGCCACTTCACCCACACCTGCGCCTCTCTCCCAGGAAATTGCATTTCCCAGATTAAACCATTTTGTTTGTTGTTGCAATCTTCAGATATATGATTCTGGTGGCAACTTCAGGAGACACTGGGAGTGCAGTGCTTGATGGATTCAGTAAATTTGCAGGTTGGTTACTTTATAGTGGTGGGATTAAAATCTGGATTTTTAAAAATTTGGTTGGAATTCCCCTATTGACACAAGCTCAAGAAAATATCTGGAACATCCCCTAATTTGCTCCATGGTCTCTGATTGCGACCACATTCACTCGCTAATAGTCAGGGGTGTGAAAACTCAGCTATAAAGCTGATTTCAGCTTTTTTTGTTTTGGATTTCAGCTTTTTTTCCCTCACTTGCTGTGTACAAAAGTATAGGAGATTTCCAAAGTTCACCTTTTTTACACCTTTTTCGGCTGTTTTCAGCTATTTTTATCAGTGGTCACTCACACCCCTGAATAGTCTTCTTGGTATATGAATAGCCTGCTCATTCGACTGATCAGAGAGTTGCCATCCATGTTTTTCACCATCGCTACACTGGAGTGTTTTTGTAAAGACCAAGTGGTCCATGAATCTTGCAAACTTGACCCAATCATCGTGGAGGGCATTGCACACGGCACCTCACTCGTCACTTTTTGTTGGTATGACTGTGAGCTGGATGGGAACTCGAACTTCCGGTTAAATCAGATGACCGTCCTTTATTCTGTTAAACAATTTTAGGATTTTATAACTGGATTTTGAAGTCTACGATTTCTCCCACCGTTATTACTTTACATATTTGGTTTTTAACAGTTCATATTCTAATCAGTCACACTTGGAGAAAAAAATATTATGTTTACAGATTGAATGCCAACAATTTTGGAATAAAATTGAGTCAATTTTTTTTAGTTTTCAGTTCAGGAGGTCAGTGTTATGAGTAAAGCCTGAACACGCCTTTCATTCAGCATGTAGTGCCAATAAAACTCAATTAGGAAGATTAAATCCTGTATAAAATTTGCATTGCTCCCAAAGAATCTATATGTGAGTCCATTTTCTGTAACGAGTGATTGTTGTTTTATTTTTCTTCGTTTCCAGGTGAAAGTGGTACTTTGGTGATGGTCTTGTACCCTGAGAATGGCATCAGCGAAGTACAGAAACTTCTAATGACAGCTGCAGCCGGAGACAATGTCCATGTTGTTGGTAAGGACAAACTGCCATGCCAGTACTAGGTTTTCAAGTTTTCTTGTGAAGTTTACTTATTAAAGGATCCACGAGATGATGTTTTCTAAGGAACACATTATTGTGCAGCTTTCTACTCCACTTAAATGTGTGAAAACTATTTGACATGCCTGTTTGGTTCTTTTTTGTTGAAAAGTGCACTTTAAACATTTCAAACTGTCCATGCTTTTCCGGACAACTGAGGGTGCTGTTGCTGCTGTTGCTGTGATGTCATTTCAGGAAGACACTTTTCAGTTAAGGGTTTTCTGTTCAAATTGTTAACCCAACTTTGTGAGAAAGGGTTGCTCATTGGCTTACTGCCATGTAAACACAATGAGGAATCACCCAAACAAAAACACAAAACATTTATGACAGCAAAATATCCAAAATTCTAGCAACTTTTTGTGCTGCAATAGCTGTAGATTGAGGTTTTGCCCGGAATGACATCACAGTTTTACTATTGAATATGGAAATTTGCACAAGCATAAAACCCAAAAGGCACCAAAATGCCCTTAAAAATTGAGAATATGGTTAAATGGGACACAAATGGTCATTTTCAAGGACAGCATTAAAACATTTTATATAACCGACATACAGATCCTTGTCATTTGATTGGTGGAACTCACATCACGTGACATTCGTTATTGCTCCCATTCACGCCGCGGCTCAAAAAGTCCTATCCGCCCATGGGGAATGGGAATACTATTGAACAGTTAGGATCATTCTTGTTCCATGACGCGGTATTTGTGTGCAAATGCATGTTGGTGTGCGCGTTCAGCGTTGCGTGTAGCGGGGATTGTTCCAAAGAGCCAGCGCTACAGAGTCGAATTCAAACATTTTCGTGAAGGGGTGGTTTGGAAGAGAGAAATACATTTTCCTCCAGTTTTTATTGAAATAAAAGTTCAAATATATCAAATGACAAGGATCTATATGTCAATTGTATAAAACAAATATTGAGTGGCTTTAAATTGTGAAATGGGAGGAATATTGTCGCTCGGTAAAATCTGGACTTATCCAGTTCACTCGGCTTCGCCTCGTGAAATGGAAAAGTCCAGATTTTACCTTGCGATAATATTCCTCCCATTCCACGCTGAGCCACTCAATATTTGTATAACATTGCATGGGCCCTTGAAGATACACTCATGATGCTACACAGGGGTGGACAGCGACTTTGATTTCTGCCAGACAGCCATCAAGGGAATCTTTAATGACAGCGCCCTCAACGCCGAGCTGCTATCCAATCACGGCCTCCGACTTAGCGCAGCCAACTCCATCAACTGGGGTAGGCTGGTACCCCAGGTCGTGTACCACGCCTCGGCCTATCTAGACCTGGTCAAGCAAGGGGTCATATCTATGGGAGATGAGTGCGATATCTGCATCCCCACTGGAAACTTTGGGAACATCCTCGGTGCCATCTATGCCAAGGTAAGTGCCATATAAAAGTGCAAAAGGGAGGTCCAATACTGAAGTGCTAAGTATGAGTACCAAATTTACAAGATAAAACTGTAAGTTCTAAAAGAAACGAATAAACATACTGTAGAACTTGTTGAATAGTGCTCAACATTTACTAAGAAGTTCTAAATACAAATCCTAAATAAAAGGTCTAAATTTGAGGTCTTAATAGTAGTGCTTCTTATCATTGCTAAATGACAGTGCTGAATAAAGCGCCAAATAAAGTGCTATTCTTGACTGGATGAAGTATCAGTAGTCCGCTTGTACCCCCACCCTGCAAACAAGGCGCTGGTAAGGGCTGATGAGCTTCACAGCTTCATCTTGTGAAGGAAGTGGCGATGGCATTGTGGGTAACTTATCATGACCTATGTATAAAGACATCTGGCTGCAGCTGTATAAGACTGCAGTTATAGCCCATGCGCGCAAAGGCTATCTGAAAACTTTCTCATAGAAATGCACACATTCCATATCGGATGTGATTTCTTTTTCATTGCTGACCATGTGGACAAATTTTGAGCGTCTCATTATCAGTTTGACGACCCTTCCTGAATTCGAAACGGAACCTGCGCAAGTGACGAAAATTTACAAAAGAGATAAGTTTTACAGATTTTCCTACATTATTGCGCTTTTTCAAAAAAAAAAAGCATTTATGGCAATAAAAGAGTGATGACTCAGTCTTAACGGCCGTTTAAAACCTTGCAGGGTCGTTGCCATGATGACTTGCAGGTCACAGGTCACGCAAAATCTATCCAATCGGAGCGTGAATTCATCAGCCCTTCCCAGCGTCCTGTTTGCAGGGCGGGGGTATGAGCGAATATCAGTACATCTGTAGACAGTAGATGTAGTTCATCTGACCAATTTTCCAGCAACTAACTGGAAACCCAAACCTGTAACATCAGCGATGTACGTCAGTTTAAGCATTTTGGTGTACTTGTGCAAGGATCACCCAGATGTTCAGATATTGTCCGATGACACATGTCTTTTAGGGGATGGTCATGTTTCCCAATTTTTAAATTTTTTTTTTGATGAGAAGTACACAGAATTCATACCATGCTTCCTTGCAGACTATGGGCATCCCGTTCCGCAAGTTCATCTGTGCCTCCAACGAGAACAATGTCCTGACTGAGTTCATCCAGACAGGCTGCTACGACCTTCGACATCGTCATTTGCATGTTACCATGGCACCCGCTATCGACATACTCAAGTCCTCCAATCTTGAAAGGTATTATCACCTGCAGCTTAAGTGACAATTCTGTATTCAACCTGGAAAGAGTGGTCCATGAGAACTTTTGTTCAAATATACAGTCCCTGCCCTATTTGTGTTTTCCGCTTTCCTGAAATATTATTTATGAGTTTCCATCCCACTTGTAAAAACACAACATTTTCTAACAATTTCTCTTTCTAGGTATTTTCTGGCTTCCCAGCTATAGTGCCTGTATTCTTTCAGGAAACCTTGATGGTATTAAATAAAAACAAATTAAAATGGCAATAATAATGCATATTTAAGAAGCACGCATATCCCCCAGTATTGGTGCTCAAGGCGCTACATCATTATTACCCTGCTCATTGGGCCAATGAAACATTCCAAAGACAATCTCAGCTCCCTGGGGAGTATACATGTACAGCTCAATGCTGCCATTTTGGCGCAAGGCAGCTAAACAATCACAATAACTATCTCTGCCCTCACAGGTACCCATTTACTCCTGGGTTGAAAGGAGCAATGAATGACAAAGTGCCTTGCCCAAGGGCACACGCACCACAACCCCATGCTGGACTTGAACCCTCAACCTGCAGAATTTCCCACAGATCTTCAGTTCAATGCGCAAAACCACGAAGTTCCTGAGGTTACAATTTTGACATTTAACACTTTAAGATCATTGTATGTAAATAATGAAAGGTTTGCGGAAACACCATGTGCGAATAATTTCTCAACTAAGAGAGGAGAAGACGGTTGGAGCATACTGACCGGAACGTCGAGTTTATACCTCTGGTTCTTTTCAGAACCCTTCTCTTAGTTGAGAAATTATTCGCACATGGTGTTTCCGCAAACCTTTCATTATTTAGTATCTCCACCATGCAAAGCCTCAAATCTTACTTATCATTTTTTGTGTTTCGTTATTGATTTCAAACCTTTCTTTTTTGGTCATGTGGTCAGATTTTTATTCCTTGTCACCGATGGTGATGGTGCAGAGATCAGGAGGTGCTATGAACAGCTTGCCACAGAGAAGTACTTCCAAGTCTCTCCAAAGGTAGTCATTTATGATCACTTGTACCATGTCCACCCAAATTCGCTGGAATATTCATGACGTCACTCAAGAGGTCAACTCGTTGCAACCATGGTTAATGGTTCACGCGCACTGCAACGGCCCAGTGAACACTGTGGTTTCGCTATGGCTGTTGTGAATCCTTTTCATATTTGCTTGATTCTCCTCTTTGAAGCAAAAATAAGAACAATTGTGGTTGTAACTGGTGTGGTGACAATCTGCTGAAAGGCAGTGAACCATTTTCAGGTACTAATTTGTGAAAAGGTTCTATAAAAGTAGGATGTAAAATTGCTGTCTGTGATCTTGTGTGTTAAGTGTATGTGTAATGCGTCATTAAGGAATGCACGTGAACTGTTGTCCAGGAAGTGAGCCTGACCCAGCGGGGAGGTGACGTCACACTTTCTCAGCGAATTCAGACTTTTTTAGCTTGATGAGGCTTTCAATTTTGAGGCATTCATTTAAAAAAACACAAAGTTGCCGCACTGAAATAATGAAGCATGTGATGCTCTGTTATTTCTGAGAGCCTGTGAGAAAGAAAAAAAAAAAATACCTTGGTTAGGACTTGAACCCACGACCTCCTGCTTACTAGTGTAGAGGTCTTACCACTTGACCGCTGAGCTTGAGGCCATTTGGTGAAAAGTATTTTATCAAATACAGGTGTTTATATGATTAAAGAAGTTCTTTACCATAATTGATCTGTCCTTAGGTCCTACATCGAATCCAGAATGAATTTTGCTTGGCTGGCGACTACTGCAAAGAAGAGGAATATGCAGCATCCATAAAGAAGACACTGACTCAAACAGGTACGTTAATATAAACAACCTTGTGAAATCTGGGGTTGCTGCTAGCAAAGTCCGAACACTGCTCCAATATCTCATTTCCATCCGACACGGGAGTCAGCCAACATACAGCAGATTGTTATCCTTATGGCTCGTCCTAATAATAAAGTGCAATTGTGGAAAAACACCCTAAACAAATCCTTTAGCTCCTTGCTGTCTGATGTAGCTGACAGTAACCAGCAACTTTTTACCAAATTAGTTGGGTAGTGGTCAAGGGCAGATCCAGAAAAAAACATGTTTTTTTTTGGGGGGGGGCGAAAAAAAATTTTGCGCCCCAAAAATTACGGCGTGGGGTTTGGGGCCCGCTTAAGGACCCCGAAATTGTTTTGGATTCAATATGCTCTATGGTGCGATCTGAGGCAATTTCTGACCACTTTTACCAATTTTTTTTGAGGAAAAGATGGTGGTGTACGCAGTACCTGCCTTTATTGCAACATCACTAAACAAAAAAAATTGGTTTTTTTGGGGGGGGGGGGATGGCCCCCATTGCTCCCCTCCTGGATCCGCCCTTGAGCATGGTGCCAGTTAGTCCGACCATCAGTGACTAGCACGAATTTGATCAAAACTAGTTGAACTTTGGTTAAGCATAGTAACGGATCAAAATTGCTCTATAACATCCCACAGCAAATGCAGTACCGATGAAACTTGTAGTTCATTCATGCATATTTAGTAAATAAATGACAGCTGTTTTGTATGTCTCATGTTGTCTCACACATGGTCAATTTTATGATGTATTTCATGACAAGGATGGAATCATCAGAATTGAGAATTTTGAGGGGAATTTAATTGCAGCCACACAGGAAAAACAAAATGTTGGACTGCACTAGGGACCAGATGGAGTGAATTGAATTTTTTATGGATAAAAGAACAAAGCTACAAATTTGAAAGAAAAGGGGGGAAAAAAGAAGTTGTAGTGACAGAAACTATCTGTTCATGTTCCTCTGAATTGTGAAACCTTATATTATAGCTAGAAGGGTAGCAAGATTTAGGGAGGAATTTCCAGAGAAATGTTTAACCAGTAAAAATGAGGGTTATTGAATCGATCACCAGGGTATTTAATGGATCCCCACACCGCTGTGGCTAAAGTGGTCGCGGACCGTCTCAGACCAAGGGATCGTCCCCTCCTACTCTGCTCCACGGCCCACTACAGCAAGTTCCCCACAGATGTCGCAAAGTCCCTCGGTAGCCTCTCTTCACCCTCTGATCACCCGGCGGAGAGTCTACGGGGCTTGGAGGCGCTCGCTTCACGGCCGGTATCGCATCGTCTGCTGAGGGAAGCGCTGGAGAGGCCCAGAGTGCATTGTGGGATCGTTGGAGCATCGCGGGATGACGTCGTCAACGAGATGGTGGCTTTTGCCGCCAGAGCAACCCGTGGATAATTCACTATTTGCACACGTTTGTCACTCATACTTCATGCGTATACAAAGTAAATTATATGTTACAAAACAATTGTGCTGACACTGACAGTGACCAGGGTTGAAATTTTACATGTTAGAATTTGTAATGCAGATATTTACGTCCCCAGTTTGCGGTGTCGTTCCCTTTTCCCCTGAGTTTGATCCAGCCTATTTAATCTTAGTCCTTCAGTAACATGTATTTAAAGATTAAAAATAATGTGAAAGATTTTACGACAAAACACAATCACATGGTAAGTGCCTGCAGCCGATTTCACGAAACCTTACGCAATGGCGCAACTCTGCCTGCGCCAAAATTCATTGCATATGCTGCGCAACATTGCGTGCTGCACAACATTTCATGTTTGACACATTTCGCAAAAGTGACAAATTATGGCGTAATTGCGCAATCATATTAGGTGTCGTAAGTTGTGGCGTAGCGACTGAAAACGACCTATTTTACCAGCAAATCATGGTCGTCATGGAGCCTGTTATTGCACAACTTATCAAGGTTGATACCAGACACTCACAACTTCATGTTTGAAGTAAATGAATATCTATTTTACTCGTAACATAATTGTTAGATTTGTCAAACCACTCCGAAGAAAGTTGGACAAAATAATTTTCAAACTGGCTGGCTGAGGTGATCCAACGACTGTTTCGTGAACGAACAAATTCACACACAAACAGCCGTCGTAAATGCTGGTTTTATCCTCGTCCAAGATGTGTAATTTATTTAAAATGTTGCGCAGTTTCGTGAAATCGATGGTAAGTTTATTGCAAAGCTGCGCAACAAATTTGTTGTTTTAGTCTTACGCATGGCGCAAGCTGCGTACTTTTTCGTGAAATCGGCTACTGGAAATGCATATCGTTCGTTAATTGAAGGGATTCAGTTTGCCTGAAACGTTAGCCTCTGAGAGACTGCTCAGTAATGTTCTGCAGATATTGTCTTAATACAACAAGTCTGTTGTACTCCATTGTTTACTCGATGTTAAAGGTATAGTCCATCATTTGTAATTTGTGCATTTTGTTCGTTTGAAGCAACAAAAGTGCTCAAAATTTAAAGAAGGGTGCTGAACAACTAAACCTGATGAAGTTTCAGCTCAGCTTCAGCTGAATATTTTGAGGAAAACAACATTCTAGGATCTCGATTTCAAATCAAAAGTTGCTGAAGCATGTTTTGAATTGGTCTGAGACACGTTCTCACTGAGCCGATTGCAGCTACACGATGTCGCGCAACGACCCGACGAATTATAGCAACAGCAACCACGCGCGCATGTGCGTCGTGTCAACGCTTGGCGCGCGCTTCGCCGAATAAAAAACAGAAACGGAAATTTCCAACGGTGCTTCTTAAGACGCACCGTTGGAAAGGTGTTCTTTTGTTGATTTCTTCAAAATGACAGCTTGCCAGAAAGAATGATTTCACAGGGAGTTTAGTCCCTTACTATCTTGTAAACAAGTATTTTTTTCAACAATAATTACGCCAGTTACTTTTTTGATAGCTGCAAATGATGGACTCTGGCTTTGAAAAAAAAAAAAAAACTCGAAGTGTGTCAGGTTAATGTAAAAAACTACCAAACCCACAATACGTAGTGCAAATTCAATACAGTATCTTCAAACTAACGAAACAATATTAACTTTTGCCAATAGCAGCTGCTTTCAGTATAGTTAAAGTATATTGAATCACAATCTATACCAAAGCTTTTAAAACGCAGTTATTGAATTGAGTTTTGCTTGAATAAGCCAGTTTGGTATCTTGATGAGTCGGGGGCCCCATTTCTTGGCTCTGCTAAGTGCTAACCACAGAATTCCGCACTTACGACCACAAATTTTGTGCTAAAATTCTGTGCTAACCTGTAAGCGCCGAATCGTTATTTACACGCATGCACAAAAGCAAAAATTCCACGGTAACACGTGAAATACGCTTACCGTAAGCAAGGAATTTTCTGCTATACAGGCATGCAACTTTTCCTTGGATCTGCTGATTTCCTCGGTTTTTACTTCTCATGAATGCCATTACAAATTGAAAAACACTGTACAAAGTCTTGTGTGGTTTGGAATTTCCTCGTTTTTTCAAAATTCCCAGTTGCATGCCTGGCTATAGTAAGCAGGGATTTTCTGATAACGCTAAGCAGAGCCAAGAAATTGGGCCCAGGTCAAAGGTCACTTGGTATAAAATTGCTGACGCGATGTTACATGAATGCCTGTTCTGCTTGTTACGCTCGAACGTCGTGCGAACTTCTCCTTGCACATTTATGCGCCCTCGATGAGCGTTCGATTATCCCCAATGACCTGTGACCCATATCATTGTGTGTATCCGTAGTAGAAATACCGAGCTGGCTTATTGGCAAGAGCTATTTATGGGTCTCTTGGTATGAAGTCCAATTTTTCCAATGTTTAATTTGTACTTTACAAGAAATATTTATTATCCAACTTTTTATACTACTACTATTTATTCCTATAGGTCTACCTTATAATGACTCTTGACTGTGCTTTCTTAATCTGTTACCTTCAGTATTATGTCTTTCATGAAGGACATGCTTTAAACAATTGACTACATTCCAGTTATAAAGTACTAAGCGAGTGGTGAACAGCTATGTTTAACAGTTAGAATAGGTATGTTGTATTTCACCGAATACTTTTCAAGTAATCTTCAGTATTTATGTCTTTCATCAAGGATGTGCTTCAAACATTTGACTTCATTCCAGTTATAAAGTTCTAAGCGAGTGGTGAACAGCTATGTTTAACAGTGAGAATAAATATGTTGTATTTCACCGAATACTTTTCAAGTAATCTTCAGTATTTATGTCTTTCATCAAGGATGTGCTTCAAAAATTTGACTACATTCCAGTTATAAAGTACTAAGCGAGTGGTGAACAGCTATGTTTAACAGTTAGAATAGATATGTTGTATTTCACCGAATACTTTTCAAGTAATCTTCAGTATTTATGTCTTTCATCAAGGATGTGCTTTAAACATTTGACTACATTCCAGTTATAAGGTACTGAGCGAGTGGTGAACAGCTATGTTTAACAGTTAGAATAGATATGTTGTATTTCACCGACTAGTTCTAAAGTTATATTTACAGAAGTTCACATTTTATACAAATATTGGCTGCTTCCATTGGTGAAGTAAAACTAGCCCTCCCAAGGTGATCCTTGGAGCATATTGTTTTCCAGGGATGTAGTTGAGCCAATCACAAGTCTCTGCAAAGGGTGTGGTATTCCTCTAAGTTCATTATAATCTAAGAATAATGAAAAAAGTAAGAAAATGCTGTGAACTGCTTACCGACTTTTAATCTAAAGATAAAACCTTTTAATGCTTTCTTTATTCCTCAAAGGGTTTTTAAAAAAAACAGGGTAAGTTACGCCTTTACAAACACCATGGCACTAAAACTATTTTAAAAAATATGTCTATTTTCTTTGTGGCTTATATATTTTCCAATTTCTATTTATTGTCCTTTCCGTATTAGGTAGACATGTGCTTTTTAAATGATAATACATAATATGTAAACACTGCTTTAAAACAAGCACAATTAATGTAAAACAAAACTTTTATTTTAAACTTTTAAAAAGCACCATGTAATTTTGAATGTTAAAAGTTCTTAAATAAATAGTGAAACAGTTATTTAGGATGTGGAGGAATTACTGGAAATACAGTGTTTTGGTAGTGTTGGCACCTGAAGATGTTTCTTCAAAAAGACATTGTTCATACAGCCCCCTTCTATTGGCCCAAGAATATGTGGTCTATATGCCTGCCTCAGCAAACATAGCTCTTTAAATTCAGATTTTTTTAAACATCTTGATTCTGCTGAAAACATTTTCTAACATTTGGTAGTAAAAGGGACTTCAAAAAATGGAAATACAGACCATGATTTTATCGAAGTAGAGTAGTAAATCTTGATGCCTTGCGTATCTGATTTCCTAAAAGTTGTGGATAGAAAAAAAGACATAAGAACTGAGAAAGTGGGCAAAGGTTGCAGAGGACAAGTTTGCAAATTAAGATTCAACTAAAATTGTTTATATAAGATTTGAGGCTTTGCATGGTGGAGTATTGGTATCGTTTCGGTTTGTGGTAACACCATGTGGTAATAACTACTGCTTGGAAGATATTTAGTTCTGAAAAGAACAGTCTCCTGACAATGACTAGAGCAGGCTAGTGGAAACGTTGAGACCAAAGAACTTACAGCAGGACTGTTCTTATCAGAACAAAAACTACTTGGCGAAAGTTGATAATAAGCAGGACAAGTTCTTTTCAGAACTAAATATCTTCTAAGCTGTAGTTATTACCACATGGTGTTACTGCAAACCAAAAATGATAAAATCGTTTATCCTCTTCAAAAGGTTGGCTTTGTTCCATGTTACTGCAAAAGACTTTGGGACTTTCGAATCGTTTTGCGATGACAGGTCACTTATAGACTAGTGCAAAATATTTCTTCATTGGAGGCCGAGAGACCCATTTCTAGGCTATACTCTAGACTGTTAGCCAGAATGCATACAATAAAGTGTCGTTTTTCACAATATGCATAATAAAAGTCATTGATATATAAGTGGCGTGTTTACGTTTCTGGGTGAATTGCACAAAAGGTTCGTCAGCCTTGGAATGCTAGTGCATATTTCGCTCAAGTAAACTGGGCTGACTGCAATAGCAGGGTTCATTTTTCCTGCCCCCATTTACATCGTACATCATTGATACCAGTGCATGAACGGTACTGTTGCAAAAAGACATGGGTAGACAATTGTCCATTAAAAAAAAGCATCATTTAAATGCTTGAAAATACACTGTACTACAGAGTATGCCAAAAAAAGTGCAACATTCAGAAAACAAATAATTTAAACTGTTTAATATTGTTTTTTCTTCAATGAAATCATATATTACATTAAAGCCTGACTATTTCTCAATCCACTCCTTAAACCCAGTCCATTTGGCCCCTAGATCCAGAAATACGATAAGTTTAAGTGAAAGGGTGTAAATTTTACTTGGGCCACTCTCGCCTGGACATGCTGAATCTGGGTTTAGCATTGAATAGGCATTGAGGTTGGTGACATCACAGGTGAGAGTGGCCCAAGTAAAATTTACACCCTTTCACTTAATTGATTGTATTTCTCGATCTAGGGACCCAAATGGAATGGGGTAAAAAGGAATGGATTGAGAAATAGTCAGGCTTTAATGTAATATATAGTGTCATTAAAAAAAGTAAAACAGTGTTAATTACATGTATTTGTTTTCTGAAAGTTGCACTTGTTTGGCGCACTCTCTATATTGGCTGGAATCAAGGCTGAAAATTTTAAAGGTTTTGTTTTCTAAAAATGCTAAGAATATATCAGCCCAGATGGAAATTTCCCGCTGTTGTATATTTTCGAAAATAAGCAAGATCCTTTGACTGGTCAGTAGTTTTTCTGTTGTAAAAACCTCAGTTTTTAAAATGGTGACACTTTAGTCCAGTAATGGGGTGTTTCATCACTTTATAAATAAAAGAGGGGATTGCCAGAAGATTGCCCATAAGCTTTGACACTTTAGCCTACAAAGCAAATCACAGTTAATTGTGTATAGGAAAGTTAAACACTTCCGGCCTGTTTACCACATTTTACCCACGTTCCACTTTTCAGTCTATTTTTGCTGTATAAGTATAAGTATTAGCTGGAGATTGATACCCAGCCCTAAATTTTATCATACGGTTGTCATTTAGGGCTGGTAATTTCAAACCAAAATATTCCAGTCTAGTGCTGCACTTATCATTTTGTTTTTAACATTTGAAGAAATATATGAGCTACGTGAAAAAAATTACCACATCAACTCAAACAGAAACATATGGCATGTATTCCAGTGTTCTCAACAACCATTCAACCCCATATTTCCCATACCGTAACAATCCACTGACATTCACCTCGTTCGGTGAACAATTACAAAATGGGCGTATTCCATCGAAACTGAACTATAGAGCCCGCTGTACTGGGGTTGGTGCTGCATACTTCAACACAATGCATTCACGCCTGAGCGGTTTAGTATAAAGACACTGCTAGGCTGGTGCGGCCGGGATCTGAAGTGCATGCCACACAACCTTTTCAGACCTTCCATGGGAATGCCTGGCATGAATAGAAAGTTTTGACAGGAGTGACTCAGCCTACAAGACCAGAGCAATCCGGAACACACTTCATATATTTGGAGAATAAAGAAAGGAATTAAATCCGTCAGGGTTAGTATCAACACTGTGTGTTATGTGACACCATCATGCGTGGAGCTTAAAAAGACAGGGTGGTGAGAGTTCACCCTAAAAAGTTCACCTCTGTTTTCCGGAAATAGTTGGTGCGTGTTTGGCTATTGCTAAACTACTGTGTCTACCTGATTTGAGTTTTCACAAGGACATATATTGATGCTTGCGTAGAAGTAAAACTTGGTCTTTCGGTAAGTCTGAATTGTATCCTTGTAATCCTTTTTAACAGTAATTTCGTAATTGTAGAGCATTTGAAACCCATTTACTTGCTGATTTTGGGTTAATTTCCCTGTTTATAAGCGGACAAAAAATAAACCACTAGCAACACAGAAAGTTTTGTGTGTGCACGCCTCAGCCAGAAGGTTTTTGTATTCATATGAATATAGTTCTATATTCCTGTGTTGTTTGGGAAAGAGGCGTGCAACCAGGCACAAATGCTTTGTTGATGTGTTCTATGGGTCATGCTCATATAGTATATAATTGTAGATATACACTTTTTGTATTGCCAGATATATCGTCCTCTCCTAATCTTGGAATTGCATTTCTAGGAAAGAATTCCATGGCCACCACTCAGATTCCTTAAAGGGAAAATACAACATTTGCAAACATCAGAAAGCGAGATGATCAAATTATCACGAAATACCTTACTGAATTGTTAGGGACTGACAGTCTAAAGCATCCTTTAAAAACGTGCCTCCTGGTGGGCTGACATTTTCAAGAAAAACTGAATTTTTCCAACGCTGGTCGGTCGACCAGCGTTGGAGAAAACTGGCATTTTTCTCAAAAACTGTTCTTTACTTTTCATATTTAGTTAGTATCACTTTTCTTTGCAATTGATCACATATTTGTGAAGGGGTACAAGCCTGCTAGACTGATTCTCTGACCTTACAATTCCCCAAAGTGTATAAATTGCTTGGTTTCATCTTAAGTGGGGTCAGGGAACCAGACATCAAGAACATGATAGGTTTTCTTGGTTTTTCCAGTGTCTACAAGCCCAAAACATGAAACAAGTCATTGTATAAACAATATTTTATACAACATACTAATCCTCCAAATCCATTTATTTCTGAAAATTGCAGCAAAAGCAAATGTTGTACATTCCCTTTAAAAGTACCAACAGTTGTACATCTGATGAAGAAACACTATTTAAGGAGCGCAAAAAATCTTTTTAATACTTTTTAACTTTTTCTGCCATGGCCCATAGACTTTGTACAGGAGGTCTGAGTTGGTGGCCCAGCATGGAATTCTTTCCCATTTCTAGTTTATGATAACTTCTAAATTCGGCTGTTGGTAATTTGCCGACTGATCCAGTCATTTAAAGGGAATATAAAACATTTGCAAACATCGACAAATAAAACTACCAAGTTTTTACGAAATACCTCACTAGGATGTTGGTTAATGACAGTCTAAAGCATCCTGTAAAATTATGGCACTTGGTGTGAAGTCATTTTCAAGAAAATGGTATTTTTGTATAAATTTCCAACGGTGGTCGGCCGACCACCGTTGGAAAAACCTAACTATTTTTCAACTACTGCTCCAAATTTACCATTTTGTTCAGTCAAAATTTTGTTTGCTATTGGTTACATGTTCATGAACGGGTGCAGGCCAGCTAGACTGGTTCCCTCCCCTAACAATTTTCCGGCATCTATAAATTGATTCATTTCATCTTTAGTGGAGTCAGGGAACCAGACTACTTGAAATGTTTTGTTTTTCTTGGCTTTTCCAGCATTTTCGAACACAAAACTTCAAACATGTCAGTGAAACAATATTTCATCTATTATACTAACCCCTCAAATAGTCCGTTTTTAAAAATAACAGCAAAAGCCAATGATGTACATTCCCTTTAATCAGTAGTTGTTCAATATCTCTATGAATCTGTTAAAGCTCATTTTAAAAGTAACCCAATGAGGCAGTTGACAAAAATTACAAGCACTAGATTTATTTTTGCCCTTTTCATGTCTAGTTACGCATCTGCATCAAGTTAGACTGGAGAAGGTGGGAATTTAATTTCTGAAAGCCTGTTACAGTACAAAAAAAATGGTCATGCAAAAATATTTTTGTATGGTCGACCCTCTTGCCAGCATGACCTAGAGTGAAGCTTATCCCAAATCTCCAAAGTAAATCCAAATTGAATTGAATGTTCCAAAAGGGCCATTCAAAAGTTAATGTGATTTGTTACTTATCCAGAAAACAAAACTTGAATCAATCTTAGCAAATGTCCCTATTCTGTTTAAACTGTTACTTTGTGTTTACAGTGGCCGATCTCGTTAAAGCTTGCTGTCAGATGCATTGTTAGACTTGCGTTATAAATTGAATATTTTCTTCCTTGAAGGCCGTCCAGCAAACTATAATCTGCAGACCTCCTTAATCCTCTTAAAGTTCCTGGGGCTCAAAAAGTAAACACTTCTGTTGGTAGCAGGGACTTTTTCAATTGTTGTTCTCGTAAACAGAGGAATGCCCTTTGTTTAAGTTGTGTTTACAACTTAGGAAAGGAACTGCTGTAGGCTTACATGATTAAGATTGAAAACAGAAAAAGACCAGAGCTGTTGAAATTCTTCAGTTTGTTTGAAATGATTCAGAATAACAAGTAATTGACTAAGTTGAAGTTGTTTCTGTAACCAATGGACATCAAGAATTCTGGTTATCTGTACTTTTTCAATAATTAAGTGATGCTTTATGTATGACGAAGGTGTTTATAAAGTTTTGATTATTCCTTTTTTTATTTTGTAGAGAGGAAATTGACAAGTTCAGGAACTGAATCCCTGGTGTTCTCGTGACCAATCGCGTTTGAACTCTTGGTAGGTTTACTCCGCGAAGATGCCGCATGAGAGAGTATCTAGAGGTTCGGGGTACCAGGGAGCCCGGTCCCCATCACCAAACCAAAGACAAGCTTATACCTTATCGTCAAACTCAAGAGCAGCACGCACCCCCTCGCCAAACCGAAGGAAAAGCGCTCGCTCCCCGTCCCCGACCCGGAAGGCTGCCAATTCGTCAAAGTCGCAAGTTCATCGCAGCGAGGCCATGTCGTTTTCTACCACTCGCAACGGGGTGCACTCCCCGACCCAGATCCGGAAGGCCGAACGCTCGAAATCCCCGGCCCGCAATGGATTCCACTCCTTGCCGGCACGGAAGCCCAAGTCTAAGGGGCCGTACACCCTTGAGCGATTCGCCATGATGAACTTCAGCGTGAAGCCAGCCAAACGACCCACGGTTGCCACGAAATCCGGTTCAAACACAGGGAGCATCTGGCAGCATACGACGGAGCCGATTCAGAAGCCTCTACTCCAACACCTGCTGAGGGATCAACAGTTGTCCAGTCGAGCATGTTCTGCTTTCAAAGATATCCTTTGACTAGATAGATGTACCAATGTTTGTTTGATGGATGGAGTCTCATCTTATTAATTTTTTGTTAACATTACAGTTAAAGTGTTGATGTAACGAACATGCAGGGGTCCACAAAAGATTGTTCAGTGTAGAAATTATTCCCTTAGTAATTTACAGCCAACCATGCTCAGTATAAGCATTTTAAAAACATTTAGAACCAAAGCAGGATTGTCCATGAAACCAACATGGTGTCGTGGTGTTTGTTATAAAGGTGCTCTACTGTAATGGGAAATATAATACAATGTTTTTTAAGTCACCTGAGAGATATCAGACTAGTCTACAATGGTCTGAAGCATTTGAAATTTGAATTTTTTTTCTCATTTTTCGATTTCCAGAGTTGTTAACAAGAAAAACTAAGTTAAACGAATCTTTAAATGGCCCATGCAATGTAATATTTTTTATGCAATCCTTGGAGATGCACCTTCATGTCCCATTTAACACTGTTTTCAATTTTCGTTTTAACATTTTCACGGGTATTTCGGTGCCTTTTGGGTTTTTATGGTAATCCAAATTTCCATGTTTATGAGCAAAATGTGATGTCATTTCGGGCAGAAACCTCAGCGTTACAGCTATTTCAGCAGCAAAACTTGCCAGAATTTTGGATATTTCATTGTCAAAATTTTTTCTTTTCTTTGGTGATTCTGCAGCAACAGCACCCTCAGTTGTTCGGGGAAAAGCATGGACAATTTGAATGTATGAAGAAGTCCACTTTTCAATAAAAGTAACCAAAAAGGGATGTCAAATAGTTTTCTTACATTTAAGAAGAGTAGAAAGTTGCACAAGATATGTTCCTTACAAAATTCACTTCATGGCCCCTTTAAATTTATGGCTAGCAGAGGAAACTTATTTTCAGAACTTTGAAAATATAAGTTTTAAATTACGTGAAAAAATTTACTATAAGAACAATAGAAAGTATTTTTTTGTTATTTCTATAATATATGTAGAAATAACCAACCATTAACAATAATCCACCTGGCAGACTTGCACTTACATTTACATTCAGTCAGAGAAAAAAAAGGGAAAAATCATAAATCATTAAAATTTTCTTAACCGTTCACACCAATCATGAAGTACATGGGCGACTACCCTACCAAGAAAACCAACCTTCAGGGCACGCAAATGACCGACAAGATCTTCACCGATGCCTTGAGATTGGACGGCCTCAAAGATGAGATCTATTGCCAGATCATCAAGCAGTTGACCAACAATACTCTCAAGTTAGTCGGTTTCAGAATTTTTTTTCAGGAAATATGATTAATATTAGCAAGAAAATCCACTGGAAATTTTGATGGTCCAGTCGTTAGGACTCGATCTGCACTCGGGAGCAGATTTTAAGAATAGTATAAAAATCATGGAATAAACAATTTGCATCTTTCTTAAGCCCCAGTCACACATTTATGGTTTGGAGCTACGGATCTCCTTAGTTTGAGTAATGTGATAACCCGTGGGCTTCGGAAGTTTTAGACAGTTCAGAACTTCAGTGGTGAAATAACATGAAAATCAATCTGTAGTGCAACTGTGGGACAGCCGTAGGACAACCGTATTGATTTGTAGTGTTATTTGTGGCTATTCGCACATATTCTTGGAGATTCGTAGCTCATTCATGGTTGAAATCTCTACGAATTCGCTATGAATGTCCTACAGATATGCCCGGACGTGCTAGCGTGCTGCTAAGGTTGTACTACAAATATCCATATCCATGCTATATTCGTAGGAGAACCTCGGTCATGCGTGGCCCAATCGCAGACAACTGTGGCATTAATGTCATTATTCTTAGTAATATAATCGATATTTATTCTGGACAAACCGTGGTTTATACATAGATAAACCGTAGGGCAGTCGTGGCTATCCGTCCTCAAACCGAAGTGCATTCTCAGATAGTCGATTTCTCCACGAATCTTGACGGTTCATGGTGATCGATTAACATGTCGATGAATGCAAACTTTAAACAGCCCCAACTTGTCAACAGCATATCCGATAGGAGTGCAACAAATCGTGTTGCCAGGAGCATTTTCTTCTCGTTCCCAGTACCTTCAATTGCTCATTCCGACTGCGCCCAATTTTGTCTCATTTTGCAAGAATGCCTTACATTTGTGTTTTAGTGTCAGCGAGGAGCGGGGCTGGGAGCTGATGTGGCTAGCCACAGGCCTCTTCTCACCCAGCGACACCCTGCAGCCCGAGCTGGGCAAGTTCCTGCGTTTGGCCCACCACACGCTGGCTGAGGACTGCCAACGCAGGCTGCTGGCCGTGTCGCAGCTGACACAGCAGCGCAAGTACCCGCCGCACTGGGTGGAGGTGGAGACCATACAGCATCACTACACGCAGATCTTTCACTTCATCTTCCTGCCGGATGACAAGTCCAATGCGGTAAGTTATGAAAATGTTTGAATAGGCAGTAAAAAAAAAGTTGATGAGGATTTCCTCAGACCGCTCTCTTTTCTGGGGATTGGATGTTTGCCAGATTTATAAATGTTATAAATTATACCCCTTATTGACTTTTACATATATTCACTTCAATAAATATATATTTGCAGAAAATTTCAAAGACAGATACATAACGTGCATATGGAGGCCCTTGTGTATTGTATTATTTGGTTATTTCTAAAATTCATTACTTTAATTTTTGATAAATTTCTGTGCACCCTTTCTGAAACATTTTTACAGCTGTACAAACTTCCAAGGACTTCACTTTGCTGAAAACATTAAAAGACGACTTTAAATAATTAATATATTAGTTAAAAACTTTTATTCCACTGCTACAATTTTTTTACACGATATTTATGAAGGCTCTTAAAGCTTTTTTTAAACCAAATTTTACCAGTCAGATTCTGTCATAAACCAAATGTTCAATTTTGGTCCAAAAAATACCACATTAATTCTTATTCTAAATTCCTTGTTATGCTGCCATTGAGTGCTGACATATTTTTTCAAAGCCTTTTTTGACATTTGTCTGTTTTTTTATTGTTTTTTTAGTCCTTTCAAGTTTCTTCCACCATGACGGTTGGAGACCTGTGTAAGAGCATCGCCAATCGTCTCGGGCTGAAATCTAACAAGGGATTTGGCCTCTTCCTTATAATGGCTTCAAGGAGTATGTATTTGGAAATGATATAATCATCTTTTTAATGTGAAAGACTCATTCAAGATACTGTGGCGGGAACCCCCCCTCCGACTATGTACAATTTGCGCATAAGCATTTCCCAAAACGCAGAGCACAAGTAATTCACCTCTTGCTCGCTCACTGTCCGCAACATCAACTCCCCGTAAATACGTGAGTACAGCCCTCATGTGCACGGCAATACGCGCATACATGTACAAGCACTAAACCTACGGCGCGCTAAGCCTATGGCGCTTGGCTAACCAATCGCGTGCATGCAGCAACACACGGAGCTCCTAAGCTCCGCCCAGTCACTAACACACGGTGATTAAGCGTTAGCGCTATGGTATGAGGTCACAATTAAACTGGCTCTAAGCTCACACACACTTTCCACCACAATACCTTGTACTGGTATAGACCGCTTGCAGATGCGTTCGATAATCGACGCGCGTAGGCGCGCGACGCCATGTTGTGGGACAGGCGTATATCTATCCATGCACATTTTGTCCCATAACATGGCGTCATGCACCTTCGCACGTCAATTATCGATCGCGTCTGCAAGCGGTCTATAGCCAGGTACAGTATTTTAAACAAAAGGGCAGAGTAGTAACATACAGTGGCATGTTGACAAAACTGAAAGTAAGATTTCTGGAAATTTACAGACGGTCTTTACATCAAACTTGAAAATTTTCTTTTGCCACACATTCCCCAACGAAAAGTTGTCAGTTGTAAAATTTGATAAGTTTAATAAGTTTTTGCCAATTTTGAGCTAAATCTGTTGTCTTTTTAAGCTTCTACATGCCACTTGGTGGTCAGACAGTCGGTCGGTCTGTGTGTCTGTTCTTGGAAAATTGACCAAAATAAGTCCCCTAAGTTTCCCATAAAATATAACTACTGAATTTTAATTTCAAAAAAAATAAAAATTAATAAATCAAATACTCAACAAAAATTGTTTGTAACGATTTGGAAAGTGGCAAAATATGTGCAGTTATGTTATAGTTATGTGGTATTTATCACAAATCGCTATAAATCTAGGTATAAATCTAAAGTATGGTGTTCCATATGTGCCATCGGCATAGCATTTTTGGGTGTCGCTGTTACATGCATTGTTATAAGCATGGATCAAATTCAAAACTGAATCATATTTGTGCATTAACATTTATGGAAATTCATTTTTTCCCCTGTTTTTAGTCATCGCCATGCATGAGGAGAGTGATTTCTTCTTCGACGCCCTGAGACGACAAATCGACTGGGAACAGGAAGGTATCAAATCCGCTAAAAGTGAGGGTAGGCGCTTCAACTGCTTGCTTTTCTCGTAGAGATACACCCTTAATTTCTGTCCTATGTTTTCAGATTTTAGTAGATTTTACTAAAGATATTAGTTCACGACAGAACATATGATTGAATAGAAATTAGGTAGAGATAGTTAATGCACCCAGTACCACTGTTCTGTGATTTCATTTTTCAGACTTAAAATTAGTGCACCAAAAGCAAGAGCACAGCTGGAGCATGTCAAAATGCATGGAATTTTTCATGCCCTTAGAGCTTAGAAAATTTGAACTTTGCTGCATTTGCTTCGAAGAAGAATTAGGTTAGGTAAACGCATGCGTCACACGTAGAGCTCAGTAAAATCTGTAGTATAATATTGTGCAAAGATAGCTGTGCATTTTTTCAGCTGTGCATAAGCTTCTGCGCCTAAGCAGTTGTGATAAATCAATCTTTTTTCAAACATTGCACCATTTTGATTGAATGCAGTTTATTTTATTTCAGAATTTTATGAAGTTTATGAAGCGATGTTCCCTGACATACGTACATGGGCGTTGCGAGGGGGGGCAAGGGGGGCACTTTCCCCCCTCCCAGAAAAAAAAAAAAAAAACGGAAAAAGGAAAAAATAACCAAAACAAAAACAGAAAAAGAGGTGCAAAGCCATGTTGCTGTTAATTTGATGGGGGGGGGGCAAATGCTCCCCTGCTCACGTTCGGAAAAATGATAATTTGAGAATATAATGAAAAAGTTAATGAATTTTGGGGGAAAATTTGCTTTGCCCCCCCCCCAAAAAAATCCTGGTGACGCCCATACGTACATAGTTGGAAAGCGCTTCTTGTACAGAATGTGTTTACCCCAGTCTAATTCTGATTTTTATAGCAGCATTTTGTTTGTACTTATTGGGTAGCCAACCACAGGCATTGTTAGAGGGGGTAGGGTGACACTCCCCCCCCCCCCCACAGTTGATTTTGTCATAAAAAATTGTTGTCCTGTCAGTAAAATCGTGTGTCTGTTGGGATATTTGCATTGTCTGAGTGTCCATGATAATCCATTTTAAACAGCGCCCCCTAAAGGAAGATGCTGTCCAGCCCCCCTCCCCTCCTTTTTTTGAAGTTGCGAGGGTAGGTGTCTGTGCAAAAAAAGTCCTGTCTACCTTTTAGCACCGATGGTCTGTGGTCAAATTTGCTGTTACACTCCCCCACTCAAAGCGGTCTGGCGATGCTACTGCAGCCAACATTGAGTTGGTCTTAATGGATCAACCAGGTGAAAGAAAAACTTTCAATGGGAGTAACCAACCTGCAGATCCTTAAAATATCCCGATGGACAATGAAGACATGAGGAGGGTTAGAATTTATAGGCAATAATGCTCAGACTGTCTTTATTTCCCCGAAAAATGGACCTAACATAGTGTTTTCCGTCTTTGCCCTCTGGTCTGTCGTCAAATTTGCCGTTACAATCTCCCATTCAAAGCGGTCTAGTGATGCTCCTGCAGCCAACAATGAGTTGGTCTTAATGGATCAGGTAAACAAAACAAATGTCAATGGGAGCAACCAACGTGCAGACATTTAAAATACCCTGATGGACATTGAAGACACAAGGAGGGTTAGAATTTATGGGCAATATTGCTCAGACTGTATCTTTATTACCCTGAAAAGCGGACCTAAGTGTCTGACATTCGTCTTTGCCCTCTTATGCCTCCACCCTCTGTGGACTATACAGAGAGCGACATGCCTGTGCTGGCCTATCAGATGTTCTTCCTGCGCAAGATCTGGACGGACGTGGTTCCTGGGGATGACGTACAAGCCGACACCGTCTTCCACTACCACCAGGAGCTGCCAAAGTTCCTGAGGGGCTACTACAGCTGTCCGCCGGAGGACGCGGCAAAACTGGCCGCGCTTCAGTTCCGTGCCCGCTACGGTAACGACAAGACGGAGATGCAGAATATTGCCAAGCGGCTGTCGGATTTCTTGCCCGAGGACCTAGTGAAGAGCAGATCCGTCGACGATTGGAAGAGGGTGAGTTTTAAAATCACTCAAGATCATTTTCTTGTAGATGTTTCCTCAGTATTTTTGCTGCATTTTGCTTGAGATCCTTCATGTTTAAAGGAGGATGCTTTGATTAACACCTAATTATAAGCCCATAGATTCTGTGTCTGAATTGGGTGAAAGCATGTTATGTGGCTTATCAATAGTTTCATTATTTTACCATGCACTCTCAAAACCAAAATACCACAGCAGCCGCGTTCTGAAAAGTACAATATCAAAAAGGAACCAAACTGCCACACCCCAAGCACCAAATGTGTATATATTTGTGTTGTACTACAAAATTGGGTTCACACTTTTCCCCAAAGAGAAGGTTTGGATATTGTGAAACAAACTACTTTGCTTTGTTTTTTGTTCAGTAACTCTGATTTTTTTGTAAACGGTGAAGAACCTATGGGTGGGATGTTATTCAACATACATGTATATTGGCTGCTTTAACTAGTTTCAAACGCTGAATCAGTATATCGGCTGAAAATTGGGCTGAATACATTGGCTCAAATGTCATAGTGCACTGTATTTAATTCTCAGTGTGTATAAATAATACATTTTATACAGCACCTGAATAAAACCCGGTCATCTGATTGTTGGTTAGCATGATCACGCGTCATTGAATTATTCATCCAAACGCACGGCGCGGCCGCACCGCAAAATAGAAGTTCCGTTGCATTGTCACACTTTTGGCGGCTCTGACCAATGAGATGATGAGGATTTATTCTGGTGTTGTATAAAATACCTAATGTACGTATCACTTCCGTGCAATGGAAAGAATAATTTCATGAGGTGACAGATGCAATGTCTATCTGTCAACTCATGAAATTATTCTTACCATTGCCCTCATAAACATTCATTAGTTCTATGTTATTCCATATTCATAAATACCTAAGACAGTTTACGCATTCCTATTGGTCGAGAGCCCGTCACGTGGCCAATCTTAAACAGATGATAAAGACATAGCTGGCTGGTCTTAAACACTTTTCCAGTGTCACATGAAATTTGGACTCCCATGAAATCCGGTGCCTTTTAACATTCCATTGGTAATTGAACGTTCACATTCCTCACGTTTGCATGCGCAATGTTCTACAAGTGAATCAGTATTTCATGGTCCGAAATTCTCTCTTCACCAGCCCAGCTGCGTTTTGCGCGACATCGCGCAGTACGCGCGACCATGGAGGTGGAATACGCGCACGCAAATGTGGAGGGGCATTCCATATTATAGTCAGAGGGGTGTTTCGTAAAACATGAAGTAAAATTGTTGAACAAAATAGTTAACAACGTCTAGTTTTTTACTTGTTTTGATTTTTGGACCAAAAAGATTTGTTTTTTTGACCAAAAAGGTATTTATGAATGGGAACGAAAATGTGTTCCGTCGGTATTAAACACTCTGTTTAAACCGGTGTGAGTCTGGATGGGTGATAATTACCCATCCAGACTCACACCGGTTTAAACAGAGTGTTATAATACCTCCGGAACACACATTTATTCCCTTACTCAACTATAAATTTATTCATGAAACAGTAGGCCTACAACTAGCCGTGGTTGTCTCTGGAAGTTTCCATTTCCCTCGACTTTGCCTCTGAAAAAGAGAGCGCTCAATGGATCATGTTCAGTGGGTAGTGTTGCTATACCACTTTGAGCAGTCAATAATTGTATCCTAGATATTCTTTGAGTACTGCGACCCTGAGGTGATTCACCAGACTCCTTTGTCTTTATTGTAGGCCATCATTTCCGCTTACAACCAGCCGTGGATCACCAGTATGACCAAGGACGCCGCTAAGGTAGCCTTCCTGAAGATCATGTACCGCTGGCCCACGTTTGGATCCTCGTTCTTCGAAGCTGCTGTAAGTTTTCACTTCAGTATAATAGTGTTAGCTGTTATGTCATATGGTAAGCCTTTATAAAGGTGATCATTTTAGTGTTCACTGCACAATAGAGTTCACTCATGACCTGGTCTACATCCGGAGAAATTATAAAATATTTTTGTTAAAGGTAGAGTGGACCATTTGGCTATCCAAAAAGAAACCAACCAAATTATTTTAAAAAGCTTACATGTATTTAGCTTAAAGAATCATTATAGCACTCAACTCCCTGTAAAATTATTCCTTCCGGCATGCTGTCATTTGGAAGAAAACAATGAAAGGTCATTTCCAAGGATGTGCCAAGTGGTACATTTTTGGACATTTCCATTTGTAGTTGGTTTGTAATTGTGCGAATCTGTGAATGGGCCCAAGCGTTGACATGAGGCACGCGCACGCATGGCTGCTGCAATTCGTTGGTTCAGTGTGTACGTAACATCACGTAGCTGTGATCAGCTAAATGAGAATCATGTCCTGAATGCTGATTTCAGGATTGTGTCACGAGAGGGCAAAATTCAAAATATGACTCGGCAACTTTTGAACTGAAATTAAGATCCAGAATATTGTGTTTTCTCAAAAAGTACAGCATTCACAGAGCTAAAACTATAACTTGCTAGTTGTTAAGCACCTGTCTTGACTTTGAGCACTTTTGTTGTTTCAAAAGAAAAAAATGCACAAATGACAAATGGTCTATTCTACCTTTAACAACTCAAGATAACCAGAAAGATTTGTGTGTCAACATATGGTAATGCATAGATAGATGAATGTGAATCCTCAATAATATAGTCCCTTTATCTCAAGAATAATTAGGGTTATTCGCATGTTTGTATTTACTTACAGAAAGTCACAGGATCGGACAACACAGAGGACGTGTTACTGGCAATCAACAAGCACGGCATACTCATCATAGATGCACAGTCAAAAGTGAGACAAATTTGTCTAATAAAAGCACTTTGATACCGAAAGACATTGCTTTATTTTATTTGTTTTATATGCAAAGGTCATGGAAAAGTCATGGATAAAGTCATGGAATTTTATTGTCCTAAAGGTGCGGGGACACTGTAGGTACATGTACAGGGTGAGTCAAAAAACGAAACCCAAATGTCGGGACTATTGTTTTAGTGAAGTTCTGCATGTAGCACTTTCAAAATCTAAGATAAAAAAGCCCAATTCATAAGCTTTCTTTTAGTACAAGAATCATTCAGATCACTCATGTACTTTTCAAGTTACAGAATTTTAAACACAACCACCGTTTTAAAGTTCTGTCCGCGAATCACAAGAAGGTAAGTGTTCTTTCAGCAAAACAAAAACAAATCACATAGGGATGTGTGTGAATTGTTTTCGTTTTGCTGAAAGAACGCACACTTTTTTGTGATCCGTGGACAAAACTTTAAAACGGTGGTTCTGTTTAAAATTCTGTAACTTAAAAAGTACATAAGTGATTTGAATGATTCTTGTACTAAAAGAAAGCTTATTAATTGGGCTTTCATATCCTAGATTTTGAAAGTGCTACATGCAGAACTTCACTTAAACAATAGTCCCGACATTTGGGTTTCGGTTGTTTTTTTTACTCACCCTGTATATGTAGGGTAGTTCTAAGATTTCATTTCTCCTCTTGTGCGGATTCTAATAGTTCCTACAGTTCCTTTTACCAAATGTTTTCATGATTTTGTAGGAAGTTCAGAAGACGTTCCCCTACAGCGAGATACAGGGCTGGGCCGGCTCAGGGCAGAGTGACTTTTTCTTGACAGTCGGCAACGAGAGCAAAGGAGCCATGAAACTCCACTTCAAAACCAAGCTGGTGAGTTTGTTTGGAAATTTTGTAATCCTTGAGAAAAATTCTACCAAAACTGACATGTATGTGTCGTGTTAAGGCCGTGGCTGTGTATATAAATCGTGTTCTTCAACACGAACTGGTTAATTGTCAGAAGTCATTCAAATATAGGTTTTCCCGGCCAATTTCCTAAAATGTGCATTCGCTTCTGAAAATCGCTCATTCACTTTCGTCTGAATTTGAATGCACATCTTTAATCCAATTTCAATTCAACAAAAGTTCAATCGTTTTCGTTGTTCGTGCATGCGGTTTTGAGAAACAGACGGTCAATTACGTTACCTGTGCATTCATTTACGCAAGCATACGTTTTCGCGCAGAGTTCTGGCATATAATTTTGTGAATGTGCAATCAAAAGTATGTTTTTCTCACTCAAAATAGCAGATTGCATCACACAACATTAAACTAAAAGTGAAATTATAAATAGAATGACCAGTGTTTGAAATCGCCCTCTGAAAGTGAAAAGGAAGTCTTCTAAACGAGTTTGAATGAGCATAAACGAAATGTGCTGCTCGATCACTTGATTGATTGAACTGAAATGGAATCGCATGCTCTGGTAGCGAAAAGCGTGTTCAGAGCGATTCTCAAATTCAGACGAAACTGAATGACCGATTTTCGGAAGTGAATGAAAGTTATATGAAATTGGCCCGGAAAACCTATACTAGTGGTTCAATGATTTCAGACTTGTTATCTGGTGAACTTGTTATTTAATACTTGATCACAGTCTGGCACACTCACTACTGGTTGGTATCTTTAAAAAGTAATTTAGGTTGCATATCTTGTATATTTTCAGGGCTACAAGATGGACGATCTCTTGACCTCCTACGTACGCTACATGCAGAAGAGACCGTCTTCGGGGCAACATTCCAACAATAATAAAACGCTTTAATGGACACCCTATCTATCCAAACCCTTCACAGGTTGTGACAGTTATGTGGTGTAATCCATAGTGGTTCTGGCAGTTGGTAACCAGCCTGTACAAAAGCTATGGGAGCGGGAATGGGTTGTTCGTTTTTTTAGTTTGTGAGAGTTTTATCAGTAGGAGGGTTAAAGATATAGTCCATCATTTGTAATTTGTGCATTTTGTTTGTTTGAAGCAACAAAAGTGCTCAAGATCTAAAGAAGGATGCTAAACAACTAACTTGATGAAGTTTCAGCTCAGCTTCAGCTGTACATTCCGAGAAAAAACAGCATTCTAGGATCCGATTTCATATCAAAAGTTGCTGAATCATGTTTTGAATTGGGCCTGAATTCAGCGTCCAAGACACGTATTCACTGAGCCGATTGTAGCTACGCGATGTCGCGCACCGATTCGACGAATTATAGCAACCCTGCATGCGTGTGCATCATGCCAATGCTTGCGCGCTTCGCGGAATAACAAAACGAACTACTAATTTAAATTTTCCACGGTGTGTCTTAAGAAGCACAGTTGGAAAGGCCTTCTTTTGATGATTTCTTCAAAATGGCAGCTTGCCAGAAAGATTAATTCCACAGGGAGTTTAGTCCCCTTACTTTCTTTCAACCAAGTATGTTTTTCAACAATAATTTCGCTGCAAATGATGGACTATTGCTTTAAATAGATGAAACTGATATGCACAAATGACTTTGCATCTGTGCATTCAATTTGATCAAACTTCCACTGTTTAGTGATCTCAAACTTACTTGGAGCATGGAGTTTGTGTCCCTCCATGCTTGGAGAATACCTCAACAGAAACAACTCATAAGCAGACTCGGTCCTGTAAAGAACTTGAAACGGACAGATATTTGTACAAAAATGAAGTATTTATTCCCTTTATATACACTATAGTCAGGTCATGTATCAGATACATTATTAAGATCAACTCTTTCATAAAAACCAGTTGTACAAATGCCAAATTCATTGATAGCTTCACGAGTAGAAAAGTTCTTACAATTTTAATATGCACAAAATTAAGCTCCTGCTTTTGATATTTATCAGTTATTCAGTTTATTTTTGTACTTTACTGTCTTTAACAAGGGGATTAAAGAATGTGTTTTTCATGGAATGTAGGGGTTTGTTTGGCAGACACAATCAAAAACTTTCTTAGGAATTTTACCAAAGTTTAAACCTGATTTAAAAAAATTGGGATTTGGCATTTTTAAGAAAATGTTAAATTTGTAACCAAAAATTGGGGGGTAAATGTACTTCTTATTGACCTTATATATAAGAAAGGAATGTATAATTCGTAATCAGTGAAAATGCTTTTTTTCATCTGTAAATAACCATGAATATTTATTATGCATTTACACTATTTGTTGATAAGGCTATTTTTTTATACCAATCCTTCTTTATGAATGTCTTGTCATTTCAGTAAAAAATCAACTCATAAATAAATCCATTATTTTATAGCAGTTTTTGCCCTCAGCTGACATATGTTTTATAAAGACTGTATACTCAGTGTGGTTCGGGAGCTTGCGAGAAAAATCCACAATAAGATTGATTTCTTCCTGACGCATAAAACTTTTTTCTGGCAATAACAAAGTTATTCTGGAGAGAATGTTGCAACCTGATGCCACTTTTTTTGGTCATATATCATCTCAAGGAAGGTCAATCATTGCCAAAATGTTGGAAAAACGTGAATCTGGGACTGAGAAACATTTCAAATTTTGTCAGGAAATACGTAAAAAATGTTCTTGACTCTCCATAGACTTTGTACACAACCAGTGAAGTGGCGTCTGTATGCACAAACTGTGTATAAATATGAATCATCTGTATAAATTTGGATTTCTTTGTTTTTGATAGAAAATCAGGCACATTGACTTGTTCATGTGTTATCAAATTTTAGCATTTTAAAGTGTCAAATACTTTAAACTACAACACCTTTATGTCTTTTTGTATATGGCCATAACGAGTTGCAAAATTCTTATAAATTCATTGCTTGCTTTTTACCTATATTTATATTTTTACAAATAAATCCTTTTTAAAGAGATATTTTTAATTTCAAAGTTATAGAGGTATATATAGACAATTGTTTAGAATCTGTGATCCAGGGAAAATTGTCAAAAATACTTTAACTTTCTGCTGTTTTTTTTGTACACACATCTTCTGTTTTTAAGATTGTAATGTTCTGCCATTTAAAAGAACAATCAATAAAGTTATATATTAAAATATATGTGACTAACAATATTGTATGTTTTCCTTGAGATGTCTTTGAAGAGGTTCAATCCAAGATTAAGATTCATATATAATATGAATGTTATAACTATTTCAGTTCTTTAAAATTTAATGTAAAAACTTAATGTAAAAACTCTTTCAGTGACAGACCGTTTTGAACCACCAATATAAATTGTAGGAATTATTGAACATTTCAGGAAATTAAAATTGCAAATGAAAAGTCAAGCCAACACCGAATAAAGGCCACTGAAGTTCTAACTTTACAAAAGCTTGTCCGCACAAAAAGATGTACTGTAGGCACATTCTAAGTCGATGAAAGTCTTTGATACTGCCAGGGGAGTCAAGTTGCAGCATGTGGTTACTGTACTTGCCTTCCACCGCTATGGCCCAGGGTTCGATTCCTGCCCCTGTCCACATGTGGATTGGGTTTACAGTCCCTACCTGATTTCCCAGAATATTCTTCTGAGGTTTTCTTTCCACCTCTAATAAAACTGTTATATCTTCTAATTGTCTCATCATTTCATTACAGTTTTCTTTAGGCTTTCGAGCCACAGTGCCTAGGGCATTTTTGAGGAATACTTGGTTTTATTACAAGAAAAAAAAAAATAAATAAAAAATAAATAGTTCCACACTGGTTTTATGAGTACATTCTGACCAAGCACATTTTGCGTTTTGTATCACGCTCTAATCACCAAAACCATCTGTGGTCAAACTATCAACACGAGAATCTAACTGCTCATTGCCTTACTGTGCCATTATTCTTTTTGAGATATGGCCGACACAATAGGTTACTCAGGTCATCTGGACAAGATAGACTTGCAGTTGGCATTAAATTGCAATACTGGCACATGATTCAAGTCAAAATTGAATTTTTAACCACACCAGGACTATTTTGACAAGAACGGAACGAGGCGTGGGATTACTTTTCACTCCACCTTAAGCCTGGCGGGTTAAAGCCATCACCCTCGGGCAGCACACTCGTATTTCCGGCCTCGCTCGCTGCGAGCAGGTCCCTGACATATATATCCGGCCTTGCTTTATCCGTCTTCCGTTCCGAATACTGCAAAACCTTTGCTGGTATACACGTCATCCAGCGCGAACTGGTTGAACAGTTTTTAAAATACTTGTTGTGGTCCACTCTTAAGTGTGAGTAGAGATCATCCTAACTCAATCGCTAAGACACTCCAAGGCTTCCAATTTCGCTTTAGTCTCCTCCTCAATGATCTGTCTCTCCATCTGTTTCTTCATGGCCTCCACCATGGGGTCAGCCTCCCTGACCCGGAAGTGACCGACCGTGAAGCGGTCAAACTCCAGGGCCCAGTCCTCGGGAAAGTCGTCCTCGATCACGCGCTGGATTCGCTCAATTTCCTTGTGCTCGTTCCGATGGCGATCCCAGTCATCCACTGGTAAAAGATAAGATTGAACAATTCAACTGAATTCTCTTCAAATTGATGGTTTCATCAGAATGAATGTCGCCTTCCAAATGTGCGATGTACTGATATACTTTAAATTTTAAAAGCAAAAACAACTGAATTACCAATTTGTATTTGTAACATCCAACGTGGGGTATCCCGACTCTTAACAATTTAGGGACCTAGCCCGACGTTGATGGACTCCCAAAATGTAACTGCCCAGAGGATGACCAATGACGAAGAATGCCTTCGTCCCAATTCACGTGAAAACTTGTCATTTGACTGGATATTGGATGACTTGTGTTTGACATGTGACATCTGGGGCCAATGTCACCGTAAGACGCATCTTAAGACGCGTCTTAGGAACGGTTACTCGTCTTAACTCGAGACTCATACTAGGAATGATTTCACCAAACTTAAGACATATTCAACACGTCCTAACTTCCTTAGCAACGCGGCTGAACTCGTCTCAACTTAAGATCGGTCTGAGGGTCGTTTTATCTCATTAAAGCGTGCATTAATTTGTATATTGTCTGGAAATCATTGCAATGTTTTCGCGTCGAAGACAAGTGTTTTGGCCTAGAGTTATAGTTTCTAATCTCACCTTGGCATTTCCTGCCGCAGTAGGATCTGCAGTGATCAGCATTCCTGTCATGACAACTGGAGAAAAAAAGGAGAAAAGATAAGAACTTTTAGGGATTACTCCGCAATATTTTGACCCAAATTGATTGGAACAAATAAGAATGTAAGAAGAGCAACTAAGTCCTTACATCTTGCAAAACTTGAACGTTCTCTTCTCATCTTCAATCTTGTGGCACATGGAGCACCTCTTGTAGACATAAGGCTTCTTGAGTTTCATGGGCTGGGCTTTCTTGATTGCAGCTGAAGTGACAAAAACAGACCAGGCGGTGAGAAATCTTACTTGGTCACAGAAAATTTGACATAGTTAATTTATCCACTTTCTCGGAAAGCAACGGATTTACACCAGCCAAAGATGCCATGCGCTGTAAATTCCTTGCGACTAGCTCTCAGCTGAATTTTGCTTCTCAAGGAATCTGCCAGTAGCTCCATAAAATTTAGCCCAGAATATAAAGGCTATTGACAGTGGCCAACTTGGATAGTGTCCTTTTTTTAAATTTAGGAACAATGAATGCACAAAACGGGGGGAGTAGAGGTTCTTTCCTCGCCTTCCACCGCTGTGACCCAGGTTCGAATCCCGCCTGAGCCATTATGTGGATTGGGTTTTCAGTCCCTGCCTGATTCCGAATATTCTTCTGGGCTTTTCCTCCCACCTCTAAAACTGTAATTTCTTCTCATTGTCTTCTCTCTACTGGTTTCTTCAGGCTTGCGAGCCACAGTGCCTAGAGTGCTTTTCAGGAGTCCTTGAATTGGTTTCATAATACCAGAAATAAATAATAATAATAATGTAATGTTCATGCACGAGGTCCATGGGAATTTTCAATTTCACACATTCCGCACTGATCTTTAACTCACATATGGCTGGGCTGTACTCCTTGATGTATTCCGCCAGGGGGCTTTCTGGCGGCGGATTATCCGTCTGTTGCCGGCGTTCCTTCTCCGCGACAATGCCGCAATAGAAACGCTTCCTTTCCTCATTTGTCAGGAGGTCGATCACCGTGCGCACGTCTTCCTCAACCTGGGAAAGTCATGAATATGCATCACGATTAAATGAATATGTATGAGGCAAAGGCTTCAACTCAAAAACATTAAAACAAGAATGTCATATGAACCTAAGTGACCCATCTGTCGCATCGTCACCGTTTTCACGAAGAGCCAGAAATGAGGATTTTGAAGAAAAACTGTTTTCGAGATAATCGCTAGAGAAGTTCTTCCTTTTTTAAAACTTCAAAAACTTCTACTTTGCAACACCTTTATGCAGTAAGAAAACATTCACATGATTCTTTGAAAGGTAAACAATGTAAACCTGGAAATTAGAATCAGCACAATAGTTCATTAGCCAAAATTAATTAGTAAAGATATGTGGCTCTTACTTTTACGCCTTTTCGTCCAATACGTTTTTTACACATTAAAGAACACCTATCTCAGAATCTCAGAAAGTTGTCTGGACATCACCACTAGGCATCATCATCCAGTTTGACTTCACGCCGGTGCCGTGCAAGCGTGAAATTGTTCAGCTAGTTTGTGTCTCTTCGTGAAATGCAAAATGCACTAATTGAGATGCCTGCCCCTTGTATGTAATTAAGAAATTAATGATGTTTTGCTTACAGAAGCATGTCAAAATGGTTAAGTGCGATGTTTTAAAGCGAATTAGTGAAAGAAACTTGAAATAAAAAAAATTGCTGTTTTTGACATGTTTGGTTCTTTGTGACAACGTTGACGATATATCCCTCCATAAAATGAAAGACCCTGCACCCAAGTGCAAGCCTTAAAACGAGACTGTATCTACACCACTGAGAGGGCACTGAGTAAGATGTTCTGAACTTACATGCTCGTCGTTTTCATCCTTCGGTTTCCAGCGCATGTATGAGTTTGCAGGAACCCGATGTTGATGTCGGACCACGTTGATCCTAGCGATGCCGTATTCCTGGGAGCTGATTGACTGGCTTTTGTTTAGCGGCCTGGCAACGAAGTCTAAGCTGTAGCACCCGGGCTTCTCCAGGGTTTGAATCTGGGTGAAGGTTGCCATAGGAGAGTTAGAGCTGTGCCGAACACACCGAATATTTGAATATATGCTCATCAACCGAAAAGCACCTTTTCCATTCGCATTTTCAAAAAAAATGGATGCTGTCTCGAGATGATGAAAAACGTCCATGTAACGTCCTCGTTTCTCTTGATACACACAAGTATCTTTGTAAGGTATTTTCCAAGTCAGCCATGTTCTCATATTTACACTAAATGATATTGTGAATAATGCTATCAATAGAATCTTAAAGAAAAGATAGTTAGATTGTACTATTCCCATGACACGATTGTGTGCAAATGCATGCCAGTGTGCGCGTTGAGCGTTGTGCGTAGCGCGTATTGTTTCCAAGAGAGAGCACCACAGAGTTGGGTTCAAACATTTCGTGAAGGGGTGGTTTGAAAGAGAATACACATACTTGCCACCAATTTTGTATTGAAATTGAAGTTTATTTTAATTGTGTTCAGATTTTTAAAATTTAAAATATTAAAACCAAGCAGAATCTGTGGGTGAAGTGTTATAAAACAAATACTGAATGCTTTATCTGGTGGTGAAGTAAAACTAGCCTCCCTTGGTGATCCATGGAGCATTCTATTTTCCCTCGGAGAAAATAGAATGTCCATGGATCACCTCGGGAGGCTAGTTTCACTACACCACTCGAAGCATTCAATATTTTTATACAACTTACTCTGTATCCTCTTCTCCTTTCTGCATTTGAAAGCAATTCTAAAGAAAAAAAAGAAGATAATTAGGGCTGTCAAAAATGTACTGAAGATCTGATCTTCCAGTTCCACCGACTATTCAAAAAATAGTTTACCACTTTTAGGTTATTGGACTCACTCAAGTAAAAAGCGATGTTTAAAACCAACAGGAATGTCATGGAGAGACGGCAGGTTTTAAAACATTTTTTTTTAGGGGAAATTTGGGTAAAACAACGATGAAGACAACAAAATGCAATACAAAAATAAAGATGGCAAGCACTCTTAATACAATGCATTGTCGCTTTATAACCGCATTGATTTCCATGGCATTAACTGCAAAATGTGTTTTATTGCAAAAAAGAGGGTCGTTAGAATTAAAATTAATTGAAGAGTTGAACAAAGAAATTGAGTGGAGCTGGGTTTGAACCTGCGACCTCCGGATAACCGTTCCGGTGCTTTTCCCAACTAAGCTATTCAGCCCTATGTTGGCGGTTCCCGAATTAGTCAATATCCCTGCTCAAGGAGCACTGGAATGGTAGTCCGGAGGTCGCAGGTTCAAGCCCCACTCCAGTCAATTTCTTTGTTTAACTTTTCAATTGTTATAATTCACCTAGTCAGTTTCCCTGTGTGGTTCATTTAAGAATTAAAAGTAGACGTCTTAAAGTTACAGAAGTGGAGTGACATGGCCTAGCATGAGAGCACCAACTCATGCTCTGGTGTTTGAGAGGCAGCAGTGGTGTTGGTTCGAGCCCGAGTCTGGACACTTGTGCCCTTAAGCAAGGCACTTAACCATTATTGCTTCATCCTTCGGATGGGACGTAAAGCCGTAGGTCCCATGTGTTGTGTAAAGCAATGCACGTGAAAGAACCCAGTGACACTTATCACGAAGAGAACGGGTTTGCCCCGGTGTTTCTGGCCTCCTGTATAAACTCCCACGAGGAGTATTTAGGAGAAGAACCAACCAAGAATCAAGAACCAAGAAGTCATTTTTGAGTGATATAAAACAACACTCTGGACAGGAACAAAACAAAGGAACAAAATGAAAGAGGGGCCATGAACTACACAATCACCATGAGGATATCAATAAAAAATAGCACATTTTCCCAAAAAATGTCTTAACTTTTTACACACGTATTCTCAATTTATCATTTTCCAAGCTTGGGCAGGGGAACCCTGCCCACGGCCTTGCCCCTTCCCCCCTTCGAGAGGCCCATGATTGCTTACCGTTCTTGCTCTCCAACTGCAGGCACGGCAGGTATTGATCGATGAAGTCCTCTCCGTATTTCTCCATCTCCAGCCTACTGATCTTCTGCCGGCTCACCGACCGGATATCAGGATCCACCTCGCTCGCGAGCAGCTTGAAGGCCTCGTCTGAGAACTCGTAGCGGAGGAACATGTCGCAGGGCGGAGACACCCAGTAGGAGTGCTGGTCCTCGGTTTCGCTGGCCTCCATCCACTTGCGTAGGAGCACGCTCAGGGAGGCTGCTAGTCGCAGGTAGATCGGGCAGAAAACCCACGCCTGCAGAGTTAAATGGCCACGAAATGAATTTTACACTGTAGCATATGTGAGTCATTCTGGCAAAATAAGACGGAACTGGGCACTTGCCATAGTGGGAAAAATCCAAAAAGAAATGAGTGTGGATGAATTGTTTCGATTTTCAGATTTACTGATTTATTGATATTGATAACCTTTGATACAGTGGCGTAGCAAGGTCATTTTTATTGGGGGGGGGGTACACATTTCTTGAAAAGGGCCTCAAAATCAAATAGTGGGGGGGGGGAGGGCTGGTATCATCTTTCGATGGGGGTGCTGTTCAAAACCGACGACTTTGTACACTAACGGACAATATATGGTGCTTTTCAGAGCCCTTTTTGGTACAAATTTCGTAAACTTCATTCATTTAAAGGGAATGTACAACATTTGCTTTTGCTGTAATTTTCAGAAATAAATTGATTTGGAGGATTAGTATGTTATAGAAAATATTGTTAAACTGACTTGGTCACGTTTTGGGCTTGTAGATGCTGGAAAAACCAAGAAAACGTACCATGTTCTTGTAGTCTGGTTCCCCTGACCCCACTTAAAATGAAACAGAGCAATTGATACACTTGGGGAATTGTAAGCTCAGAGAATCAGTCTAGCAAGCTTGAACCCCTTCACAGGTGTGTAGTCAATTGCAAAGAAAAGTCAGAATAACTCAATATGAAAACTTAGGAACAGTTTTTGAAAAAAGCCAGTTTTCTCCAATGCTGGTCGGCCGACCAGCGTTGGAAAAATAGAGTTTTTCTTGAAAATGTCAGCACACCAGGAGCCACGATTTTAAAGGATGATTTAGACTGTCAGTCCCTAACAATTCAGTAAGGTATTTCGTGATAATTTGATCATTTCGTTTTTTGATGTTTGCAAATGTTGTATCTTCCCTTTAAACATTTAAAATGTTTCATGCTTTTCCTGACAACTGAGGGCGCTGTTGCTGTGATGTCACTTTAGGAACACACTCTGCGGATTAGGATTTTTCTCTTCAAACTGTAAACCCAAAACTCTGCTTGTAGAAACATTTGTGTATAAAGTTTTCTCATTGTCTATAAAACAACAGTGAATCACTGACAGCAAGGAAGTTACCACAGCAAACCCCTAAAAGAATTTTCTGCCTTGAATGACATCACAGTTTTCATGGACATGAGAATTTGCATAAGCATAAAAACCAAAAAGGCACCCAAACCAGATTAAAAATCAAGTTAAATGGGACACACAGGTACATATCAAGGATTGCATTTAGAAAAAAAATCCATTAAATGGTCCCTTTAGCATTAAGCCTTCGTGTTTTTGATCAACCAAGTCAATTTTCTTGTATAAAATTTGGAGATAAAAAAGTTGATTAAATTGACAATGGAATGCAGGGCGGTTGTTTGAGTGGGGATAATTACAAATCTTTTAATACCTTGACTCGAGCAAAAGGTCCAACGCCTTCTTCTGCAAACACTTTCCTGTAAACCTCCCGACACTCGGCTTTGCAAAATGGATCTTGAGCTGGGTGTTTAAAAGGAAAGACACACTTCACAAAAGGAAACGATTCAAAATCCACTGCACCATCAAGAGGTTAGAAAGTAAAGATGAATATCGTAGCACATTATGGAAAAATAGTAAATAACGACACACCAAACAAAATTCATTTTGCACAGGAACATGTAGATTTAACTTTTTTAGGCATGTGTGACTCAAGTCAGAATTATAGGGTGTGTATCGGAGCCAGGTACCCGAGTACCCGACCGCTGATGTCAGGAACTGGTTCCAGATTATGGGATCGGGTATCCATAACCAACTTGACAAATTGTTTAGTAACTTCTCAGACAATGAATAAGAAAGGTTTTGATTGCCATTTGTGGGGAATTTTCAAAATGAAAAGCAGGCTACATGGCAAATCAAAACAGATTTCACGTTAATTTATTACCAGGTTAAGGTTTTTGGTCATCTTCAATTTTGATAATACCGTCTTTTACGGGTACCTGGATACCCCCTGGATACCCGTGTTTTAATAGGGTACGGTTCCCGTACTACCTGTAAATGCACACCTCTAGTCAGAAATTTGTTTAAATAAAAATGAGTTTCTTTATGACTGTTGTACATGGGTTTACCACAGTTAAGATTACTTTAATAAACTGCAGGATAGAATTTGAAGGATATCGACCTAGAATTGAAAAGTGGCTTCTTCAAGAAAAATGCTTGGTCGTACATTGTGAATTATTCCTTTTAATTGTTTTTCCGATCACAAAATAAAAACTGTATTGGACTCCAACTGCTTCAGTGAGTATGTGAACAAGACAACATTTTTCTTTAAATGGGGCTGGCACAGGGAGTGTTTATGCTTTTGTTTTTGTTTACCCCGTTTCTTGGTATCAATGGTGTTGAGCAGGTGCTGGTAGTTGCCGATAATTGCCATGTCTTCTATGAAGGCTTTTGTTCTGGTTGCAGGTTTCGTATCTTGTGAGGGACAGAAGAGGAAGAAACAAAACAAAACAACTGTTGGTGACTTTCTTATGTCAGGATAAAATTTGATGAGGCATTCATGGTCTCCTGTCGGTGAAATGTTCTAAAGTTGAAGGTTGAAGTTTTCTTGACTGATGGATTTCTAGATAACTAGGCTATGGAACAATTGGAGTTACTTGTACGCAAATATACCATATATTTGAATATTTGATTTCCAACCCGATATCCGCATAGCATTGTTTAATTCAAATATTAAAAAGATGACCAGTCTTGAGATGTGCCACACTTTTGTTGAAAGCCATTATCATGCATGATTTGAGAGTAAGCTCCGAGGTGGAATATTAACTTTTTTAAAACTTATTTTGTCTTGAGGAACTTGCAAAACTGGCATGGTTAAACTGTGTCTGGCTAGTTATGAAAGTAAGTCTTGAATGAGAGGAATTTATGAGGGTAAAAAAGTTCTGTTCCGAATTATAATATCGTGAATTTGGAAATACATTTCTTCTAAAAAAAATCTACAGCAAAGTTAGGCAAAAAAAAAAGTCTCTGGTATGCGCGCGCGTCGTCGTAGCCATGCGCGTTGGCAAAACGAAAATTTTTTTATTCAATGTAAGATGATGTCTCAAAACTGCCAAACTCACTGGTTTGACTGGAATCCTGCTGCTGCACAATTTTAACGTGTTTCTAGATGGGGTTACGATCGAGTATAAGCTTTATGTGGCCTCTCTGGACTCCCATATATTTTGCACTAAATTTAGTCGGGCACCATTTGCAGTCATCAGCCGACATCTGAAGAAAAAAAAAGCTCCATACCAGAAACCGGAGACTTTTTTTTTGGCCTTATGTCTTAAATGTAACTTACAGTTCAAAATCTGCATGTCCAGGTAGTTAAATCCATCCAGCACCACATATCTGTAGGAAGTGCCCTGCACAAAATGGAATTATTGAATTTAAAGTCTCTCCTATACTTGCAATTGACAAGCCTATAGGTTGGCATGGACGTCCGGGAATGTTTTTTTTCACATTGGCTTTTATCTAGCTCCCTGACTTGTGTTCTTGAAACCCAATGGTTCTCGAGTCTGGAGTGCTGAATGGACATAGCAACCAATGAAAACTGACATCACTTTGTCCCGAACTATTGCTTAGTTCATTGCATTTTTTTAATTTGAAAATCCCCCCCCCCCTAAATTACAATATATCTTTGATTTCTCTTAATGTTCGTGCAACTTGGTTTCATGTGGGTTTTGGTAGAATAGTATACAAATGTTGCATCTAACTGAATTGACTTGAACATCCTATTCACAGTAGGCTTCGTACAACGGATCAGGGTTTTGGCATTTGAGTGGATCTGGGTATTAAAGCTATGGCCAGCCATGTGCGCCGCTGATGATACAGCATATTGTACATGGCCTTGCAATTAAGGCTAGGGTTGGGATGGAGGTTGAGAGGTCGTGGGCGGTGGTAGTCGGGCCAGCTGGGGTGGACTTGATTACAAAAAAAAATCAACCTTTTGTTTAGGGTGAGCAATGAGGCTATTGTCGATGCAATGTGCCTTGAAGGATACAAGGTAACGTCTCCAAAAGAGCTGCCCCTGAAATTAAAAAAAAAAAACCAAACAAACAAATTAATATTTTACGATGAAACAAGAGTTAGATACATATAAATACCAATGCCATGATGCTGAAAAATTTCAAAACTAGTCCGAAAATATAAGAAAACACACATTGTACAGAGTGTCCTCAATACACGAAAAAGTGGAAATTTGTGATGGAAAATGAAATGGCAAATGAAACAAGATGTCCAACACTTCTTAGTGTTAAACATCCGGTACCAAGTGTCTGTTTCTGTACATGCTCTCGACATGTCTTAAATTCTGCTCCTTGCTGCAAAAGCTGAAGAACATCCTCGAGCTGCAAATTTGAATTCGGACTCAGTTCTCTAAAAAATAACTCTGGAACTTATCTTTGCCCGTTGAAAACTCTAGACAGTTTTGTTGTCTAATGAAGAATTAAAAAGTAGTATTGGCATTAAATCTGGATTTTTTTAACATTCTGTTTTAATTCCACTATGCGGTTTCGATTTTGGAGACCGGATATTCGAAACCACCCTTAAAAAACATTAAGCCTTCCATTTTTTGTGTGACACAGGCTAAAGAAAACAACTGGAACGTCCCCCAATTTGCTCCATGGTCTCTGATTGTAACTGCATTCACTTGCTACTGGTCTTCTTGGTATATGAATAGCTTGCCCATTCGACTTATCAGAGAGTTCCCATCCATTTTTTCCAACATTGCAGCTCTGGAGTGTTTTTGTAGAGGCCCAGTGGTCATTGAATCCTGCAAACTATACCCAGTCATTGGGAGGGCATTGCATGTGGCACCTCACTCGTCACATTTTGTTGGCACGACTGTGAGCCGGATGGGAACTTCCAGTGGAATTAGATAACCATTATTCGGTTTGAAAAAAATTGGATAACTGGATTTTGAAATCTCCGATTTCTCCCACCACTAATTAAAACTTGGCTCAGTTTTTTTTGCTTGTTCGGTGGAGTTCTCCACTTGGGGTTTGGTCTATCTTGGAATTGGTGGCTAGTGCGTTAAGCGCTCGCCTCTCACCACTGTGGCCCTGGTTCGTTTCCAGCTAGGACCATATGTGAGTAGGGTTATGCCTTGGTTCTCTTCTGTGCCTCGAGGGTTTTTCTCCGGGCCCTCCGGTTTTTCTCACTGCAAAAAAATCAAAACTTTTCGATCTCTGGCTGTGCTCCGTGGTCATATATGGGTCATATGGCTGGATGCCAAAGGCGCCTTTACATGCCTGCGGCTCGACCACGTTGTAGCCGCGTCCTTCGCAATGCAGTTTCTCAGCTGCGACTTTTAAAGGATGATTAGCCTCCCAAATTATGATTATTATTATCTAGTTAAAATACTTCTTCAAACCTGATCTTCCATCATGCGCTCAAATGCTGATTTGTGCTTGTTGAAGAACACGTAGGAGTCGGTGCAGAGCTCATCCCCAAAGAGGACGTAGTCTTTGTGGTTGATGACGATCTGTCTCATGGTGATAGATGCTCCTGATCCGACAGTCAAAAACTTCAAAGTTAGCTGGATGTCTACTCCCGAGCCCCTGCTGTACACAAGACAATAATACCAGAGGAAAAGAGAGAGATTGAATTTTATTTCTGAACTAGCTGTAGGGTGTAAAAGTTAATTCAAAGTTTATGGAAGGGACAAATTGTACATTTTATAGGGGTTTTTTTGGGGGGGGGGGGGGAGGGCAGAAAATTTCACATTTGTTTGGAATTGACTTTCTTGCTATGGTTAACATTCGGGTACATTTTAAGTCAAAAGTTTGAGGTTTCTTCCTCTATTGTTTTAAATCGAATCCTACATTTAATCTTTTCTTTCTGATTTGTGGCTCTGGAGATTTTTTTTTAAAGGAAAGTAAGGCCGAAATTGCATTAAGTCTGATTCCCGTCCCCTGAATATGAAGGCGCAATGACAATGTAAGCAATGTAAGTGAAGAACCAGACAAAGTCCCAAAGACATTCACTGCACATGCCCAGTGGAAGTGCCGGTGGAAGAGCGATAAAATCTGGGACCGGTTCACGATCACGGTCAAATACTACTGCCAATTCCAGATGGTCAATTTATTCATGTTAATAAAACCCTTGTAACAAAACTTGTTCTCGTTTCCGGTAAATGACCTTAATTTACTAGAAAATTGCCATAAATCATCATAAAACCTGTATCATAATAATAATAATAATAATAATACCGGAGTCTTATACAGCACACGTATCTACCAACAATTAGGTACTCAAGGCACAACAAACGGGAACTACAGCTTTACGTCCCATCCGAAGGAAGATTAGAAGCAATTATGGTAAAGTGCCTTGCTTAAGAGCACAAGCACCATGTTCCCACAGTCAGGATTCGAACCCATGAACCACGGCACGAGTCGAACACCGTAACCATTGGACCACAGCACCCCAAATCATAGAGCGTGCAAGTCTCACCAGTCAACATTCACTTTTCATGTGAGCGTCTTGGTACCAAACACTGACTAGTCTAGTCACAGACTCCCGTGTTTGAAATTACCCACTTGTTATCTGCGTGATCGATTGAACGGAAGTTGATGTCAAAAACTTTTATTTAAAATAGTCATCAACGCTCAATATTTTCATTATGTTGTTAATTGTAATGCTTTCTTTGATTTCGAAATGCCCATATATTGCCCTTGATTGGATGGATCATGGCCGAGTCAAGACACAATTAAAACGAAAAAAATAGGATGTTACACACATTGTAGATCCTATACACGGTGCCCGGATGTGCTGTATTCTTGTGAAATCTCACAGGTTTTTTAGGTCATCTTACACGCTCTCAGTATTCATTCATAAAAAGCTAACAAAACACTTCAAATAAATATGTCAAATTTCATATCATAAATTAATAATTTTCAGCATAACAAAAGTCGAATCTTCAAATGTTAACTCATAAAAGAGCCACTCCTAAGAATTTCTCGCAAACAAAACATGAAAGTAAAACACAGAGAGGTAGAAGAAGAACAGTGCCACCATTTACATGTATTGGCTTGATTTTACAACAGAAATTCTCAAGTCCAAAAAATTAGAGACTCTTGGTCTCAACACTGTAAATGAGAGTGAAAAATAAATAAATGCAATACAAGAAAATAGATTTGCACAAGAAATAACCAGTCCACCAACACCCTTTTTGCACTGCATCAGCCAAATATGTCCAAAGTAACATCTGGTACGCGGTCAGTCTCCATTTTTACATATCTATCCATAGTCTGCCACCAGGCCACTGAAGGGTCAATAGTTTCAAACAGTTGGACATGTACCAGTCTAGTCTTTATAGGCTTCAAATCGGGCGATCGTGAAGTGTAGGGCCCCTGTTTTGTTTTGATCAAATTAGAGTCAAAAATGTTTTTTAATGCTAAAAAATCACCTTTACAATCAAAAGCAGACTTTTCTCAATTCTAATGACACCCGTTTTGCAATTTTGAACAGAGTCTTGGGGTAGAAATCACGATTTTCATGCGTGGTTTGTGCCTTGCGATTCACCGTGCCGTGCGTTCTCACGGTACATCGCGCGGTAATCGCCATCTTTATTTTCGGGTCGCGTGTTGTCGCCGCGCCGTCATCGTCATTTTACCCCCAAATTTCCCTCAAAAAACAAAACCCTGCCCTCTATATATGACATACCTGTTTATTGAGAATGTCGCCAACTAGTTTGGTAGGTCCAATAATTCTAAAGTGGATTTTGTTCCCTTTATAGGAACTGGGCCCTACACTACACGCTCGCCTCAAATTGAAATAACTTGGCTTCACTCTCACAGGTGCAAAATGTTAAAGAAAAGTTTCCTTTAAAAATTGAATTGAGACCTCAAACTTGGCTGGTGAAATACCGAGGACCTTGTCTTTGCCTCATTAGAATTTTGAAGAATTTTATCGGCTAAAGGGTGAGTAAAAACTGGCCTAAATTTGTTTTGCAGTTTTTCTGCACTAAAAAGGACCAAGTCTGGGAATTCCCCTGCACTGAATTAGTTATGATGCAATTTGTTTGGGAAGTAATTTAGGCCGACAGTTTCTTTAAGCTTTTATCAAATTCACGCAAGTTGTGAAGAAAAAAGTGGTCAATAACCTGAAAGCAATTAATGAAGATTGAACTTACGGTTTGTTTTGAGAAATCGCAATAGTCTGTCAGCAAAAAAAATGTTGTTTTTCGCAGCATTCACGGCTGACACAAACAGAAGAGTCCACTTCTTGTTGTGACCAGGTGACCTTTGACCGGTATGGTAATGAGCGAAACTCTCTTCAACCCGATTGCGAATCCCAGTTTGGAATATCATACCGCTGTACGCAAGCTATTCTCAGTTGGATAGAATCGAAATTTCGGCGGGTAGAGTTCAAATTACCGCTGTATGTGCACAACATGCGGCCGGCCGTCGATGTGCGTTGTTCGTTGTGAAGTTGGCGGAATGATTGAAGTCTTCCGTTGTCTTAGTTTTTCCGTTGAATTTATGGTTTTTCTTATGTTGATTGATTTGGTAGCCCTCCTGTACCTTTTCGAGCTTCACTAGCGCCGATTGATTGTCATTTTTTCATCAAGTAAGTCCCATGGACAGTTTGAGTTTACATCCACGAAAAGTATGAAATTGAAAAGCAAACGACACGCGACATGTGTAATTTCTTAATGTTCTTATTGTATCACTGATGTGAATAACAATAAAGGTATTTCAATATATATAACCGACACTAGTCAAGCAATTGACTAGCCCCACTAGTGTGGCCGCGGTATGCTGCGCTGAGGTTCAGCGCAGCATACCGCGGCCACACTAGTGGGGCTAGCAATTGACTAGACCCGTGAACGTGGCGTTGTATACAACGCCACGCGCTTCCCTCGGGTAAATACAAGCGAAAGCATTCTATCTTTTGATCCGCTACATATTACCATGTATAATTTTGCCCATGGATGAATCACTTACTTGTTGGGCTTCCTGTGAATATACGCGAGTGTTGGATCTGTCATTGCCAAGAAATTTGATGTAAAATACGGCACAACTTTGTCACAACGAATGTTTCAAAATGATCAGAAATCTAAGACATGCATGACACTCTGGTACCCCGAGTTCCGCATGCGCAAAACGGTTGGAGTATCGCCAGTGGGTACCCGACTAACCGTCTTACATGGCAGGCTGACCGTAATACCATATAAAATTCTGCTAAATCCACTTCGAAAGTCTGTCAAATCACCCAGTATAATTGCTGCAAGGGTTTGTTTCAGGGATCTTTCAATAAATGAAGGTTTTTTCAAACCAAATGTGCCATATTTCTCTAATTTTTTTCATTTTTCCTTCATCTTCATAATTCTGCCGAAAAAAATATTCTGCTGATTTTCTGTACAACTCGTTTTTGTATGCAAATATTCTGTCAAATGTAGCCGAAATTCGGCTAGAACGGTCACTCTATCTTAGTAACCGCGGATCACAATAGAGTGTTTTTACTATAGACTGAAGCGTGGCTATGTATATAGCCACGTTCACGGGTCTAGCAATTGACATGATTGCGGGAAGTTGTGTGCTGCTGTATCATGTACTAAGACTAGAGAAACATTTCCAATTTGGTTTGGAAATACTTTAAAAAAATTCTTGACTCTCCATAGACTTTGTGGCGTCATGTTGCAACATTTATCTAAATCGGTTAAGTAAGCAGCAACAAACCTTTAGTTTTTGCAAAGTATTTTTGGTAATCCTTACTTTTAGGACCCCGTTCCTATATAGGAAGGGAAAGACTCGCCAAAACAGTTGACTAAATGACACTCAAAATTGACATTCTGATACTTCTTGGCACATCTGAACAATTGGCAATGACACCTTCTTGACTTCTAAAGACTGCTTTAGCCTGCAAAAGTCACTTTGGTACTGGACAGACATCTGCAAAAGTCAGTTTTGAACAGAACTCGTAAAAAATAGAGGTGTCCTAAAAGTAAGGATTACCGTATTTTTGGTCAAAATCAGTTTAAATCAATGAAATCATGACTATCAAGATAGGGAAAATTACACCTGAATCGTATTTTAATTTTTAAGTTTAACACTATAACAGACAAGTTCAAATTTAAAATGTTTTGTCATGTCTATGGGGCAAACCTGTTGAGTTTTCACGACGAGACAAATTGAATTTGCCCTGCAAAACACTGCGCATGTTGCATTTTAATTATTCACAAAGAGTTAAATTTAGCGCATAATGTGTATGAGCCAATTTGCCCTGCAAAACAACGCGCATTTGAAGTTTTCAAGAACAGACAAATCTCTATGGAGATTAATTACTCTGCAATTAATTGTTCCATTATTCTGTAATTGGTACATTTGTAAAGTAAAGATCTCAGCTTACAATCTGTATAAAAAATCAGTAAAAATGTGCTCTAAAAATAGGCGAGATCTTTATTTCCAAAAGTGACCAACTTAAAACCTGATTGTCTCAGAACCACTGTTCAACACCCCATGGCCAAATTCGTCCCTTTGTAAAAATGTTGACGATATATAACCTCAGCGATAGCTTTGTCACAAATGTGATGATTGTCATGACTGTTTTACTAGAAAACATCAGAAAAAACACCAGGAACTAACTGGAAAACACTGGAAACCAACAGGAAATCAACAAAAAAATCCGGAAATCAACCAGCAAATACTGGAAAACATTTGAAAGCAACCTGAAATCCACCAAATAAAATAACAGAAAACACCGGACAGTCACTAAAAATGCAGTGGCTATCGATTACGGCAGTCAACCGTCTGGTTCCCCGACCTGACAATATTCAACGTCAGGATCTTTTGCTTGTGGAACCAGACTGTCAACCAAATGGTCCTTGGACTTTTATTTCCAATCCTTTAAAAAAAGTGTGTTGTGTAATTCCAATGTTGCATTTCTTAAATAGGTGCTGCATTTAACTCACTGGCCGACTGAACTTTATCTACATCGTCGCTGAACATTAAACTCCAATCATGAAGAGACTAGGACACGCCACCACCCCACTGACTGAGAAGACCCTAGACAGACAGGCCGCCAGCAGAGAGACTCGGCTTGCTTTGTTCTGGGGCCTGCTGAATCTAGTCCTGGCTGGCCTATGCTTCTTGGAAATGTGAGTCATGTGTGTTTGTCATTGATATGCGATCAGTAAATAACAGGCATGCAACTTTTCCTCGGATCAGCTGATTTCCTCTTGTTTTACTTCCCATGTGTGCCATTGAAAATAGAAAAACACTGTACAAAGTCTGCGAAAAATGTGAATTTCCTCTTTTATTGTGATTTCCCAGTTGCATGCCTGAAATAATTGGTCCAGATTTGCATTCGAGTCACCGAACATCGAGTCCGAGTCACCTCTCAGTCCGAGTCCGAGTCCTGAGTCATGCAGGTCGAGTCCGAGTCACGAATTACAAATATTGAGTCCGAGTCACGAGTTACCTTTAATACATGTATGAGATATATCACATTCAGTGGGTACATTAGACCGGTGTTAGAATACGTCAATGTTATTTGGCACTCTGGATTAACGACCAAACAGAGTAGTGATATTGAACAAATTCAAAAAAGGGTTTGCACAATTATCTTAGGATGGGAATATGATCATTATAATGATGCTTGTAGAACTCTTTGACTTGATTCATTAGCCAGTAGGAGAGACGATCATTGTCTTAGCTTTGCAAAAAACATTCAGTGCAACCCTCGCACCGAGTCTTTATTCCCTCCATCCAGATTTGAAAGCCATGGTAGAAATCTACGGAATTCTAAGAGCATTACTACTCTTTGGACAAAGACTCATCGTTTTAAAAATAGCCCCATGCCTTACTACATCAACGTTTTAAATTCTCAGTAATACTGGCCAATTTAACCTGTATAGTATGTTTCAGAGTGGTTTCACTAAGTAATTCATTATCGCCAGATTTTCTGTTGCCAATTTTCATTAATTTAAAATTGTTTAAATTTTGACTTTAATGTTGAAGTTAATATTACGTATTGTGTGCACTTTTAAATGTATTTACTGTCTTTTACATGTTGATATTTTATTTTTGTAACCATGTGCAATTCAGCCGCAAGGCTGCAAGACATTGGATTTTTAATAAACCAGAATAATAATAATAATAAATAATAATATTTTGAGGTACTGTTAAAGCCTCACAGTGTAAATCTTTCTATTTTTTTCACAGTCTTTCTCTAAGGCCAAAAAAATATATATTTCTGCTTCCGGTTACCCTACTTACCCTATATTGCCAGCCGCACACACTGTGTATATGTACAGTACTTAGCTGCGTTTCTTTTGCAATGCACAGACTGAATCACTTGCTCAGGAGAGGATCGTCTTCAAAGTAACTTGTAATTATATTGTTGAAAAAAGTAAGTGATTTGAGGTAAGTTTGGTTGAGTCCCGAGTCACGCAGGACGAGTCCGAGTCCAAGTTTGAGTCCGCAGAGTTGATTCTGAGTCTGAGTCAGCTGTCATCGTGACTTGAGTCCGAGTCTTGAGTCATGGAAAATGGAACTTGATTCGGACTTGAGTCCGAGTTTGAGTTCGAGTCCGAGTCTCGAGTCATACAAGTCTACCTTGGGCCAAGACATTGAATGTATCTTTGTCTTGTTGTATAATTATAATATTTTTCCTCTGATATTGCAGAACTTTCCACTCGATGGCGGATTTCTTCAACCTTCAGCCTGAGTTTGTCTGGTACCCCGCCTGCTTCCTTGCTGTTCTGTTCAGCATCAACACTCTCGTCGATCTGGCCAAGTATGTCCTACCCATAATGCAGTGGACCCATCAGCCAATACTTCTCTCGCCACAGGAGAGAAATCTGCTGGGCGTCAACGAAAATGGTAGGTTCTGAAAATCTTTAGAAAATTTTTGGAAGGTTCTTAAAATTGAGCTGTGTTCTCCACAAGGGATTTTTTTTAAGTCAAGGCCACCCAAGACAACAAAGAAGACTACTATATGTAGTGAATTCCTGATCATTATACAAAACTGAGTAAACTTGCGGAAATTTAAGAACCTTAGGTCAACATATGTCTTTGTCAGTGCAGTGCAGCTCAAGAAGTGACATTAAAAGATACATTCCACGTTTTATTTTCGAGTTTTATTCTGAAAAATTGATTGCTTTTCTAAATTGTTATTTTTCTTGCAATACAAGAGTTTTTCACATTTGAATGAGACATTGACCAAAAAACTGGCCCATGTTTAGTTACTGAATTATTACCTTACAATTCCTGGCTGCAAGACAATAATTTTCTGTTCTCGTGGGGTAGGTTGGTTCCCGCCCACAATCAGTCTCGATAATGTATGGACTGGGAGCCAGTCTGCTCGTTTGTCTGCTGTTTGTGCACAAAACAAGAACTTTTTTGTTTCAGAGGTTTGCATGTCCAAAAACAAAGGAAAAAAGAAAGAAAAAAACGAATTTGCTGAAGAGTACAGGGAATGCATCTTCAATCTCTTGAAAGAGTACACTCTGTGTAGTTCCACATTTAGGACTAACAGACCTTTCCGTAGGAATATGCAACCTTGCCCCGTTAATGTGTCCAAACTGTCTCCTTTCAGCTGTAGGGTTCAAGACTTCCACTCCATTCAGACCTCGGGTCGCTTCAGCCCCAGCCAACCTCAGCTCCCAGGGTCTGACCAGCCGTAGTCCTGCCATCCAGCCCCCTAGCACGTTCCTCTACCAGACCACGCCTACCCTGGCTACCCCCATCCTGGGCACGCCTGCAGCAAGCTTCTACGGCACGCCTCAGGGGTTCAGCGAGAGGTCCCTCGTCTCTCCCGTGTTTTCCTCGCCCCAGGGTAGTCCGTACGTGACCCCCCAGCAATCCTTCACCAGAGTGGTAGGACAGTTTTTGATTTTGTCAAGTATTTTTCATGCATTTTGTTCATTTCTAAATCCTAGCACCACTCAAAATCCAAAGAATAATGTTCAAAACCTAACCTGTGGAAGTCTCAGCTCAGTGGATATTACACTTTTCAAGAAACAGTGTAGTGAAAAATCCTGTACAACTTTTGATCACGAAACACTGTTTCCTCTATATAATTCTTTATTTCCAAAAATTAGTCAGTTGACTAACCAATGGAATTCACCTTCATTTCTTGATTTCTTCTAAATGACAGCAAGCCAGGGGGAATAATTGATTGAAGACTTGTGCGACACGTGCATGATCTTGGTGCCACCTCATTAATGGCGATCAAGTCTGTACTTGCTGTCAACGAAGAAAGCTGGGCTTGACTTTCAAGTAAAATCTGCTACACCGTAGAGCTTGTAGATCAAAATATTGAGTGGACCAGAAATATGTTTTAACAACACTTCAATACAGTTGAAGTGTTTGCTGGATGAATAGTGCACAAAAACATAGGGCTGTGGAACCGCAACGTAGGGCTGGATAGCTCAGTTGGTAGAGCACCGGGACAGCAATCCAGAGGTCACAGGTTCAAACCCCGCTCTAGTTAATATCTTTGTTCAACTTTAAAAACTGATTTAATTTTCTTTGTTCTGTGGCTATTATTAATGCCAAGAAATCAAAGCTGTTGTCATAATTTTATTCATTGGCAAAACAAATAAGAACTTTTTTCCTGCCTCATGGAACAGACACCACACGGTAGCCCGCACACATCCATGTCTGGTGTCTCGCCTTCTCCACTCTTGCGGGACAGCAACAGTAGCATGCTTCTCAGAAATCGGCACCAGTCTTCTCCGGTCACACACTCCCCATGTGAGTATGGTACATGGGAAAACTGAAATGTCAACGATCTTTCTCAATTATTAGAAATCTTTTAATTTGCAGGAATCAAATTGCTTGCTCTTTGTACTGTGCACTTTCAAAGGCGCATCAAGTCTTACCATGAACCATTACTCCCTGTACCCCCCCCCCCAAGTCTCTTTCCTGTAATTCCCTGTACCACCCCAAACCGCCCTGCCTGTTACTTTGTGTACTGCCCCAAACCACCCTGCCTGTTACTTCCTGTACTGCCCCAAACCACCCTGCTTGTTAATCCCTGTACTGCCCCAAACCACCCTGCCTGTTACTCCCTGTACTGCCCCAAACCACCCTGCCTGTTACTTCCTGTACTGCCCCAAACCGCCCTGCCTGTTACTTCCTGTACTGCCCCAAACCGCCCTGCTTGTTAATCCCTGTACTGCCCCAAACCACCCTGCCTGTTACTCCCTGTACTGCCCCAAACCACCCTGCCTGTTTCTCCCTGTACCGCCCCAAACCACCCTGACTGTTACTCCCTGTACCACACCAAAGTCACTTGCCTGTTACTACCTGTACCACCCCAAACCACCCTGTCTGTTACTCCCTGTACCACCCCAAACCACCCTGTCTGTTACTCCCTGTACCACCCCAAACCACCCTATCGGTACCTGTTACTCCCTGTACCACACCAAAGTCACTTGCCTGTTACTACCTGTACCACCCCAAACCACCCTGTCTGTTACTCCCTGTACCACCCCAAACCACCCTATCGGTACCTGTTACTCCCTGTACCACACCAAAGTCACTTGCCTGTTACTGCCTGTACCACTCCAAACTGCCTTGCCTGTTACTCCCTGTACCACCCAAACCACCCTATCAGTACCTGTTACTCCCTGTACTGCCCCAAAGTCACTTGCCTGTTACTCACTGTACCACCCTAAACCGCCCCAGTGTTGTGCAATGTAATACAAGTGCTAATGGGTCAAGGTTATAGTAGTTTATCTCCTCAATTCAGCACGGTCATCTTGTTGGATTTGGAAGGATGAGATGAAGGTAAAGGATTAGGGAGTTTGTCAGACTTCGATTGCCTGGTCTTGGAGTGCATTACAGAGAACACTGACTCTTCAACTTGGCAATACAAAATGTCCACAGGGAGCGGCCAGTAATATGTCCATCTGGGTACCTGGTAAACATTTATTCCAAATCCCAACTCAAAATGTTTCTTTTACTGTTAAATACTATTTTCTAAGAACTCCAAAGGTGTTTCTGTACATTCTAACATTTGCCTTTACGGCTCCATCTTTGATAGTGACATCTGAGGATGCTATTACTGACCCAGCCTCACTGAACAGCTACCTGAAGTCCGTTGAGGACAAAGAGAGGAAATATCAACTGGGTAAGTCTTGGCCGGATTGTATCAATCTTGTATCTTTGACCAGTCAAATTATACCAATCGTCCATTCTGTGGAAGTTTGCACTGCATAAAATGCTGTAAATATGCCTATAAGAATATTATTCACTATTTTAAAGGTAGAGTATATCATTTGTCATTTGTGCTCAAAATCTAAAGAAGGGTGCTTAACAACTAACCTGATGAAGTTTCAGCTCAGCTTCAGCTGTATATTTCTAGAAAACAATATTCTAGGATCTCGATTTCAATTCAAAAGTTGCTGAATCATGTTTTGAGTTGCGCCCGCAAACAGGATCTAGGACATTTGAAAAATAAGCCCAGCTGTCTAGTTTGCAAGACACGATGTGATTGCTGACCAAAGGCTTGCCTACTGCAATGGTGGCTGATCATAGGGAAACTGGATGGTCACACTTCCTAATCGATATTTGATAACAATTGTCCATCCCCCCCCCCCCCTCCTTTGGCCACAGGCAGTAACGAATCCTCCCCTAGTGGTAGCCCCTCTTACTGGGCCTACAATCGCTCGGCGGCCGACTACACCCCTCTCCTGCGCAAGTTCCAGTACCAGCTGGCCAGCCGGTCCCCGCAGTCACCCACACGCAAGGACGACCCAGATTACCCCTCCACCTACGGTGCTGATGAGGTCTGGTTGAGGGTGGATGTCCGGAGAGACCAGCTTGATCTCTGGATTGCAAACCTACGAATGGTGAGTTGTCCGCTCAGATTTGTTAATCCTGTTGTAATATTTGAAGAAAACTTTTTTTTACCTCAAGAGTATTTGTTGTGCTTGAAAAGCGAACTAATGAAAGGTGTGCCATGTGGATATGTTTAACGGTTTGGTCGTCATTTTGCATCTGCTTATAAGGGTTACATGCATCTTGCTATCTGCTCAAATGTACACGGTATGAATGCATCGCTCGCTTTGCATTTAAGTGTGATATATATAAAACAAACGTCCTGTTTCTGTGATATTTCCGAAGAGAATTTATTATTCCAACACCCACATGGGAAATCGTACACACACACTGTTGGACTTGGTCTCTGGAGGTATGCCAACCCCAGTGTAAAAGATCATCAGTTTAGGGGTACTGTACCTATCCCAACAGATTTTTAAAAAACCTGCTGTTGGGCTTGATGGGTTGAGTTCGGTTAGGGTTCATGTGTCAATTATGACCATTTTTTAAATGACTGGACTCGGTATTTATAACAGGATTGACTTAAATGTCAGACAAATTTGATAGACCTGCTTCTCGGTTCAAACCGTTTTCATTGATGTGTGCATCTGTAGAAATAAATAAACAAAAATTGTAATGCTTATATAGCGCTTTCCATCGTATCAACAATCTCAAAGCACTTTACAATTATTCCCCCGTTCATCAGGCCATGGGACCATGCGGCAGCCGATATCAGCGCACAATCGGTCCTCGACCCTCACGGGTACCCATTTATACTCCTGGGTGGAAAGAGGCTATTGTGGTTAAGTGTCTTGCCCAAGGGCACAAACACCATGTTCCTGGCAGGGTTCTAACCCCTGCACCATCGTACATGAGTCAAACACTGTAACCACTGGACCATGGCATTCTAGAATACTGTGCAACTCCTTAATAGGATATCCCGCACAGGGAAATTGTTTTGGAGTTTGTATACGTCTAAAGAACTGCCAATTAAAACTGCTTTACAAATTTTCTTCAAAATAATGTTGAGTTTGAGTTTTTTAATTAGGTATTTAGATATTTCAATTTAAGGATCAAGTTAATGTCTACATTGTCTGCATTATTTTTCAGTGGATATCCCAAACAATAATGGCCCCACTGGCAAAGGCCATAGAGGAACTAAATATCACTCTGACCAAGCTAGGAAGGGCGGAGCTACAAATTGGAGGTAGGTGGAATCACAAATATTAAATAGACAACAGCCTCATTTACAACTACACTTTATTTTTTGACCTGGCTTGATTTTTTTCTATGGATGTGCCTTGGTTTTGCACATTGAAGTGTATTGTTAAAACTACTAGCTGAAACTTAACAAGTTATTTGTTATGTACCCTTCTTAAAATTTTAAGCAATTTTGATACTTTAAACAACAAATTGCAAAAAAAAAAAATTTACATGCCAGATTTTTTCTTGTTTTTGTAGAGGTCAGTATATCATCGCTGCGCCAAGTGTCCCTCACAAAGAGTCAGCTTGTCCCCACACTGTCAATGGTACTACCCTACCTGGACGTCTCAGCCAATCAGGAGTATGTTGTGCAGAGAATACGAGGCAAGTACATTCACTCAGAGGGGAGAGTACACTTACTGCAAGGGAAGAATGTGTATTTATAAAATGGCTGTTAAGGGAGTAAAACAATCAATTTTTTCAATGCAACTTAAACTAATTTACGCCGGAGGATGTTTATTAAACACAATCTGGCAATGTATGTTTGCAGGGCCAGGTGATGGGTTTAATCGTCAAGCTTTCCCCAAGTATCTGGCGGTGGACGTGTATGCACGTCAGAGATTCCTATTGGTTTTGTACCTACCTTGTGTGGAACTTGAACTTGGTTGCTGTACACGGCCTGTCGTCTTAGCAAATATCGCTCCGTAGCGGGCCTCGGAGTGTTGCAAAATATGACGTTATGCTGAGAAGTGTCATACAAATATTGTACAAATTACTCTCAGTAGTCAGTATTTGTGGTGTTATGACTTGATTTTTAAAAGTTGGCCAATAAATTTTGTCTTTTTCCAAAAATGGTGGTTTTTGGCCAAAAAATAATCTCATCCTGAAGTGGTTAATGCAGATTTTTATGGACACCAAATTGTAACTCTTCCAAATGAAAAGGCAAAATGCTATGGTATAAAATAATAAAAACAGTATTTGAAACTTTTCTCGCATTCACAGAACTAGCGTCTGGTGGCTGTATGAGTGATTTTCGATGGAACAAAGGATGTGATTTCAAGGGACGCAAATGGGATGAGGATCTGCCTTCCGATTGTGCAGTAAGTTTGTTTTATTATCTTGAAATAGTATTAATCGGTTTGTAATATAAAAACTGGAGTAAACAGTGAATGTTTTTTTCCCCCAGATGGTGATGCATATGTTGTGTACCTACCTGGACTTCCGGCTACCCAGTGATCCTAAACACCCAGACGGTAAAACCTTTGCTAGTCAGTACTTCATGAAAACACCTGACAAGCCAGGTATGTATGGTAATTAAAGAGAATGTACAACATTTTCTTTTTCTGTAATTTTCAAAAATGGATGGATTTGAAGAGTTAGTATTTTGTAGAAAATATTGTTACACTGACTTGTTTGAAGTTTTGTGTTCGTAGATGCTGGGAAAACCAAGAAAGACAATCATATCCTTGTAGTCTAGTTCCCTGACCCCACTTAAATTGAAATGGAGCAATTTGTACACATCGGGGAATTGCAAGGTCAGGGAAACAGTCCAGCTGGCTTTTACCCATTCAATGGTTGTGTGATTGATTGCAAACAAAATGCAGACTGACTAAATAAGGTAAATTCAGGACAGTAGTTGAAAAAGCCAGGTTTTTCCAACGCTGGTCGGCCGACCAGTGTTGGAAATTATACAAAAATACCACTTTTCTTGAAAATGACAACACACCAGATGCCATGATTTTACAGGATGCTTTAGACTGTCATTCACTAACGGTCCAGTAAGGTATTTCAAAATAATTTGGTAGTTTTGTTTTGTGATGTTTGCAAATGTTGTATATTCCCTTTAAAAAAAAACGGTGGTTGGGCAAAGAAAGGTTTCTGGTCAAAACTCAAAACTCAAAAGGCATATTGCCTTAGCCATATCGTGACTTTCTCAGATCGGATTATTGATAGACCAATGAATATCAATATGTCTTTCTGTTGCTTGTTAGTTGGTTGTTTGTTTTTTATTTTCTTGCCATGATTTTTTTTTCAATTTCAGTTAAAATTACTGTTCAATTACTTTTTCAAATTGAGCTATGAACGTTAATATGTGTTGTAGTGTCTTTTCAAACCTACTTGTGTATATGACAAAACGTCTATGCTTGTGAAAGAAAAATATCTGTTTTTGGATGGTTGGTCTGAAAAATAGAAAAAAGGTATCACCACAATTTGTCAGGAATAAATTGGACCAGAAAACTTAATTTTACGTTATAAATTGTTTGGCTGGAGTAAGTCTGTGAGTTTGCTTCAAAACCCCAACTAATTACACAACCCAGGGATAGGAATGAAAAGCCTTTCTCAACATCATCTAATGCAAGAACCTAATCTAATGTTCTTTTGATTTCCTTATTTTTATGCCCCGCGGCGAACGCCGAAGGGGCATACTGTTTCCGCCTTGTCCTTCCGTGGGTGGGTGTGTGTGTTAGTGGGTGGGTGTGTGTGTGTGTCCGGACAAATCTTGTCAGCGCGATAACTTGAGAAATACTTAACATATGAACTTCAAATTTGGTTTGTGTATTGTTCTTGGTAATCCTAAGAACCCTTTTGCATTTGGGGCCGAAAGGTCAAGGGTCAAGGTCACAGTGACTAAAACAAAAGAAATGTTGTCAGCGCGATAACTTGAGAAATACTTTACATATGAACTTCAAATTTGGTTTGTGTATTGTTCTTGGTAATCCTAAGAAGCCTATTGCATTTGGGGCCGAAAGGTCAAGGGTCAAGGTCACAGTGATTAAACCAAATGAAATTTTGTCAGCGCGATAACTTGAGAAATACTTAACATATGAACTTCAAATTTGGTTTGTGTATTGTTCTTGGTAATCCTAAGAAGCCTATTGCATTTGGGGCTGAAAGGTCAAGGGTCAAGGTCACAGTGGCTGAAACAATAGAAATTTTGTCAGCGCGATAACTTGAGAAATACTTTACATATGAACTTCAAATTTGGTTTGTGGATTGTCCTTGGCAATAAGAAGCCTATTGCATTTGGGGCCAAAAGGTCAAGGGTCAAGGTCACAGTGGCTAAAACAAATGAAATTTTGTCAGCGCGATAACTTGAGAAATACTTTACATGTGAACTTCAAATTCGGTTTGTGGATCGTTCTTGGTAATCCAAATAGGCTTATCGCATTGGGGGTCGAAAGGTCAAGGGTCAAGGTCACAGTGGCTTAAACAATAAAAATCTTGTATTTATTCTGAGATCATAGGGATTAGGGATTCATTCATATAAAACCTACAGAAGACACTAATGCTGTCAATGAACGTTCCATGTGACCAAGGTACGTGTAAGTTGATATTAAAAGAGTGGTGTTATGTCATGGGAACAGTCACGGTTGCGGGGCATTTGTGTTTGTAAACACACCTGACTTGTTTTTGATAATTTAATTTCAGATCTCAAGAAGAAAGACAATCTGTTATTGTTTCAGACGAAGATCAACCCTCCCCACTACAAAGTCATCATTGGTGATGATACGTGGGACCTGCCAAAGGTGTGTGTGGCATTCTGACTTTTATTTTGTCTTTATCTCTTGACTCTTTTATTGTCCACCCAAACACACATTCTGGCTTTAGCTCAATACCATTATTGATGCTGGAGGTTTTTCACAAAAAGAATATCAGAATTGGAGAAATGGTCCTGTGCAATGCTCATGTTTCTTGCCTCATATGCGCGTAGCACACAGGGGGAGTCACTTATTTGGGTCAGAGTTCTCGTTCTGTTCTGCCTCACAATCTCTGAAACCGAAGATACATTGTCTCATACTTGGTTGGTTCTTCTCCTAAGGACTCCGCAGGGGAGTTTTAACAGGAGGCCAGAAACACTGGGGTAAACCCCTTCTCTTAGCGATAAGTGTTACTGGGTTCTTTTACGTGCATTGCATCACACAACACACGGGACCTACGGCTTTACCTATCCGAAGGACGAAGCAATAATGGTCAAGTGCCTTGCTTAAGGGCACAAGTGTCCAGACCTGGGCTCGAACCCACATTCTGCTGCCTTTGAAACACCAGAGGATGAGTCTGGTGCGATGCTCTTAACCGCTAGGCCATGACCCTCCATGCTCACTTGCGCATAACACACAGGTCAGGTCACTTATCTCATCTCAGATTTGCCACTTTTGGAATTTTCAAGTTTCAGTTTCAAGAAAATTGGCAGAGCTTTTGAATAGCATATTGAGTCTCTAACAAATGACCTTTCCAGACCCGTGTTCGTGTTCTCCCAATAAAGTTGTCTGTGTTTAATTAGTGCCTTAGTCATGTGTGGTTATTTGGCCAAGGATCGTGCCCAATGTCATTACACTGTCAATATTAGCAATGCTGCAAGTCTTAGAAACGTAGAAACTCTTACAAAATTTGTCTCCACAACTTACAAGGATATTTACAATTCCAAATGCATTTTCTTTTGCTAAACTTCCTCACATTTGGACTATTTTCCATAGACCAAAAACACCGGTTATGTACTGAATGGGTTGCAACTTGATTTGTTGTAATCACAATGCTGTTAGGCTGTTCATTGCAGTATGAAAATTAAACAAGAATTTAGACATTCTATTTTGAGAATAACGATATTGTAAAAGAGTTCAGATATTTCACTAATAGTTTATTTTGCTTTCAGGGACGTAGCAACATGTTTCAGGCCATCCTACTGATGTTGCACCATGTGAAAACCAAGGAACATGGAATGCTGGGGTGAGTGACATTGGAAAATCACTTTTTGGTTCACTTTCTTACTGTCACTTTAACCCTCCTGCTGTCTGAGTATTAACAGACAGTCGAAAAATCAATCCTTTCCCCTGCCATGCCTTTTTACACAGGCTAGTCACCAACAGTCAGATCATATTTTAAGCAAGCACCGTGACTAGTCAAATTCAGTCAACAGACAAAAACAGGCAAGTAGTAGGCACAGCTGTCTTATCAATCACCTACAGTCCAAGCATAGCTGTATCAAGTTACATAAACAGTCATAGCCAGTCAATCCAGCTTTATGTAGGCTAGGAGCTCTTACCTGTTGAAAACAGTCACTTCATTGATTCTGACTGAGAGGACAACTTGGCACAGAATATATGTTTGCATAGGAGGGTTAATGTCCATTTTTGATAGATCCTCTATTAGATTGTTTGCACTGTAGCCAGCTTTAAGGTAAATGTTTTTGAGTAGATCGTTTGAGCATTTGTGGAATCCTGAATTACTATTACAAAAAAAGAAAGGCGGCCGCTGAACATTTCTGGCTATCATAATCAGTGCTTTGCTTTTCCAATGTTTTCTTTTTCTTTTTCTCCTTTTACAGGCGAGTCAATTTAGGCATGTCGGGCGTCAACATCCTGTGGGTGATCAATGATGCAGAAAGACTTCAAACGGTCCGCCAACGAGAAAGCTTGCTGCTTCCCAAAGTTTTGGAATGATTAGATTTGAAGCTGAAGAGCATTTGTATAAATATCCTGAGTGGATTTCAACTGCAAAGATGTGTACTGAACTTGACACTCTTATACTCATGATTTACTAGGAACCATACCCATCCTGGCAAATTCCAACACCATATTGGAAACTGCACACACATATTTCTGACTTTGATTCTGGAGGTGTGCTAACCCAATGTAAAAGACTGTCAGTTTCGGGGTACTGTACCCATCCTGACAGATTCCAACAAAACATGCCGTTGGGGTTTGATGGGTTGAGTTCTGTTAGGGTTAAAGGAATCAGGTTTGAGAGTCTGGTTACCGGAGAGCAGTTGGCAGGTTTTATGTATCCCTGAAAAGGATGCCAGACAAACCTGCTTGGACTAGTCGGATGGCTCAAGATAAGGTATTAAATTTGTGTATGTGGGATTGGTTGCCAGACATGCTTGAGTTAAGCATAGTATGATGGCATTTTAGTGTAGGGCTGTGGCTAGTCACAGTGCTTGCCAAAGGCAGAAATCCAGAGCCACAGCCCAAACCATAGGATTTGAGACCGGATGTGTATGGAATCGCTAGCCCCCAGTTCAGAGAGACAAGCAATGGAGTCCGCTGTTATCTTTATGCCAAGATGCATTTGTACATGTGGAATACAGTACCTATTTTGTGCAAATGTGATCATTTGAATGAAGTTGACCCCACATCATGGTACACAAGGACAGTAATGTGCTGGATGTTTCCTGACTCTTTATGAGTGAAATATTGGGGCCGAGTTTGGACTAGCAATAGTAGTGTTGGTGTCCATAGGCAATCTACTTAACCTCAACTTTGCCCTCTTTATGATGCATTCTTATACAAATAATGAATGTTTATGAGTGCAATGGTAAGAAGAATTTAGGAGAATTTCAGAATATCATCAAAGGCGCATACAGTATTGAAGCATGTTGCTTCTCGGGATTTGAAAACATTTTGAACTGTATTAAACCTAGATCAGAGATAGCTCAAGTGATGTGGGCAAGTTGCCAAAACAGAACTGGAAAATTTAATCTGAATATTGAATCGTTCCCAGGTTTGCTTTTGAGATTCACAAAGATGTTTGTACCCTCAGGCATGCCATTTTTTATTATTACCTTGAGGTTTTTTTTAAAAATATTTATATTAATAAAGTGTGGAGTGCATTGTTTTTCATGTGTTTCTCCAAATCTGGTGTTATTGCTGTAACTCGCCAGTTTCCAAAATAGAGTTCTCCTAAGTCAATACGGAAGTGAAAACTGGGTACATTTGTGAAGTTTGTCTACAAGGTATGCATTGTTTACTGTTCCCCCTTAAATTTAGTACTAGTATTAGTTGTTTGTCTATTTTGCAGTAAAACTGAGGAATGGGATTCCCATGTTATTTTGTTTGATTTACTTCTCTTAATTTTGTATTATTATTTTTTGTTGATGATATGAATGTCAGAATTATTTTTAACAATATCTGGCAGAAGTAAATGTATAACAGCTGTTAATAAAATGAAGGTCAGACAGTTTGCAAGATAAAGTACATTGGAGTGATTTTATTTGTGATGGTTACTTGAAGACCGGGAAAAATGTCGCTAAAAAAATGCATAATTAATTCCAATACCAGACTGCTACCTTTCCCTCCCCTTGAAGAGTGTATTTTTGGCGCAATTTTCAGAATCTCGGAACTCCAAAATGTCAAATTGTACTTATAAACTAACTCATTCTTTTGGCATATAAAAATCCAGGGAGAGTTACTCAAGCACGTGAATTGGAATCCAGACTACCCCAAAAGAATTGACAGCAGCAAAATGAAACTGATCAAACAAAGGCACTGAATGTTCCATCAGTCATTCGTAATGAAACCGATTTCCTTTGACGTTTGCAGTTCCCCTTTTTTTCTGATGCCTGAAATGTCAGCGTCTGTGAGAGTGTCTATTTCTGGCAGTTTTGCGCCAGACATGTCAGGATCCGACATGATCACGTTTAAAAAAAAAGGTGCAGCTGTTTGAACCTGAACCCTGGGCAAAACATTACTCATGCATTAACGTCTTGTATGTCTATCACACATGCCAATTAATGTCACATTCTGGAAGTACCAGGAATGTGTCGACAACATTTGCATGCCAGCTGCTTCGCTGAATCTTGTCAAGAAAAGATTAGGTAAACCTCGTAAAGATGGCTCCAGTGCTCAAAATACGTGCAATGAATTTAGAATGACTATTCACTGGAAGTCTTTTGGAAAGAATGCAGTATCCAGACGCCACTAATTGGTTGTGTACAAAGTCTATGGAGAGTCGAGTGCATTTTCAAAGTATTTTCTAAAAAAGTTGGAAGAGTTTCTCAGTCCCAGATACATGTCTTTTCAACATTTTTGCAATGACTGACCTTCATGGAGATAAAAAAAATATGATGAACTTGAAAAAAGTGGTTTCAGGATGCAACGTTCTTTCCAGTCTTTTCATGCATGTGGTTTACATGATGGGGCAGATTTATCCCATTTATTGGTGTTACAGGTTATCCTATACAATAGCACTGCTTGGCTCTCTTCAGCCAAAGTCACAGGTGACCGTCAGTCAGGGGGAGTCGGGGAGTCAGTCTGTCAGTCAGATAGATAGGAGGATACCAGGCTGGCCCTCTGGGACCAGCAAAAAGCTCGGAGCAACAGACCTTTATCATGATGCCACCGTTTCAGTCATGTTCCCTGTATCCAATAACAGTACTGAATGATAATTTTTTTGTGCAAAAAGGAACCAGACTATTTTTCCTTCCAGCCTCGCTTTGGTTACGTTGATTTGAATGGGGATAAAATCAAGATGGCCGCAACACGATAATGGTCTATTGGACTTTTGTGCTTGAAACTGGACAACATTTAATAAAGAAAAATGAGAACAAAGGCACACCTCAATAATTTTCATCGCTCGGAAGTGTGTATTTTCATGATTAATGCAAGAACACCTGATTATTTCAGTTTTACAATTTTTGTTTATATTTCGATTTTTATAAATTCTTTTAATTTAATTTCTATTATCAGCCAATGAAACCAGCATTGGCCTTTTGAGTTGTTAGCCCATCAATGGCCACGGGTACCAGGCAAACATCCATTAGTTTCACAATACTAGCATCCAGATGCCAGCCAAATCCACTTTGTCTGCCTGTCACGTTTACAATAGCCATTTCTCAAATCTTGGTTTCACCTCCAGTTTTGGCTTTGAATCTAGTTTCCTTATTTTAGAACAATGATTCAGGGTGTTTTTTTATCTCAATATGTCCCCTGTTTCATCTACAGAAATATCTCATCTTGTATATGAAACCAAAACCTGACATTATTCAATTGCAGTCAACATTAAGGGCCTTCAAGGGTTTAAGAGCCGGGGATAAATCTTAATCCGGAGACAATACTGGTGATGAAGTCTAAATTTGAGAAATGGCACATATTAAGTACGATAAGAGCTTTACTAAAGTCTGGTACCCAGAAGCATTACAAGCTGTGATCAACACATGTTCATTTGAAACTACTACAAAGTCTGCAAAGCTGCAACTGCTTTTCTTCTCAGACAAATGTTGATAATTCAGTATTCAACTTTTGTTTGTTTGCCTGAAAATATTCAATCAGCAAAAACCAAAAATTCCTTTATTGCATTGAACATGAGCAGTTGATGAGGATCAAGTAAACAAATAAGCACCAAAAGCTGACTAACAGAAGATCAATAACATGTAATAATACCCTTTTGCAGCATATATACTAAGTAGGAATTAAACATGCTAAATAGATCTCTTTAAACAAAAGTTTGAAATTTTTAAACTTCAACCATAAAGTTCGCAATGTATTTTCAGACTTGACTAAACTTTCTTATCAAGCAACAACATTACTTTCATCAAGAGCAACTATGAAGCGTAATAACAATACAACACTTTCTAACTTTTTACAAATGATATACTTTTAATCCGAGTTGAAACTTTTTCAAATTATATACAGATTACTGGCACCATTTAAACAAAGAATTAAGACTGGGCCAATCAGGGTTTTTGACAAACGGTTTAGTCAAAATACAGCAAATGTGCCAATTGTTACTATATCTTACAAGCAAACACCAAACTCTTCTCTGTTTTGCCAAATCCTATAGAAGTTGTTTGTTACAGTCATTTACATGACCTTTGTTTCTGGTATATAAGTATTCCTTTTAAGTACACATATATACACATACAGTCTGTTTTATACCTGACTGAGTGCCACTTGTGAACTAGACTTGCTTAATCCCCTTCGTGGCCCAACCATTTGACTCAGATGACTACCTAGACTCCTTAGACCAATCACGGACCCTCCACACAAGGATAAACGACTTCCCCAAATATCCGGTTAGAGGCGTGATGCGGCACTTGCACGTCGTGCGTACGTGAGACTCGGCGCACGACTGCAGTCTTTCAGTGGTCAAATTTCTGTCAGAATGCCAGCTGTTGGCAATCATGGTGTGCGCGCATTGTGCGCGCATTGTTCTACATGTTCTATGCAATGTTCTATGCACGGACGCGGCACATCACACATTTAGACAATCCATTCCGTGCATTTTGTACACAAGCTCAGATGAGTCGTTTATGCTCGTGTAGAGGCTCCGTGGACCAACTGTTTTAAGTATTTTTAAGCGCTGAATACACCATGTCTGGTGTCTGTACCTACTCTCATCGTTCAACACAGTTTAGTTTGATAGTCTGATGCCTACACTAGGAATAATCACTTCATATTGACTCCTGTAACTCTTATGACAAATCATATCTCACATCAAAGTTGACCTCCAAATGTGGAATAAATATTAGTAAGATGAATCTCAAGCTTTCTAAAAAACTGCTTATGGTTTGAATAGTCTGGTCTAAGACTAGATTTGGAATTTGTTCTCCTGAATGTAGCTACTCCTTGAGTCTTGGGAATGTTGGCACCCAAACCCAAGAATTCCAAGCATCCCTCATGAGTGTCTATTAGCATGAATTGACCTATCGCGGTAGAATCGCGGTAGCATCGCAGCTTGTGAAATATTGTCCAATTACATGATATAAAAATGGACGCAACATCTGAGACAAACAAAACTTAGTGTACAAAAATTCCATAAGGTTGTCTAAGGGGCTTGACTAACTCGCAAACGGCGATAGGTCCATAAACGAAGTATACTCAGAAGTGCCGAAATTTCCACAGACTGGATTTGTTTCATCTTGTGTGTGATTGTGCATAGTCTGGTGAACACAGCATAACCTGGTTATAAGTGCACCACCAATGTCTTAGTGTTTGCTTTTGTTCTGGTGGAAAAGGCGTGAGTTATTAAAAAAAAGGCCCTTTGAGAAGGCTGTTTGTATTACGGTTTAGCAGAATGGTCTACGTGCACAGACAGGCCGTGTGTAGAGCCTCCAGCGCGGATTGTCGTTATTAGTCACTCTCACAACTTAAGTCCATAAAAAGGGAAAAGAAGGGTGAAAAAAGGCACAAAAAGGAAAGTTAAATAGGACACAGATGCCTTAGTCACATCCTTAATGGTAAGCGCAGTCTTGAGACCTATTGCCTTATTTAAGATGTGTTCAAAATTGTGAAAGATTTCAATTGCTTGGAATCACTGTTTTGAAACATATTTTCATCAAAGCCTACAAGAGCTATACTCCTTGCAAATTGTATCATGAGACAGAAAGTTTGTTCCAAAATTTCCCTTTGTCAAAAGACAACTGACTAGAAACTCGACCGAGTTGACAAATTGTTCCTAAAATATGATTATGACTGTGAAAAAACATTGGTTGGTTGTCATTTGCAAATAATATTTCTCCTCTTTTAAAATTATTTTTTTTTTAAATCATTTTTAAAAATGTCACATTAAAAAATAAATTTACTACCTCGAAGCTAGTTAACATTAAAAATTCTTTTCAAAAGTTTTAAAATGCAACTGGCTCTTTTTCCTTTGAGTAAAAAAAAACTATATTTACACTTTTTGTCTCTGGAAAGGGCTAAGGTACATGTTTATTTACAAACGCAACACTGCCTTTCAAAACTAAACGTTTTGCAATCCGTAATCGCTCCACAAAAGACACGTTCTCCAATGTGTCATACAATACAATGCGTTTATTTACAAAATAATGTATACAAATGATTACGATATTTACAAAAGCGTCATCAATGATAACTGTTACACAGAATCTCATAATGTTCATTTCTATAGGATTCGCAGCAAAATCATGCATCCCAAACCAGATAATTATATTACAAATTATATTCAAAATATAATTTTTAAATATTGTCACTCTCTTGCGGAGTGATGAGTGACATAAGTTGATACCGAAATACTTGCAAGTTTTTTGGGGAAAAACAAACAAACAAATTAAGTCAATTGCCAAGATTTATCATACACTAATTTTCAGTTCAAATCTGCTTTAATGCTGTTTTATCAATTCAAGTGATTAATTTCACCATGATGACAGAAAGGTTTCTTTCCAGAAAACAATATATACAAAATAAAAGCTTTTTTATATTCTTTATCCAAAAGTAACGTTTTGCATTTCTCAAAATAAATTTCAATTAAGTCACTTAGCATTTGTAAATTACATACAAAATGACTTTTTTGCTAAATTCCATCTACCTTTCCCTATAAAAAAAAACACATTCACAAATATAACAAAGAAAACTCCGAACTGGATGAGGTTAGCATTTACATATCAAGAAAAATAGTTCATGACCCTAAATCCATAAAAGGTCAGGCAGGTCACATCACACGGTCAAGATGACCTAACAGGCAAATTCATTTAGTAATAACTTAAGACAGGAAGCTCAACAAAATGACGTTACATTATACACACATGTACATCCACTTCCTGCAAGCTCCAGTCAAAAAAAGTTTCCACTTCTAAAATGACGCACTTCCGAAGATGCAGCTTTGTTATGACAAGCACCGCCCCACCCCTAGGGAGGGTAAGGAGGGGGTGGGGGAAGGGAACGTCCGCAACCCAGGCGCGAATCTCTTATAAACTGAATTCCTGTATTTTTGCACACCCTGGAGGTTCAACAGCTGTCATCTGTCAAGTGTTGTTGCTCTTCCTGGCCCTGAGGGGGTGTAACAGCGAGAACTTATATGGTCTGCTGCATGCACTTCCAGACGCCCTTCCGTTTTTTTTAGGATGCGACAAGCGGGTCGTTACGGTGATCTGTGATGGTTAATAGCGAAGCCTGAGGTTATAGACATCCTGCGAACCTGGGAAAGAAAGAATGACCCTTATAAGGGTGACCTGCTTAAAAGAAGGGTCTTTATCTTTTGTTTGTTTTCAATGCCGAATTACAAAATGGCCTGTTTGGGAAAACAAATGTCAAATAGGGTGATACATCCCCAGGTGGTACTCATTGTGAGGTCATGACAAACCTGTCGATCAGCCTCTTATTCCAAAGACTTAACCCGAACTGCCCTAAATCCTTTAAAATCCTCTTTGCCAAAGTGGAGGAATTTGAAGGATTGAGGTTACATGGCAAAAGTGCATTACTGATTTCATAGGATGCACTTTGCCAAGGTCTTTGGCCGGACCTTGTGTTGTTTTTGCTCAGTCATGCATAAATGTAGGCCTGTATTATGCTTGAAATCCTCCGTACTGCTCCAGGATGTCACTGGCCAAGCCTCAACATATTGACAGTCACTGCCGCAGGATTTTGCAGGATTCAGGCAGTGGTCACCCCTCCACGGACCATATTCAAGAAATAATGGAGGAATTTGCAGGATTGAGGCTATATGCTATTTTTCCATGAGGCCAATGAAGGATTTTGAAGGTTTGAGGCTACATCCTAGCAAAAAGGCCTAGGGAGTTAGCTTAAGGTATCCAATTTTTTTTTTTTACACAAAGAATGTGCCACTTTCATCCTGGTGTTGGATTTTGGAAGCAAAATTGATTTTGGAAGTGAAACAATTGACAGTGACAATCTGTCACTAGTAACTCTATGTATCAAATTTTATCAGGGTACAATTTTGAACAGGTCTGTAAGCTGGCCTCATATTGGTACAATTGATGGGTTAAAATGGCTGCTACACAACCTGTACCAGTATTAATGGTCAACATATCTATCAAACCACTTAAACAGGCTTTGGCAGTTATACGGTGTAATCCTGAGGCATTTGTGGTAGTTGGTGACCAGCCTGAACGAAAGCTACCGAGAGAGGTGAGGGTCAGGTTTATTGATAGTCTGTGATAGTTACAAGTATGGGAGGGTTAGTGCCACATAAAATATAATGTATGCTTACTGTTTCCAAAATAAAATCTCAGGGAATCGAAATTGACTATTGACTAATCGAAGTTGAGCCAGGATTTTTTATTTCAAGTTCGGAATCGATTCTATTCAACTCTGGCATGGAGTCGCTGAAGCCTAGCATGCAAGCTTGAACAGTCTGGAAACATAAGCGACCTACCTGGTCTAGGCCTCCAACCCTGCCTGAGACAGCTCAGAGTGCCAGGCCCCTGGATATCCTGCCGTTGAAGGGCTTGAGGGCCTCCCGCAGCGAGCTGAGCAGCGACAGGTGCAGCAGGCAGTCCAGGTCCTCCTCACGCTGGGAGTCCCTCTTCAGCAGGTCGCTGACACGGCTGTACAGCTTGTTCAGCCACATGAAGCAGGTCCGGCAGTCGTCCCGGAAGCGGGTGCGGAACAGGCCTGGGGAGGTGGGAAGGGGGGGGAGGGGGGGGGGATAATATTCCAAGTAAAGTTTTCTCAACTTGAATATGAGGCCAGACCAAAACAAATAAGTCGGAAGTAACTTTTAAAGCCATTTTTAAGTTGCAAGCACTTAAACAAATCGCACAATTCGAAATCAATAGAAACTGTTTTTTACAGACATAATATCCTTCAGGATGTCAAACTCTTAACCACACACCACAGAAGATTACCAAAGAGGAATCTGAAGTATAGGTGCTAGCTCTATGGGCACAAGTAGTTTTGCAAATTTACATTACAATTACACGTACAATTACATACAGTACGGGGGACAAGGTGCTTCAAACATTCCTTCTTAATTAGAGCCTAAATAAATACAAACATTTCTAGAAATGACAGTGCATGTATGTCTGAATTTTAGGAAAGAAAGCTTATCCATCATTACGTTTAAGGCTTTTTCCTGAAAAAAAGCCACTTTTCCTTAGATTACTAGTCAGATATGAGCACATGAGTCACCAAGCCTTTGAAACCAAATCCAGTCTATTTTCTCCCAGAAGCATTTATCTTGGGGTTAACAAGTTTCTGTAAGAAACAGGGCCTTATGCAACGGAGTTGCTTAGCGCACAAAATATGTGCTAAGCAAAAATAGGTTACCAGCCAAAATATCATACGATGTGCATTGCTTGTTACTGGTTCACTGCTAAGCACAGAAAATATGTGCTAAGCAAAAATAGGTTACCAACCAAAATATCATATGATGCGCATTGCTTTTGACTGGTCCCTGATAAGGACAGAAACTATGTGCCAAGCAAAAATGGTTTATCAGCCAAAATGTCATATGATGTGCATTGCTTTTGACTGGTTCTCTGCTAAGCACAAAAAATATGTGCTAAGCAAATATAGATTACCAGCCAAAATATCATACGATGTGCAATGCTTGTGACTGGTTCCCTGTTGATTTTCTGCTCAGCGCATAAATGTGTACCTGAGGTCGTTGGTTCGAGTCCCACCCAAGCAAGATCATGAAATTTAAAACCAAATCAAATCAATTCAAATCAAGTGCAAGGGCAAAAAGTGACCCAGCAGAGAAGACCATACCTCCTGAGTGATGTTTCTCAATCTCATGGCCGAACTTCCTGATGAGGAGCTGAACCAGACCAACGCTGGCGTCCATGATGGCTTCATCCTTGGTGTAGAAAAGCCTGTCGATGATCGGCAATACTTGGGCGGCTAGGCTGAGGGTCCATTTACTCCTGTGTGCATAGGTAAACAAAAAAAGGACAACTGTGACTGCCTTTGCAAAAAACCTCAGCTACAATTATTTTCACACAAGATTACTGGAACAGCAGAAAATATAGCTCTGCAAATATACGTGCTTTAATCAGCGCTTGAAGGCAATTTCTATGATCAAAATTCCAAATTTCAATTTGGCCAACTGATATGTAGGTAAACAAAAACTTCCTGACTCCTGGAATCTTCAAACCGTTTCAGCTTTTTTTGTGCTGAGCCTTCAAATTTTTTTTTTTGTCTTGTGCACGACATAACATCATGGTTCAAATTGGATTTTGAATTCTTGTATGAAAAGTTTTTTTTTTTAAACCTTGTGAAACAACTGACCTTTGTTTTTACTATTTGAAACCATTAAATCAACCCCCCCCCCCAAAAAAAGATACTAAAATAAGTATCTGCCAACCAGTCAATTGTTGGAATCTGGTAAATTGCAGGGAACTTAAAGGTCATTGCTGTAATTTTTAGAAATGGATGGATTTCGGGGTTAGCATTTTATAGCACATTATTATACTGACCAGTTAAAAGTTTTGTCCTCACAGATGTTGGAAAAAAAAAACAAGAAAAACAAGTTGTGGTTGAAGTAATTCTGGATCCCTGACCCTACCTTCAGACGAAATGGACCAATTTATAGACGTCGGGAAATCGTCAGGTCAGGGAACCAGACTCGCTGGCTTGCACCCATTCATGAATGTGTAACCAATTGCAAACAAAAAGTGGACTAACTACATTTGGTAAATTGGAGGCAGTATTTGAAAAAAGTAGGTTTTTTCCCAACAGTGGTCGGCCGACGATCATTGGAAATTGATACAAAATTCCACTTTTCTTGAAAATGACAGCACACCAGGTGCCGTGATTTCACAGGATGCTTGAGACTATTATTCACTTACAGTCAAGTAAGGTATTTCACAATAATTTAGTAGTCATGTTTTTTTATTTTGGAAAACGTGGTATATTACCTTAAACAAAATACACAGTTGTAAAAACTACATAGTTTGCACAGTTTACAAAGTACAAACTCCATGGACCGCTTGCTGTACAGATGATAACCCATCTGCTTTGATTCAAACTTTGGCAAAACTGCTGGAGAGAACTTGCTTCAAGCTTCCTAACTCTGTTCCATGTCTGCAAAATATCGTTTTACATAATATATGGGATGTGTTTGATGTCAGAAAGTCTTTGTGTGACACTATCAACACTCTTTCAGCCAATTGTTTGATCCTGAGAAGCGTCAGATTACAAACTGGAAGTTCACCAGAAAGCTTGACGCCACGGAAATCGCCCCAGACAGATGATGAACGCAAGGGGCGAAATCAAAGACAGGTGTGAGCGAGTGAAATCTATGAGGCAGCCGTCGGATATTATTCCTCTGCCATGATTCAGCTTTGGGAGATTAAAGGCTGAAATCCGTAAAAGGAATAAAATAAGAGTTTTGTGAGTTGTGGCTTCCCTGTCACACAGCGTTGAATGGACCTTGAACTTTCATGTGCGCAAACGTGGGAGTTTTGTTAACAGCTACGGATATCCACTGTACTAGTGTAGCATGTCAATGTTAAATACAGCTGCATGACTTGCGGCCAACTTTCAAGAATGGGAAGCGTATAGAATGTAACAATGCTAGAACAGGGACAGTCTCTCTTGCTCACTCGGCAATAATCCAACAGAACTTGCCTTGGACTTTGTTAGTTTTAGTATGGCTGAGGATTCCAGTGTGGACATTTACCTTAACCTTAACTCCCTACCAAGTCAGCCAAAATCTATCAATGACCCTGCTTCATATAATGCTTCAGGACCAAATACGCTGAAATCCACCACAAGACCACCACTTCTATAGGTGGATTTGGATGGACTTGGTAAAGATGGCTTGTCTGCCAAAATCCCCCCAAAGGAGGAACAGATTTTGATAGAGTTGGGAAGGTTGGGGTTAAAGGTACTTAGGAACATTGGTAAAAATGCGGAACAGATACCGATTTAATGAGAAAAGTATTCTCAAAGTGACGATAGGGATGGTACCGAATACCACGTGAAATTATTCCGCCTGAAATGGTATCGTTCGGAAGAAAACAATCATTGAATGCAGTTCTAAAAAAGTGTGCCCATGGGCACACTTTTTGTACATGCTTTAGCAATGGAACTCAGTTACAAGGCCCACAACGTGTGCAAATATTTTCTTTGTTTTCTCAAAATGTATGGTCACTGAGCTCTAAATTTTCACAGGTTACTAGTTATGCACCTTAGATTTTGAGCAATTTTGTTGTTTCAAATGAAGAAATAAATGCACCTTTAACCCTAATGTTTCAAGATTCTTTGAAAAAATCCACCGGGACGTTTTGAAGGATCTTGTAGGATGAAGGAAGGTATCGCCGAGTCACTAATATTTCACACGGCTCTGTGCAAAGAACGTGCCGCTGGGTTTCAGCAAAGTGAAAAATTTTGGAGGATTGAGAAAAACCCTCACAAAAATACTGAGACATTTGACCTTTTTGAGTACGACAGTTACATCATATCTGCCATGACTCTCTTTCAGTAATAATATCTGTAATCACCGAGAGTGCACAGTAATAGTGAACTTATTAGTTCCCGGACTGCCGAAACTACCGAAACTGCCCTGGCTGTTGCTTCCTATAGACCAATCCGGCGGCAACCATGTTCTGCGGTGGCGCAAGGCTCACGCGAGTCATGCTCAGGTACCGGTAGAACACATGCACACCAGGTTCCTTCGACCAATAGGAATACCAAAATGCGCCCATGCCTCGTCTTTAAGAACGCATGCAGCATGAGCGTGAGCGTGACACCACCGCAGTAAAAGCTTCTAATTCTGGTTGCAGGATTCCACTATACCCTCCCAAACGGCCCCAGCATTGTATGGTATTATGGTCTCAACAAGGAGTATCTACAATGTACATGTGATACAATACGTGCTTGTGGATTAAGGCATGCACGCTTTCACATTTGCCCCAAACCCACCCAGCTGTTAACGCCTACAAAATGTCAACTGTTCCCAACATGACGTCAGTCTGTCGCAACCTCGGTCTGTGCACTTCCTTAAAGGTCAGGGAGCATATGGCACATGCAAGCGTAGCGGAGCCTGAGTCTCCCTTCCCAGCCCTTGATAGGTTCTGAACACAGGTGCTACACGTTGAAACAGATGAGCTTTTGGAGATGGCCAAGCAGATTACAAATTTCCCCTTCCCAATCCGCTAGTGATTCAGCGGTTTGAGGACTTACACTAATGCCCCTTTGAACTTGAACGGATTGCAACGTGTACCAAGGTCGGGTGTGCGACAAAATTGGAACAATCACATTAAAATTGAAGGATTCAGGACTGTTAGGGTTAAAATAAATCAAGCAGTAAAACCTTGTGGCTCTAGAAAAAAATGGGTAACTTTTTTTCCAAAACTGCTAGTATGCTACTTGCTTGCACTGGTTCACACTTTGCATGTGACTGGCACAGAGTATGCACAAAAGAGTATGCAAAAACTTGTGCAATGATTCGACAATATCATTAAAGCCTGCATCGATTAGCCGTTATTCGTTACTGGTGAAAATGAATACTTCTTACAGAAGATGCAAGAGCATGCACACACACAAAAATTGCCCGACAAGGAGGAGCAGCAAATGGGCTGGACGTTCTTTCTGAAAGTAATGTCAAGATTTATGATCTGAAAATGTGAGTGAATGATAAGTTATTAAACCTTTGAAACTGTCACCAAAAACGGAAACTGTTACTGAAAACTGTATACAGTGGAATGCCGCTATAACGAACATCGTGGGATCCACAGAAATTGTTCATAATAGCGATAGTTCGGTATAGCGATTTGAAGCTGCGGGTGCTCCGGTACTCACTTTTGAATAAATAGCGCACTTCAGAACTTCACCTTGCACGCCCTGGTAGATACTGACAGACGCCTTTGAACACGAGACGACTATTTTATTATTTTTTACACAGTTTTGAGCTTACTACCTACAGCAATGGGTAGCTTTCCCCTTCTATTCCTTGGGGAAAATAATAGCCACTTGTCGCTCTTCTGTTGACATTTTTCAATAACAACGTTGGGTACGTTTTGTACACAAAAATTGGGAGTGAAGGATGATATTCAGTATAGCCCAATGTTCGGTATCACAATGTTTGGTATGGTGACGTCCCACTGTTCTTGCAAGCCTACATATTGGACTTGGGAAAACAACTGACTTGACATCAACATTGCAACTTACTCATCGGTTGCCAAGACATTGAGGATGCTGGTCCAGGCAGGGTAGTCGTTCTCCATCTCTTCCAGGTCATCGCCCAGGCTGGACTTGCGAGTCCCTTCCAGCTCCCTGACCGCAGGTAGGATGGAGTACGGGGAGACCAGCTGCTTGGTCAGGTGGTCAAAGGTCACCAACGCCTCCACGCAGTGCTTGTTGACCCAGAGAGTGCAAACGGTGTAGGTGGCCTGCCAACGGGAGAGATTTGAAGCATTGGATGAATAATACCAAAGTCCTATATAGCGCACGTATCTACCAACAATTAGGTTCTCAAGGCGCTGGAAATTATGTCTATTATTAGAGACAGGTAAATGAAGTACGTGAGAATTATGAGAACCATTATGTAGCACCTTTATAATGGTTTACAAGGTGCTGAAGCACATTAAGCAGCCACTGCCAGAAGCACCGGGCAAACCCTTCACGTCCCATCCGAAGGACGAAGTAAAGCGCCTTGCTCAGGAGCGCAAGCACCATGTTCCCAAGGTCAGGATTCGAACCCATGTACCACGGCACACGAGTCGAACACCGTAACCATTGGACCACAGAACCGCATTTGAACACATTTGTTTTTAAGTCACACAGGATCATTTGCAATTACCCGGAGAAGTAAATACCAATTTAATGGCAGCAGTCTTGCTCAAAGTGAAGATAGGACTGGAATCACATAGTGCAAAGTCAATAATCAGAGCAATAGGTCAGTTTCAGATGATGGGATGTGAAGTTTACAAGTAACTGTGTCACACAGAGAGTCACTGCTCAAAAAACAGCACTGCAAACAGCAGTGAAGAGTGACAGGATCTACCTTCTTCCCCTAAGCTAAACCACACAAAAGAATTGTGGTGCAGGGATTTGAAGTGTTCTCCATACTCCACAGAAGATTACCTCAAAAGAATTTGAAATGTGGGTGCTAACCCTATGGGCAAAATTAGTTTTGCAAACTTAACGGTTGTGAAGTGCGGACTCATAGAAAGGTTAACAAGGAACTCACCTCGGAACTATTATCCTCAGCAACTTGGACTTTGTTGGCCTTCTTAACCTCAGCATAATGGCCCTTCTTTGATATCCTCTCATACAGTGTTGGCTTAAGTTCTGCCTTGCTCATGTAGACCTCTTCGTAGAAGTGCTCCACAGGATACGGTTCTTGACTGCTTCCTGTCGGAGGTTCTTCATCATCTCCTGTCACCACACCAGAGTCACAAGAGACATTCATTCCCATCTTGCCGAAGGCCAGAAGGCTCATGCCCCTTTTGCTGTTGCGGGACGAGGACCTGCTGACAGAATGTGCGTCAGGTCCCAGCATGCCGTCAATATCAGGCGCAAAGGAGCTCACCAGACTCTTGCGGACGTCAGCACTGGAGCGGTAGTACCATGTACGGCGGGGTTTTGGGGGAGGTTGGAAGTTCTGAGTCTTGCGCTCTGAGAAGCGATGCATGAAGTTCAGCTTGCGCTGCTTGGGGATGGTGTGGAAGGAGGCGCTCATCTCTGGCTCGGAGTTTGGGGGAGTGTCCTGGGTTGTTACCGAGTCCATGGATGCCACTGATTCAGATTCCTCGTTCAGAGCCTCTAGGTCACTCCACTCTGGAAAGGAGAGGGAGGTGGAACTGATTGAGCTGGTTGGGCTGCTGTTGAGGGAGGACCGAAAGATGTAGGATGTGTCACGTAAGGTGGCAAAGGCCTTGGAGAATGCTTGTTGAGTTGCTTGCTGGGCGCTGGAGACATTTGTTGCCTGTGCACCATCTGTTTTGATCGCAGTGTGGTTGATGTAAGTATCGCTGACAGTTGTGTCACCATCCAAGAAGACGTCGTCGGTCTCGCTGGCATCCATGGAGACCCCCGGGAGGGAAAACGTTCCATAGGGGCCACTCGGGACCGGTTTGAGAGGAGCAGTGCCAATGATGTTGTTCTCATAGATCCCAAAACTGCTCAGAATGTCTTCAGCAAGGCTCTGGTTCTCCAGGTACCTGTCAATAGGGAGTATGTCAGAGTCCAAGCTAAAGGGATCGCCAAGGGTCACATCACTGCTGGAATCAAAGCTGTCTTCATTTACCTTAGCTGAACCGCCAGCAAGAGTCTTTACAGAAGCTGAGCACTCTCTGCTGTGCTCTTTCTCCTCATTTCCTTTGTTCTCAAGCTCTTCCTTATCTACTTCATCATAGAGAGCTTCTTCAACATCTTTTCTAGTGTCAGGCTCCTTTTTACCCGAACGGACAAGAGCCTCGACTAAGTCAATTTCAGAATACTCTGTGAAAGTTTTCTCATCAGCGCTGTCGGATTCATCACCCACCAAGTCATCATCGTTGAAGTTGGTGTGAGGGGGCGGCTCTGACATGGGTCTTATCTTGGTCTTGGGCGGAGCTGAGCCATTCTCAACCGAGAGGCGATTCTTAATCGCAGAATCTGTGTCCTGGACCTGCCAGTTGGGTTGGTAGAAATCGTAGCGGAAGCCCGGCACTGTGGCAAAGCGGGTCCTGGATAAACTGCTCTTATCGCATCTGAGCTCGCACCTTCCTGGGAGGCTGAAGCAGGGACCGTCCAGGGTCTGCTTGGAATAAGAGCAATGGCCGCTGGCGTCGACACCGCTGCCCTGCTGCTCCAGGAGATCCACCGTCTCATTGCTGCTGCTGCTCTTTAGTGATCCCGAGCCCAAATCATCAAAGTCACACTCCAGCTTAGCCAGGTCGCAGCAGATGCTGGAGAACAGCCCCTCCCCTAAAATATGCTGCCACATCTGCAAATAATCCTCCTCCATCTCAAAATTGGGGAAGGACAACTTCTTATCGTCCCTGCTCGCCAAGCGTCCCTTGAAGGCTCTGTTCTTGCGATTGCCATCGAGGAACACCCCTTCACCTTTGCCATCACGGGCTATCTCGCCGCTGCAAACTGTGTGCCGTTTGGGCTCCTCTGGACCGAAATCCGAATCCGAGTCGGAGTACTGGTATTCCACTCTCGTGTCTAGATCATAAGAGAATGTGACACGACGCTGTGGGCAGGGCATACGCGGTGAATCGGGACTTTTCAGAATGCTGTGTTTCCGTTGGCCTGAGCTGGGACTGGAATCTGAAGAACTAAAGAAAAAGAGAGAAAAGATCAATAACGCTTTGCTGTTCTGCGACATAATGGCATTAGGCACAGTGTCGAGCGAGTAGGTTGTTTTTCGATTGCCAATTGCAAAAAGATGGCAACTGAAGTTCACCATGTTTATACGTATGATACAAGTGTTGTTTTCAGTAATACATGTACAAGGCTGAAGGTAAATAAATAATAAATAATAATCGTGCTTATAATAAAGCACTTTCCATCATATCGACAATCTCAATGTAGTGACATTAGCACCACATTACATGAAACACGATTATGTGACGCCATGGTAGTGGCTGAAATTTGTTATAATGTCAGATCACAGTTGGTACTGAAGTGTTGGGCGATTTGGCTACATCCCGAGGCCAAGCGGAGGGAGTAGTCTAAACTGGCCAATATCAAGGAACCACTCCATTTTCAAAATTTGAAAAAACGTTTCCACGGAATATATCCCTCCCATAAAATGTGTACAATAATTTGCTTGTCATGAAGGTTTGAGTGTGGTACCACCAGCTACATTTTTGAATCTCACTAGCGATCACTACTGTCGGGAGTCTAGGAGCTGATCTTGTTTGGGATACTACACTGGTATTTCCGACCAGTTGGGTGACAGTTTGTGTGTTGCGTGCACTGATCTTTGTATAAAGACTGGATAGCATACAGAGAACCGCAGAAAGCCATTCGAAGCCATATTGGGGAGACCGGTTGGTGTTCTATAAAGGACAAGTTGCTGTCAGTTGTGATTCACTTTTGTAACATCGTGGTTCACCTGCTTTACCTTTTGTCCACCGCCACTGACCACGCTTCACAGTTTTTCAAATGTCGTGGTTTACCTTTTGAATGCCGCAGTTCACTTTTAACAACATTTGGAAATATAATTACAACAAAAACTTGTCCTTATCATAACATCATAATATGTACGTGAACAAAATGCACATCAAATCTTGATACAGCGCACGCTAGAACGTTCGTATATATCGGCGGCCATTTTTGGAAGACCGGGGCAAACTGGTCAAAAAGCAAAAATAAGTAAATGTGCAGCATATGGGCATACGCTATCCAGTCTTTATATAGAGATCAGTGGTTGTGTGTGCAGAGTAGCTACTTTTACTTTCCCTGATACGTTTCAAAATTGACACCGAAAGAAGTGCATTTGGCTCAAAAATAATGTATGAGGTGTCACAATAATGATTCACCCTGTCACAGAGTAATGTAAGTGTCACATCTCTTTTCTTCCGAGCGTCAAGCCTGAACTGAAGCGGTCACGTCCAAATCTGCTCTGACAGGACACAAAGCCGGCAGGAAGGAAATAATTTGTCCACACCGATGGGTATATCCACTGACGATGTTTGTCACGCCGTTGTGATGTCGGGAGAGACCCTGAAACCTTTGTTTTGCACAACGCATCAAGCTGACGTGTTGTATAAGTGCTGTTGGCAGATCTGATCTGATCTGAGTTTATTTAAGGGCAATTGCCGCATTATGTAAGGCAGTGTAATGTCAGCGGCAGAGCCAATTAACCATGATATTTAATGAATGATTCAGAGAAATGATCCCAAACTCCTAGTCTGTAATCTCCTTGACCATTACCAGATGATGGATGTATAAGATTAAAAAAAATACATGTTCAGCACTCGATTTCACGAAGGTTGCGACGTGTTGCAACCCGAGTTAGGACGTGTAACACATCGCAACTTGTGGCGCGTCATATGATCCACTTCACGAAACTTGTTATGTGTTGAACGCGTCATAAGTTCCTTGACAACAGCTTTAAACACATTGCAAGTCACAACGTGTCTAGTGGTCATCGCAAAATAAAAAGAGTCCTTTTCTAAGCCAGATTTATGCCATAAACATTACATAAATGAGATAATACAGAGACAATGTGTGTAAAGTTGTCAATAGAAAATTCATTGAATAATTATGAATTAGCCTAGAATGTTGCAGTTGAAATTTCAAATTAGCTATACAGCCCACTGAGAGCTTGTTTTCCTTTAAAATTGCATCATACGTCCGCCATTTTGTTTTACGTTTTTAAAACTTTTTCGGGAGGAGATCTGATGACTCTTTGTTGAATATCTGACAACTATTTACTGTACACTGACTAAATATAAAAAATATAAAACAGTTTTGCGAAATGGATCTCAGGAAGCGTCGCAGCTGCGACACATCATAGGGATATGACGCGACTTGCAGCACTGCGATACATCATAAGTTACGATGCGTTTCATGAAATCGGGTGCAGGTTTATTCACTGAGCTCTTAAAAGCTCTGTCACGGACATACATAACGCTGGAATTGCCCTTAACTCATGCAGGGAAGCACAGGTAGTCTTTTCTAATGATGAAATTCTTTACTTGTGATCATCATTCTGTGCACAGACCTTGGGATAGGAGAGTGGTAGCCAAAACAGGCCATGATGCGGAAGAATGCCGTCTGGATCCCCGTGTTATCCCGGTACATTGCGCCAGCCCTGTCCAGGAGTGCCAGACCATTCTCCTTGATGTAGTCTGTGATTACCATGGACATCATGACAAGCCTTTCTGCTTCCTCGTCTGGGTAGCCTGGCGGAAAATAAAAATAAATTGTTGAGGAAGTAAGAGTAAGTTCATGGTTGTGTGAGTTGGTGAGGTTTCCTGAAAATATTGAGGGAAAACTGGAAGTGAATATCACAACCCTTAACAACCAAATTTATCTACGTTTGGCTTTAGACTCGACAGCAGATCTCATATAATACATGTATTTGTGGATAGGTGGTACTCTAGAAGATTCTGAAACTATTTTGGTTGCTGCTCGCCCCAACATTGCTGCTTGTCCTATTGTCTGACTAGCCAAGTTTACATGGAACAAATCACACATTTTTGCATTGTAATGAGAACATTCTGCATCAGAAGTCATATGGACCATATAAGGACAATTTTTTGTATGCAGATATAATTATACATGAGGTAGTGAGTTTGACGTTTCGTTTTAAAATGTAACAAATAAATAACAGCTGACAATTGACCAATTTGCACAGGAAAACCATGTTGGACAAATTTGAAGACAAAATCCCCTTTGGTCCATCCTTTTGATTTATTGATTTATTTATTTATTTATTTTTTGGCATTTTTTTCTAACAATCCCTCCGTTTAGTCAGAACAAATCCCGGCCAATCTTTTTACAGTCACCCTTGGACTAACAAAATAAAAATAGTGGCATCTTATTAAGCGCAACAGGTCCATCACTAAGTGACGCTCATGGCGCTATAGAATGAGTATACAAATTATAGAGAGGGGTAAACTGTTTCAGAGAGTGGGGCCTGCATGAGAGAAGCTGTGGTCACCCGAGAGTGTCGGGATCTAGGAACTTGAAGAAGGGAGGAGTCTGATGATCTAAGGCTACGTGGGGGGGTGGTATGCCTGTATTGAGTTTTGTAAGTAGACTGGTGAGGAGCCATGGACTGCGTGGTAGACCAACAACAGAACTTTGAAGGTGAACAGGTATGTATTTCCTTTTAAAAGTAGATTTTGCTTCAAAACCTGTCAATATCCCTCCTTTTGCCCCACCCCCAATCACACCCCTCATAAAGTCTGCACAGTACTTCTAGCAATCGCACAGCCATTCTGTACAACCCAACAGTGAACATTCTGTGTTATGACTCATGAGCTGTCTATCAACCTCAATTTCCTGAAGTCTAAATCCCACTCCGATTAAAAAAAAAGTGGTCGAGGATTATTTTGGGAACAACTGCCGCATCTTTCAAAAATACTGCACGCATAAGATTCTCGTAGAGCTATCAATGGAATCAACAGGAAGTTACTAACGGTGTTTAATACAAGATCCTGTATATAATGCGCACTTGCAAATTGATAGTTTCAGCTTTTCTCGGTAATCTAGACTTTTATTTTGCAAAGATTTCAGACTGATCACGTTTCTAGGTTAGAAGGTTCATGAATTATGTAAAACAGGATCAGGCATTGCGAATTACATGTGCACGAATTCAACAATCACGAGGATCAAAACAACATGGTTTGGACGAGTGGGTACTTGAATATAAGTGGTAAGGCTTCTTGAATAATGATGTGGGAGGGTTAGAGGTTCGAATCCAGGCACTGCCCATGTGTGCTACATGTTGTATGTCCTTGGGCAAGGCACTTGACCTTTTTAACTCAATTCATAATCTCCTGGGGAAGACTGGTGACATCTTATTCTCTCCATGACAAGAAAACCACTTTAATACACAACCCTGATGAACCACATCAGGGCTGGCGTAACTAGGGGGCATGGGGGTATATTGCCCCCACCCCTGCTCTAGGTCTGTGCCCCAAAACCCCCTCGTGCCCACCCTTCCCCCATATCCTCCCCCCCTCCACAACTCGGCATTCGTGGAAGGCAAAAATGAAGGTTTTATTTTTAAAAACTTATCAGAATAAAATGCTCCTCTCCAGAAATTGAGGCCATCCTGAGTGGCCCCATGTAAACTGAACTCCAGTTGCTGCAATGTGTAGAATGCCATGGTCCAGTGAATACAGCGTTTGATTCATGTACATATATACGATGGTACATTGGTTTGAACCCTGCCAGGATAATGATGTTTGTACCCTTGGGCAAGACACTTTACTACAATTGCCTCTCTCATCCCAGGAGTATGAATGGGTACCTGTGAGGGTAGAGGACCGAATGTGCGCTGAGATTGGCAGCCGCATGGTCTCGTGGCCTGAGGAACAAGGAATCATTGTAAGCGTTTCTGGGATTGTTGATACGATGGAAAGTGCTATAAGCATTACAATTTTTTATTTACTTTTTTTTTGTAGCAAGTTTCATCCCTCATACTACATCAATGTGTAGTGGAACTCTTATGCCAGAATCTGCTTTCTCCGTTAAATATAATTTATCTCAATTTAAAGGCATATAGGATCATTTTCTATTCAAGCATTTTGTTCATTTCCAATGACAACACCACTCAAAATCCAAAGAAGACCGTTTAACACCTAACCTGTTTAACACCTAACCTGTTGAACTTTCAGCTCAGCTGATATTACACTTTTCAAGAAAGCAGCACAATGTTTTAACAGCACTCTTTATTTCCAAAAATCAGTCAACTGACTGATCGTTGGAAATCACCTACATTTCGATTTCTTCTAAATGACAGCAAGCCAGACGGAATAATTTCTAGGGGTGTTTAGTACAATCCAAGTAAGCTTTTTGATAATTTGGCAGGTTACTTTGGGATAAATGATCCTATATGCCTTTAAGCAAAGTGCGAGTAGATTTCTTCTAAATCTCTCTTAGAAATTGCATCTTTCTTCTTTTTTTTGCTCCACCAACATGAGAGGCCTTTTGCCTTGTGGCTAACAAATTCCCTTAAAAATATGTAAAAAAAATTGTCTAAAAAACATTTTATGGTAAAAACAAGAAGTATCAGTATGTCGTTCAATCAATTAAGCACATCCTTCAAACGTAAAGAAGATAAAAATCTCATTTCTATTTTAAGAAAAAAATGCGGAAACATTGATAAAGCCACTCACAGTGAGATGCACTCAGCCCCGTTTTTAGATCACATGGCAAGAATAGTAACATTTGACAGGGTGAAAAATTATTTTAATTCTCAGTTGAAAGATGACTGTTCAATGTTATGTGTGATAGTAAATTCAGTCTGACCACTCTGAAGAAATTAGAAGGGGAAATGTAGAATATCCTATTTCAACCCCTCCGGGATATGAATTGATTTTTTTTAACTTGCATGATTAACAAGCATATGTTTTATTTATAATTTTATGTACCTATTTTAATTTTTCTCCCTTGAGTTATTTCATGTCAAATCACCCCCCAAAATTTGAAAGTTTAAACCCCACCCCCTTTAAATTGACTCATACATGTATAGTGCATGGGGAAAGTCAACTATCAACTACACAACTAGGGCTGTTGATTTTCCGTATCATTTTCTTTTTCCATTTCCGGAAATCTTGAATTCTATTTCAGGAAATCCTGAGTTCCATTTCAGGAAATTCTAAATTCCATTTTAACCTTGAAACTGAGAAAGGAAATCGGTTTTCTGCTTTCCGTTTCCATTTTTCTACAGTTGATGTCAACTGAAAATGGCTGGACAACGTTTTCTGCCAAACAATTTTGGTAAAGAATTTTAGTAAACAAAACTGCCCAAGCCTGTACAAATTATGCTTTGAATTCAAAAAAATGTATGCAGAAAATATTTCATTACCCATGTTTTGCATCTCTTTGTACACATTACACGGTTTCTCCCAAAAGCCGAACTCCACTTCGACTGATAAATTCCATGAACCCTAACAATCCCCATCCAGTCAAACTCCAACACCAGGGTTTGTTGGAATCTGTTGGAGTGAATACTGATTATGTTTGTCATGTACATGGGGGTAGGCATACCACCAATAGTCAGAGTCTTACAATTTTTGTGTACAGTTTACCGAATGATGTTGCAAGAGTGATGAAGGTTCCTAATAAATCACTCTAAGGGTTAATTCCGGAAAATCAGCGGGCCGTAAATGCAACTTTGGAGTTGCGTCGTTACTTGATCAAGCCACTGATCTTTTTAAGACAATCAGCCTGCATTTATTACTAAATGTCTTTGAAGTCTTTAAAAATAGTCCGTAAATGTCTTGACTCATTGCCCAGCTGTTGTTAAGCGTCCACCCACGAGCCACTCAGCGTAAGATTAATGCCAAGGGATCAAAACGCAAGCCTTTGCCTTGGAAAGTCAGATGCTCTCCGTTTCACACGAAAACAGTTTGATCAAAAAGTTGACAGGGGATTTTGGGAGAGAGGAATACAGTCCAGAAACTCTCTGGATAATCTCACTGGATATAGAGACAGGGATCACATGAGGAGATGCTGTCCTGTTGACCTCAGATGCAGGTCAACTTCATTAAAAAAATTCTATGTCCACAAATATAGGTCACTTGAGAACAGACCCAATCAATCTACAGGAAACTGGCATCGTCAAGGTTATGGCTGTTCCAAAAATACCGAATATTCGATCATCAACGGAATCTTCAAATAGCTTTTTTAACTGTTTGAATTTTCGAAAGAAAAAACAACACGTAGGTACACATCTGTGATATTATTTTTATCTTAAATTTGCGTCTCTTCATTGTCGGAAGTAACTTTTTTCAATGTTTTCATCCTTTTAGCAGGTTAAAACCCTTGACAGTTGTAAAATACATACTGCACAACACTCCAGTGGCCCATAACATCGATCGCTGCGTGCAAATTTTATCTGACGCGCTTTGCATACAACTTAGTGGCAGCTGGCATGTGTAAACGAGATTGGCGAGTTTTGAATATTTGAATAATCGGTCAAACGCAGTTTTGAATAATCGAATACTATATTATTCCAAACTGGACAGCCCTTGTCAAGGTGAATAACAACCAATACAATTTCAGAGGCTTTGAGGGCATCGCCTACCTACAAGCCTGCTACCACCTATCCATCTTTCTAGAGACACTGAGATTATATTTTACAAGAAAACGTGCATTCACGGGCTACTTTAATAGCAAACACATAATTTTTCAGTGGCAGTTATGTATTTTCTTAAATTCTTCCCCCCGACAGAAAATCGTCCCTTCCATAAAAAAAGGCAGAGAAATGTTGGTTCAATTTGCACCAAAAAAATGGGGGGGGGGTTTGACTAAAAATCCTAAAATTTTCCTGTCGTGGATATGTGTTAGGAGGAAGTCAAATTTAAAATCAGCCAACACCAAGGAGTCATTTACACCATTTCCCCTCCAACCCTGTTGTATTTGTGTGCCCAGGAGAGTTTGTATCAGCATTTTGTAGCTGTGAAACCATTCACAAACAGCTTTTTTTACGACTTTCAAAAGCTCCAATGGCGAAGCATCACATACACGTGTTCGCGCGCTTACGGCACAAAGTAAGCACAACTTTTTTTTATTCTGACTGTGCAAAAAGCAGTTGGGTCTTCGTATTTGCCATCGGCGCACTACTGTTAAAAGCCAAAGGAATTGAAAAAGAATGTCCATAACTTGATGTACTGATTGAAAGGATGGCTAGGCTGAGTCTGAATAACTCGGCTACGGCTATCAATTAAACATGTTCCTATGGAATGGCACAAGCCACTTCTCATAGACACATGTGTTACCGCTAGCCGTAGGCGCGTAATTGGGACACAGACTTACATACCTTGTTGTATAGCCCATGAGGTGAACTGTACCATGGTACTAGTCACGTTGGCTAGCACCCCACAGACGGCTTGGACGATGGGAGGATCACTGATGTGGGCCTCCAAGGTCCTGAGAAGGACCTGTATGCCGCTCTCTCTGACTGGGGCCTGGGATTGAGGGATGAAGACAAAAAGGAGTGTTGAGGTCAGTGGATCATTTGTGAATTATGAGCAGTGAAGCCTAATTTTCCTGAAAGGTTACTTTAAAGATCATTTGAAGACGGTTTGTTAACTATATTGTTATGAACGTATCATAAACAAATTGCTAGATATTAAATGAATTATGAAGTGAAAAATCGTACATTGAAGGAAACACACCACACAAAAATTGATTTGACAAAAAACATATAAATATAGGCAATCAGAGGCTAATTTCATGCTATTGCTAAGCAGACATATTTGCTTAAACACAGAAGCCAAACTTGTAAGACAAACTGATCATGAACGGTACTCGGAGTTTCATGCTGAGCACATAACATTGGACGATATTTTATGCTTAGCAGCTCCACGGCACTTTACCTAGACTTTAACCATTAGTTATCACAGAAATTTGTCGATGAGAAATTTCATACACACAGAAATTACTTGTTGAGCAATAAAAGACAACAAGCCACTAAACTATCATGCAACGTAATTTTCTTGTAACTGGTTCTCAGCCAATTCACACTTAGTACATAAATTTCCTAAGCAATTTTTTTAAACAGCGTGGCGTGTCCAATCAAGGGCAAGTCAGATCCCGCTCAATCGTAAGCAGCTCATATCATTAACATTGTGTAGTGCTGTGATCCAACGGTTAGTGTTCCACTCACATGCAATGGTACGTGGGTTCGAACCCTTACGGGGAACATGGTGCTTGTTTTCTTGGGCAAGACACTTTACTACAATTCCCTCTAGAATGCACTGATCTCGAGCTGCTTCAAAAATGGGTCTCATGACTTGATGAACAGGGATAATAATTGCAAAGCGCTTTGAGATCGTTGGTATGAAGTCATTATTATATAACATAACTGCAAAACCCGGAAGTTACAGAATAAACAAGGCTGCGATCCTAGGTGAATCCCACATGCACATGCATGTATACACATGAACGCGGGATGGGACTACATGGGCCATGGGGGTAGTGCCTGAATACATTGTGGGCTTCGCGTGCATGCGATCAGATCGGGGATTTGCCGCGTGTGGACGACGTGGAGCTCGGTAGGCTGTGCTCCTTGGCCTGGGCCAGCAATGACACACTGTTACATCACATACACAGCCTTGCATTCACTGTTAGAAACATTGCTGAATCTCACCTTTTGTAACGGCGTAGGCCTGAACTTGGCCAGGGGCTCCAGCACCCGACAGCCGCACAGCTGGACCTCAGACGAGCCCACATGGACCGCCATGGTGCCCAGCACCGTGGCCGCGACCTTGAGGTCAATGCAGGTCGGCAGGTCAACCGGTCGCTGACTCAGCAGGGAGAGCAGGCTGACCCACAGGATGTTGTGCTCCACTGGGACCTGGGTTTGTAAGGAAAAGAGGTAAGGACTGGTGACAGAAAGGGATGTTGGAGTCGGCATGAAAACTTGTACGAAAGGAGGGGGGGGGTGGTTAAGAAACCATCTGATTCAGAAAGTGTTAAGTTGAGTACCCCTCTGAGTCCCCCGACCAATCGGGCAACAAGTGAAACTGATTTTTTTTAATGGGATGTTACACGGGAGAGATGGGTTATTCGGTGTCAAATCAACACATCTCCCGGTTGGCTCCACGGCCAATCTCACAAATTATCTTTCAATTTGATTAATTTGTTTGGTCATATGAAATTTCAAAACCCAAATCTGAACGTGTTAGGTTTTAGGTTTCAAAAAGTACATGTATGGTTGGCAACATTTTCCAAATTCAGTCTTGATTCTCAATGTGACTGACAAGAACTGGACAAATGACAAACCTTTAAAAAAATTGTTTTGAGATTGGTGGAAAGAAAGAACACGGAAAAAAATTCTTGCAGTTCTCAATGACCATTTATGGCAACATTTGGCAACCCAAGCCTTTTGAGAGGCACAGCTCAACAAAAGTGAATGGTTATTTCCTTTCCTGCAAAAAACCAGTGTCTTAAAATACACCCAGTCATCTAGGTCACCAGGGTAGTCCTGGTTTTGCATTAAATCACAAGATCCTGGCGGATAAGGTACAGTAAATCTCTCTCAAAATGGGAAAAGTTTGCAATCTGGTCAATGGGGATCTTTCAGGGGAAACAAAGGTCAGGTCCTATAAAAGAAAAAAACATCTGGTTCAAGGTCAAAAAAGGGTCGGCCCGCGATACTTTCAACATCACATTTAATTTCACCTCGGGCGGAAACAGGAGGCAGACATTGCATATTTGGGCAAATATTTCATCCTAGTTTCAGGGGGTGCCCCGGACAAGTAGCGAAGTAGAAACACGTGTAGGGTGGCAAGCTTTGGGAAATCCGGGACGACTAATGGACCCCATGGGAACAAGGGTCTGTAAACAGTCAAGGAATGGCCCTGGGTTTGCTTAAATTTAGAAGGATTCAAAATTATGATGCCTGCTTAATGTGCCTCTTGAGGACCCACTTTCAACTTTATGGTCGACCACGGTACACTTTAAATAAGAAACTGCATTTACTGCAGTCAATCATCTGTCCTTCAAATCCTTCTTTTGTTTGATCCAGCACAGACAGTCAAAAATTCATTCCTGTTCCCTGCCATGCCTTTTGCATGGGCTAGTCACCACCAGTCAGATCATATTTCATGTAGGCACTGTGACAGTCAAATTCCATCAACAGACAAAACCAGGTGACTGGTAGGCACAGCTGGCTTATCAATCTCCTACAGTCAAAGCATAGCTACATGTATATCGGGTTCAACAATCACAACCAGTCGATTCTGCTTTATGAAGGTAACGGTAGGGAGCACTCAACAGTTGAAAACAGCCACCTGATTTAGTTTGACTGCTGGGCCGGCCTTGTTGAAATTGCCAGCCAGAGAGGGAGGGATTAATGTACATGCGGAACCACCAAAAGAAAAGAGCAAATCGTTCTCATTCATAGAAATATCAAAATTGACGAACAGGTTGCCTGAAAAAAGAAGCCGTTTAGACCCTATATGCTTGAGGTTGACCATGATGCACTGAAGTATGATACGTCAGACAGGATTTGCGCTGCAATGCAATTTCAGTTTTAAAAATCTTGCACCACATACATGTCCTGTGAACTTTAGGCCTACATTGTATTGTACAAAGACAAAAATGTTGGGGCAGGACACAAAATTAAAGTTTGTGGGGCCAAAGTTCCACTGGCTGCTGAAGACTCTTGTGTGAAATAGGGAGCACAATGGACAACTTCAGAGGTAAGCAAAGGTTTAAAGATCTACACCACCTGCGTCAGACAAGCAATTCACTCAAAAACAAACAAAACCAAAAGTGTCCTCTTGGCCAAGACTGTGACTTTGAAGAAAAACATAATCACCAGAAGAAAGTGAAACAGCTTGGACAGTCCGACACTCTCCAGAGACAGGTTCATAACAGCCTGCTGGACCGGCCGTCCCATGGCAGAGTACACAGACCAGCTGGTTATCGGCAGGTGATCTCGCAGGAAGTGCACATTTACAAATACCTGGCAAGCGTTCAAGACTTTATGACACGATGGATGCATGACACTATGATTACTGGCAAGGAACCAGATAAAACAGCAAATTTCTCAGAACAAACTCCTCATGACAATAGTGCAGGAAAAGTGAACAATTTATAGTGTTTGCTTCTTCCGAACACAGGTGCTACCTGACCAATTTGAAATGGTGGAAATTTATTAGTGTTGCTGAAGAACCAATTGGGTAAACGCATCACAAGAAAATTTTCTCCTGATTTTTTTTAAGCAAATGGGGAGGGGTATTCAAAGTATACAGGAATGAACACCATCTGACACTAAGTGGCGTTATTCATGTTGCCTTCTGTTACCCCCGATTTTGAAAGATCTGCCAACAAGTTTGACGAATAGGGTGTCACAACCCCACATTCCCCCTCTACATGTAGCAATGCCCCTGCTGCCAACTTGTCAGTGTAGGCCGTTGCCTTTTGCTTGTTTTAAAAAAGCTTGGAATGTTCACCAAAAGACTGTGTTTGCAGTTTTAGGTTTTTAAACTTAAAGGAACAACAGCATAGTTTCACAGTGGTATGAAAACAAATGTAATATGTATCAGAACCGGGTACCTGAGCGCTGCTGTCAGGAACCGGTTTCAGATTATGGGATCGGGTACCCGTCACCAACTTTACAAATTACACTCCTCAGAAAAAGATAAAGAAAGTTTTAGAATGCCATTTGTGAGAATTTTTCAAAATGAAAACCAGGCTGTAAACGAAACAGATTTCACACATGTATGTGCATTTTCACATGCAACAGAAAATGCTCGCGAAAGTTGCAGTTTACACCGTAAAGCTATCCAGCCGTTCAGACAACTTCTGGGATTTGAATTTCGGGGTGGGGTTTCCTTTGTGGGTACCCGTGTTTTACTTCAACAGGGTACCAGGTTCCCGTACTACACATAAATGCACACCGCTAAAATGTAACCAACACTTGTCCAAAATGTTACCGGTAGATGGACCAGATGGTGGTGCATTTTTCATGATCGTTTTTTGAGGGAGTTTTCCCATGGGTTTGCAAGACATTTTCCGAAAGATTTCCATGACGTTTCCATAGGTTTTCCATACGTTTTCCCACAGGCTTTCCATAGCTCATGGATCTGCCCATTGGGTTCTTCACTTCACAAACTGAGTTAGCACTCTACTAATCTAATAGAGTCTATGGAGTCATATCATATCCACAGTGTGTAGATAACACTGCCCAGACGACACAGCCCACACACAGCAAGGCTGTACTTTTTTAAGGAACAGGAAATTCAATCAGCAATACATGAGCCAAGAATTCCCTGTGGGAGCAGACAGCCAGGGTCGCAGACCCGAACTTCAGGACCCCCTTGAAATTTTCCCAGAGAAAAATTGTCACTTAATTTGATAAATGAGCAATAAAAATCATCACTGAGGATGGATCATCACTAAGGATGTGGATCTGCAGGAGAACCTAGAATTCGGAATCGCTCCCGAATCTTGGCAGAAGAAGAAACGAGAGAGGCTTTCGATCCAAATGTCAAAAGTTGTCGATGTGACTCTGGATTTTTTTTGGCTCTCTTCCTCTTAGTCAGAGGAGCAGGGTATGTGTCATCGCCAAATGGCACGGCCATCATCTCGCTGTGCTGCCCAGTGCCCAATGTCTCTAGCCGTTCTTATCTCCTGGGCAGGCTGTGCTTGCATAAGGCCTAGGTTTGTGGCCTTTTGACCCAATGTCGTTGTTTTGCTTAGTTCTGTTCAGGTACAGAGCCCAATTTTGTGGCTTGCTGGGAATGTACATCATTTGCTTTTGCTGTTTTTTTCAGAAATGGATGGAATTGGGAGGTTGGAAATATATAGCAACTATAGTTACACTGACTTTTTTGAGGTTTTGGGTTCGAAAATACTATAAAAACCAAGAAAAACAATCATTTTCCTGTAGTCTGGTTCCCTGACTCCATTTAAGAAGAAACAGAGCAGTTTACATACATTGGGGAATTGTAAGGTCAGGGAACCAGTCTAGCTGGCTTGTACCCGTCCATAGGTGTGTAATCGATTGCAAACAAGTGCGATGGTCAACTGGGGCCAGTATTTGAAAAAAGCCAGTTTTTTCCAACGCTGATCGGCCGATCAGCGTTGGAAATTGATACAAAAATACCATTTTTCTTGAAAATGACAGTATACCAGGTGCCATGATTTTACAGGATGCTTTACACTGTCATTCACCAACAGTCCAGCAAGGTATTTCAAAATGATTTGGTAGTTTTATTTTTTGATGTTTGCAAATGTTGTATTTTCCCTTTAATCATAAGCAAAGAATATTTATGCAATTTAGCAAACTACATGTAATTTTGTAAGCTGGGAATTTTGGCTTATGGGTAACATGTATGTAACTAAGGATTCTGTGCTCAAAGGTTTTATGCACAACTGTAATGGTTGCGCTGTTAATACAGAATGGTGAGGCCAAAATATAAATAGTTCTTCTGCTTCTGAATACATGCTATCAAAAATTGGGCTCGGTAGGTCGGAAAATCTGTTGATTTTGCCAATTTTTGTTTGTGCTGATTGAATAGATTATTCAATCATATGCGTATCTTGAGTCTGATTGGGTCACAAACTTCCATGACTTTTGTCATTTTTATAAATTTCCACGACTTTTCAAGGCCTGGAAATTGAAAATAAAATTCCAAGACTTTTCCAGGTTTTTCCCGGGCCATGGGAAACCTGATTAAAGGATGCTTTGTGACCACTTTCAACAGCTGCAGTGGGAGAGACACACGCCCAATTGACACAAAACATTATAGTAACAAAAACGAATCCAAACTACCCTAATCCAACCAGACCCGACAAAAATTCAAGCAAAAACCATCCCAAACCGACCTGAAAAACACCAAATATCTGGCCTGGGCAACTGTATCCGCTTTTTTTGCCTGAACTTACCCACATCGTGAAAAAATTGGCTTTTTTTCAGTTTCTTACAGTAAAGAATCATTTAATATTAGGTTTTGCCCTTTACCGACGCAAATTTCATCTTATGAATAGTAAAGACTCATATCGTACGGTATGGTGAAGACAAATATTACCTACTGGTGGGCCTACACGTTAAAGACTATGCGTGATAGACCGCAAACCACATGCACATTGGCGCAGTGGGTTGACACTGGTCGTTCCAGGTACAGCATGCCACAATAATACTTTATTATTTTGGGTTTTCCCCCAACATGGCTTAACCGAACCGACCCGAACTGAAAGCCACAATTGCAAAACCGAACCGACCCGACCTGACTGAAATGTTACGGACTGACATCTGCATGACAGCTGTACAGATGTGTGGCTACTATGGCTTTTTTTGTGGGGTGCTGTGGTCCAATGGTTACGGAGTTCGACTCGTGTGCCGTGGTACCGGTACGTGGGTTCGAATCCTGATGGGGAACATGGTGCTTGTGCTCTTGAGCAAGGCACTTTACCATTATTGCTTCATTCTTCGGATGGGACGTAAAGCCGTAGGTCCCGTGTGTTGTGTAATGCATGTTTAAGAACCCAGTAACACTTATCGCTAAGAGAAGGGGTTTGCCCTGGCGTTTCTGGCAGTGGCTGCAATATGCGCCGCAGCACCTTGTAAACCCTTATAAAGGTGCTACACATTGGGTCTCATATTTCTCATAAACTTCATTTACCCGTCTTTCAAAATAGACTTTAAAAAGATATAAAACTTAGATATAAAAAAAATTCCCAGCGCCTTGAGTACCTAATTGTTGGTAGATACGTGCGCTATATAAGACTCCAGTATTATTATCATTTTTGCACATTCTAGCATGCGTACGCGGTGCATTCAATCCACTGGGCTCTCGAAAGTGGTCAAACAGCGCCCTCTCTTGTTCGCGCACGGAGCCGGTAAGGAAGCATGTGTACTGAACTGTGAGACCTTTTCAAATATATCAGTTATACTCACCGGTGAGAACCTAAGAAGATCCAGCAAGACCTTGATGACCGCCGTGGGACAGTGTCGCTCCCTTGCCTTCTCACTGCTCCCGTCCTCGTTGTCATTGTGGCTGAGGCGCTCTTCGTGATCCTGCTCCTCGTTCAGCTCGGCGATGAACTTTCTCAGGATCTTCTCGTCGTTCTCGCTGACTTCCTGAATTGGGACAACAAACTCCCAATCAAACTGGTCTTGACGACAAGATTGCGATCAGCAAAGCGGACAATCGAGGGGTTCAGTTACATGTATGTGTGACTTGTGATTTGCACAATGGTCCAACTCCAAAATTGCAGCTACGGCAATTAAAGCTATAGTCCATCATTTGCAGCCATCCGAAAAGTAACTGGCGTAATTACTGTTGAAAGATAGTAAGGGAACTAAACTCCCTGTGAAATTATTCTTTCTGGGAAGCTGTCATTTTGAAGTAATCAACGAAAGAAGGCATTTCCAACGGTGATTCTTAAGAAGCACCGTAGGAAAATTTAAATTAGTAGTTCGTTTTGTTATTCAGCGCAGCGCGCACAAGTATTGGAACGACGCACACGCGCACGCGGTTGTTATAATTCGTCGGATCAGTGCGCGACGCCGCGTATAGCTGCAATTCAAAACAATTCAAAACATGATTCAGTAACTTTTGATTTGAAATTGAGATCTTAGAATGCTGCTTTTCTCGGAATGTACAGCTGAAGCTTAGCTGAAACTTCATCAGGTTAGTTGCTCAGTATCCTTCATTAGATTTTGAACACTTTTGTTGCTTCAAACGAACAAAATGCACTAATTACAAATGATGGACTATAGCTTTAACCACCTTTAGATTTTTTGTAGAAAGCAGGCCTGCCGGTGATTGAGTTTGCTCAAAGGAAAAAAATAAGTCTTAGATGTTTGGAATCCATCTTTTACATTTTCAAAGAGTAATAAGATAACAATTATCAAATTTTGCATTTTATGAACTTTTTGAAAATTTACTAAATTCTCACTACCCTTTTGCGTGATGATTTAGTTTTTCCTAAAAGAGGGTCTTCAAATGCTGATTACAATTACAATCAACATAAAAATATAGTATTTAAGTTACAATGTGATAAATAGTAATAGTTGTGAATTTATACCTTGACTGCTTGTGTGGGGGCTGGACAAATATAAGTTGCAATTAAAATAGTTAAATAGTGTAGGAAAGAGCCAACAGCTGGCCTAGATAAGGGTAATTATTGTGCAAGGCAAAGTCGGTTTGAAGATAATTGGGTTGTGCATTTCTGCACACAATTTCATATCGAAGAAAGTTTTTATGACAACTCCCGCCTAAAACCTATCATTCTGCCTATAGATCCCTCTGTACACTGTGATATGGAAGAGAGAAAATCATTATTTGGTGCTAAAGCAGTTGTGCTTTAGACTGCCCTCCAAGAAAATGTTTGGACCTCGTGATCTTTTTTGTACCTGCACTGCCTTGAAGATTTGGTCCACCACACTTTGGTCTAGAATGTCTTCCAGAATAGAAAACAGCTGTCTGGTCAGATAGGATGCAGCCAGGCTGGCGATCTGCCAAAAGAGACAAAAAGATGAAAAGAAGATCAATCATTATCACGATCGTGAGAAATCACCTAATTAACCCTAACCCTCCTCAATCCTCCAGGCGGTTTTGGAAGATTTTTTAGGGTTGAGGCTGAATGGCAAAAAAAGTGTCAGTTCATTTTGGAGGATGCATTGTGTCGAGTTCGTAGGCTGTACCCTGTATTGTTTATGTTCAGCCATACATAATTGAGCCCTGCATTATGCCCGATATCATCCGCACTGCTTCTGAATGTCATCGGCACTGCCTCAACCCATTAACAGTGATTGTTGGAGGATTTTGAAGGATTGAGGCAATGGAGGATGGAGGCTGAATCCAATACTGGAGGATTTTGCAGGATTGAGGATGGTTCCTAGCCAGTGTTGTAGTACTCGTACTCGAGTACTACTCGAGTACTTTTACTCGAAATGACGGTACTCGTACTCGGGCAGCAAAGTACTCGTACATGTACTTGTCATGTCGAAATTGTACTCGATCTTTGAAGTACTCGTACTCGAATAGCAGTACTCGGAGGAGGGGGGAAATGTTATAACTTCACTTACTATGGCCTTATTTTGTAGATACTTTCAGTTTGAAATTGATTGGCTTGTGGAGAAATCAAGATTTCCTGATTTTCCTCTGTGCAAGTCCGGGCAAACACATTTAACAGCTAGCCGTGAGTGGGTCTGTATATCGGTCTGACTGGGTTTGGGCCAATTACGCACAGTGAACCATTTGCCGTATGGCCGTATTCAGAAATGCAAGTACTCGTACTCGTACACGCAAACACTATACTCGTACTCGGAAGTACAAGTACTCGTACTCGGAGACCCGTTCTTGTACTCGGAGGTACAAGTACTCGTACTCGTGCTTGGCAACCTAAGTACTTGGCAGTACTCGGTACTCAGAAAAAAGTACTCGACTACAACACTGTTCCTAGCCAAAAAAGGCCAAGGGGTTAGAGGTAATGATAATCTGGGTCAGCCTTATGCAATAAGGCCCTGGGGGAGGGGGGGGGTGTATTCCATTCTGCTTCTTCAACGGTGCAATCTTACTTTGACTATGGTGTAATCAATAATCATGTTTAAAAGCTGGAGCTGATGCAAGTCAACAACTTTTGTTCCAAAAGTGTTGAATCATACCGTACCTATCAAACCCAAAGATCTTTCTTTGGCCAATCTTGAACATTTTACATGCACCCGACGTCCGATACTATTTACAAACTGGCCAAAAACGGAAGACTGTACTAAAAAAAAAAAAAATCAAGCATGTCTCTCTCACATATTTTTTCTTTCAAATAAAGCAATGTTGGTGGTGCCTGACACACATTAGTGTCAACTTTCGACTTGTTCCTGCCCGTCGCATCCTGACAAACAGGTCCCCTGTGTGGCAACGGCTGAATCATTCCCCAACATTGAAGGAATCGGCGCCGAGTAGAGTTTATCGGTTTTCTACATATGTGCGCCTATTGTGCATGTCAAGAAATTTAAGGAGGAAGCTCCAGACAATGCTCCAGACAGGATAAAGCTGTGATACTTCGTTAACGTCTCAGATGTGAGACTTTGTGCAACAATTGTAAACTTTTTGATCCTTTAACCCTAACTCCCCGGCCTAATTTACCAGGAACCATACCCATTCTATCAAATTCCAACACCCACATGTGAAATTGTACACACACACCGTTGGACTTAGTTTATGGAGGTATGCCAACCCCAGTGTAAAAGACCATCAGTTTAGGGGAACTGTACCTACATGTATCCCAACAGATTTAAACAAAACCTGCTGTTGAACTTTGATGGGTTGAGTTCGGTTTAGGGTTAACCCTTTAGGATCCCAGAGCGTTGAAAATCCACTAGGCAGTTTTGGAGGATTTTGTAGGATTGAGGATAATATAGCCAATCCACTATTACTTTACTTGGGGCTTGATGCCCCTTAAAACTTGGAAGGTACAAAGAGTGTGTCATTGGGTTCCTGCACAGTGGAGGATTTTGTAGGATTGAGGAAGGTACAGCCAAGCCACTGTTACTTTAACCCTTACCCTACTTGACCCTCCAACGCATGCCAATTGTGCCTCAAGAAAATCTCCTATGTTTTTTGCATGGCCCTCCAATATCTGCCATGTCATTTCAAGGGTAACTGGACAGGCACTCCAATACATGCCACAGAGAACAATGAGAGTCCTCTGATAACAAAGTGAGTGCCCCCAGCTGGTCAGTATCAGGCACCCTCCAGGGCCTCCAACTCCTGCCAATTGGAGCCTTCACTGCTACATCAAAGTATCCTCCAATAAACTGCAGCTGGAGGGCATTGGCATAACCAACTGACATGCAGTAAACTACCCTCAGAGAGTAAGGGTTAATTGAGGCTTGATGCCCCTTGGAACTTGGTAGGCATAAAGAGTATGCCATGGGGTTCCTGCACAGTGGATGATTCTGTAGGATTGAGGAAGGTAGAGGTCAGCCACTGTTACTTTACATGGGGCTTGATGCCCTTTGAAACTTGGTAGGTACAAAGAGTCTGCCATTAGGTTCCTGCACAGTGGAGGATTTTGTTGGATTCAGGAAGGTACAGCCCAGCCACTGTTGCTTTACATGAGGCTTGATGCCCCCTTATAATTGCACAAAGAAGGTTCCTGCAACATTTGGGATTATGAAGGATTTAGGGGTTTCTCGCAAAATGAGTAGGAAGTTAGAATAAAAGTTAAAAGGTTAGGGTAAACAGACGATCGATACAGGATTATCAACATATTTTTTTTTTCACAAATGTGAAACACTGCATATTTACAAAGCTTGGGATAAGGTGCACTTTAATCTGGAGATAACCAAAAGTTAGTACTTCACTTTTCTTTTACTAGCCTTAAAGGGAAAATACAACATTTGCAAACATCAAAAAATAAAACTACCAAATCATTTTGAAATACCTTGCTGGACTGTTAGTGAATGACAGTGTAAAGCAAAATCATGGCACCTGGTATACTGTCATTTTCAAGAAAAGTGGTATTTTTGTATCAATTTCCAACGCTGATCGGCCGATCAGCGTTGGAAAAAAACTGGCTTTTTTCAAATACTGGCCCCAGTTGACCATCGCACTTGTTTGCAATCGATTACACACCTATGAACGGATACAAGCCAGCTAGACTGGTTCCCTGACCTTACAATTCCCCAATGTATGTAAACTGCTGTTTCTTCTTATATGGAGTCAGGGAACCAGACTACAGGAAAATGATTGTTTTTCTTGGTTTTTATAGCATTTTCGAACCCAAAACCTCAAAAAAGTCAGTGTAACTATATTTGCTATATATTTCCAACCCCCCAATTCCATCCATTTCTGAAAATTACAGCAAAAGCAAATGATGTATATTCTCTTCAACAATCTTTCCAAATATTATCATTTTGTGACAAAGGCGTTTTAGAGCCCAAAAAGGTGATTCTCGACAACAGTGTCCCTTTAACTAACACGTTTGTGTACGAGAAAGCACTGTGAAAATGACTAATTTCAGCAAGTACATAGTAGAATGACAAAATTGAGTAAATATCCAATCCATTAGAAAATGAAACAGAATATATTTTTTTTTCTCAAGGGAGATTTCTCCGAGGAGCTTATTGCTTCCCGGTACTGCGGTGAGCTCACTTCCTGCAGCTTGTAATAATGTGCTGTACCCGGTACCTGTACGTCCTTGATTTGTTGGGGACCTCAAAACGCATAACCGCAGAGTTGAAAGTAGTTGTATAAACATGGTAAACATTCAATGCTCTACACTGACTCTATTTTTTGTTATGTACTATTTCCAATAATGGTTTTAAAAACTCTAGCCCATTTATGAAATTGTGTATACCCGTGTGTAATGTATCCAGTTTCAATCACTACCATGCCTACTTCAGAAAAACAAGTGAGTGTTATTTTTTTTTGGGGGGGGGTAATTTTTGTTTTTTATAAAGAAGTTTTTGACTTCATTTAAGAGGATTCATTGCCACGGATTCACATGAAAAGTTTATTTAGAAAATGGAACAGAAACTTCTCGGAGCATCATATGGTAAGGAGCAATGACCGCAAAACAAAGTTACTACACACAAAGGAGCTTTAAATTAATCGGGAAGTTAAACTTGACATAATATTTTGTTTCTTAAATAAATAAACAGTCAAGAACTTGTTTTGTTTAATGTTGTGTAACTTAAACACTATCATAAGCGGAGTATATGGGAAAGTCTTCACAATTTTGACAATAAATGGGACAAAACAATTTTGCTTTCTACGGGTGATGCCAGGTCAAAGTCTTGCTCATCAATCGATGAATGACCAAAAATAATCCCTTTCCTTGTATTCCCATAAATGATGAGGTAACTGATGGTCGCTTGTCTGTGCTCTGCACAGGTCGACAAACCCTAATCAAGGACAGGAAAGGGTAAGGGTCACGAGAGAGGTCAACTATTTTTAGAAATTAAGTAGTGTTTTTCGGAAAGACGGATGGATTGATAATGCGGGAAGGAAGCAATTCCACTCACATTTTTTTAAAGTTCAAAGTACTTATAGATTCATGTGGAATGTGGTAATGGTATATGCACCGTCCGTGAGAATTTGTTCAACATCAGCTTGTAGGGCCCCATAAAAAATGTTGTGTTTCCAGTAACCTGACCGACCGGAAAAAAATGGCCGTACGTAGGTTCAGGGATTATTTTTTTTTTTTTTTGCTATTTTTTTTTTCTTTTTGCATGAAAGTAAAATGAATAAATTTATTTAATTTTTTTTGTTAAAATTTCATGAAATTGTATGAATTAGTCCCAATTGCCATGAACAAAACACTTGCGTTACGAAAGTCATAAGATTGTCCCCGTTTTTTTATCGGCAACAAAAACCAGGTCTTTTTTGTCTTCACAAATACGCTTCAGGACAACTTTTTTCACCAAAAAAGCTTGTCATAACATTTCCGTTGTCTGTATTTGCTTGTTTTTGCTTACCCTCCACGCTTACAATCAATATTTTCAGAAGGAAACCTCTTATGTTTTTCCCCTATGCGATCAGCACTGCGCTGGTATGGTGAAAGCATGTGTGTTTGCATGGCAGCCATACATGTTACACTGGTTCCTGCTGTGCACACTACAATGGCCAAAGTTAAGGATGGGAACCAGTGCATAGCCGACATTGTTGTACTCAAAGCAGATAATATTAAAGTTCCAAAGTGCCATGGTCCCTCGACTAGATTTGGTTCATCTCGTTGATGAATCTCGCCAAATACTGCCGCAGCAACTGTACTGTACCTGCTCGTCAGGAATTAGAACCAGATTCAATTCGGGCGATTCACAATGCAGTGCGCCACCAAGAGTTTGCCACGGAGAGTTCATTTTTCCCAGTGAATTGTGGAGATGGTCAACAAATTTGCAGTGCAAGACATGAAATTCTGTTTGCGCTTTTCTTGTGTTTTTAATCAATATGGTGTTTTTTGTAAGGCGGCTGAACGCTATGCCCAAATTTATAACACATTAGCTCAAGTTGTCTACTGACACTCATTCACATGGGCCACGTTTTGTCAACCCTGAACTTGAAAAATGGACTCTCCATGGCAAACTCTTGGTGGCTCACTGCATTGTGAATCACCCGAATTGCAGAGTAAGATAACAAATACATTCTTGAACCAAGGCTTTCCGAACCCCTCCCTGATCAAAAGCTTGCAGAAACATTCTCCCCACTAGATTCTTACCTCATCAGGCCTGCTGAGATGCTGCAGCATTTCCTTAGTCAAGGCCGACTCCGACACCACGCACCACCCGTCCAGGTTGAGGGAGTCCGGCCTGGAGGAACTAACTGAGGATGACTCGCCGTCATTATTGTATGGAACTCGCGTCGTATCCTGCGTCCCTCCACCATCCTCAAGCAACAATGCCTGCTCTGCTGTGGACATGGTCAGCACCATTGGTGCACCAGTCTGACAAGTTGCTACAAAACATGGGAATGAAAACAATTTTTAATTATCAATTTTTTTATACCTGTTTTGCCTTAAACAAATACCCCCTAGTAGTTATTATTATTATTATTAATCATTTCTGGTAATGAAACCAAACACTCCTCAAAAGCGCCCTAGGGCACTGTAGATCGCAAGCCTGAAAAAAACCTGTGGAGAGAAGACAATGAGAAGAAATTACAGTTTTAGAGGTGGGAGGAAAAGCCCAGAAGAATATTCTGGGGAAAACCAACGGAATCAGGTAGGGACTGAAAACCCAATCCACATATTGGCCCAGGCAGGATTCGAACCCGGGTCACAGCGGTGGAAGGCGACGAAAGTACCGCTACGCCAACCTGACCACCCAGGACTACCCTGCTAAATCCAACAGAGTCCAACCGGAGTTTCCTGCTCCAGCCACTGTGCCTTATTTTCAGTTGTCTGCTGAATCCAACGGAGTCCAACTTGGCGTTATAATACGGTTCAGTTGCCTGCTGAATCCAACATTTTGTATCAGGAATGTACACAAGGGGTTAACTGCTCAATCCAACAGGCTCCATCGGGTATATGACATAGTTGGATCCTGTTGGATTCAGCAGGGTTCTAGGGATAAGCACTATTACTCCTTTCTGACCAGTACTTTGTGAGGAAAACATCTTGCCACTGTTGACTGGCTGGTTCAAATCTGACAAACACAGATCAAAGTGGGCTCTGCCATTTTGGGCAGGAAATTGGTGACATACAAGAAAAGTAAACAGTACCAGTATGTTATCAGCATTAAAAAAAAAACCTCAGGAAATCCTGTACATGCAGAATGATTAATGACCCTGAATACAGCAACAAGAACCGTGATTAACAACTTACAGCATGGTCATTGCTAAATTTCAAGAAGTTCAACTTCTAAATTCCCAAAACAAAAAAAAAGTCACAGATAGCAGCTTTCTATGCTACACTGAATCAACTGAACAGAGAGCAAAAAATGTACATGTACATTTACGTGATCAAAACAGAGGTGGGAAAAAGCCTTAGCTAGGCTTCCCGAAAAAAGTGCAAGACAAGACAACTCACGCCTTCTGGTTCTCCTCTGAAAAACATTCCTCACAAAAGATCGAATCCGCCTAAAAAAGGAGACGAACTGGAAAGCTCCCCGGCATGACGACATGTTGGAAGCTTGAGTCACAATGCAACAAACTGAGACAGTTCAGTTTGATCAGGTCTTTTCATATGAATTCTCCATCGTGAGAGTGAAACAGAAACCGTGCAGTACCTGGCATGATAACTTTTCACGTATGCTGACGTGAGTGACGTACACTGTCAAATGATTGATGACTTTCAAGTTGAAGATTCCAAATGAACAATGAAGTTTCACATTACGTCAGGTTGCTTCCGAGTGATGGATGAGACAGAAATCAAACCTGCTGAGCAACAGCAGAAGCCCCACGCCATCTTACGTATTTTCATTTTTACTTTCAACCACATTAAAAAATAAGAGAACAAAACGAAAAGTTTCATTCAAACCTGTTTAACAATGATAAAGTGAATCAACGACCTTATGATCAGACAATCATTGAATTCTTTTGCTGAAACTTCTGTCCAATCATCGTTTGCTACTTTTGGAAATTCTTGTGAAGTGAAAATCTATAGAAATGATAAATTAACCCTAACTCCCTACTTAGTTTTACTAAGAAGGGGACCGTGTCCGTCAAAATCCACCACGCACTCTGCTTCACATAATGCTTCAGGACCCGATCAGTTGAAATCCACCACTGGCATGACTGGTGCTGGTGGAATTTGATGGACTTGGTACACATGGCTTACATTGTATCTGCCAAGATCACCCAAAGTGGGGGATGGAGTTTGATGAAGGTTGTTTGTGAATTGTTTTACGTGCCGTTTTGGTGATGCCTTATGCTTTTCTAGTAAAATTTAATATTCCATCAAAATAATTCAAAATAAACTTACATTTATTAATTAAATTCTAGGAACTTAGCCTTTTTTTGTCATTAAGTGCTCCAAATTCGGAGCGAATGAGTTGCAGGTACATGTACCACAGAGGGCATTCGGGGTTTTTTTTGTTTTTTGTTTTTATTTAATAACATTAATAAATACACAAAAGGTTTTCTCATGCCAGCCCTCATAACGTCTAGAGAGTATTTTTCTTAGTTTCTGCTCATTTTTTTTTTAAACAACAAACAAAGAATAACACTCCGCTCACTTACTTTCATCGATTAACTGCATTTCATACAATATTAGCTCCAAAGTACAATTTATGACAGCTCCTTGCCAGCCACAAAATTACAATATATTGTCCGATGGAAACATCTGATTCGCTAGAACAAACACCTCAAGATTTCTATCGCAACGAACCATCCAACATCCAGTTATGGTACAATCCGGTCACAGTAAATATAGTATAATCCAAGTTTTTGTGGCTGTTTGGCAGCTAGTTTTCAAAGCCTGGGTTATACTGTGGAAAACACAACGTTCCTCTCGGAAGCACTGCAGCAACTGGAATTGGACCGATGTTGACGTGGGTGAACAGGGCCTTGCCTGGCCAGTACGTGCAGGCGGTGATGACTAACGGCTCTTGTGAGTCTCCGTCATTCCTTGACGACAAGGATACAGCCATGGGTCCCAACTTTAAAGGGGCTCCGGCTAGTATTGTAAGGAGGTGCTTGCCATGTATCGTAGTGTTCAGTTTTAGATTATATTTGAAAGTTCCATATTGCAATCACACGCACTTTGGCTTGTTATTGATTTATTTTTTAATCCAGTAATACCAACGACACACTCATAATGCATCTAAATTGGAAAAAGCTGCATATATACAGTATGTGTACACAATTAACCGAAAATGAATAGGAAACACAAAGCATTTGTTTGTTTGAATAGAACTAAATCTTATACAGTATTAAAAAAATATTGGAGGCGTTTGGTACAATGTACATGTACATTAATGAACAGTTTGCACACATGGACAGATTTTTAGGTGTTTTTTTACCCTGTTTTCACATTCAGTTTTGATCAAATTAGAGTCAAGGGTGTTTTTTATCATTCCAAAATGACTTTTATTCAACCTAAAAAGACTTCTCTATTATAAAGTTAATTCTAATAACATCATTTTTTTGTAATTTGAACAGTTTCATGCGGTAGGACTAGAAAATGCGATTTTCTTGCGCGTTGTACAGTTGGTGCCATGCGCATCAATGCAGTTTTGCGTGTTCACTGTTCATCGTGGTGATCATCTATCTTTTCATGTTGCATTTTGTCGTCTTCATCTTCGCTTTGCCCAAAAACTTTTCCCTAAAAAAACAAACCCTGCCTTCTATAGTATCTACAACATACACATAGACCTACATGTTGTTGGTTTCGGTATTGGTCAAAAGTGCATGCATGCGGGCGAACTTTTGACCAATACTGAATGACAGGCAACAGCCATACAGAAAGTGAAATTTCATCAAGTTCTAAATACTTCCGTTCATAAATCACAAGTTTAATTATCTTCCCATTACAAAGTTAAAGAAAAATTTATTTTGGCGCGATTTTCCGATTTTATTTCGAAGTGCACAGTGAACCCTTTGAAAATGTCCTCCAAAAATAGAAAATAATTTACTGACAAACTTTTATTTGGGTACATCATCATGTATGTAAGTAGAGAAAATATTGGTTTATTAGAATTTATCAACTTTACAGAAATTATTAATGTTAATTTGGAATTTTCCGAGATTTATTCAAGTGCGCCACGTTGAGGAAGCTACATGTAGTGCCCAATTTTCGGACACCACCATTGTCGAATTTCATATTAAATATCATGAAAACGAAACTGTTCACGATCACAGAGGTTAAATAGCAAGCATTTGTACCAATATTTTACTGAATGCGGAAAGATTTCCATATACGAAGTTCACTCAACACCCTGTGTACAAACCCTATGAGAGTGGACTGAAAAATTCTAAGTGTTTTCTAAGAAAATGCTTGTATTTTCTCACTGCTCAAATTGACTTTGATGACATGAAATTGCTATCTGGGGGCTTGTTAGTCAATACAAAGGAAAATTAGTGAACTTCGTATATGGAAATCTTTCCCTGAATGCATTTGAAGTTTGTCAACAAAGTAGTTTGGAAACACTGATGAGGAAAGTCGGGTAAATGTCGAAGTGCGCCACATTAGGGAACACCACTATATCATGTTTTCCCCTAGTTTAACTTTTAACTATTCTAACAAAATGATGCCGTGCAATTGTTATGAATGATTCATTGCGAAAAATGTATAAATTGCGCACGTAAATCGTATTTCCCACGCAATCTTGCGCATGTTAAGAATGAGCACTCATTCTTCAGATTGTGTGCTCATTCTTAAGAATGCGCGCTCATTCTTAAGAATGCGCGCTCATTCTTAAGATTGCGCAAATTACTAGAAATTGCACAACAGACATAACAGCCCCTCACACTCTCTCATACTATTACTAGCCCCATAAATGTGGCCAATTTACTGGACTACCTCCGTAAATAAAGGCCACACTTCCATGCATGTACAAAAACATGTCGAACTTTGTAAAATTTTGATTTTCACATTTAGGCTTAGTTTGTAGTTTATTTTTGCTTTAGAAGCATACTCGCCCTCTTTATAGGCTAATCAGAAAGTGCTGCTTTTTTCAGATGTCTAATTTTCGTGAAATTTCATGTTGAAATATTGATAGTACGCAAACGTGTGCAAACGAATCTGGAAATTTCACGAAAAATAAACATCTGAAAAAAAGGCAGCACTTTCTGATTAGCCTATAAATTATAAAGAGGGTGAGTATGCTTCTAAAGCGAAAAATAAACTACAAACTAAGCCTTAATGTGAAAATCAAAATTTGACAAAGTTCGACATGTTTTTGTACATGGTGGAAGTGTGACCTTTATTTACGGAGGTAGTCCAGTAAATTGGCCACATGATTTATGGGGCTAACCCAGGCTCCGGCTCAGCCTCACTGCCCTCAGGCTCATTCCACAACAATTTTCCATACTCACCATGCTCACTGTGAGCGGCGCGGATGAGTTCTTGACAGCATCAGCACCTTGAAATAATTCGCAAACAGTTGAGCATGATAAAGAGCAGAAAATGAATTTACAAATATTTCATGAACTTTAAAGCAACAATGGTGTTTCGCGTGAATGATTCACACGTTAAGTCACGGGGCTCAACTTCATTGAGTAATTTTTGTGATTGTCAATAATAATGGACCAGTCAGGTATCCTTCCTGGTAAGCAGCTGCAACACCTGTGAATAATGTGATAAATAATGAAACGACGTCTGGCATGGGACGCAGCAGTACACCAAGCTATGCGAATTACCCCCTCTAACGGCGGAAAGCTGGATGCAGGTGATGTATTTTTTTTTCATAGCCGTAAAAATATTTCTGTTGCAAAAACTTTGGCGATTTATTTTTAATGTTCAAGCTTTATGTCATGCTTCCGGCCTTCAATGAGGCCAGCTGAGCACGTTTTCCTGATCCTGTACATGCTCAACGAAAAAAAATAATACTCCCCAGTCCTACCGAAATATTATAGTCGTGTTCCCTAACGTGGCGCACTTCGAAGCTTACCCAACTTTCCTCGTGTAGTGTTGCCAAACCTCTTTGTTGACAAACCTCAAATTCATGCAGTAAAATAATGTTACTTTTACCTTATTAATGCTTGCTATTTAACCTCCGTGAACAATTTCGGTTTCATAAAATTTAAGCCGAAATTTAAAAACGGTGGCGTCCGGAAATTGGGCACAAATTGGCGGAGTGTTCCCTAACGTGGCGCACTTAAATAAATCTCGGAAAAATTCCAAATTGACATTTAAGAATTTCTGTAAACTTGATCAATTCTGATAAATCATTATTATTTCTACTTACATACCCCGCCAGATGTTTGTCAGAAAATTTTTTTTCTTATTTTTCGGGGCATTTTCAAAGGTTTCACTTTGCACTTGAAAATGAAATCGGAAAATCACGCCAAAATAAATTTTTCTTTTAACTTTGTAGCGGGTAAATAAAATTGCAATTTATGAACGGGAGTGTTTAGAACTTGATGAAATTTCACTTTCTGTAAAATTTCAGTTAAAACTTTTGCTCTAGCTAGGCGCTACAGGCGAAAAATCAAAGTGCGCCACGTTAGGGGCCGCGCCACGTTAGGGTACATCAACAATATAAATGAGTCAGTTTCAAGGGCGGATCCAGAACACAATTTTAGGGGGGGGCCAAAAAAAAAAATTGGTCCCCCCAAAAAGTGGGTCCAAAAAATTACGGCGTGGGGTTCGGGGCCCGCTTAAGGGCCCCGAAAATTTTTTTGGATTCTAGATGCTCTGTGGTGCGATCTGAGGCAATTTCTTACCACTTTAACCAATGTTTTTTTGAGGAAAAGATGGTGGTGTACTCATTGCCTGCCTTTATTGCGATGTTACAAAAACAAAATTGGTTTCGTTTTGGGGGGGGGGGGGGGCCCCCTTTGCCCTCCCCCCCCCCCTGGATCCGCCCTTGGTCAGTTTGTAGGCAATAATGTTCCGCACGTTTTTTGAGCATAGTTTTGCAGAATTGCCACGAAAATTTGTCGTAATTTATAACAAGATTAGGCCTAATAAATTATATCTTTCCGCGCACGTGGCAAACTGATAATGCGATCTAGATCAAATTTTCGGGGCCGGGATTTGAACGCTAGGGTGGGGGGGCGATCTTTCCCTTTTTTCGCGGCTTTTGATTATAATACTCCACAAATCCATGTTTCAACACTTCGGCATCTAATTAAATATCGTTTTCACTCCTTTTAACTATGAGCTTTTTTGGCTTAGGGCCTAGGCCGTAACTAAATGGTACTGGGGGCAGTGGCGGTTCAACGGGAGGGGGGGGGGGGGGGCTAGGGGGGCTTTAGTCCCCCCAAAATTTTGTCTAGCCCCCCCCCCCGAAAAAAATTCCATGAAAAGAAAATGCACTAGCAAAATGAAAGAATGTGACGTACATGGGAAAGGTCTTCCCCTTGAGTAATAGTCGTGAGAAGGGTGCATTGCACACTTTTAGTTAACAAGGTGTGCCTGATATAGTGTGACCTTATATAGTTATTTATAGGCACCGTAAGAACATTTGCAATTAACCGGAAAAGTACCTACCGATTGAACGAGCCCCCCCCCCCCCTCCCCCAATATTGGCTCTAGAACCGCGCCTGACTGGGGTTGACCTTATATAGTTATTTATAGGCACCGTAAGAACATTTTCATTTAAGGCCAAAAAAAAAAAAGTCGGTGTCTGGTCAGCGCGCGCGTCGATTTTAATCATGCGCGTCAATCTTTTTTTTTCTAAAATGTTCCGCGGTAGCTCCAACAGCGTCCTCTATTGCCGCACCTCCTCATTTATTTTATTTACCAAAGAGCACCAAGGAATGGGAAATTGCACCAAGGCAAAGGATCGAGAGCACCAAGGCAAATTATGGAGGACAACAATGTACATGTACATGAGGACACCAAAAAAGCACAATAGTACCCCACCTTGTCTGTACAATCCAAGCTTGAAGAAAAAACAAATACAAAAAACAAAACAAAAGGCCGCGTCCCCGCGTCAATTCCGGAACTTAGGTCTGACCAGAGACCGAATATATATATATTTTTTTGACCTAACCGGAAAAGTACCTACCGATTGAACGAGAAAAGCATTGCTCACAAAGTGAAGATAGGACTGGTACCAAATACCCTGTGAATTTATTCCTCCTGGAATGGTGTCACTCGGAAGAAAATCATAATCATTGAACGTGGTTTTAGAAAATGTATAGCTGCGGGCTGTTTTTTTTTTTTTTTGGTGTGTGCGCTAGTGACAGAATCCAGTTACGAAGCCCCGAATATTGCACATTTTGATTTGTTAAAACTGAGCTGAACTTTGCAAAGTATCCACTGAGTTGGAAATGTTAACAGTTAAGCAGCTTATAAAAATGTTTATACCTCTCTTATTGCGTACCTACTATCTGACGTGTCTATCTATTCATATCGGCGTCGTAATAACGTCATTACGCATTGTAAATCCACATTGCCTGCATACGATGTATCAATACTCCGACGTGAAAACAAAGGAATCATGCAATGCGTGTGTGAGGGTCAACTGCAATCGATACAGTTCACAAAATGATTCGGATGATTTTATTGATTTGTAAACACTACAGGATATCAAAATTAACAGGTGCATGTATGTTCATAATCAATTTTGCAAGGATGGGAAAAGGCCATTGTTACTGAGTGCATATTCCATAATTAGGCCCATGTAGGGCTACTGATTATATACCTGAATCCGGAGCAACTAATTTATTTTGGTCGACTTGGAAAATGATTCTGTCCGAGACGGTTTTTAGGGAGTGACCATCAAAAGCAAGTTTCTACGCTGCATGAACTGAGGTATAAATTGTACTTTCCGATGTGGTTTATCCAATACCACAGGCAAAATAATAAAAGTTATATACTTCAAGAGTAATTGATGGTTACACAAAACCGGGACATTGGAGCTTGCATCTTTATTTTCTGTCGAAGTGTGGCGGAATGCTGCCTGGCATCATGTACCTCACCAGGAGCAAAGCTAAAAAGGCCATGGGTGTCATCTTTGTGGCCATTACCTGTTTTGTCGCCATTCAAGAAATCGCAAACCGGCAGAGTCGAGTACGGAAAGACACGCAGGAATCGCCTCCCCTCGCCCCGGGAAAACAGAGGGAATCATTGATGAGCGAAACGGCCCGTGAGAACCCTTCTGATGTGAACTTGCTACACGAAACGCCCCTCGAAAGACCTTCTATCAAGCAGGAAATCGCCAACCAGCCCCCGAATGCATCTTCTCAAAATAATCCTCTGTACTCCGACGAAGTGATCAATCAACACATTGTTAATTTCACCGTGGTCAACGGGGACGCATGTAATCGAAATGCCTCAAGCCAACATCGGAAGGTGTTCCTTCTGATTCTGGTGAAGTGCCGACCGGGGGACAGCTTCCCGAGGGAGCAAATACGGAAAACCTGGGGAGGGTTGAGCGAAGTGGACGGCAAACGGATTCTGACCATGTTCCTGATTGGAATGACAACCAATTCTACCCTCATGGCCAAGGTGGTGGACGAGAACCGGCAACACGGCGATATCATCCAGGGGGATTTTATGGACCATTACTTGAACCTAACCCACAAGACGATGATGGGCTGGCGGTGGGCCTCTGAGTTCTGCCCGGGTGCCGAGTACGTGGCCAGCGCGGACGCCGACGTGCTGCTGAACTTACACAACATCGTCCGGCGGTTGAGCGAGAGACCGCGGGAGAGGTTCGCCGAGGGGAAGGTCCAAGCTGGGGCCAAGCCGTTCCGAGGAAACAGCAAGTGGCACACCAGTAAAGAGACATACCCGGAGCCGACCTACGCGCCTTATTTCTCCGGGGTGTGCTACGTGTTGTCCGGAGACGTGGCCGCCAGAGTCTATAAAGAATCGGCGCACGTCCGCTTCTTGCCCTGGGACGACGTCTACATAGGCCTGGTCCTGAAGAGGCTTGGAGTGGTACCCAAAAATGTCAGAAAGTACCTCAAGTTCAAGGAGAGCTATCAGGGAATCGAGGATGCTCTCTCTAGCGGCCCAGCAGTACTTGTTGGTACTGAGAAGGACCATGCATGGACGACGCATGACCGTCACAACGCCCAACTCGTAAAGATTTGGAAGAAAGTTACTCAGAAACAGGACGCCACGGATCGTACAAAGAAAAAGCTTTAGTTGTGATGTGTAAATTAGGTTTTCTATTAATTTCATCATTTGCCCCGTGTGGATCGGGGTGTAACGAGTCAAAACATTAGTTGTAAAATACAGTAATCAATATTATCGTGAGACGGGTCTCGAGTTTAGTATACCGTGACTTGTGTTGCCCAGCGTATTCCTCCAGCCAACTAATCAACAACGTTTCCCCCTTATTTTTACATGTTGGTTTAAGAACTGAAGTGCGCCTATCACATACATTTCACATTTTAACCAGGATCGATGCGACCAATTTTCATGTTGGGAAATTTGAAGAATTTGTGATATGTAGTAATGGAATATTAGGTGGTCTTTTTGGAATTTATTTATCGCCCAAGAATCTGAGCTTCAAAAATTGGACAAGTGCGGTTATTAAAGGGAAGCTTTTTGGACTTAAAAGTACGTATTGGTCTTTTGTCTTTCCCATTTTTGGCTTTCGAAGGTGCTGTATAACTGTGATGTCATTGAAGGCACTTTAAGTCACTTTACAGTTAAGGTTTTGTCAGTACAAATCAATAACCTTATTAAAAAAAATAGCCCTTTGTTACCGTTTGTGCATGCGTCATACTCAGTTTTACTCAATACGTGGCCAGGCGCGGAACGGGGGGGGGGGGATTTCAGACTCACGAGCAGATCAGTATCCAATTTGATGTAAAATTGATGCAAAATGTGCCCAACGCTGGGCGAACGTTGGGCAAAATTGGACAATTTTACACAAAGTTGGTTAGCATTTTAACCAACTTTTTTAACCAACAAAATTTTAACCAGCGTTTTGAAAGTGTGGGTGCAGGGTAATGGGTACAGGGTAATGGGTACAGGGTAATGGGTGTAGGGTAATGGGAGGGTAATGTGAAGTTCAATTATGATTAAGTCACTGTAAACACAAGAAAATATGCCAGCCCAACCACTCTGCGTTTATTACTCAACAAACGCGAGCCTCTAGTTTAAATTTGTGATTAAACATACCCTAATGTTTTAAGCCGCATAAAAAACAATGAAAGTGAGGTTTGGAACGCGCACTCCAATCATAAAATAGTCTCGCACCATCCATTTAACAGTTTACAATTTATAAAATAGATTTAGGAGAACACATCCAAAATGGCTTTCCGTGAATAAGGTCTTTTATATGTACTTCAACTTTTTTCCCAAACATATGCGGCTTATTATTTCGTAGTAGTGTCACTAACCATTTAATTCGTGACTGAATTCGATCTCGCTGCGGCTATCCGATGATATGCCGCCGCAAGGTCCACATGTATCGCCTAAACAGGGTTACCCCAAAAATAAGACCCTGAAACATTTGCCTTTTTTCACTTGAAAAACGTGATCTATGAATTTTGATCAGGGTTAAAGCTCAGAGTTTTTTCTTTCAAATACTAAAAACAAATTCAGAAAAACAGCACATTGGGTTGCTGAGAAATGCCATGTAACTCAACTCCTTTTTGGTCCATTCCAACGGCATTATCACAGTTAAGGGATTTACACATACTTATGTGTGCATGAAATGCATGTAGCGCATTGTGTCCTAATTATTACAAAACAACATGGCAGATCGACAAGAGTGCAACTGAATTTGATGGAAATACCTTTTATTTTCCACCTGAACAGGTATCTTATCCTATTTAGTCCAATTGTTAAACCTTTTCAGCATCATAAATATGTCGAAATATTTAAGAAATTGCACAAATGAAAGCTGTTTGTAGCACTATTGGAAACGATGAAAAAAATCCTTTGTAACATAATTGGCATTTTCTCAGCAACCCAATGTGCTGTTTTCATGATTCTTTCAGTATTTAAAAGAGCAAATCTTCAGCTTTAATCTGATATCCAAAAAAATCACATTCACGGATCACGTTTTTGAACAAAAAGGAAATGTTTCAAAATTGCATTTTTTTGGGTCACCCTGTATGCTTCATCGCTTTCCTTTTCAATAATCATATTATAGATTATTTAATATCTCGTCAGCTCTCCTCATTCAAGCTTTATCATAAAAAAATACAATTTTTCCAATCAGAAATTTTAATTAAGGTGAAGTAGTTTTGCAATAACATTAAATATCATGTCCCGCTTTGTTGAGTTACAACGCTCATCTGCCCAAAACTGTGAACTTCATCCAATTCATTTCGAAACATCAACTTCACAAGGACATTATCTCAGACCCCCCCCCCCACACATACAAGGACAATGACTGTGAACAATTGTTTGATTTTTCTCGCATTTAGTTTAAATTGTTGTTAATTTAGAACTACATTTTGTACACAATCTGTCTCAATGAGACCACATTTGCATATAATTCTATATTCTATATTTTAAATTTTTCGCTGTGAATAGTTTTTTTTTTTTTAGAATCGATCTTCTATCCGGGGTTTATATATATATATATATATATATATATATATATATATATATATATATATATATATATATATATATATATATATATATATATATATATATATATATATATATATATATATATATATATATATATATATATATATATATATATATATATATATATAAAAAAGAATACACGTGCATGTCACAATATCACATTGCCCTGACCCATCCGTCTGTTGGTAAAATCACAAAATTGATTTTTCTTTTATAGGCCCATCGGTGGGCAATAAATTACAATAATATAAAAGGTGGGTTCTTTTATGATGGTCTTCACGCACATGCCTCTTTGTAAAATTGCAAAATGCAGTTAATCAAGCCAAAGAATGATAGCTCTATAGAATTACCCCCTCTAACGGCAGAAAGCTGGATGCAAGTGATGTTATGTTTTCTTTCATAGCCGTAAAAATATTTCTGTTGCAAAAATTTTGGCGATTTATTTTTAATGTTTAAGCTTTATTTCATGCTTCCGGCCTTTTCAATGAGGCCAGCTGAGGCCAGCTGAAAGAATACCCCCTGTCCTGATACTGTACATGCTCAACGAAAAAAGAATACCCCCTGTCCAAATATTAAATGAGTCTTTTTGTGCCATTTGTAGGCAATAATGTTCCGCACGTTTTTCGAGCATATAGTTTTGCAGAATTGCCACGAAAATTTGTTAATTTTAACAAATTAGGCCTAATGAATTATATTTTTTCCGCGCACGTGGCAAACTGATAATGCGATCTAGATCAAATTTTCGGGGCCGGGATTTGAAAGCTAGGGGGTATTCTTTCCCTTTTTTTGCGGCTTTTGATTATAATACTCCACAAATCCATGTTTCAACACTTCGGCATCTAATTAAATATCGTCTTCACTCCTTTTAACTATGAATCGCCTTTTTTTGGCGAGGATTGGGGATGGGCCTGGTCCCGTGACACTGACCACGGGCCCAATTTCATAGCGCTGCTTAACAGTAAGTAGAAAAGTTGTGCTTACTACATGTATAGCAGAAAATCATGCTGCTGCTTAAGCACTATTTCGTGCTAACGGTTGCGCGCGAATGGAGATTTCTATTGTTACGTCACTGATTTTAGCAAAGTTTTCTTCTGGGGTTAAGCGTGCTTTTGCTGTGCTGACTGCTTAACGGTCCAGGCTTAATGAAATAGATGGGGGCTCGGAAAGCACAAAGTCGGCTGTTAAGCAGTGCTATGAAATTGGGCCGTGCTTTGGACAGGGGGCTTAGGGCCTAGGCCTAGGTCGTAACATTACTACATGGTACTGGGGGCAGTGGCGGTTCTACCGGGGGGGGGGAGCTAGGGGGGGGGGGCTTTATTTCCCCCATTTTTTTTGTCTAGCCCCCCCAAAAAAATTCCATAAAAAAAATTGCACTAGCAAAATGTAAGAATGTGACGTACATGGGAAAGGTCTCCCCCTTGAGTAATAGTCGTGAGAAGGGTGCAATTGTACACTTTTAGTTAATATTGTGTGCCTGATTGTAAATAATAGCGCTGCCCATTGAAAATATGGCACGAGCCCCCCCCCCCCCCTTTTTTTGATTTCCGGAAAAAAACCGGTGTACATTTCAGCACGTCTCCCTGAATAAATTCTGGATCCATTCTGCTAGCCACCGCAAAAATATTGGTTCTAGAACCGCGCCTGACTTGGGGTTGACCTTATATAGTTATTTAAAGGCACCGTAAGAACATTTGCAAATACCCGGTAAAGTACCTACCAATTGAACGAGAAAACCATTGCTTACAAAGTGAAGATAGGACTGGTACCAAATACCCTGTGAATTTACCCTCCTGGAATGGTGTCACTCGGAAGAAAATCATAATCATTGAATGTGGTTTTAGAAAATGTATAGCTGCGGGCTGTTTTTGTATGTGTGTGCGCTAGCAACAGAATCCAGTTACGAAACCCAGAATATTGTACATTTTGGTTTGTTAAAACTGAGCTGAACTTTGCATAGTATCCACTGAGTTGGAATGTACAGTTAAGCAGCTTATAAAAATATTTATACCTCTCTTATTACGTACCTACTATCTGACGTGTCCTTATATTCATTGGCGTCGTAATAACGTCATTACGCATTCAAATCCACATTGTCTACATACGATGTATCGATACTCCGACGTGAAAACAAAGGAATCATGCTGCGTGCGTGAGGGTCATGCAATCGATACAGTTCACAAATGATTCGGATGATTTTATTGATTTGTAAACACTACAGGATATGAACATTAACAGGTGCATGTATGTTCATTATGAATTTTGCAAGGATTAGTGGGGAAAAGGCCATTGTTACTGAGCGCATAATTAGGCCCATGTAGGGCTACTGATTATATATACCTGAATCCGGAGCAACTAATTTATTTTGGTCGACTTGGAAAATGATTCTGTCCGAGACAGTTTTTAGGGAGTGACCATCAAAAGCAAGTTTCTACGCTGCATGAACTGTGGTATAAATTGTACTTTCCGCTGTGGTTTATCCAATACCACAGGCAAAATAATAAAAGTTATATACTTCAAGAGAAATTCATGATTACACAAATCCTGGACATTGGAGCTTGCATCTTTATTTTCTGTCAAAGTGTAGCGGAATGCTGCCTGGTATCATGTACCTCACTAGGAGCAAAGCTAAGAAGGCCATGGGTGTCATCTTTGTGGCCATTACCTGTTTTGTCGCAATTCGCGAAATCGCGAACCGGCAGAGTCGAGTACAGAAAGACACGC